CCTTTCAAATTCAGCCCTGATTTGATTCCTATAAAGTCAAAAATCTGTTATCACTTATGGCAATTAGGGACAAAATGCAACCATAATGAGCAAAATTATACTTCAACTTTGATGAAGAGCCCTCTTTAAAAGTTTTAGTTAATTTGAAAGAACTTGGTGATAATTTACTGAGCTTTTTTACATACCAGAATTAGTGCTCTTAGAACTGAAAGCATTTCAAAACAGAGCTATATATTTAAATATTATATTGTGTTTCAACCAAATGTTCCAAGTCTTTTTCAATTAGAAGCGGTATAAACTACCTTATTACTCCAAAATAATGCAGTACACAAAATATTGTGGAACAATTTTATGTGCTAACAAATTAACGTGAATAGCAAGATTGGATTTTAAAATTTGTGGTATTTAATGGGAATCAATGAAATTCAAATCTTCAAATGGTATTTAATTAAAGCGAATTTTCAATGTCAGCATAATGTTTTTTGCTGAAATATATTCTAATTCAGTGCTGGAAAAAAGTAACAAAAAACTTCAAGTCAAGATGGATTGGAGATTATTAGTAATGTGGGAGGATACTGAAAAATTATCAGTTTTAGTGGCTAAAGTGAAATAGGTCAAGACTCATCTGACCAGCGAGTACATTGATGATTAAAAAATTATAAGCATTGAGCAAGATAGAGATGACGAAGAAAATGCGGAATTTCATTTGAACAGTTAATAATGAGGACATTCGAATGTTAAGATGTAGTTTTGGTTTCCCTTGTACCTTGCTTAAAACTAGAAAAAGGTGTTTTATTTTCAATAGAACTTGTGAAAAGAACACTTTCCAATCCTCTTGTTTTGAATGCTTCCTATCATCCTCGTTTTTTAGATATAGTAATATATTTCAGTTATAAATATAAATTGGTCTATTTTCAGTAGTTTTAAAAAATAATTAGAGTGTGATGAAATGAATGGATTCTTATTTAGCCTTAGACATTCAATAATGGACGCGAAATTTACTGGGACCTTAAATTAAAAGGGTTTTAATTAACATGGTAATTGTCCATTCATACTAATTACGGTACCACATTATTTTCGAGTAATAAGGTATCTTTAAATTTGTTTGGTTAACCTGGCTTTAATATTAACTGTTAGCTTAATTTGGTATGAAAGGAATGATTTAGTTCAGAAATATATTGCGAAAAGAATTGTTTCTGTTAGAAAAACTGGGGATTTCTACATTCTGTATTTACATTGGTTATCAATAATTCTGACATTGAAATGCAAGTTTAGTCATTCCCAATTATAGTTACACCATTTACACCATATGACAACTAAACAGTTGCCTGATGGTTATGTTAAGCATGAAACTCAGAGTAGCAACTTCAACCATCCTGTTCTATACATACAATGCCCTATGACAAAACCTGTTTTAGTTGTCCGGCGGGTAATTGTGGCAGAAATGGAATTTGGGATGTCAAACTCAGTCTCAGAAAGGGGCCAGAAAATAAAGATGGTCTTATTGACAGACCAAAATAACATTGATAATCCTGGAGTTTAGTGACATTAATAAGCCTGGATGACAGCTAACAAGGCAAAATTGTTTTTATGAAATAGGTTCTGCAGGTAAAAGATACTTCAAAGACTTTAGAACAAACACTGCCATGACCTACAGAATCATAGCAGCCAGATGTGGTCTGGGGTGCTTTAATCTACAACTTTAAAATGGAAGGCTAGAAAAAACTAGTCAAATATATTTGAATATTTGGATTAAAGTTTAAATGACTCTGAGCAGCTATGACATGTTGAGCTGAGTGGCTATAACCAAATTTGGCTGTGTGTGTTTGTCATTAGTAAAAAATCATTCCAGCTCTTTCGAGTTATGTTGTTTTTGCATCATCTTATGTTGCTTGAAAGAAGATGTTTTTTTATCTGCTGGCAACAACCTTAAATATACAGTGAATGCTGTCTGTTAAATATTAATTTCCTTTAAATGCTCTTTTGGAAAGCTGACAAGTTGTAGTTCCAACCTCTATAATTTTTAAACTCTTTTTTTCGTTTGAAAAGGATATCTTGCCTGGGTATGACCAATGATACAATTTTGAGGCTGTAAGGAACCAGTCATGGATCGAGGAAGAGAGCGAATAAATTCTCACCAGGTTTTTATGTTTTTATATAATTTTTTGTAAAATGTAAACTTTGAATTTCTTGTCAGAGAAAAAGGTGAACAATTCTCAACTTTGTAATTTTATACTTACTAGAAGAAAAGATGGATGTTATTTTCAGTTTGAGAAAGTTAAGCTTATGCAAGAACTTCTTTTTGTGACTTCAAAAGTTAGGCTATTTTTCCACTTTCTTGTTCGTTTTGTACAAAACCTTTGTCCAATGTTCTTTTAAGCTTCTCCAGTATTATCACAGTTTGTCAGGTCAACCCATGGTCAGGAGGTAGCACTCAACTGAATTTATCAATTGGAACATTGTGGCAACACATTTGATACAGTATATTGATGCTATAGTTTTGAAGAAATCAAGTTTGCAGTTAAAAATGTTTTTAATTGATTTTATTTTTGTTTGTTTTCCATGCAATTTTTTTGTGCAACCTTAAGAAATTTTTCTGTCATCGATTTTTTTACAGTTATCTTTTAGTTAAATTCATAACTATTTTTCACAGGCCCCAGGAATCAGTGATTTTGAGTTGCTGAAGCCAATCAGTAAAGGTGCCTTTGGGTATGTAACTTTCATTTTTATAACCTTCCACTTTGAAGTGTCCTTGTTGGTCCCAAGTTGCTGGTCAATTTGTACTAAAGGGGCTTTTTCTATGGTGATTTCTACTTTTAGCTTCTCCCCACAATTTTTTCAGCCTTGATCCCTTAATTTTATCAGAAAAACAGCACTACCTGCTTTTGTAAGCAAACTTTTAGCAAGCTTGCTTATATAGAATTTATAGCCAGCTGAAGTCCTGATAGTTCCATAAATGCATAGATTTTGGAAAAATGTTTCTACCAAGTCGACACTGTTAGAGCACTTACACCAAATTTCGAGAAATTACTAAGGTATTTCCCCTCATTACAATCAGGGGCGGACATTTGGTCAAATATTGGGGGGGGGGGGCAAACCTATTGTTTTAGTAAGATGACGTCAAATTTCCTATTGTTTTAGAACAAAAGACCATTGTCATCTAAAGTATTGGGGGGCGATCGCCCCCCTCGCCGCCCCAGGTGTCCGCCACTGATTACAATATTGCTAGATGTCAATGTTCTATGATGACTGGTTAAATTCTGATAAACAGGCTGTGTAAAATCCCTCCATGTAGAAATCAATTGACTGGTTTGAAACAACTTGATATTTTTTCATTTCTTTTTACTTTGTTGAAGCTTCTATGAATTTTCTCCGTAGGCATGTTTATCTTGTGCGAAGAAAAGGAACTGATAAAATTTTTGCCATGAAGGCCATGAAAAAGACTGATGTCCTGAATAAGAATATGGTAGAACAAGGTATGTGGTTTACAGTTATTTGAAACATTAACAACTCTCTATCAATGGGAAGGGCATATTAAAAACTAGGGTATATTTAAAGAACAACAAGCTTTGTGACCAAAAACTGGAGATAATTAAATGGAAAAAATATCTTTAATTAAATCGATGAACATTTGCTAATGCAAAGAGCACTCTAAAAAAGTTGCAATTTAATGGCTGCTTTTTCGTAGATCCTACAGTAAAATGGGAGAGCATATTCGACCAGGTCGAGCTTACCGTATTTATTCGAAATAAGCCATGGCTTATGATTACTTTTTGGCACGTTTGCTGTGGTTTATAATCAAGGACGGCTTATAAGCGAGGGCCGCTTACATTGTTTTATCCAGATCCTGCCAAGTTTTCCTGCTACAACCATTGCCAAAAGTACTTGGATCACCCAGCAATTTGCATTGTGTTTTTATATTTTTTCAATTCTTTTCCCGGATACTCATTTTTCCGCACCCCCTTGCCTCCCAAAAAATGTTGATAATTTAGAAAAATATCATAGAAGTCGCAGAAAAAAGCGTTCTTCCTAATCCCCTAAGTTGTTTTTAGTCAACCAGCATTGTTCAAAGGGGGGAAGGGGAATGGCTGAATTTGCCCTTAGAAACTAACGTTAGTGTACCAAGACTTTTGGCAATCATTGTATCTTGAAGCTGAGGGTGATAATTTAGAAGACTAAGAAGAAATACTTCTGGGTGCTATTGATGATCCCATGTTGGATGATATTGTTGTTGATTAAACTTCTAATGCCATCCATTTTGTATCCGTCATTTCAGACCAAGTATTTCTACGTGGTTTTGTGTATGCGGCTTATAAACAAGGGCGGCTTATAATCGAATGAATACGTTACCATCAAAACTTGACTCTAAAGAGAAGGGTTTGTTTTGAGAGGGGGGGGGCATTTTTGGAGCGAGAGAGCGTATTCGAATCATCATGGATCATTTTTTGTATTTATTGCCCATTTTTAATCTAGTTTTAATTATTTTCAGTTGTTGCTGAGAGAAATGCGTTGGCTGTGACAAAAAGCCCCTTTGTTGTTCAGCTTTTCTACTCTTTTCAGTCAAAGAATAATTTGTTTCTTGTAAGTATGTTTTCTGTGTACTGGTTTAACTATCTTTATGGTTAGGTGAAACTATATAGCTAGAAAAAATCTTTCATAGAATTTGTCGTACTGTTTATTTTGCCAGGTCTTATAAAAATGTTTTCTCGTCGAAGATTCTGTTTTATTAGTCAGATTCTGTCAAACTGTTATGTTATCTATCAACAACCACAGAAATTGATCCAAAAATCTAATGACGATGCAATATAAAAAAAGATTATAGAGAAAGATTAGCTTTTTCAACGTTATAATCTTCTCTATAGCAAATATAGGTTCGGACGTAAACATAGATAAAAATTTTACTGTTATTCTGAAGCACAAACCAGAACTTGTTAGTTGTTTAATACATGTTTTAATAATTTGTTTCTATGAGTCTCTGAATTTTATGCAAGTTTTTTTTGGTTGAAAAATTGCCATCATTTAGGTGCATTGGAGAATTCATACACCCAGCATTGTATTGATGTCATTGTATCTTGATGCGGTTAGCTGTATAACGCTTAATTATTCGTACTTTAACATTTACAGAGTATTCGTTTCGTCGACGATTTTTTTAACCATTAGCAAAGTAAAATAAGTAATTCATAAGAAAATCGGCATGTAATGGGATATAATTTGACGTAAAACACATATACAGATTTACCATTATAAGGTACTTATTCTTAACTTAATTTAAACTTAATTTTTGCATTTAAGGTGATGGAATATTTGATTGGCGGTGACTGCAAGTCGCTGTTACACAATCTAGGGTATTTTGATGAGGAGATGGCCAGGCTTTACATTGCTGAGGTGCGTGACACAAGTGGTTTTCACTCCATCTATAACCTTTTTGTAATAGGCTTGTTTTAAAAACATGTTCTAGGTTTGTGTTTTATTGGTTTCAATCAGCTTTATTTAAAAAAGTCATTTAACAGTGTAAAATTTCTGTCCCTGACCTAGTAAGCGCTTCCTTTGTGACACAAATGTACAATCACTGCCAAAAGTCTTGGAACACTAACGTAGGATTTCAAAGTCAAATTCAGCCATCCCCCTCTCCCCCTAGGAACAATGTTGATTTACTATAGAAAAAAGAAAGGGGTTATGGAGTACGCTTTTTCTTGTGGATTGTTTGATATTTTTCTATACTTTCATCATTGTTTTGGGGGGGAAAGGGGGGTGGAAGTGGTAGTATTCAAGAAAACAAATGAAAAATAGAAAAGCACAGCGCAAAATGCTAGGTGTTTCAAGTAATTTTGGCAGTGATTGTATATTAAATATTTCGTTCTTTTAAAAAATGGACATAAAAATTGACAGATATTATTGGTTTCGTTATCAATTATTTCTTCACTGATGTGAAAAATTTAATAAGCGCCCCTGCCGAAGTAGTGACCCTGGGTTCAGGTGAGAATTATGAATAAGCGCCTTGGTCATATACGGTCATATACAGTAAAATCTTCTTGGTGTTCTGCATCAGTCCTCACGTATTTCATCACTAGTAACTTAATATTTGTTCCACATAGGTAACGCTTGCGTTGGAATACCTCCACAAACATGACATTGTTCACAGGTATTTATAGTATAAATCTTGATCATTTCTGCAACATTACAGCCTGCAGGCTGCAAGTCTATGCTTGTTAAAATTTTGATAATTTCAAAAGCAATCTTCTTCTAAACGTTTCCTTGAAGCTATGATTAAAAGGTAATTTTTCTAAGACAAAACAACAGCATAGCAGCTCCTTAGTTTGAACTTGTCTTTGCTTTTAATGACAATTACTGCTTTTTGGCCTGACTTGTTATCTAATGACCGCTTTGGGTGTTCTGCTCGCAATTATTCCTTGAGGCTTCTTGTTTTACAAAGACCGTTTGCCTAGTTTATTCATATTTTCTGCATTATGTAGAAAATTTAGCTTGTCATTTTCCTAAAATTACAAGCAGCTTTATTGATTAATTTTTGTCTTGACGAAATGTAGGCCTAGGTGGATTAAAAATTTTGTTGGAGTAAATGATATCGTAGAGGGTCTATTTTATCAGCCATTTTAAAGCACCAACTCTCCATAAGCCATTATTTTAAGCAAAGTTTTCAAATAAGTACCCCTGTTCTAAGTCCTCCTTAATTTTACAAGAGAAAAGACGAATGCAAGAATTCCGTGGCAAATTGGGGTGCTTCCATGCGTACTGTTTCAAATTCCTTTTGTGGCATGTTTTTAATTCAAAACTTTTATTGTCCAGTCCTGCCTTTAGTTTCTTTGGCAGACTTCCAGACTAACACAAATCAACAGGCTAGAACTAGAGTTCAAATGTATGATGAAATTTCATATAAAATTCGAGAATAAACGCTTAATAGATTATGTAGTATGTTAATTTGATCTACTTAGGGTGATTGGTATGCATTCACTTTTCAGGGATATCAAGCCAGACAACATGTTGATATCAGACGAAGGTCATGTCAAGTTAACTGATTTTGGTCTATCAAGATTAACTCGCAACAGAAGTAAGCATTTTCGTAAACTAAATTTTTTATCAGATAGAAGTGGTGGGGGTGGGGTTAAGGGTGAAAGCTATTGCAAATGGCGTCTGGAAACCCAAAGGGAACTTCAGTATTGGTTGTTAAACTTTCTCGTTCTTCAGTTTGGGCAGCTTCGCACTCTGATCTTTTTCGTACTGATTTAAAGAATCGAAGCTTACTCGAGGAATACACTTTTGCTCTGATGAAGCCCCGTATGCCGGGGCGAAATATTAGCCTTCACTGATTTACGTGTATTTGTTGTTGTTCATTCTCGTCGCATTGCGGTATTTCTTACAGTAAATGCCCGCATATGAGAACCTATTTTTTTGAGGTTCAGGCTGAAGTAGGTTCTTATTGAAAAGGTACTTTGATTAATTTCAGGGTATGAAGGTTCTTATTCGAAGGATCCCTTCGAATCTTTTCTTTCCTTTGCTTTATCCACATCTTTTCTTATCTTTTCTTTATCCGCACAATATACTGTATGCTGTCCCAACTTCGAATTTTGCGAATGCAGAGTCGATCAGTCATCTCTCCTAGATTTTGATTTTGTGGAACTTAATTTGTTTCGACGCTGACCTGTTTCATTTGAAATGACGATTAAACACAAGAACTTTCATTTAAGGGATAGCACGCTCATTCGAGGGGGAAGACCCTCATTAAATATTCGAATGTTTTAGGGGAGGTGCATTGGAATGGGGTTGTTTATTCCAGTTAAAGAGTAGCTGCTGCTAAGTTGCCGGCGATCTTTCATTTCATCTAAGGTAGTCTGACAGTTTAGATTCACTGTAAAAAACTGCAGTGACCATTCTCCATCCGTAATATGTCTTCCATTGAATCATTGTCATTAACACCTTACATTGTCATAGTAAATTCATCAAGACACAACGGTCAGACAACAAAACATCGTCTCTTGCTGGCTCCGTTTTTTCTACACGTTAAACAAGACATAAAAACAACAGCATTTGCAACAACAAAATCAAAATATAGGACTTTATGTAACATCAACCAGCGTTCCTATAAAACAAGTACATAGGTATTCGGGTGCTAGAACTTTTCAGACATTTATAGGTCGTTGTGTATGCTTCGCATGAATTATCTATTCAGGACACTACTGTATCAATAACACATGAATAAGTTGCAAACCTATTTTTAAGAACAATGCACACTGGCTTGTTATTTCTACCATTTTTGTCATTATAACTATATCCCCAGCTGCCATCCGAACCCGAACGACTTCAAATTGTTTACATACAACTGTAACTATTGCAACTGCCGCTTAGAACGCGCGCGTACGGAGCGGCTTCTTCGCTTGCAGAAACTATTCCGTGGTGCCGAGTGAATTTGATCCAAAAAGTCCAAAATTAAGCGAAGTGTTTGAGCACTTCAGTATTTCTGTGGAAAGAAACAAGAGGGCAAGATGAACTCTACAACCCTATTTTATTGCTGCCAGTGAATTATTCTGTAGGGATGTCTTTGGTGTTGAGCACCGCTTCGCCATTTCTGTACACGGCGTCTCCGGTTTCTTTTAAACAATGTCTTTGATGTATTGTTCTGAATATTATATTCAATATTACAATCTTCCTATTGTCTTTTAAACTACAAGTTTTGTTATTGATTGAAAGGAACATTGATTGTTAAGAAATTGGTAAGGGACCGTTCGCACCAAGCATCTTGTCTGAGGTGAGGCTTTATGCCCCATTCTCATCGATACTGCTCCAAACCAATTCCTTTTTCTCCTCGTTGTAAATGTTTCCCTGCATTCGCTAGCTCATGATATCTTAAATGCTGGATCTATTCTTCTAACCTGTTGTATCATTTTTCTGTTTCCCTTATATTTCAAGCTCGAGACTCAATCTCAATGCATGAAACTTGGCAAATTTTATTTCAGTGCAATATTTTTAAAAAAACTTTACCCCTGAAGGCAATGGTACTCGATTTTGAAAGAAATTCATTTGAAAAGATACCTTCTCCGTTTGCCATGGAAAAACAATGCCTCAAAATGCAAATATTTCTAAATTAATATGGTCAGACAGAAACACCTACGTTTGTCGAATACTACCCTGGGTTACAGAGCGTCAACTGTAGCAAGTGGGGCGTCGAGGAAATAGGGCGTTGCGCCCCCCACTTTCTACACTTGACGCTCTAGAACCTAGGGTAGACGAATGCGTGAGAAATCTATCACAAGTCCACCAGCTACTCTACTTCATTAAAAGTCCTCATCAGTCATTTTACAGCTTTACCATCGCGTAACTCTTTACGAAATAAACACTCTGAGATGACTTCATTTCCTGGTTATCATAAAGGTAGTTTTTCAGGACTCAATTTTACCAATCAGAAGCCAGGAAAACCAGATTTGGTCAGTTTGGTTAGAAGAACTGGAAAGAAAAACCTGGTTCAAGTTCCAAACCTCTTTTTAAGAGTACAATGCACCCTAGCTTCTAAGCGACACCTGTCTCTTTGTTCTCTGTCCCTAATGAGGTTAAGTAGCTTTTATTTTGCTTGCACAAAAATGCACTATAACTTGTAATTCATCCTATCTTGTTGGTAAGGGAGGCAAATTCTGATACAGTTTGCCTGTGGTATCAAGAGAAGTTGCATCGAATATGATGCCAGTGATCATTGTATCCACTGTCTTGCTTTCATCAGCAATTGGCCTCGATGTTCTTTTTGTTTTTATGGTGTTCAGATGTGGAAATGAAATAGCCGGATGTCGCCTATTGCTTCAGCATTTCTGCTATATAAGACTTTTCTACTGCATTTCAAAGCTGGCGCTCAGCTGGAGCTGGTCGTTTAAAGAACCCCTCGCTATTAAGATTTTTGGATTTATGGTGGTTCATTTCGCTCTGACGTACATGATTGGTATGACCGTCGTAAATTTTACTCGTATTTTCGCTGTTACGAAACCGTTTTTTTACCTGTCGCTTGTCAAACGCCGAAAGATTGCAATATTTCTTTGTCTTATCTGGTTTATACCAGCGATTACTTTGCTGCCTGTTTTGCTTATTCGTGGCTGGTATTGCCTGGAAAGCATCTGTTTGTTTATATTTGCGACGCTTAGTTTTATGCACCTCGTCTTCAGCTCGGTAGCTTTCGCTTGTATAGCGACAAGAATGCGAAACAGACGCAGAGTCTGGACGCTATCAATGCTCTCCACAGTTTCTCGTTTGTCATTCAGCCAAAGCATTCGTCGCTCGTTCAGGATCGCTAACAGTTCGACAAAGTCACACAAGACTATGTTTTTGGTGACAATTGTGTTTTCGATCTTCGTGACTCTGCCCATCCTCGTATACACCACGCTGAAACTTGCAAATAATACCAAACTTACATTGCCTTCGGTCTTCTACTGTATCACAGATGTTAACTTTGTTCTCTATCCTATTATTTACCTTATTGGAATACCCAGAATAAAGACAATGTTGAATAAAATTCTTATTGGTAAGGAGCTGCACCCGAAGGTGCAGAGTTCTCCTTTTTTGGTGACGCAAGAGTGCAAGAAAACGGCCACGATGGAAGTGAACGGGGATGCACCGATCGCTAGAGGATTTTCTTGCGTAGATGTTTAACTTTTTTCACTTTGAATTTTTAAGAAAAAATGAGTACTTATGATATGGAGATGGTCGGCCATTGTCGAAAATGCCTGCCACAAGTCTTAGGTTGCATTGCTATAATTTGGGATAATATAAATAGAAACCCTTCTTACTCTTGTGATAATGTTGAACAACAACAGTTTCAGTGCTTCAAATTCTTCCAATCTTATACTATCGGCTAGAATTTATAGGTTCGAATCAACATTATTAAAATTCCATAGTACCATACAATTTCTTTTTCTCCTTACATCTGTACGGAAATGTGCCGCACACAAATCGCTAAACTCTAAGATTCGCCATCTTGTCTCGTGCTCTCGAAGATCTAACTAAAATTAACTGAAACTCGGTCCCAGTTCTCTACTGTCCTAAACTGTCCTAAAATGTCCACTACTAATCAACATAACGAATGATAATAATAAAGTACCGTACACATCTTACCAGCGTCGCTTTTTGTGATTTTTGTAAAATTTATTGCACTTTAGATATTTTTAACTGATGTTTATTGATATGGATATAAATGTGTTCTTGCTCGAGGCACAGCAGCTCTGGAAACTTTGTTTATCTTTTTCAAGACTTCATTTTGATATTCATAACAAAGAATTTATTATTTTCGAGCTAACGGACAAACTCAATATCTACCCGTTTTAGTCCGAGGTTGAGTCAAAATACATTGATTTGTGGGGTGGGGGTTTTAAGGGTTCTATCACGGTAACTTGTACATGAGCATGAACCCAGATGATGCAAGACGATGTATTAGGGCTGTGTATGCAGATCTTGTTAAGTACAGTTTAATCGCATTAAGTCAGACCCTTAAAGGGGTAAGGAAATGATCCGACTGAACGAATGTCCGAGTTAACCGGTGCTCAATTTTTCGTACAAATTCTTCAGAAATAACAAGTTTCCATATCATTTAAACCCTTTACACTCGATTCAAATAATTTGTTTCCAAACATTTTTAGATTAGGCACCAATTTACAGTCAAAGAGAACCCGAGAATTCAATATATTTTGCTTGGAGTAAGAAGCGTTCTTTGTACATCGGTGTAGTGTATGAATGCCTCTTAGGACCACAGGGGACCAGTACAATTTTTGTACTGTTGCACAAGATTTTTGGCCTAGCAGAGAGTGCAGGCAGTGTATGTCATAAACAATATTTCTAAACACTCTTTTGGTGGTACAAAACTTGAAAATGGCTTTGAAAAAAGCAAACATTTGGTAAACTAAAGCTTTTCGTCTGACAGTTTAAAACGTCAGAACATAGACCGAAAACTCTACGCTAGGAAATATATATACCCAGTTGTGGATCGAAATAGGCCAATCAGAAACACGAGCACATGACTGTTGCGGTTGACCAATCAGTGCCGCTTGCCTATTGAGAATGTTACCAATGGAGTCCTAAGGTGAAAACGAACTCCTTTTGTCAACACAGTAGCGGTTTTTTCGTGCTTATGTAGATAGAGTCGTGCTTTCGTGCTTATGTATACAATATTTCTGTTAGAAAGGAAGCTTGTCCCAAGCCAACCGCAAAACCTGTAACATGACCAGTTTTTTCCTCGCTGCCCAAAGGGTCCCCGTTATATGTAACACTGGGGCAGGAATAGCCTTCATTTGAATTCCACATTTAACACCGTAATTAGAGAGGCTTGGCCTCTGTGCAATCGAAGATACATTTTTCCTTTCCTTACAAGAGCCCAAGCATATTTTCTACAAAAAAATCAAGCTTAACAACTCACATCAGTCGCGGGAAAAGATATCTAACGAGAATGCTTTTCGAATCATCAAAACTTCTTCTTCGAATTCCAATTGCTTCATTCATACGGATCGAAGATCAGAATCGGAAGCAATGTAAAAGGAAGAATGGTGCGTTTGATTGGTTCCTCTTTTCACCAGACAGTGCCCACTAAATTCTCACACTAACTTCAACTAGATGAAATGAGCTTGGAATGAGTTACACTGACCTCCAGAGCAACTTCCTTTGTAGGACAATCTCGTTACCGAAACTACGACTCGCAATAAAGCAAGTAGCTTTTTGGGTTTGCGATCTCTATGTGGTGCAAATAAAAGTCACTTGGAGATAATCATCTACGAACTTCAAGGAATAACCCCAAAACTATCGTTTTGAAGTAAACGTGCTTCGTTGTGTGTAAAACAATAGCAGCATTGGGCTGTTCAGCAATCGTAATATTATCTACGACGGTATAAGTGATCACTGTATGCGGTTTTCATTGAGAAAATAGTATTAAGCAAGAAAGGCCCCGGATCCCACACCTGTCGAGCACCAATCTGGTTCTATCCACTTAATCAAGGGTCCTTTACTTTAAACATGCCAAAAGTCTTTCCTAATCTAATTTCAGCCTCATGACCAGACACATTCATTCGTAGCAAAAGGATCAGAACTCATCCTGTGTTTGTGTTCTCTGTCATGTTCATTCTCGCTTGGCTGATGTGTATGTTATCGTGATCATCCTGCCATTTGTAAAAATGAAGGATTTCATATTTTAATACTCCTTGCTTTTTCTAGAGCCTAATTTTCACGATCTGCTGGAAACACCCAGTGCAGGGAAATTTGCTACCCCCTCGCAGAGACACAAATTTTGGAGAACCCCAGGGCAGATTGTCTCACTCACAAGTGACTTCACGTTTGTATGTGTTAATTTTGATTTTTATCAAGGATTACTAATTCAGAACAAGCCTTGGTATTAAATTGACGAAAGCCCCTTTTAGATTCGCAACTATTAGTTCAAAGCATAAAGTATTATCCACGTAAAAATGGATTACATAGATTGAGCGCAAGGGAAAAATTTTCATTTGACAAAACGGTTATGATTTGCGTATAATTCCATGTCTTGTTAAGGGGGTATACGTGTAAATACGCGTGCTTAAGAAATAATGTTGGATTATGTTGAATTGCATTGCTAGTTACAATGATCTCGTCGATTGAGTTTGATTTCTGATTGAAAGTTAAGTGATCGTTTTTGGTAGACTTTTTAGGTTACCACGATTGATCGATCGTTTGATCGTTCAACTCAGATAGTTAATTTAGTCTCAGTGCCATTTTTACTTATTTCAAAATCAGTCATTCTATTTGTTGATTGCACGATCGCACTTTCAGTCAATACCAAAGCCAAAAAGAAACCCCGTGCTTGGTGAGAGCAGACTTGTAAACAAGACACCGGATATCTCAAGCCTATCAAATCAAAGCTCTCAGTCGGCATACAAATTCAACGCTCCCGTTAATCGCTCGCTGCGCTGTAGCTCCGCGGCGCGGTTTAAAAGACCGCGGAACACCAGTCTGAGCACACCGAAAACTTGTAAAGTCACGAGGAAGAATGAAAGTGGTGCGTTTATTACTGATTTCGGTAAGTCCAATTTGCGAAAATAATCCTTTGATACCGATTTAGATGAAAACGAACTTTTCTACTTAACCGCGTCTTGAATTAATAGATGGAGGACCGCTCATAGGAAAGTCATTTGGTGCACGGTATTTTTTTTATCTTGCGTCTGTTCTCTCACAGCATTTATTAGCAATATTTAACTGCTATGGTTGTTTAAATGAAATGAAAGTTTGTTAGGTTTAAATGCATCAGTTGTGTGAGAGAGATCAATTTGATAAATTGTTGTTAAAACAGGATTTCGTGTTCATTTGGAATGTTGAAATTTGAGCCGAATCAAATAGGGTTTATTTTTGTGACTTGGGCCTTACACTTTGTATGCAATCTCTGAATTTGCCTGTTTTCTGTTTTAACTAGTTTAATATTGATTTTATTAATGTTTATATGAATATCAAAACGATTAGATGTAAATTCTCAAATTGTTTTCAGATGAAGCAGCGCCAGTAAAGCACATTAAGTTTGCGTCACCCACAGAAAGTAAGGAAAATGAGAACGACTCGGATGACGCAATCAGTCCGATTCCTGTTATACGGTGCACTGGCCTAACATCAGAGTTCGACAACTTACTTGTAAAGGATGATCTGAGGTCATGTATGAAGCGAAACCAGTGTGAAGCTCAAGACCAAATCGGACCTAACAAAAAACGCGTACGGCTGTCGTCTCCTATCAATACAACTTCTCATTCGTCAACTGATGACGAAATAACGTTCCATCCGAGAGCTTTTTTCAATTCGGATTCAATTCTTATGAAAGCTGGAAAAAATATATCCGGATCTACTACAAATCCGGAGGAGTTGGAAAATCCGGGAGAGCCGGTTGAGAGCCCATTCAGCTCACCAAATGGTCACAGTTCTGGTTATGGCACGTGTAATATCAGTGGAGTGACCACACTTACCGAGACGACTCGAATGAGCATTCAGCATTGTGATGTTGATACTGAGTCGGATTCTTCGTTTCAAAATGACCTAAATGGTTCATTTTTGTCTCCTGTTGGATCTAGCAAATTTGGTCCTAATACGGTAAATGTGGCAATTTCTTCTCCAAATGATTCAGCTCGACTGACTGCCTTAGACAATTCGATACCACTCTCTCCAATGGAGATTGGAGACTCTGTTGCTTTATGTAACAAGTTTTCGTCACCAGTTTCCAGCCGATTCCCGCTGGCGATGGGGTTTAGCACAAGCCTCCCTGGTGGAAGCTGTACTCCTTTCTTAGACAAAGATCGTCTAGCAAATGGTGATACAAACAAATTGAGGGTGCCGGCTCGCGGATCAGGCCAACAGAAACTACAATGTTCTTTCGAAGCCGATGATGGCATTGAGCTGTCTTTGTCAACAAACAAGGAAGGCGACAGCCTCTCATTTGAAATAAATACACCCTCGGTTTCAGTTTCTGACAACGGTGAAGAGGCTGAAAGGGCTCTGGATCATGTTATGCAAACTCCGGTTGCTGGTTCTCAGTGCCGCTCTCGTATGGATTCAAGTGCAATTGTCATGCCAAGTGTTTTTAAAACACCAGCTAATGTTTGCATGTCTAAGGTATATGGTACTGTTGTTTTTGTTCATGTCGTTGCCAGAATGCAAGCTAATGGCATTCGTTAAAATGACAAAGAAAGGTTCATTAGGACAGACCCTCATTTTTAGGAAAGAGGCTGGCATTTTTGAAGAATTGGTAGCAATTATTGAAATTGCAAAATTTACCCTAAGCAAAGATGCTAAAAGTATTTATGTAGCGAATAATGTAGATAATGTTAAATGCTTGATTAAGATAATATTGAAAGTATCCCTAGACAATTATACCAGTATGTCTAATAGCCCATATTTGTTTCCCCACACATTTCAATATTGTTTCCGACGCAGCCAAGTTTTACCCAAGGCCCAAATCCAACGCAGTTGTACCAAATCTGAAATTCTATGATTCGAACAATATTCCTGGCTCAATACTTTTCTGTGCATATTAAACCTTTGGTAAGCAAGTTACATAATATCACTGTTACAATATCAACAGGGGGACAACCAGAAGCGGACACCTTATAGGACACCTAAAAGCTGTCGCCGTGGGGGTGACGTCAAACCATCCGGCTGCATCATTGGTACGCCAGATTATTTGGCTCCTGAGATTTTGCTGGATCAAGAGCATGGTATGATGATTTTGAAACTACGGAGTATATTACGGTTTTGGACCAAACATTTCAAGTATAAAACGGAAAAGGGCAAACATGTTTGAGTATATGGTTAAAGGTGACTTTGTGAACTACTAGATTCCCTTTTCAGTTCCATCCCCCGCCTCCTTTGTCCCTGTCTTGGTATAGTTTTTTAAGGTTTTTTTCTCATTTAGGTTCTAGGTTTTTTCAGGATACGGTTCCAAATTGTTCTTCTTTTCAAGTGATAATGAAAAGAGGTTCAGATACCTTCCAATCCCTTCGACTTGGTTACCTTAGACACTAACCAGTGGCTCAAAAATGAGAAAGAGGAACGAAGAAACTGAGAAGTGGAAAGCTTGATGAGGAAATTGATGTTTCTACAATATTTTAGTCGTTCCGGCATTTGCTTATTCTAGCTTTCTTTTAGGCCCATCCGTTGATTGGTGGTCTCTTGGTGTCTGTCTTTACGAATTCCTCACCGGTGTGCCCCCGTTTAATGATGAAACTCCAGAGCTTGTCTTTCAGCACATCCTAAACAGAGGTACTTTTTCCAATTATATTGCAATCTTGTTTTAATCTAACGTGAAATTCCAAAAACAGATTTTATAAGAAAATGTTCAAACAGCTTATCCAAGAAGGGTTAAAACCGAAATACGTTGCGATGTGTTCCCGATCCTAATTCCTCCTTGAGGTGACATTACCGGAAGGTGAATTAAGAAAAGTGCCTTTTTTATCAGCGACAGTTAGTTTGTAAATGTCTATTTAATCAAAGTATCTAATCGACAATTTAATCAAGAGTCGATTTTATGATTAAAATCCAGTTATAACACACTGCGCTTTAAATTGCATTAATGTAGCGAACAAAACATTTTCCATGCATGGCACACTCTCACCTCCATCTGCTTAGGTTCGATGTTTTGATTTGATAGATTTGATGTGGCCTGAAGGGGAAGAATCATTGTCGGACAAAGCTGTAGATGCAATTGAAAAGATCTTGGTTTTTAAGGTCAAAGAAAGGTTCACTGCAAAAGGTGGGTTATTTTCATGCTTTTCCGAATGTGTATTGATATCATTGTGTGATCAAGATGATCGATCATTGATTTTGTTGATTAATCGTCCATGGAAAGATTATTTGCTGATCATGGTGATAGGCGTGGGATTGAGTGCTTATTGTGTTCTAGTGTAATAATGGTATCTTATTTTTATCAAAGTGATTTTATTATGTTTTGCTTATAGTTTTGTAGTTGGCTTTCTATAAAGTTTAGGTTTCTGTAGATGATTGATCACTTGTTTTTTTACCTTGTTTTTTTACTTGTTTTGTTAGAGGTGTTTTTCTGTTCGACTTTCAAGTGGTTCTTAGCAATTTTTTGTAAAACGTTTCTTCGATTAAATACAAACGAAGTGAAATATCTAATCTAGGATTTCCATCAGGTTCATCAAACAGTGTTTTCTAAAAACTTCTGAAAGATCTTAAATACTTGCGGAAACAGAATCTGAATTAGGTCATGTAACTCAGGGCCGTAACGCCTTTTGGCCTCTTGGGCGCCGTAGGCCCCTCTTTTAATAAAGAAGGCTTTGGTATTGATTTAGTCAGTTTGGTTTCGTAAATCATTGAAACCACCATTTTCATCGTAATGATTATTAGGCAAACAGGAAACAGAATTCAGAAAACTAAGAGATATGTGACGTCTGATGGGAAAACCGTTTACTTTCGAATCTGAATGGATTTACGTCACCAACTGAAAAAAGGAAGTAATCCAGCAAAGAGGATTTTCTATTTACATACCCAACATTCCAAAAATTGATGAAACACAAGCAGTTTTGCTAAATTTCTCAATTCTTTGTTTGCCGTCAGAGATTCTGACCAAGAACAATACACATAAACCTCGTTGGGGCCCCATAACGTAATGAATTCTGTTTTTGATATGGACTCAATTAAAACTAACAGAATTATACCTAAAAATAGTGAAACGTCTTAAACAATTGCAAGAAAATTAATAGAATGAAGCTGATCTAAAGGGTATGGTCGCAAAAATGTTCGTCTTTCGGTTTTGCCATAAACCTCTCAGCGGCCCTGTCTCGGGTTGTCACCTTTTGAAGTTACATCATAGTTACTATGGTTACATGTTGTGTTGTTCCAGCTATTGTTTGGCAAGGATTGTATTTCAAGAGTTTTAACTGTGACGTCACAAAGTATCTATATTCAGAATTTTTCTATTTTTGTGGAGGCAACCTGAAAATTACCACAAAATACACATGAAACTGCAAAATCGGTTAATTATTTTCAGAGTGTTCAGATTTTCGTGTTTCGTATCTTAATACGTAAGCTTAGATCCGCGAAGCTTCTATATCGTTCCGTATTTTGCTCAAGACATTTTATCGACTGTAGTGAATTATTGTTAATGTCTAGACTTCAGAGTTCATGTACAATTGACACTGTTTCGACACTGAGTTTAAGACAGCTTAAAACATCTTAAAAGAGATATTGTTGCGCAGAAATTGTAAGTATAGTCGAATTAAGCAGAAGCTTCGAAAACGGTTTTCATCATCATCAACATCATCAAAATTACATTTAACGACCCATTGCGGGTCAATACATATGTCTACGCATCTATCGTTTGTTGAAATGGTTTCTACATAGAATGTGAAAGGATTCTGAGTTACACTGTTTTCCTATGTTATCAATGTTTTAATAACAAGTGTAGTAATTCCCTTGGATAAAATTCATCAATTTATTTTCGGTAAAATATAATAATGAACCTTTTTTCTTTCTTTTTCAGAAATTAAGACACATCCATTTTTTAGTGAAATTGACTGGGAGAATCTTCACAAACTGACTCCACCGTTCGTACCTTCCCCGGATGATGCCTATGATACGGCATATTTTGAAGGTATCGTGTGCCTTTTTTCTTATTTGTGTTTATCTAGATTGCAGAATAATTGCGAAATGTTAATCCTCTCCCCGACAGTTAGCTGAGCATCATAGTAAGTGAACTAAGGCTAAAATTGGGTGTTTCGTTGGGGTTTTTTTATTAATAGTCTTTTTGAAACTTTATTTATTTTGATTCTCCTTCATTCAAAGATAAATGACAAAACTTCTTTGATGATTACACATTATTAGGTATTTTTCATAATTTTTACAGGATATTAAGTTAAGGTATTGGATTTTACGCTGGATGTTTTGTTAAGATGAAAAGCTGATTTTCTTAAAACCACTTTTATAAAGAAAATATGATCGGGAGAATGAAGATGCAAGCAAAATTGTCCCTTCGTATTACCCTCTTCTGTTTTTGTGTGTGTCTTTTTATTATTGCCAAGATTAAAAAACGGTATGTGCTCTTTTTTTTACTCCATTACTATTCCATGGTGTTTGTTTCTTTTTCAGCTCGAAACAATGTCCAAAATCTTCAAATTTCTGCTTTCCGACTTTGACTTTTCGCACAAAGAATCAAAATTACAAGACTGTCAGAAATAATTTTATCAATAATTTTGTAAATTGAAAAATAATGACCTCCAGCATAATCTCGTGTAAATATTAGAGAGTGCATCAGGTCAGGTCCCGTTTGATGTCATTTTGTTAATTGAATTAAGGTCATTTTTATTATGGTTATCAGTGTTTTGGAATCTGGAGTGTTCTCAGAAATCGATAATCGTTAAGTTATTCCCTCTTATTTATTAAAATCTTTCACTTTGTAGACTTATTATTTGCCCAAATGACCCCAACCGTGCGTTAGTAGGTTACGGGCTGATTTTTTACCCTTAGTTTTGAAATTGTATTGAGTGATGTTCACTTTTTATGGTGAACTATTTTACTAATGAATACGTTTCGTTTTGATACATTGTTTGCGCTGGATCCTCTTATTACATACAGATGAAACAGACTTCAATAGCTCCTTATAACTCCATGAATCAGATATTCCTTATAACATAAAAGCAATCGACAGATACTAAAGTTTCATAAGCCCATCGGTCGTTCATCTATTGGCCCATCAATAAACACGTGAGGGGCAGTACGCTTTTTGATTGGCCAATTGTTGATTGACAGATGACGTACGCCATTTTAGTGTCTGGCAACTCCCTCTTATCAGAAGTATTCATACATCAATCTTGCATACCGTTTAAGTATTACATGCAAGCGCTTGATTCGTATTCTTAACTTTGTTACGCTTTCCCTAACTTTATTATGTATTCTGCCAATATTTTTGTAACCGGCGGGCTGCCAAGATATCAGACACAGTTGATCGGCTACTGCACAAAGATCTTGTTGATAAGCTCTTTTTAACATTAAAAATTTGGGAAATATAATTGTGTATGGTATTTGAAGAATAATACTATTTCTTGCTGTTTTCTTTTGAGATATGAATTTAAGTTTTAATATTTGGAAAATTCCGGTGTTTTCATACGAAGAATGTGAATTTCGTTTTCTTTCTGTGTTTGATCTGTTCAGAAGGCTTGTAGAAGTATCATCTTTATCAAGTTCTTGGGATTCCAATACGGTTCCATAGTTAAGTTTTCAAGATCCTGTTCCAGGTATCAGTTCCGGTTAATACCGCTGTACAATTACTTTTCACTTAAGGATTCATTTTACGTAGTTAATGGTATGAAACCGGACAAGTTAGACCGGTGTTTTAGGTTTGCCGTGATCGACTCCGGAGATGCTTGGTGAAGTCAAGGATGTATGGAAATGAAAATCCTGCTTATCCACCAAGGCCATCTAGAGAGAGTGTTGTTGAGAGAGACTACTATTTCAGAAATGGTGAGTTATGACCTTCTCTGTTTGTAGGTGAAAGTAGGAAGCGAAAGATTATACTAGGCAGCTGATGAATAGGCTCTTTGAACTTGATGCAAATTTTCAGATAACTTAACTGCATGTTTAGTTAAAAGCGTTAGTTTTCTTTCCACAGATCATTTTTCATGCAAAACAAAAGTCGACGTCGACTACTCCAGTTTCCTAACACTTTAGGAAATTCCTTTATCATGATGTTATTAACTTTAACATTAGTGTCCTATATTTGCTTGTTTATCCTAAGAAATTTTCCAGCACAATCATATCGGTGGGTTTTCACGAAATTTATGAGTTCATCCCTTTTTTAAAATTGTTGCTTTTTCAAAGTTGTTTTCTCAATTTTTTTGCCTCTAGCACATTACTCGTTTCTTAGATCGAGTTTCGTATAAAAAAATGAGTGTATGCATGTTTAGCAACCATTCGAGCCCATGTACCATTTCCAGTGACAGTGAACATACTTCAACACATAGCCCAGTAGCGGCGCCATGGGGGGGACACGTCCCCCCCCCCCAGTTCTTTGCAGGATCAATTTTGCATTTCGTCTAAATCCGATGAGAAAATTTTGGGGGAGGGGTAATATTTTGGCAACGTACTTTTTATGATGTAATCCTCTGATTTTCAAACTGCCTTTACATAGCCAAAAGTGAGTCATGGGCGTTCCCTTCAGGTAAAAATTGCGCTCCTTGTTAGTAAAAGGGCGTTTTCTGGTGCTAAAGGGGCGTGGTCTAAAATCTTTTGCTTTGTCCCCCCCAGAGCGCAGTGGCTGGCGCCGCCATTGACCTAGCCAACCGCAACTGTATTAGCAAAAAGCCAACCGCAGTGAATAAGGAATGACACTTGTTCAAATATTAGGGGGGAAGTCTATTGTTTAAATGAGGTAGCGTTATATTTTCCCATTGTTTTAGAACAATAGACCATTGTCCTCCAAAGTAATGGGGGCGACCGCTCAAAGATGTATTGTGGGCGATCTACCCTCAAAACGTTCAAATATGTAGGTCAGGATTAAAAAAGAATTTCCACGGTTTTGTTAGTCGAAATACTAATTAGGGGAGCAATAAGCTGGGTACCAGAACCTCAGTGAAAGAGATAATCGAACAGTGATATCCACTTTGTCACGGGTATGTCACTGGTACACGTAGAACAGTGGCTTGCCAGATTGAATGGTACAGGATTTATCATGTGACGTTGCTCAACAATAAAGTGTCTCAATCTCAAACACTTCATTACATGGATCGTTATTTCTTATTCTGTATCGATGAATGGTCAAAGATCAAACTTTTGATCTTCCTTGACTATTTATGAATAATGTACTAACCAGGGGTGGGCTCGGGGAACTAGGCACTCTTGTTAAATTCAAAGAAATTTTTGGGGGCTCAGCCACCGCCCCCCCCCCCTTAACAGGTCAGTATAGTATATGCTTGATTGGACGAGTTCCTTTCTTGGTAATGCGAACTGACTCTTCATTATGTCATTATATTTTGATGAATCTACATTAATTCATTCATTAAATGTAAATTTCATTTAGCCTTTATGAGATGGCAAAAAGTTTTGATGATTTGGTATACACAGCAGAGAATCTTTGGTTCAAAAGAAAAAAATATGGTATGACAATAGGTGTAGCCTAGGGTGTGGGTTCTAGAACTTTCCTACAGCACAGCCCTCTTTCTGGTACCAACCCCTGCTAATATGGATGGACTCTTGTCATCTTACGCTGAGCTATGCTCGTGCTCCTTACCGATCGTACTCAAAAATATATATAGGAGTATGAAAGCTAGCATCAGCTTTTGATTGCCCTGCATCAGCCTCTGTTGTGAGCTGACAAAAACTATCCATCAAAACTCTTCAGATGTCAATTCAAGTTGATCTTGCTTGAATTATCTAAGGATTCTACAAGCTTACTCTTGTTTTATCTCGAATCGCCTGTCTAATTCGCAAAGTAGGGCACTCTTTCGTTGATCATAATTTTAAAGTCGGTGCCGTAGACTACGCCATCTGGCCCTTTTGAAACACCTTGTAAACAGTGGTGATTTCTAAAAAAGTTAACAAGGGGGGCTCTATGGGTAACGTCATGAAATGGGTGTGGTTTGTCTGACCACGCCCATATTTTCATCGATTCAAATATGATAACCAGTGCTTAAGCAAACCAAACCGTGTAGAAAACAATGACAAATGTCTGAATAACTATTAAAAATTGCAAGATAACATCATAATAAAACTAGAACAGAACATTTGTATTTAGTTTGTGAGAGTTGTATCGTAAACATTTATATCTATATTTCATCAGAGTTATATTTTTAAAAGCAAAACTAATGCAAATTTGTTTTGGGGGCTGTGCCCCCCTCCAAATTCGAGAACGATTTCAAAAAGGGGGCTCCGCCCCCTTGAGCCCCCCCTAGAAATCAGCCCTGCTTGTAAAGTCTTGTCACCGTCTCTTTCATATAGACAGTTCGTCTTTGAAAATGTTTGAATATAAAATCTCTCCGATGTATCCCCAGTGCTCCCAGCGTAGTAATTACTTAATTACTCTAACAAATGCTCCTTTATTATGCTGATTATTTGCAAGATTTGCTAAAGCTTCTCGCAACATAGTTTAGAGAGCGAAGGCAGCTAGATCATAAAATAACTTACTACATATTTTACCAAGAAACGATGGATGTTTTGAATAACAATTTGTCAGCAATAGAACGTAAGTAAGATCTGTCTGTTTCTCTTCTTAACATAAAAATCAGACAAGATTTAGCTTGGAAATGACAACCAGATATTGAAAATTGGATACATGGAGAGATTTTCCGATTTTCGAAGAGAGAGACTTTCTTGCATAGACACAGATTTGCTTTTGGATAAGCATGTTGTTAGTTTTGGTGCAAAGAAGCACTGTAAAGTCCGTGGCTAGCTTTTGTGCTTAAAGGGGGGCGGGTGACCGGCTCAATAAAAATTTGCAGATGAGGGACGCAGCACAGCAGACCAGTGGCGGAGCCACGGGGGAATGGGTGGGACTAGTCCCCCCCACTTTTTCAGAAAGTTGGCCCTTAAGATTCTTGCAAACCCGATGAGAAAACTTCAGGGGTTGTCCCGGACACACCTTTTGCCCCCCCCCACTTATCCCAGGCTGGAGCCGCCACTGCAGCAGACCTTGAGGACAAAAAATGGACTCTGAACGTTCCCCCAAGCAAAGTTTGTATCTCGGGCTTTATAAAAGCAACAAGGCTATATAATTATATCCTATTGAAAGAGTATCAGCTTTATCTACTACTTTGATCAGATATCATCACTTCGTTTATCCTCTTTATCGGGAAAACAAGAACCGCTCTATGTAAGAGCCTCAGAAGAAAAATTAGAAGAAAAGTGTTTGGTCACTAATGTTTACAAAAATATAATATTTTGTCAGCCTATCAACCGTGCTACTTATTGTGTCATTGAGAACACCTTAGCCTAAGTAACCCAGAAAATAAGAACAGCGAGCATAGGCATAAATTATCTGGTTCTTATAAAAAGAGAGTGCATTTCCCATAGCAAATGCAATTTCAAGCTTTGCATCGAAAAACAAGTTATCTGAAAACGAGGCGCTTGCAAGATGTGCGCCGTAGATTTTAGATCAACAACGAGAGGTTGCCACTTATCAGTGACCAGCCGTAGAAGTGCCTTTCTGAGAATAATTCAGTGCCTGTAATCTAAAATTTTCCATAATGGATACTGACAGTAGAAGTCAAAGAAATCTTCGAAGGCATGATACCATAATGCAAGATGAATACAAGTATCGAACCGGTTAGCATTTCATTTGGCGTTGGAAATTTTTTGTATCACTGACAAAATATAAACGTCAACCTTAACTTAGACAGGCACCGAACAGATGCTGTTTTGCCTCAGCTATTACGAAGAACATTAAATATTACATTTTTTTTTATTTTCCAAAGACTGCTGGAAAAGTTAGGCTTAATTATTGTGTATACGCAAGAGGCATGAAAAGTTTGATGGTAAACTCTGGCACCAGCAGCACGGGAAGTTGATTCGGTGCGCAGGTTTAAGTCCTTACACACATTAGTTAAATTCGAAAGCACGAGTTGTTCTATGTTGTTATTTGGTTTTAATCGAAGCCATTTTTTTATTGATTATCCATTTAAATTTGAAACTTGCAAACTTCCGAGCCCATTGAGCTGTTTCACTTTATGCAAAACAAGTATCGAATTGATTGATAAATTGACGAGCATTGATTGGGGAATTTTTTATGAAATAGGAGTTTCAATCAATCTGTGTTATTAAGTGCAGCTGTCTGAAAATCAAAATGCTCGTCATAAACAACGCAACATTTTAGTTTATACGTGTTCGTTTTCATTACACTGGTCAAGTCTGGTTTGAGTTAAATTTGATGGAACTTGCTGAATCATTCTGTTTTGATGTAAATAAGTTGAACGAATGAAGCTGGCTATATTTTTTTATTGCTAGTAGTGAGCTATGCGAATGTGTTTCATGTACGGCTGTTACAACATGGCCGCTTGCTGAATGTATGGCTGAATGTCTACTGGCCAAGAAGCGGCTGTGTCTTGAAATAGCTTCTATCTATCATCGCAAAAACAATGCACCAAAACGGCTTTGGTGGCACTTTAGAACTTAATTTTGATTGAAAATTTCTATACTGGGGCTTGACCATATACTGGGGCACCCTATGCTGGGGGAAATGTTACCAATGTTGCTCAAATATTGTGCCACTTACTGCATGAAAGGACCAAAAGTCAGTGAATCCCTACAATTAGTGACACTTACATAATTTCTACTGAATTGTAGTCTTAGCAGAGTAGAGTTAAGAAACTTTCACATAATTTTTTCAAATTTAAAAGCCTTGCTTGCTAGGCTGTAGCAAAATAGTTGAAAAGTGGTATAGTAGACGCCAGTTATAGTCACACCAAATTTTTCTTGAAAACTTGTGACTGTAAACAGAGTGTTACTGTAAATGGTGCAAAATTGAAGAGTTTTGTCTATTTAGGTCTAAATTTGATGTGAATGTAACCAGTTGTGTGGCTTTAAATGAAGTGGCTATAAACAGAGCATGGTAGGTATTTTCTCTATGCCTAAGTTCAATTCTTTTGCAGTTTGAATAAATGTTAATTTCTGAAATTTCAGATAGCTGTACTTACCCAGCTGTCAAGCCCAAGTTTGTCAATGCTCCAACACTCATCATTATGGTTGGCTTACCAGCCAGAGGGAAAACCTACATTGCAAAGAAGCTTTGCAGATACCTCAACTGGATTGGCATAAGCTGCAGAGGTAGTTTGTAACACTTTGTATTATTATAAACATAACAAACAGGGACAATTTGTTATTGCCTACAGTTGCAACAACAAAAAATAAACAATATAGGTCACAACATTGACATAAAATAAGGACCAAAGCATTGGTAATGGTTGTTAAGCCAAGCTTTTCAGTATCTAAAAAACCTATTGTTTGATGAAAAATAGGTTCCAAAAATTGTTCAGGTTTGGGTACTTTTTTTAGAATTATTTACAGATTTTTCAAAAAGTTGTTGTAGAGCAAAACAAAATAAAATAGACTAATTATTCACTTTTTTACATTCCTGAGAATATGTGAAAGCGTAAAACATATTTGTGCTAATAACTAATAAGCCCAAATGGGGTCTTATTTGTAAAAGACATCCAGAATCACATGAAAACACCCACTTTATTTTCAAATTTATCTTTACCATTTTTCTTGTTTTGATTCTGAGGTTTAAATGAAAGCAATGCTTTTTTTAAAAGAATGTGATTGTCCCTAAGCCTCCCAAAGTCTAGAGAAAGGCACTTTTTCTCAAGGTGTCTTGAGAATATGCGGTTGAATACAAAATATCATCTAGTGTTGAATACAAAATAACTAAAAAGTTGAATGCAAATTGATTAAAATTGCATCTAGTAAGTGCCTTAAATCTCTGTGCATCTGAAACATGATTTTCCACCTTCTGGTATATATAACAGTAAATGCTGCCTTTCCCTGGATATTTTTGTATTTTGCTTTTAACACCTTGCAGGTCAGCTAATAGCCTAGTTTCTTGACTACTTGTTGTTTTTACAAATCTGATACAAAGTCCTTTTATTTTCAGTCTACAATGTTGGGGCTTATCGGCGCAAGGCAGTTGGCACGGACAGAATGCATGACTTTTTCAGAGTTGACAATGTAGAGGCCTTAGAAATAAGAAAGTAAGATTTATGAATAGTATTATATTTTGTACCATTTTGATATATCATATCACTCCACTTTCCAGCCCACCCTTAATACAAGTCCATTAACAATATAAATGATTTGTTTTACTGCAGCTTTGCAGAAACTCAAAGAGAATCAACAGACATATAAATTCCAATTCCAATTCTAATTTCAATTTGAATTAGCATGGCTGACTATTAAATGAAAGTGTAGGTTAGCTAGTTGTATATCTGTTCATTCTCTTTAAATAAAAATTATTCAGGCTGCTTGAGTATCTAAATTTAGGTTATCGTATTTTATTTGACACATAGTAGCATAAAATGATATTGTTTGCTCTGCTTAAAGGAAATGTGCCTTGGAAGCTCTTGAAGATGTCACAGAATGGCTCGAAGGACAACACAGAGTTGCGGTAAATACTTTTATGTTAATTTTTGACACAGGTTCAAGTATTATTCACCGTCATCAATTAAAGCTGTTCAAATCTATTAATGTCACGCCGTTTTTTACCCTTATCCCACTAAATTTTTAGAGATGGGACGTTTTTGCGTTTTTATGATTGTAATGAGGGCAATCATACGAAAGTGTGTTAAAAACTTTACGTCATTTTATATAACAAATCTTTATTTTCTTAGCAAAAAGCAAGCAAAAATTAGATAAATCGATATTAGACTCTTCGAAAAAGCACCTATGAAAATAGCAAAAACATAACATATTTTAGCATACGTTAGTGTCTTTCGTCCAACACTCTAGATAATGAACTTCCGATAATGATAAAAAAAGAAAGCAGAAGTTTACTTGACATGGATCTAAATAAACTTGAAAGGAAGACCGTCTGATTCTGGGTTGACCAATCGGTGACCCCTAAACAATCGGGCGAGTCCAAGAGAGCGAACGTGCCCTTCCCAACCAGCCTTTGATCTTAAGAACATAATTAAACCTTTAAGTAAACGTACTTGTCTTGAGTCTTAAACTAAGAATTCGTATGATAAATGTCTTTTTCTATAAGTTAGCTTAATTTTCTTAGTAACAATATGTTGGCACAGAGAGAACGAAATTTGTTAGCTCTTTCTCCATACAGCAATAGCCAGATAATGTTGTATTTTGAAGGATTTTGGTTTGTAATGCCCTTTGCTTTAGAATTAAAGACGATCAGCCTCAGGATTAAACGGCAGAGTTTTCTTATTAGGGATCTACAGCAATTAAAGTTATAATTCAGCTTAATGTTATGGCGGCACTCGGCAGGTTAGCGATTGTATGACCCTAAAAGGTCTTTGCTCAATCGAAACTTGCATTTCAGTATCTGTAACTACATGCTCTTTTCATTTACGAGCTGCTGTTATATTACGAGCAACTGTTTATGTATTTAATGAAAAATAAAAGATAACTGTTTATCAATCGGTCGTGGAATTCTCGATGTCGTATAGGCAGAGCTGTACACGCTTTGTTGTGTAGACTGGGGGTTTCACAAAGCAATCATAAAGCAACTGTCTTTGCATTTAAATGGTCAAAATATCCTGCAAAAAACCGCTCATGGATCTTGATATTAAAATCACAAACTATTTGACTCTTTTTGAAAACCTATAATATTGTTAAGCTATTTTTCTTGAATTGTTCGAACTTAAAACGTTAAATATGAACCTTCGATATGGTCATTAAATTTTGGAATATGAACAATGAATTTTTTTTAAAGTATTGGTTGGTGTGGTTTCCATATTTTGCCTTAGAACCTGGAAATGTCTTTAGCACAAAAGTTTGTTGGACATGGAATTGAAGTAAAATCAAGCATGGTTTGGTAGTTACTCATTGGCTTACCTCAAGACTACTACTGCGTCATTGAATAAATTTTCTCCAGCTGCAGAATTGTAGTATTTTCTGGACTCGGCTTGGAACCAGTCAATTATCACTAAAATCATTATAGTTTTCAATCATATTTAATTTTTCATACTCTTTTTATAAGTAAAATTTTTGTCATATGTTTCTTATTGATTTCGTATGTCATTGTTACTTGTGTCCAATTGCCTACTCAATAGATTTTTGACGCCACAAACACTACCAGAGAACGAAGAAAAATGTTAGTTGAGCATTGCTTAGACCACCAATTTAAGGTAAAATTATAAATAAGTTACCTTCACGTTTGTAGAACGATCTCTTCAATCTCTTCAATTTTTGAAGCTTAAGACTTCACACTTGAACATGCGTTCGATCCTATAGACGAATAAAACTTGTCCTGTTTTTAATCTAATATCCAAATAACTTTATTCACGTACACATATAAATGTTTGGTTAGAAAGTTTTGTATTTTACTGATTAAGACTTACCCTGCTCCATAATACAAAAATTTAAGGATGGTTAAGCAGGACTGGGAATTTATTTTGAATTTGATACTTCACTAATGACGCTACAAACTCTAGCTTGTGCTAATAAAGGTTTGTTAAATAAGTCTTGCAAGAATGAGGACAAAGTTTATTAACAACAATGCCTATTTTCTTAAAAGAGTAGAGCAAAAATCGAGATAAATCTTTGTGTTTTAAATTCATCCGATAACTAATTATTAAGAAGCTAAAAATCTACAAATCATTGTTTGTTAACAATACCTTTGTATGATAATTTCCTATATGATATTCTGAATGTATTTGCATAAACCAAATTTTTTGAGGAAAATGTTCCCTCTCACAAGATAATTTCTCAGAGACCAGTACATTTTATGAGACTAGTGATCCCATTGTCCGATATTTTTTGCAGCCCCGCCAGCTTCAGCTTGTGTTTGCTGTCTTTTCCTTTCAAAAACATATAAGATTATGTTGATTAGTGAAAAGGCTAGGTTACAACCCTGTCTTTAGAATTGGCCTACATCACTTTTTTTATGATCAATCAATGTAAACGGACTTATATCTTATATTCAGGTCTTCTTTGTTGAATCCTTTTGTGATGATCCAAATCTGATAACACAAACTGTCAAAGTGAGTGATGCTTAAAACCATAGATTGCTTGAATAGTAATGTTATTGGCATACTATTGTCGAGTGTTTACTTTTTTTCTTAGTTAATTTTACATTTTTATATTATTTCACTTTTCATAACTGTATTTGATAAACTTGTAAAGCATTATCGAAAATCAAAACTATGAAATGAAAAGGTTTCATCAAAAGAAATTTGACGGTAAAAGACAGTATGCAATGGTTTTACTACCAAAATGTTTAGCTGATTTATTAACAGCTGAAAGGGTCGAATTTTCAGGGACTGAACGTTCTTTTGTAATAATATTTTTGAGAGAATGTTTGAGCTTGCACCTCTTTTTAGTTGTGTCTTCCCCGATTCCTTCCGTTAACATTAATATTTCCTGTCTGGTTTTACAGGAAGTCAAAATCTTCACACCAGATTACACAAATATCGATTCAGACAGAGCAATAGAAGATTTCAAGGAGAGAATAAAGCACTATGAGGCAGTTTATGAGCCATTGTCAGATAACATGGAAGGAGAAGGGTAGGTAGTTTCAGGCTCATAGAAAATATTATGTAAGAGAAATGAAAATGTTCCTATCTATGTGTTTGCTAGTAGATAAATTGAGTCCAACTGATGTTAAGATATTCCTTGAATCTTTTTCTTTATTTTCATGTCTTGTAACGTTAGAATTCGTTGTTATTAAGTTACTTGCAATTTTCTTCTTTCATAGCTGCTTTTCCTTCATCAAGATCATTAATGCTGGAGTGCAATTCCTTGTCAATAATGTTGATGGTAGGTTCTTCAATGCAAGATTTTTCATGCATTCGATTAAAGGCAATTATGAAGCAGTATATAATTCGTCTTGAAGTTTACTTTCGCCAGTTATATTTCAAGAAAATAGAGCACTTTATTTTCATCTTAGAATCACCTAGAAAATTTTTCTGTTTTAGATATAATGGTTTGTTAGATATAAAATGTACGCCGATACAGTTTCAACCAATTGTTACGTTCTGTCTAGCTATTTTAAACCTTCTTCTATGAGTCATTTCTGTCTCCATTAACGTCTTCATGCCCGTCTGATTGACGCATATTTCCCATCTTTAGGTTATCTACAAAGCCAGGTCGTATATTATCTGATGAACATCCATATTCTCCCAAGGTCAATTTACTTGACAACGGTAAGATTTTTCCCAGTTAACTAAATCAGCGACCAAGTATAATCAGTGATGAACAGTGACCAATCACACCATATCAAACTAAGTAACCATGATTATATATTGCTGGGTGGATGTAAAATACTTATTTCTAGACTTTTTTCAAACTTTTTGTAATCGTTCTCTAAGAGCTTCTATTGGTTGCGAATTGATTATGGGGGTTGGGAAGAGTTATGATTCAAAGGACATAAGGAACGTGACATAAAGTACCGACGCAGCGACTCCCCTTTCCCAATTTTTATTCTTTTCTTATTTTGTTTTTTCAATCTGTAGATTATAAGGGTAATGTAATTGCCATTGACAGCGGGAACTAGATGACCCTGTGTCTTTTTCTGCTGTGAATGGCATATTGTATTTGTAGTTTAGAATCATTTGTTTATGTAAAAAAAGAAAGTTTGCTTCTCAATGGATACAGCGTCTAGATTCCCCATAAGTGTTTGTATCTAGTCAAAAGTTTGAGGGTAAACCCTTTGTAGTAAATCCTAAAGAGACACAGCACAGCTTTATTGTCATATTTTTTCACAGCACGGGGAATGTAATCATAATCTAGAATGCGAAGTTGGTGGAAACTCAAGCTTAGCTGAAAATGGCACCAAGGTAATAATTTTAGCAACAAAAGCAAATTTCTGTTCATACTACGTTAATGCTTCTTTTTTCTTTGACATTTTCTCAAGTTTCTCTTTTTGTTATTTAGGTTTTATAACTTGTTTACTGTTTCTCAAGACATTTCTTTGCGTTACTATCATTTTTCAGTTCTCGAAAGCCCTTGCTGAATTTGTCAAAGATGAGAAGATTAATGATTTGAAGGTACAAAACAACATTCTTATGCTCTATTTTAAACATTGGTCTTTGCTGTTAAAATTTTCTTGCCTCTCTTGTTTTCTACGAGTTATGCATAGAATTCACTCTGAGAAGATACCTATGCTGTATGCATGCTCTTAATTGCTATGCCCCCCTGTTCCGTTGCTTATCTTTACGTATACCATACTTGTTCCGTAGGTCTGGGTGAGCTCATTAGATGGACCCAGAGAAACAGCTGGCTATTTGCCGGTTTCAAGTGAAACATGGAGAGCGCTCGACTATCTCGATTGCGTAAGATTCTTTTAATCCGTTTCAAATCTCCGATTCATAATCGCACAGAACTTTCAAGGTTAATTACTGCTTTCAAGGTTAATTCCCTCGGTCCGTTGTCCTTGGTTCGAAACCCCGTTGCATTGTTTTGCCTTGACTTCCCTGTCGTGTTGACATATATATACTTGTTTGTAGCCCTTTTCTAGCTTTTTTTAGGGCCAAAGATCTGATGCTTCGTACTTCCTGATAGTAGGCTCTCCCAATATTTTATATACTATCTATCCGATGCAAGAATTACCTTTAAGATGACTAGCTTAAAGTCTTTTGCAGTAATATGCTCAATTCTTTCATATGATGCACCTCTTTAGGAAGCAATGCTAGGATCCCCTAAAAATATGCACACTAGCTATTGCTTCGTTATGCCATTGGATTTCGCATAGCCTGATATTTAGGAATTTTCTTTTCTGAACTGCTTGCCTATTCTCTTAACTACACTTAATTACAGTTGGTCGTAATGCTTCGAATCTTACCTCCGAATACTTATGTATGCCACTATTTTGTATTAGGGTGATTGTCATGGCACTGCATTTAAAGATTTAGCGATCAAATTTCCTGGAATTTTTACCCCTCATAAAGGACCACTGGATTTTACATGGAGATACCCTGGAGGCGAGGTATGAATTATCTGTCCTGTTACGTTGTAATGGTAGATCGAAGAAGATCTTTTACGTAAGCTTAAGATGCTATCTGACCAATCCTAGATGCTGCCTGTGTGGTTTCGTTGTTAGGACAATTATTTGTTCTCAATACTCAAGATATCCCAGGACGAATATCTGCACTGCATATTCTGTAAATTATTTCCTCAAAACCTAAAATGCTAAAAACCTCAAAACCTAATATTTCCTCAAAACCTAAAGTGTCTCATGTGCTTGTCATTTCACTAAACCAGCTTCCAATTTTCAGTCCTATTTAATATATTAATCACGATTATTTCAAGCAATTGTGTCCATAATAACAGAGGGGCTCAAAACACACAGGGGGGCTGGGAAATGTCTTCCAAAATCATTGGGTGACGAGCTCAGGCGGGCTGGCAATTTTTGGCTAGTAAGAAGGTTGTCATAGAAAATAGTTTTTCCTAGTTTCAGCTTTATCATGTAATTAAAATCATAAGTAAAACTATTAAAAGAATTGATTATTCCATTTTAGTCTTACAAAGACATGCTATCTCGTTTGGAACCTGTTATTATGGTGCGTATTTCATGGAAAATTCGGAAAATTCATTAATTTTTACATATATTTCTATATATGTATATATATTTTCTATATATATTTCTTTTGTTCAAACCCAGTTTAAAATGCTCTTGATAAAGGAAGACATCAGTGTTGTATCAAGAAATGGACCCTCATCTTTTCAAATTGACAGATCTAAAATTGTAATCGTTTTGGATTCTCGTTGAATGTATTTCAAAGTTGATATTGTCAGTCTTTCTAAGTTATGACTGCATTAGAAATTTTTCTTTCCCTCGAAGATTTTGCAGCGCAAAAGAAATTTCATTGTTTTTTGTATCTCACTCTTTTTGTGTTTCAATGCAGACTAATTTCAAATGTTTTCCCCAGGCAAAGATTATTCATTTTCTGCTTTTAGAATGAGAAATACCCTTGGAAAATGGGATATTTCAACTCGTATAAAAGTAGCTGTTTATAATTTAGTTTCATTTTCGCAATTAACTTTCATTTATCTTTCATTTATTTTCATGTAACTTCAATTAATTTAGTTTATTTCACTTTGAAATTTTTAGGAACTCGAGAGACAGGAAAATGTCCTTGTTGTATCACACAGGGTAAGGATGTTACGTTTTCATTCCAGCCCAAAATTTGTAAAAAGTATAAGCATATTTGTTTACAAAAATGATTTTGCCAGAGAGGCAGTTAGCCTACTTTTAGGTGAAAATACTTATGAAATATTGATTCATAAGTATTTTCCACACAATAATATAGAAAAAATTTTCGCTTTCTAAAATAGAATTTTTTTTAAAACTATTCACAAAGGCCAAGTCTTCAGCCTTATGTCTCCATCCATCTCATTAACCTACCCACTGACTCGGTTTTAATGTATTGGTAATCTAGGCTGCCTATACCTGTACCAGTGAGCTTGTTTGTATTTCATTACAAATCATTATTCCACTTTAGACGACGATGCGATGTTTACTGGCCTACTTCTTAGACCACAACCCAGGTAAACATATAAAATCATAGTCTATATGTCTAAACAATTTATGATGCGATTTTAAATGCAAATTGCTTGTTCAAAGAAGAGTTAGATCGCTTTCGACATTCTTTTTGGCTTATAAGTTGATTATATACAAAAGTTTGTTACGGATTTTTGTCCTCACGAAACACGTAGACTAATTAATGATGATATAACAGAAAATGTTTTGGTTGCAATTAATTTGTGCCATTATTTTCTTCCCTTGACATTCTTATTTGGCAGTCAGTAATTTTTCGTCGTATTTTGATTTTAAACCATTATCTATCTATTCAAATATTATATATTCATTCTTCTATGACTTGTTTATTTTATTTGACATGATTTTGTCACATAGTTCTTCACTCCAAACAACAGCTAAATAAGAAAAGAGTTTCTGTTCCTAAATGTTTCTCTTACACTGAAGTACGTGTTTTTATTTATCGAACTTCGCCTACAGGTAGGTTCGTTTAATTTTCCAATTTTCATCCTTTTTCTCCTAAATGGTTGCCCATAGTGATATAACTGAATTTGTCTTCCTTTTAGACGAAGTACCAGGAATGAATGTTCCTCTTCACACTGTTTATAAATTAACTCCAGTCGCATACGGTAAGCATTTAGCATTAAGCCTTTTTAACAGAAGGTGAAAATCGAATATCACTCAATGTGACTAAAGAACGACACATTTAATAAGTTTTAAGAAAAAGTAGATTTTTGCAGCCACGAACCAAACTAAAATTTAATCGAATATCTTTAAAGACCCCAGGTTTCAATCACCTGAAAGCGTGAAGACGATGTCTCTATGTTAAAGATATATAAAATGGAGTGAGACTTTTTTGCATCAGAGAAGCTAAATTTATTTGCTTTGTTTCCACGAAACTCTTACAAAGCCTGTGCCAAAATGCATCGCAAAGTTGCTAGCGTTGTCGCTGCGACGTCGACACTTGATTATTGTTAAGTGTAACCAAAGGTTGTTTTTTTATCGTAACTTAAGGTATCACTGCCACAATACTGCGATGCTAATATCATTTCTCTTGTGATCCTATAGGCTGCCGTGTGGAAAAATGGAGCTTGAAAGAGGATGGTACCCTCTCTTGAAAAGTCAAGAATTTTGGTCATTAATTGCATGAAAATTTTCATCGCTCAACTTACTGAAATGTAAAACTCTTAAGGATCCTATTTAAATAAGAGTGGTATCAATTTTAATCTTACTATTTGCATGTAAATAACGTGTAATATTGATTTTTTAATTATCACAAATTGCAAAGACTTGATTTAGCATTATCGAAGCTCTGTTTGCTAGGAATGTTTTTTAGTTAACTGTCAATGATTAATCAGCTATTGAAATTGATCAATCGTTGATAGTGTGATCATGTAATAGAGTTGAATCACTTAGCCTTGTTGCCACTTCAGTAGCGACTGCAAGTGTTAAAGGTTAGGGTATAAGCTATAAGTTTTTGTGTTATCAAGTCGAATTTGATCAATCGGAGACAACCATAGAAATCTTAGTAGGATGTGGAGTTGAAATATTATTTATGTATTTTGTATTTGCTGAATTTCATAGAATCCCTTACCTAATACCTACGCAGATTCTTTCAATACATTTATCTCTGTTGTTTCCCTGTATTTAGCTGTCAGTACGATTCCAAGGTCGTACCAGTCCGGGTTATAAGGGTGACCTTCTCGCCTTTTTTGAATTGTGGAGACTCCATAGTAGCCTTGCCATTATTTGGTACACAAAATTACAATTCAAATGACCATTACAGGGCCTATTATTATAAACAACACATGAGACATAAACAAATCTCGGGTATGAAGCATGCAGTTTATATGATAATAGGGATATCAACATCAAATTTTTAGAAAGGGACTACAATGTCTTAACAACGTATTTCCAGGAATACATACAAAACACTTGCTTTGCCAATTTAACAGTGAAAAGAGAACTTGTGGCAAAAATAAGATATGAAGGTAATGGAAGGGAGATCTTTGCTATTGGAAGAGGAGGGGGATCTTCAAAGCCTGAGAGTGCATTCAATTGCATAAATTTTGCTATTTCTTGGCAATATCTATAGACATTTTTGGTTCTACAGAACCTCATTTGCTTTTTTGTATAGCCGACATCATTGGTCAAAGGTTAGCCTGTATTGTGACAATTAATCTTCTATGCTGGAGCCTCTGTATAACGGACACCGTTTGGATAAGTGCAATAGCCTGTTGTATAGAGGTATCTGTTGTAAAGAGGTTCCTTTAAAAGATATAAAATCTGTCCATTGTTGAGAGGTATCCATTAATTAATTGAGGCAAAACATGTGGCAAGCTCCTGTTCAGATTTTGTATAGGACATAAGATAAGAATATTTCCGTAAACTGGCCCGTTAACTCTAATTTTGTGAAGATTTATGCAATGTGAAGCAAGAAGCCTTCTAACATTGTGATGCTGGCCAGCTTGTTGAAAATTAAAGCATTGGACTGGACTAAAGCAGCTGTGGTAGCAAGCAAGATGCGGACAGATCTGCTAATGTCTTGGATAGCGTCATTGCGAATCGGCATTGAGATTTGGTTAGGCCCAAAAGTAAACTCAGTTTTTTCAAATTCTAAACTATTCGATTAAATTACAATATTTATTTTTCAAGCCTAAAAGTGCGATGGTGTCATTCTCCGACTACTGCAACAAATCATAGTGAAATTTGAAAACTGTGTAATACGGGGCTTAATATTTCTAAATATTTAAAATTTCCTGCACAGACTAATTTCAACATGAAAATTCAAATTATATGATCGTCTTTTTGCAAATGTGAGGATAGAAAATTGACCGGGCCAGAGAATACTGTGTATTTTTAGCGTACTGATTCTGCACGTTCTGCTTGCTATAAGCATGTAACTCTGGTATTTGCGTTTTTTTGTTTGCGTGGACATTTTGTAAAGCCTATATGTTCATAGAAGTTGGTTTTATGATTTTGCGGAATCCCATTATGAGGCCATTTTGCATGGATATGAGGCGTGCACGAGGCGGGAAACTAAATTTGTCGACGACTAAATAGATTTGTTGTCGTTTTTAAAAAAATTTAGCGATGACTACAAACAGGAGAGTCGAGAGTTTGGGGAGATTGATTACAGCTGATCAAGATTCAGGCATCACTCTAACTTCTTTGGGACTTGATGAAACTGGGTGTCTGTCTACCCAAAGTGAAGTTCATTATCATTGGAGGCCATACGATGATGAACTTGATCATCGGTTCGAAGGAGTCATAATTAAATCCGTTTGCTTTAAAGAACTGGGTTTTAACATGCCATGCACGCTAGCATTGCTGGAAATACGTAAAAGGAAAGGAGGTGTTCGACTACAAGTGATTGTTTTTGCTTACATGAATGAGAATCTTGTGTATGAGAAAATAGTTGGTTTACCCTCGAATGTGTCCAATCGGTACTTCTTGACTCATGCTTTTGATATTTATAACGGTCCGACTGTTATGTTTTTCGGCAGCAGCTTCGATTTATATGTTAATACTCATAATGAGTCTACATTTACGAAAATAAATTGGAATTCAATTGATATTCCGATTGCTGTTTACAGCGGATATAGTCTACATACTGTTGCTACGAAAAAAGATACAGGAAGTTCAGTTCTAATCCTTGAGTTTTATGTTCCAAAAGTTGAAATTAAAAAATATCATGCCATTGTGGTAACACCTGATGGAAATTTTGAAAGTCCTAGCTCGAAATGCTACCATGATTCTATGCCACACAAAGATTACTGGCCAGTTTTTACAGCATTTGAATTAGTCGAATCAATTAAGGATGAAGAATCATATTCGAAGACTGATGAACAGTGCGAGGTTGTTTTATTTACAACATCAAATGGCCAATTTTTAGCATGCAAGGGATCTGACACAATATTCTGTTGCCAAATTCCACTAAAAGATTGCAACAAAATTGATTATGCTGAGGTAAAATAGAATAATTTGCAGTTTTTTTAGTTCTACAGAATTTTAATATAAGGGTAAGATAAACTTTAGCAGTTGTAAGGGTACATTCAGCTACAAGTTACATTAATATTTTAAGATTTACCCACGACATTTTTAAGCAAACAAAGTCCAAATAAGTAAACACACTATGATATTGAAAAACTTGGCTCCTGAAATTGCCTCTGAATGTTTAGAAAATCAATCAAGCTTGATGCTGATGGCATGAAATAGGGAAGGTGAGGGCTTTTAGTAAAGTTTTTGTTATCTTGCCTGGAACAATGGCTTACACAAAAGAAATCAAAAGAGCCCTGGCCCAATGGTGTGAGCTATTTCTTAGGCCTGGACAATGTAAGATAAGATGACATAACATGACATAACATAACATAACATAACATTTCATCACATTAAATTTCATTTGAACAAAAGATATCATCCTACTACATTTTTACTTGCAAAAAATAATTGCAAAAAATAGCTGTTTAGGGAAGGACACTTGGATTCTCCAGGGATGATTGGGGGATTCTTCCCTAGGTAAAGACGGCATTGTCCTACCAGGCTGACAAGCCAAAGTACCCCTTTTAACAGATTGAGGGTTTCTTTGCTTAAATCAGTTTAAACTTTGTATAATATAATATCTATATATAATATCTTATATATAAACAACAATTTTGTGTCAGTTATTTCTCATCAGTGTCAGTTATTTAGCCCAGAAGTACTGCTACATACATACATCGTACATACATACATCGTTTTTTTGTAAGGCAGTTTAGAAAAAATGGCAGCCTCACGATGACTGATATAGACCTGCAACGTAAAATTGGTATAATAAAAGAAAAAGTTAAAAAAATGAACTACTGAACTAAACTAACCTAAACGAATACTGAACTAAACCTGTAAGAAATTTAAAGCTTTGCTTTGTTAGAATATTGCTTTGCTAAATGTGAATCCTTTTGAGTTACTGCTAAAACATTATGTTTTCCAGTTGCCAAATGAAGAAAATATTGCACTTCTCACCTCAAAATCACCACACTGCTGTGTAGTTAGCATAAGACAAAGAAAGGTATGTATGGTATTTTTACCTCTGGAATTGATTCTTGTTTTTAAATGAGTTAGTGGGAGCAAATGTTAACTGAGCTTTAGGCATTGGTCTCCAGGACTAATCATGCCCCCTGTTTTTGACAGCTTGTAATCATGGTTTCATTTCCTGTGATTTTTTAACATTAGTCCACCTAGTCTTTGCCTGCTGTCTATTCTTATGACTATAATATATTCTTATGACTATGATAGTATATGTTCAGTTGCCATCCTATCTGGCTTATATCACAGTTTAAGTTAAACTTTAACATAATTAAATGCTGAAAATGACTCAACTATGTAAAAGATTTCTTCTAATCATTCATTAACAAAATTTTCCAAATATTCAGCATTTTTATCAATGCCCATGGTTAACATTATTTCTGCTTCACTATAATACCAATCCTCTCATCCTGCTCTTTTTGTTTAATCTTTTCATATCTGCATGTTCTCTATCTTATGATCTGATCATCTTTTGTTGCATTCCTCTTACTTTAAAAGTGTAAAAAATTTTAAAGTGTAATCGCTACTAGTAACAGCTGCTTAGCATCTAATTCATTATTTTTTTATATATTACTATAAAGCGTTATGTCAAGATGCAAAAACATGGTTGTTTTGGAGACATGGCTTGAACCTAGGATGGTTTGGGGGCTTGAAGCTTGGCAATTTGTCTACTTAGTTTCACATCTTTTTATTGACAGGTATTACAACATTGGGACAATGTCAAGGAAGCATTTATTGGGGATTTCTGTCAGGTTGGGCATCCACAGGTTTTGGTATTATTCCATAATAGTGAGTATTTTTCTTTTTTCTCAAAGTAGCTTATCTGGACAGAAAGTATATTGCTTAGAAAGTCTTTTATATATATAGTTAGGGAAAAGTCTTTTCAAATATTTTTGACAATTTACATTTTTCTTTCGTATGAAGTGCTACATTTTCTTCTATACATCTCAATCTCCAATTTAATTAAATTTGAGCTAGTATTTCTATTCAGTCTCATTTTTTCTATATGTCAGCTCTGTAGTAAATGAAGGGCAGCAAGCTTATGTCTAGCCATTATTGCATCCTTTTAAATAATATAATCATTTATATCAAGCTTTTGTCTTCTTTTAGTTGATGACTCAAAAGACTTGGACTTTTTTTTGACTGACTTTCATTGCTGCCAAAAGGTCAATTTTTCCTGCTTACTTTTGAAATTTTATCACATATTTGGCATATGTATCTTACATGTAATATCCCGAAAAGGCACTACCTTAACTATCAATGGAGAGTTTGCATTATGTAATAAATTGGTTCTAAAGATATTGAGCACTCTGCTATGAAAGTCTTTTTTTAAAATATGAAAATAATGTAGCTTTTTATCTTGTTTTGTTATATGTAAATAATATCTTCTTTACAGGGAACAGAATTGTCAGATACCTGTACTGAACCAAATGATCTTGTACAAAAGAGTTTTTCAGCTGTAGCCCATGCGCTTTCTACTAATTTGCAGGTACATTATCAATTTTATTTTCACTTTAAGCTATGTATATCATTTAATTAGTAGTTATCATTATTATCATTTAAAATTAATTATACCATTTAATCTATTTTTAAAATCTTTTAGTTTGAGCCATGCCTTCTTAACATCTTCCCCGAGCACAACTGAATTTCTCGAAACCTGCAAAACTAGTTATATTTGTTCAAAATTGACTTGATTTGTTTTTTGAAATACAATAAAAGGTTACTTTAATTTTGATTTGGCTAACTGTGATCGGAATTAAGACCTGATTACTTTGATTTGACGGAGAAAGAGCCCTTGTGCTTGTGGAATTATGTCAACCAATATTGGCAGCATCCAAATCATCACATGATAGCTCATTTTGTCACTGTTAAAATCATTTTATGATATTCTCACAGATTCTTTTATTAACACTGAAAAAAATCAAAAAAGTAAATCTGGTATTGTTGCTGTCCTTACTCCTTGAAATTAAGAATACAACTAAGAATTGAATGGCAGAAACCTTTTTTCATTATCTGTCTCTTTGTTCATTTAGCTGTAATGACACTTCTCTAGGTGACATTCTAGTTTTAAATGCTCAACCTTCAAACGCCTTTATTAACAGAAATTGGCATTAGAAACTGATCGGGCAGCTGCTACGTTTGAAAGAAAAGCTGATCTTATTAAAGAATCTTGGACGAATTTGAGATGCATGTCACTGAACATGGAATATAAAGTAATTTAATAAGTTTATATTTCAAAGCACCTTTTGGTTATAAATAATGTCAAATCAAATATATTTTTTATACTTATTACACATTTTCAAAAATAATGTGTGTCGTCTATAAAGATGTGTGCGTGGATTTTCTCCTCAGAATATGGATCGCGTTCTGTGAAACAAGGAATGAGCAGCACAAAATAGAATTATCCTATTATCATTAGCAATTTATCTCTACTTTAAATTTTTAAAGGCGTTTTCAAATTGCTAGTTTCATTACCGCAAAACTAGAAGATCTCATACCTCAATACTTTCCCCAAATGGATCTATGGTTCCTTTCGTCGAATCTCGTGATAATTTATAAAGTTTCTAGAGTACTTCTTTCTGTGAAATTTTTTCCAAAGACTTGTCATTTGTGGCCCTTTCTTTTTAAAGACCATATGCTTTATAATTTCAATCGATTTGCTCCCTTTTTAGGATATATTTCATTGGAAGTCCAATGCAAGTACGGTGTTGAATGAATCTATCTTTGTTTACAGGCAGGACAAGCAAGTGATCTATTGCCATTATTTGACAACGAAGACCAACTTCCCAGTGGTAAATTGATTATTCATATTCATCCATCATCACTTCCTCTTTACCTGATTCATAACCAGATTAGCTGAGTTTTTCCAAGAACTGGCACACAGAAGCTAACTATGGGTTTTTAAATTTCCCACAGACGATTGATCAGAAAAGTTTGAAAACTTTGGCTAAAGCTTCAACAAGGAAATCCACTAATGTGTTAGGCTAGTCCTTCAAAATATCATTGTGTATTCGTAATGATGACAAGCAAGTATAAAACTGAATATTTGAACAATTCTTTGAATCTTTTGTCATGGATATCATGTATAGAGAATGTCAATACACTAGCCGTTAAAAAGCCTGTTGGTAAGGGTTGTCTTGATTGCTAGAAGGGGAAAGCCTCATTAAAGGAAAACGACAGATACTAACGTGGTTTAAGCCTGTCAATCATGATTGACCAATCAATTAGCTTAATGCCATTCACATGCTTATTGATTGGCCAATGGATGAACGACCGAGTGGCTAATGCCACCTTAGTATATGTCGATTGTCTTAACCCCTAAAAACCCATTTGCGCTTTTTGTGCACCCGTGTACTTTCAAATGACATTTTATACGAATTATTTTTTTCTTTTATTGTGATGTTTTATGTCATAGGTATTAGCTCGTCCGATTGGAAAGATCCCTTTGAAGTTTTGGAGCAAAATCAATACGTCATGCTTGACAAATGGATTATATCTTTGAAATTAAAAAGCAATTTGAAAAGGTATTTTCTCCAAGTTTGAAAGATTTTTAGAGTGTTAAAGTAGGCCAATTAAAGTTAACGGGGATCAAAGAGTTAGAACATACTTCAAGATTCAATGTTCAAACATTTTATTGAGTGTGTAGATTTTGGCATCACCTCTTTTCATATTGTAACTTCATTTAATTTTGTTTCTAATATTCTAATTACTAATTGGTACCTATTCTCAAAAACACAGCAGTTTTTTGTAATTTCGACAAAAGACAAATTACTAACTGCTGGTTTGTATAAGGAGAATTTTTTGCATTTTGCATTTAACGAGTATTGCAGAGGGATTGGACATAAACAGAATAATTTTCATACGAAAGATAGTATAGTTTGATCATTTATTCTCAGGTTCAGAAAATAATCAACAGAGTAAATAAATAAAAAAAAATTTCTCAATGCCTTAAAGATCTCAGATACACCTTTCTGCTTTTACTGCACTACATAAAACGTGCACAAAGCTTTTGTATTGTAATTACGTATTTTCAATAAATTTTTGCCTTTCAAGCTCGATTAGTTCAGTCAACAGTGATTTTCCCAGCCCCTCTTTGCAACCTTCCATCTATTAGGCACTGGAGACAAGATCTATATGCTGCAGGTAAGAGTAACACTCATATGTGGGTGACTTTAGCCTAGAATCAGTGCGATTTAACACAGTTATTGATAGATTGTTCATTCGATAGATGTGTACTTGTCATTCGTTCACAGAAGCTTAAAGAATGTCAGCCTGACTCTGGTTGTTGAAGCTCAGGTTTCTCAAGCTACTATTATCCCTGCTCTTTGCGGAGAACAAAATCCAGACCAGCTATGGACTAAAAATGATAACCAAGTCCCACATCACAAGGCCAACTCGTCCATAAACTCTAACAACATTGACACATGTGGTCATGTTTTTACACTTACTGCCAAAACAGACCTACCCTTTGCAAGATTCGATAGAGCAGCGGAGGCAGTCCTTGTTGTCAATTGGCATGATTCAGATAGTGCTGACGACAATCCTGGGTTCTCATATTGTGTTGGTAAATGCTTGTTGGATACACGCTCGTTGTCACTTGGAATGTACCTACCAGACAACATTTCACAAAACAATGACGTCTTTGAACGAATAGAGGTAGGAATGAATGCATTATTTCTTTCGGATTACCTTGTAAATCCTTGAATTAGTGATCCCTAACACAGTGGAAAATTCTCTCCTGAATGAGCGCCCCTTCCCTCAAATAAGCATTTCTCGCTCAATGATAAGGTTAGGCCTAAATAGACATACTATAGACGCTCATTAAAAAAAATGGTTTGTTAGCCTTAGTACTTTTTTGAAAAAAGGAACCTATTAAACGCATCCTTCAATTATATCTGCTTTGGGTTTATTCTAGAAGACCGTTTGTGGTCTTTGAAAACTGTTGCATGGAAAAATCCATTAGTGTTATCGAAGACATTCTATTCATACAAGCAGATTTAAAAATCTGTAATGAGAAAACGTGGACTGTACGAAATGTTTCATGATATGGATGTTCCCCATAAGATGCAAATTGGGGTTTATATTGGACACAGTAAACATGGTTCAAATTTTATTTTTACGGACTTTCTCGGATGATCTTTTCAGTATAACAAAGAACTACGTTTTTGCCATTTTATGTTTGCCATCGATCTTTCTGCGTCTTTTTTCTTCAAACTGAATTTCTGTATTTGCATTTTCTTTTGAACTTTGTTCCTGCTCAGATCGTTACCAATTGATGAACGAGTCACTAAAGCACGCTCCTTGATTGAAGAACCCTCTTTATTGCGTCACCAATCATAAGTATCTCATTGCCACAAGCTCCACCCATACTCATTACTGTATAATACTTTAAGCAATAAAATCTATTATTTTATCTTGCAGATCGAGGTTCACTGTCAATGTGGCAATCTGGTGCAACTCCAAAGAAAACTTGAAGGGTCTCTTCGTGTTTTGAAATGTGACGTTGTTGCTGGTGAAGATTGCACAAAACCAAGAAAATTTCCCAAAGATTGTAACGGACAGTTGTTTATTATTCTGGCAAAATCTCAGATTTCTGCAGAAATTGACATATATGCTAGGTATCACCTTTTTACAAATATAAGATGTAGTTTTGTCGTCTTTTTGTTAAGAGCTAAAAAATCAGATAGACTGTTGTATGGCAGAGACTTCGTTTACATGGCTGTCCAAAAATTAATGTTTACAAAGCTTTTGCTCTTTAAGACCAAAACATATCTCATTTTTATTTTTAAGGTCATTTTTTTCGATTTCCATGAACATTCTTCCAATGCAAGTCAATTTGAAGAAAGTTGTCTCCCCGATAGGAAATTAGGCCGTTTCACATTTGTCATTGTCCATTAAGACTGAAACGTGGCTCATCTCAGCCAAATTTGTGTAGTTACTCCACGAACTGATTCTATCGAGGTTATATGGTTTTCTACCCTTCCTCCTAATGCCTCCTAACTATATTAATTGTTTTTCAGGAGGACGTTTGAAGCATCACAGATTCTTGCTATTGTCATTTCGTTGCTTCCCAAATGCACCAAGATAGACCTACCCCAACGGAAGTACACAGAGTTGTTAAAGAGGTTGAACCATTGTTTGTTAAAAGAGTTGGATATTTTGGAAGCCATTATCAAGTGTACAGACAACAATAACACTGCTATTATAGATTTGGAAAAATATGATCAACCGATGGATACTAATGCAGATTTAACTGATAAACAAGATTCTGTAGTGACATCATCAAAGGATAGTGTTGATAAAATACGCGCCAGTTTCAGGCGGAAGCGAAAACGAGCAGAGATGGTAATACAGAGTGCAGCCAGCGTTAAAGTGAAGTCATCAGATTATAAGAAATACCTTTGCGCAATGCAGGAAACAAACTCAGTGGCTGAACTTTTGATGATGCTGAAGTCAAAAGATTGAGAATTCGATTTTAGGTATTTGGATTTTTCTATTTTTGTACGGTATTGGATCACAACTTGCCTTGAAATTGGTCTTTATAACAATTTTATACACTTGTGGGACTGCAATAGCTAGCGATAGCAAGTGGTACGAACTGATCTCTTTTCGACATCAATGCCGTTCTCCCTTGTCGGAAAACTCAGCTGTTTACATTCCCAATGGCCTATCCTGATCTTTGTTTTATACTTGTGTTAGGTCATTGCTAATGTAGCAATATAGTGAAACCCTTTCAAGGTTCTTAGATGAATCTAGTGTCCTGGACGATGCATTGTCTGCCTTTGGCTTTCCAATAAAAAGTGAACCAAAACTTTACCCAACCGAGCATTTCTCCGAATGAATGAATGAATGAATGTATGAATGAATGAATGAATGAATGAATGAATGAATGAATGAATGAATGAATGAATGAATGAATGAATGAATGAATGAATGAATGAAAGAAAGAATGAATGAATAAATGAGTGAATGAAAAGGATCAAAGACTGGGCTGGCGATAATTCAACCTGCAAATAATGCCGCTAATTTCTTTTTATAAAGAATTTTGTTTTTTTTGTAAATAGTTGGATTGAATTATTATGCTTATAATTATTATTGTAAAATACTAACTTTAAATATGGATTAAATGAAAAGAAAAAATGAAATGAAATTAATAGATGAATAAATGAAAAAATGAATAAATAAATAAATGAATAAATTGATAAATTAATAAATGAATAGATAGAATGTTTGAATTAACGAATAAATGAAAGCAACACCAGTGGAACACAACACAATATTCGTTAAATGCTGTTCCGCGTGGCTCCAATGGTAATCAAAACGCAATCATGAAATTCTCTTCAGACAATCTCGTAGTGGTACAGCCTGGGTCGCTTAACCCCTCCTTGACAAGCGCAAAAAGTCTGTTGATTGCTGCTTGTTCTTGTGCTTGTTTTTCCTCGCCAAATCTTTTTGTTTGAAACGCTCCACAGTTTTTAAGAATGTTTTGTGAAAAATCAAGTTTACACAGTTTTTGTTGCTTAGAAAATTTGATGCATATTAAGAAAAAGTCTTGTTATTTCACATTTCAAGTTAATGTTAGTCTTGATTTTAGCTAGGTATTGATACCAAAATCTTTCAATCCTTACGAATGGGATTGTATTCATTTATTCATTCTCCAAACTGGAGCACCTTTCGGACGGATTGGATGTGAATAGGGGATTAAAACAGATGCACCTCGAGCTTTAGACGATTACCCAATGTTCTGTTAACGAATCAGGGCAAAGAGGTTTCACACGCTCTGACCATAAGCTCACTTGAATCTTCTATATTTAAAACTCGATCTTCCCCAAAGATCTTTGAAGTTTCATTAATGTTTTTATGCGGAGAAACCTGGAGGCATTTATTAAAGATAAAATATTTGTTCCAATTATTTTAGCTTAGATTCCAGAAGCGTAGTATAATACAGAACGATTTACGTGTCTTTATTTCAAAATTTGAGAGTTGTAGAATAATTTTGCGTTTGACAGGTCGAACAAGACGCTTCTAAGTTGAATTTCAAGTTTGAACCATCATCAGGGAATTGCATGTAAAGCTCTGTCTATACGAAAACAAAAACTACGAATATACAAAGAGCAATAAAACGGCCAACAGTAATTTTAGATGTATTAGAGACGTCTGCAGTGCCATATTAAAGAACTTGATAACGGGCTATGCTCGAAACGTCGTTAATTATTTTAAAAAAATTTTCCTGGTACAATTTACCTACATTGATCGTTATTTAAATCCATATTAAAGAAGCTCGAGAAGTGTTTGATTGGATTGCTTTTTGTCGCTATCTAGCACGCCCTTCATCTTGTAAAATCCAAATACAGGTGGTATGGCCTTACCATTTTTATTCGAGCTTTCAATCTCTGTTGACCTGATCGTTAATTGTTTACCAAATAATGAAAATGATCACCTTTCTTTGCTTATATTGGCTCTTTGCCGCTCTTTGCCCTGTTGATGTGATGTTTTCTGGTTGAATTCTTTGATCATATTTTTTTCTACCTGCATTCTTCTTACGATCTTCTTACTTCTTCTTTCAAAATAATTGTGTAGCCGTTTCAAAATCTCAGTTTAAAATCTCTGAGATGGTTGCGTTTGGTGGGAAAAAGTAATTTCTAAGAAAGTTAGACCAAGTCTGTGTTTTTTTAACTCACAGCAAAGTAAGCCAAATTGTAACTGGTGACGATGATTGCCCGTAATTATTGATATGGAAAAAATATGGTGTTCTTTGGTGGCCTTATTGCTATAAGGTTTGAATTCTTGTACAATAAAGAAATTATCTTTTATGAAAACAGTTTTTAATGTAACTTCAGATTTGGAATCTAGTACCTCGTTTAGGTTTATAAAAGCGTTTTAGTTAACTAATGCTGTGGTCTAAATAAACCCTTTCTCACCCCCCCCCTATATCTATCAAAAAAATTAGAGCGATTTAAAACGATCTCTTTCAATAAACACGCTTGCAAAGATCCTCATTCTAGCTAGTTACTTTTGTATCATTAAAATCTTTGATGTACCACAAAGACGATATTTAGAAATTGGTTACGGAAGGATATTTTTTTCTAAAAGGGCATTGTGGATCGATTGAAAAACACCCCTTTGAGGGAATAAGTTCGTTTGATATTTCTGTCCATTTTTCTCTTGATCGTCCCTCTCTCTCTGTTATAAAAGTAATTTGCTTTTCCAAACAGGGTATGGGCCATATAGAATCTCTTTTTTTGGCTTTTATTTACTTTTCTTTTTTTTTTCAAAATTGTCAGATTGTTGCCTTCTTATTTATTATTAAATCAAAACCATAAACAAATCACCAATATTTAAATCATATTTTAAGCAACCCCTGTATATTTTACATTCTAATCAAATTTGTTTATTATCTTGATCATGCACACTTAACCACTGTATCTTGATTTATAATTTCTGCAGCTCATCTTTTTTATATTTTATTCCTTTTTAATTTATGACATAGCACTGTTTTTGTTCTAGTTATTATTTCAGTTTACCCATTTTTTGTCCCAGTCATTCCATCTTGGCACAACTCCACAACACCCGATCTTCTGAATTCTGGCAGCATTGGGTGACAGCAAGGAACCTTCTTCTTTATAAACAGATTTCATGTGGACACATCTCTTTGGCTAGTACCAGTTTTGTCACTTAAATGTTCACTTCTAGTCGCTCTCTTTTTCTCCAAAGCATCTTTCGACCCAAGTGCATCGCTATGCACCTCTTGTGCTCTGTATTTTCTCTCTTTTCTCCAGAAGAATACTCTCTTGAAACCTTCCCTGAATTCTATGCTGAAAACGCAGTATGTGAATGGGTTCCAGGCAGAGTTTGCAAAGGCAATCAACTGAATGAACAGCCAGCATTTCCTATCGAAAAATTCAAGTTTCAAATATAAAACTCTTAAATAGACCTTGGCGAAGAAAACGGGGTAGCGCCATTCCAAGACGTTAAATTTGTTGGAAGAACTTTTTCTCGTATTTTTAGAGCTGTTAGGATAATGTTTACGACTGATTAATTTTATATCATTACACTAATGTTGATAACTAAATATCAAGTTATCCAGTTTGAATAAAAAAGAGTTGATAAGCAAGCAGATGCCTGTGGATATGCTGAAATTTGGCACCAAAAAGTTTGTTGTTCTATAAGAGGGATCTCAGCTATATTGGCTCACCCTGTCTGCATGCAAAAGTGATCTCGAATCGTTATACTGTACTGTTAATACCGAGATCTCAACGAATATAATACATTTTCACCTGCCTGCTCATCAGGCCCTAAAAATGTTACCAGGCCCTAAAAAGGGGAAAGTAGATGACAACCTGGAACTTGTTTGTATAATGACACCTCACCTTTGCATCGCACTCTTTTATGGGTTTTCATTAAAGAACATTCTATTGATATTACCGTCGACAAGAATTTCTGCCAATATTTATGCTAAGATTGGTTGAGGACACATTCTTTTGAGGTTTTAAAAATTCTGTATCACGTTAGGTTTCTAAATTATTTTAAAACACTATGACTTTATCTACTGAGCATCAAACGTACCCGACTATCCTCGGATCGCCAACATTCATTTCCTTTATTAGATACAACACAGTATAGGGAAACCATGAAGTGAAGAACAGCGATGTTGCCAGGATCATCATTTTTATGCTGCGCTTCTTTTTGCCCGACTGATCATACGCAATCGAGCTCCTCTCCCCTTTCTTGCCCCAAAGCTGCAAGATTATCTTTGAATAACAGAAAATCATGGTCAGGAAGGGGATGTGAAACCAAACAGATGCGAGCACAAATTTGTAGACCCTGTAATACACTGCAGCAGGCCAGGCAGATCTACAGTCACAGCTATTGCTAGCCACTTTGCCTCTATAGCAGTATATGGAGAACGGTGAGAGGAAGATGATGGCTGAGACCCATAAGCCGATGTTTATCCAAACGGGGTGTACGCGCCTCAGTCTGGTAACCTGGGGATGGCATATGCAAATGTAACGATCAATGCTGATGTAGCCAAGTGTTAGAACCGACGTCACCAAGAACGTGTCTATAATGTGAATGCCAAGTTTGCACCCAGCGTCACCTGTAAAAAGATATTTTTGTGGTAGTACCTGGTATAACACTTGTTCGTTTGAAGAGGGATTTTGTTTTAATCTGAGTCAGGGAAGGGTCCAGAATTTCTAGAAAAAGGATTGTAGCCAAAGGAGTTTTAGCTAGGAAGAGAGAGGATATTCCTTTTTGAGATATAAGTTCATTATTTTATTTTTACAGAAGTGATCTTGTATGGGGCTTAAGAAAAGTTTTTCCAATTTATAAAATGCTATTGTTGGGTATGCTAATGACAGTCAAATTTGCACTGCCTGCTCCCTCTCTCTTGTATTTTGGAAACTATTGAGCAAGCGTCGTTAAAAATTTTCACAGCACTCTTACAAGAACACACCCTGACCATCTGTTCATTGCTTCTTTGTTTCTTATACCTAAAAACGTGTGCAGATGCAAGCGTTTGCAAAGGAAAAATTCAGTAAATAAGGATTTTCGATGTAAATTACTTTAAAAAGTAAACTAATCAAGCCTTAAAATTGGGGCATATGTTGCTCCATTAATTAAGTTTGTTTTAGGTTTCTGGTTATTTAAAAACAGAAGGAAGTTAAGGAAATATGCTGCTGGAAATTATTTACCTTCTGAGCAAAAACCATCGAAAATGAACCCACGCTGAGGAAATAAATTTGGAAATCTAATCTAGAGTTTATTTAATCTATTTAAAAGGCTCTTTGTGTTTGTGTTTTTTTACATTAAGGTAAAACGCCTACAAACAACTTTGAAGATTCTACTGCAAGCAATCGTGCTTTTTCGTGATCAATCAATTGTTCAATCACTGACTGTACATTTAATTGCTCAAAATACTTCCTGGATTGATATACGGCTATACTGTATGTGGCTATGTGGACACGTGACGTTTGTTAGCACGTGATTGAACACTTGACTAAGTGGAGTGGGGAGAGATAGGTCCATGAAACAGAATGTGTACAAATGAATGCATTGCAAGCACAATTGAAGGGAGCGTCCAGTCTAATGAGTAGCCACATGGTCAGGTCAAGATGGATAAGTAGACATGTATGATCATTGGTATAAGATATGACCAGTTAGAATGAGAACAATTTCTTTATATAGTTGTTGATTTTTTTCAGTTGGTAAAGAACTTTTTTGTGTGTATCAAGACAATATGCATATGTATGTTGCCTCTGTAGCAGGGGCGTTCAGTCCCTTGTTAGAATTTAGAGAGATTGTGGGGTGGAGAGGGGGGGGGGGGCTCAGCGAATTAATAGTTTGAATGATTTCCAATACACTTTTGCACTAATGCAAGGTAATTAGGTATGGCAATAGGTGTAGCTTTGAGTGTGGCTTTCAGTAATAGCCTACAGCACAGCGCCGCCTCCTGGATTTTTAAGGATGGCACCCCTGCTCTGTATAACATACCCGGCAAGATTTTTTCACAAGAGATACAAATAAATATGACAGAGGACCGCATTTGTCTTGAATTGAAAAGGGATGGGTGAAATTTCCAGTCATGTTGGCAGCACTCGGGGTTAAATTTGTTTTAGGGAACTTCAGATTTGCTGGGGACAAAAATTTCAGCTTGCAGGGAAGTAGGAAAATGCTTTGGTTATTCGATTTTTCAAAAGGGGGCTCGCCAGCCAGGAAATTTCTCACTAGTGCCAGTCTTCACCAGGGTTGCTACACGGTGATGTTGAACACTGTTTTTTTGTTTTGAAATTGTGTTTTAACCATTTTCGGAAATTGCTTTTCAACTGGAGAACGATCAGATTGAGTGAAATGTTTTTTACTTTTCTGAAACCCCAAGTTAGTAATTCTCCTGCCGTTCCTGCCCAAGGATAATGTTGTAATGTTTCAGTTCTAGTAACTTTACTAGAAGTTATACATTGTTTACAATTTGTAAGAAAATCGAATCACACTTACCCATATCGACTCCAGCAGACTGCAACAGATAAACAGGTGTAAACAGTGCAAGACCCATGTCAGAAATAGATAAATTGATCAAGAAATAGTACCACCTTTTCTTTCGCATTTCTTGATTCTTCATGATTGTTATACATACCAAGATATTGCCGAGTAAGCATGTTGCTAATACGATTAGATACGCTGGCAGAACAGCAGACACATCAACCTTGATTTTATCTCGATAGTCAACTTCAGACGAATTGCTTGTATTCGCCACTGACATGATACCAAGACCCTGTGCAATATGCTTTGATTCCTAGCCGAAGTTGCAATCTCTTATTTATACTCTGGCCTGCTAACTAACGTTTCTCTTTGTCGGAATGGCGCTTTGCTTATCGAGCCTACTAGCTTGCCATTAATGATCTCAAAACAGATCGATGTCTTATATATCAGACGGTTGTTGGATTCATTTAAAAAACAATCACAGCTGCTGACACATGTAAACACGGGAGTTGTCTAGTTTCCATACTGCTCGACCTGATGACGTAATTAGTTTACCCTAACCCTAAACCTAACCCTAAACCTAAACCTAACCCTAACCCTTTACTTAAAATAATTAATCATACTAATTTATGACTATTAATCATGCTTATTTATGACTATCAGATCGAGCAGTATGGAAACCAGACAATTCCGTAAACATGATCGTGTCAACAGTTGTATAACATTAGTTGTATAACTCTCTAGATTATTGATTGGTCACGATGATTAACTAAATAGACCTCTTCTTCACTTCGAGATTACAAGAAATATCATGCAACGGGCGCGCAACTGAGCGATATCACTTACGAGCATCCTCCTTCGCTGCAAATGCAAGGCCGTTCGCTGAGCTTGGTAAACTGGTCGCATTCTTAGGTTTGCTGGTTCGTTTTGCTTTCGCTAAAGACGCGCAAAAAGTGAAACTTAACTGCAATCTTGCCTCAAAGCCTTCCTATTTCGTCTGCAAAGGAAGTCGATTCATAAAATTGAATCTATAATTTACTTGGTTTTTATTTGATTCTAGTCACAGCTTTTACAGCCAAAGAATGTTTTTATTTAATGTTCTGAAATCTATTAGTTAAAGGCCCTTATTTTCTTCTGAGCTATTAGGCCTCGTGCTGTAGTTATTATGGTAATTTATGTTAAATTATTTTGACTTATTTCTTTGTTGAACTGCGTGTAAAGCTAGACACTTTTCCTTGATCAACACCTTGAGGTAATGTGGCAAATTCTATTTTTGCTGTCTCTAGCCACCATAGTTTTGCACCACGTACCAGTTTTTTGTAAGATTGACATGATTCCAGCATCGTATTTGATGGAAAATTAATAGGCAATCCGAAGTTTAGAAAATGTAAAATTTCAGAAAATGTAATGTTTTTAGAACTATAGCCTAAATGCTTACAAATTTCCAACTGAATTTATGTTTTTCTTCATGACTCACATATCCATGAATTAGTTGTATAATGATCGTATTTAGCGTAAATATTTTAGTTGCAACTTAATTTCTATACAACATAAGACACCACTATAGGACAAACCTGCAAAACTGTAATTTGCATTATCCGTGTAAAAAAGATACATTAAGCAACAGTCGCGTGACATACTAACGTATCTAATGGACAAATTTTATTTTCGGGTATGGTCGCTGTATTGTTTTTACTCTTCTCTGTTTTTAGCTCGAGAAAAATAGGGACAATAAAGCTGTTGTTGATTGTTAAGGGAGAGGGGTTAGAATATTCTCTAACAATCGAGCATCTTACGAGTTCGTAAAACTTCTTATGAGTGCAATTTTTTCTCAGATTCTAAATTCATCTATTTTTTATTACCACCAGCTATAAAGTTGCTCTAATTGGTTGCACTTTTAGTCACCCATCTTGATACGTTGTTTTCGTCTTGATTTGTTGCCCTCTGTTGCTTATTTCTTGTTGATTCTTCAATCCTTTTATCAATATTTCTGATTAATCCCTTCATTATTTAGAAAAGCAATCTTTTCAAACATCTTTGCCGAAAATACAATGAACGGGTTGCAATTTTGGAAAGTTATCAACTGCACAAAGAATGATAATTTCTTCAATAAATAATACAATGTATGAATTCTAATAGTTTCTTGGTGACTTCATGTTTTTTAGGCTTAATCTATTCTAAGAACTGTAATTCAACATAATTCTATTGGTTTTTCCTTACGCTTTTGCTGAGAACCAGAACAGCTGTAATCGATACATTTCAATGCTTCTGACGTTGAAGATATTAACCTTAACTCTTGTTTGCTTAAATGAAGGAAACACACAGTATTTCTCTTATCTTAAACATAAATTTTTCTCTCGTTGGGTGTTAAGCTTGTTGTCTTTAAAATCTTATGGAGCTAAAGTTTGAACTTGTATGCCGCGAGTGACATTGTCACTGCTGGTCTCGGATTCTTATGTACGTGTATACATCTATTTTTATGAGAAACATCGAAAGTTTTAGATACTGAAACGTTCTTTAAAGTTTGACTTCAGGACACAAAAAATTGTTATAATGCAGAAATTTCACCTTAAATGTTTGAGATTTCTTGTTCCTAACTTAAACACATATTAACGAATTTAATGATATCATAAACTTCAATTGTCAATTTTTAATGTCTCTAAGTTTAAATGCTGAATCTATTAAAATTATCACTTCAATAAATAGTGGCTTTGGAGTGTAAAGTTTCTTATCCTTCTTAAACGAGCAATGTAAGTTTACGAAAAGCTTTTGCAATTCCAGAGTTTTTTGCTGACAGTGTCTCTTCTAACTTCCTTCTGTCGTGTTTTCTTTTTGTGTAGGTTATTTGCTTCGATTATTTCTACTTTCAATTTTGTTTTCTTCTTCATGATATGCCGCCACATCATTTCTTCTCCAAAAGAAAATTCTCTTGTATCCTTTTCTGAAATCTTTGCTGAATACACAATAGGTGAACGGGTTCCATGCTGAATTGGTAAATGCTATCAGCTGTACGAAGAGCAAGAACTTTCTGCGAAAATAAGAAAAAGGTTTAAAGATAAGGAAATAAAAAACTTTCGTAACTGATAGGAGCCACATAAAAGTCAACAGGTGTTGCACAACCTTCCGTTCTTGGTCCATTGCTCCTTAAACAAGGAGCTAAAGTTTTAGAGTTTTACATCAAGAAGATTTGTACGTACCCAATAATACTTGGATTTCCAACTTTCATTTCCTTTATAAGATACAAAACAGTGTAAGGAAACCATGAAATGAAGAACAAAGATGTTGCCAAAATCATCATCTTAATGCTTTTAATCTTTTTGCCAGATTTGTCTTCACCGATGGAACTCTTTTGCCCTTTTTTACCCCAGAGTCGGACAATGATCTTTGAGTAACAGAAAACCATTGTTATAAATGGGATATAGAAGCCCACAAAGACGATTGAAAAATTGTAGATTCTGTATTGACTAGGGTATGGCCATGCTGTGCAGCAGTCACAACTGTTCTCTGTGGTGGAGCTCTTTTTACAGTATATCAGAAATGGGCATAGGAAAATCGTTCCAAATAGCCAAATAGCTGCAATAACCCGAACTGGGCTTACGCGATTTGTGTAGCCAAGGGAGGGGTAACAGATGCACATGAAACGATCAACGCTGATGTATGCAAGTGTTAGGGTTGACGTCAACATGAACACATCAATAATGTGGATTCCAAGTTTGCAACCAGCATCGCCTGCAAAATGAAAATTTAGGGTAGTTTTTTTTAGTTTGAAATGTATTCAGGTGGCCAAAAAGGGTTGTTCTCAACTTCACTGCTGGGAATTTTGCTTTATTTAAAAACAGACGGCAACAAGACATGATCACGCGTTTACACTACAAGGAGTTGTGTTGAGAGGGACTCGAAAGTCTTACCCCCCTGAAATATCAACAGATTTCGGGGGCTTAGCCCCCCTGAGCAAGTTTATGTCAGGCTGGCCGAATTCCTTACTTGACATTACTAGCCTAACCCTTTATTTTATCAACATGAACATATATTAAACATCAGAATAAGCAGTTCTCATCGGTCTTTGAAAGGAGCCACGATGAAGCTATTGAAGAATTTGAATTTTTTATTCCCAGCTAAATCTGTCAACTATGGCTAAAAGGTGAAATCATTTTTGTAGAGGCCTTACGAGAGGTATAAGTTTGAATACAAAACATTTTCCTCGTGTAAGGAAAACGTTGCAGACCCCAGAAAAGAGCTGTTGAAAGATTTCTTATCAAAATATATCGAACACCGTCCATATCAGTTGCGTGACAGCTGGAAGAGGAGATCCCATACTTTTTGTTCTTCTTCGCAATTTCTGTTCTTCTTCGCAATTTCTCTCTCCAGTTCTTACTTCTTATTACTCTCAGAGTCACTGGTACCTAGAGTGTTCAAGAATGGATGGCAAAGCAAACTTTTTCTAAGAGTACACCTTGAGACATAATGGAGTTTGATTTGTCAGTTCTAATGTTTCTGGTCGTAGGAAGACACTTATAATCCGGAACATACATCCAAACACAATCAGTAGCGTTATATTATTGCTTACATAATAAGATTCAATTGCTTTCCTTGCTTTTAAACTTTTCCTGTTACCTTCTGATCGACTTTGATTTTGAATTATTTTACATATAGGCAAACAAAAGGTACATTGCAAGTTTATAGGGTGTGGTCTAGGACATGACATTTGGATGTTGCCTACAACGCAGTCTACTCCTAATTATTTAGGAACTATGCTCTATGTCATTTACGTTTAGAGCAAAATTCATCGAAAGTGAACCCACGCTAAGGAAATAATTTGGAAAACTGATCTGGAGTTTATTTGATCTATTAAAGGGGTCCTTGTGTTTGTGTTTTTTTTTACATTAAGGTAAAACGCTTATAAACAACGTAGAAGATGATTCCGCAAGCAATCGTGCTTTTTCGTGATCTGTCAACACTGACTGTACATTTGATAATTGTTCAAAATACTTCCTCGAAAGACTTATGGCTGTACTGAATATGGCATGGTAAAGAAAGTAAATTGACCAGATTCTATGTTTGCCGAATGTGAGCACGCGATTAATCACGTGATTTTGTCTTAATCACGTGACGGGTGCATGAAACTAAGTTTGGAAAAACGAATGAATTTTATATTCGAGGTATGAATTTTAAAAAAAGCCACCGATAAGAAATGATAGAAACGATGTATGATAATATATGTATGATAGTAATTATATTTGTTATCAATTCAGAAATAACCTTTTGGTGTGTATTAAGACAAAATTTCCAGATGAAATGAGGACAAGCCTTTGTTTATGGAAGATCACTGGAGCTGCGGGGGCATTTCTCTCCTATTAGTATGTTATAGTTGTTTAATGTTATTAGTAACTTTACTAGAAATTATACAGTGTTTGTTGGAGAATCGATGTGTAAGCCACTTACCCATATCGACTCCAGCAGACTGCAACAGATGAACAGGTGTAAACAGTGCAAAACCCATGTCAGAAATAGATAAATTGATCAAGAAATAGTACCATCTTTTCTTTCGCATTTCTTGATTCTTCATGATTGTTATACATACCAAGATATTGCCGAGTAAGCATGTTGCTAATACGATCAGATACGCTGGCAGGACAGCAATCGCATCAACTTTGATTTTGTCTCGATAGTCAACTTCAGACGAATTGCTTGTATTCGCCACTGACATGATACCAAGACCCTGTGCAATATGCTTTGATTCCTAGCCGAAGTTGCAACCTCTAATTTATACTCTGGCCTGCTAACTAAAAACTCTCTTTGTCAGAATGGCACTTTGCTTGTCAAGCCAACCATTCTATTGATCATATTCTTGAGTATGATATCTTGTGTTGTCCTAGATGAATTGATTTCTTAAATACCCGACTTCTAATAGGCTTGTTGAGAAAGCAATTGCAGCTGCTGAGACGAGTAAACATTCCAAATTTAATAGTATAACTCTCAAGATTATTGATTGGTCACTATAATTTTATGGATAGACCTCTTCTTCATATCGAGATTGCAAAAGTATCATGCAACGGGCGCGCAACTGAGCGATATCACTTACGAGCATCCTCCTTCGCTGCAAATGCAAGGCTGTTCACTGAGCTTGGTAGTTCAACTCAGTAAAACTTCAAAGAATGACTAGTTGCATTCATAGGCTCACTGACTCATTGGGCCTTCGCATTTGTGATCGGTATATTTCAGTGCATACGAAGAGAAGATGTTAACCTTATCTCTGTTTGTTTAAATGAAGAAAACACAGAGCTCTTAAACATTACTTTTCTTTCGTTGGATGTTAAGTCTTGATGTCTCCAAGATCTTTGAAGCTAAACTTTGAACTTCTATGCCGCGAGTGACATTGTCACTGCTTGTCTCGGATTTTTATGTACGTGTATACACATAATTTTATGAAAAGCTTGGAAAATTTTCTTTACTGAAGCTTTCCTAAAAGTTTGATTTCAGGTAACACAAAAAGTCCTTCAGGTAACACAAGAATTTCACCTTTACTGTTTGAGATTTCTCATTCATAACATCAACTAATATTAGCAAATTTAGAATATCATAAACTTAAATTGTCAATTTTCCATGTTCCCAAGTTTAAATCCAAAACTATTAACGATTATCACATGAATAAAATATGGCTTTAAAATTTAAAGTTTTGTTATCCTTTATTAACGAGCAATGTGAGTTTAAAAAATGCTTTTGCAATTCCAGTGCTGGGTATTTGTTAACAGTGTCTCGCGGGTCTGCTGAAATTTCCATTCATGCAGCGAGTCGAAATGCAGATCATGGCTAACTAATTTTGAAAATAAGATTTGGTAATTCTAGTTTTCATTAATTTCAGTCAGCTGAATAAATATTCAATCTTCTATCACAAAAGAATTAATCATTTTTGCAATTTCGTTGTTATCTTTGTTTGTAAGGTGTTTATTTTAAGATTGGGTCCGTGCTACACCGACTAGTTGGAAAAGCGTCAAAATAAAATTTTGTCCCTAAAATAAAATAAACTCATTGGTTAATCTTAAGGACGTAGTTTTTTATTTGGGCATTAGAAGCCTTTCGACAAACGTTTTTTTTCTTGAAATGTTTACTTCCTTTCAAATTGAGCCAAATATTGTTATTTTCAAATGATAGTTCCATATATATATATACATATATATGTACTTCATAGTGTTTTCTATCTTAAAAATTAGTGACCTTTGCCACGTATTCTATCATTCTTGGATCGGTTGTCTAAAAAACCTTTTCAAGGGAAGAGTTTTGGACTTTACCGCCATTTTTAATTATCAAGATGTTTAATCGGGCAAACTTTTATTTTTCTCGCTTTATGTTCTACTTTCGTGTTTGTTGCTTTGCCTCGGTTATTTCTGATATTAACTTTGTTTTCTTCTTCATGATTTGCTGCCATTTCACTTCTTCTCCAAAAGCAAATTTTCCTGAATCCTCTTCTGAAATCTTTGCTGAATACACAATAGGTGAACGGGTTCCATGCTGAATTGGTAAATGCTATCAGCTGTACGAAGAGCAAGAACTTTCTGCGAAAATATGAAAAGGTTTTAGGATAAGGAGATAGAAATCAATTTTCATGTTTTGTAAGTGGTAGGAGCCACTTGAGATTTTCGTTTTTAATATATAAGGTATTATTTCCCGACGTCCAAATAATTTTATATAAGCAGCCTCCTTTCAAAGAAAATTAAAAAGTTTGGTATATTACTTTAAATGGCTTTGAAAAAAGCAAACATTTAGTAAACTAAAGCTTTTCGTCTGACACTCTTCAGAGTTTAAAACGTCAGAACATAGATCGAAAACTCTACGCTAAGAAATATATATACCCGGTTTTGGATCGAAATAGGCCAATCAGAAACACGAGCACATGACTGTATAGGTTGACCAATTAGTGCCGCTTGCCTATTTGAATGTTATTAGTGGAGTCCTAAGGTGAAAACGAACTCCTTTTGTCTACACAGTGGCGGTTTTTTCGTGCTTATCTAGATAGATTCTAAAACTGCTAGGTGGAACGACGATCGGGCCTTACCAATTATCCACATCACAGTGAAATGAAAGTTTACCTGTCTAAGAATGTCTTGTAGTATATAATTAAAAGATATGAATTTGCTAGTAGTATCTATTCTGTTTGGCGATTTTTATTTTCCAATGTTTTGTATGCCATCCTGTCTCTCTAAAATTGTTTTCGGGTTAAATACACTGTCAATTATCTTGCCTTATGGCGCGAGTGCATATCACTCACCCAATTAATTTTGGATTGCCAGCTTCCATTTCTTTAAGTAAATGTAAGGTGGAGAAGGGAAACCATGAAATAAAGAACAGTGTAGTTGCCAGAATCATCATCTTTATGCTGCGCTTCTTTTTGCCAGATTGGTCAATCTCGACTGCTCCCCTGTCACCAGTTTTTCCCAACAGTCGAAGGGTTACCATTGTGTAGCAGAATACCATTATTAAAAATGGAATGTAAAACCCCACGACAACCAGTGCGAACTGGTAGACTTTACGCTGATCAAGGGACGGGTACCCTGTGCGGCATTCGCAACTACCAGCACCGGTCTTTCCTCTTTGGCAATACATAGACATAGGCAACAGGACGATGCCTACAGATATCCACATAGGCACAATAACCCATACTGGATGTAGATTCTTTATATACCCTATTTTTGGGTGGCAAATGCATATATACCGATTAATGCTGATGTAGGCGAGAGTCAAGGTTGACATCATAATTGTTGTATTTGTCACGTGGAAGCTAAACTTGCACCCAACGTCACCTAGAAATCAAAAAAATGTTAGAAGCTGTGACAGTTTTCATATAACCCTTTATTGTTAATCGTGATTCCTTAAAATGCAAAAGAATTTGACAGTGAAAGTTATGTACAGTTGTTGCAGCTTTGTAGCCATTTTGCACGTCATATTTTAGAATAGGCCCGAGATTTCATTATTGTTGTGCACCATGAATAAGTTTGTTTTTCAGGCAGTCTGATTTTTAGGCTGAGGGGCTCTAGATAGATTTGGCCTACAGTTTTTCGAATGCTGGCAGAGTGGGTGTTTGCTTGCACTTGAGTCGACTGTAGGCGATGTGGACCCGTGGTGAAAGTTTGAACCAAATTTCGTGCTGCAGAAATTGTTTATGTATATAACTATATGTGTTTATATGCTAATTCTCCACATGCTAATATGCATCTAGTGAGCTTTGAAGGTAAAGCTGAAGGGAAGAATGTTTTTTGTGGAATGAGCTTTGAGTCTGTAATTGCAGGTTATAATTGTAAAAAAAATGACCACTTGAGCCACATTAAAGGTTTGGTTAAAGCCTACAAACTGTGTTGTTATGAGCGTGAACTGTTTGTTATGAAATCATGCTTGCGTCCCGTTTATAAGTGATAATGTATTTCTTCACCTGCATGCAAATTCGATTGATTACTGTAAGAGGCAATTACTGGTGTTTGATCAATTATACTGCCAGCTGCAACGAAGGATAATTTTCATCCTTTTGTGAGTGACCATGACAGGCAGATTGTTGAGGGAAGGGGATATTAAAAAAATGAAAAACTGACTCCACTAACTAAAAATATCGTTCAGTATAGGCAGAAACTGTAAAGCTTTACTTTAGAATAAATTCCGGTTGAAATCAGAAATAGAGGCTACAGAATTTCATTTTAATTAAAGATTCATTTTTGAAGCAGAAATTAAATTTTCTATCAAATTTCCAAAAATGTAATATTTTTTTTTATTCTAACTCTAAATGTTTATTATGTTTTTCTCTTTCAAAACTCCCTTTAATTTAACATGACTATCCAGGGGGGCTGTTTTCTTTATTAGTTTACCTATTATCAATAATCATAGTAAAAAACTAAACTAACCATAAAATTTATACATTCTATTTTCTTTAAATAAAACTTTAATTGTTTTAAGTATGATTGTATTGGTTATTTATGCATTTCAATGTAAATGTTTTGTTTAATTTTAGATTCTGAACATGACTGGAATGTTTTTAAAGTATGGAAATATTGCTTTTGTTGTAGGTTTTACAGAAAGAGAGAGACGGCGTGGCAAAATTCACCTGAAGTAAATTAGGCCTATTGAAAAGTTCAGTTCTGTTGGATTTAGTTCAGCACTAAGGAGACTCGTGATGGTGTTAGCCATTAGAAGGAAATCTCGTGTCTCCTGTCTCCTCAACACTTTAAAAAGTTTGGACTAAACTGAAACCTGGGTCAAATGAAGAATTCAAAAGATAGGTACCAAAACATCATAATGGGATTTTTCTTTTGAAAGGGGTAAAAGGTAAGCAAATGTCCGGAAATGCAAGGTATACTGCATAATATCAATCTTAGCCAATTTCTTTAAACAGCATGGAATGTTATTCAGAATAGTTTTCACTATATATTTTAAAATGTACTGTATATCTAAATCCACGAAAGAACATCCTCTGGAGTCAAATTGCGTCGTGCTTACAACAAAATTCACTGAATTTCTATTCCTTACGTATTTCTCGACTTTTAAGAGAAAACTTACCTGTTTAATTAACTGTTTTAGTGTTTAATTAATTTATCAATTAAGTAATTGATGAATTAAGCTTTCGTTTTCATGTGTTTAATTGCAGCTAATTTCGATGATATTCTCATAGCAATATTTATTCTTCGACACATTGGGTATTCGATCAATATACTTGAAAGTATTTCTTGTCAAAAAAGCCTTCCGTTATAGGCACTAGATTCTGATAGAGAAAGCTTTTAATAGTTAACTTAGACTTTGAGATTTATTTACATTCAAAACTGGTAAATAGCAAATAATATCTTCAGGACTGCATAGAAAAACTCAAAAATTTGCAAAGGCACGGAGCAAATATTTGTTTTAGAGTAAAAACATTTTGAAAATGTTCCAGTTTTGTTTTCGTCTCGACCACAAAAAAGAATAATTTACTTTATGTTATACAATACTATAAAGAATGTATTTCTATATAAAACACAAGTAACATACCAATATCAATCCCAGCTGACATAATCAAGTGCATTGGGGTTGTCAACGTTAACGCTATGTCAGTAATGGATAGATTCACCAAGAATAAGTACCATCTTTTCCTTCTCATTTCTTGATTCTTCAGTACGGTGACGCAGACAAGGCCATTACCAACCAAGCAGACAGCTAGGACAATTAAATAGAATGGCACAATAACACTCACATTAACTTTGATATTTTCATGATAATTTTCTGCAGTTCTGTTCATGTTGTTTTCGTCTATACCGTTTTCAAGTTGTCCCTGATTCGTTCTCGTTCAATTTTCTACGCTGAATCTACTCTGAATTGGTTATTCATTCATTTCATTCATTCGTTTTCCTTATAATCGAAAGCAAATGGTTTTTGTTCTGAGCGCGATTCCAGTAAATATTGTCTTGGTTTTCCTTAACTGTCTTTAATTTAAACAAATATAAAAGTTTCGTGCTGCATCTCAGCTGTGCTTTAAAAGCAAATGATTTAACAAGTAGAAAATTGGCGTTATAAGAGGGGTGTGCGGAGGAGCGAGCGTAGCAAAGTCAGTTTACCTTGCTCCCTTCTGTTTGTGTTCCTTTAAATTCTGTACTGCAGATCGTTGATTAAGCCCCTCAAATGGCTTATTAATTGTTAAATTGACTTCTTAGATGCGGGTATATTCGAGAAGGGCCTTAAAAATCGTCTCATTTGCAATTTTACTCAATACTTCTTTCTTAGATATCAACCAAAGTATAAATCAAAGCACAAAGTTTTATTTTAGTCCAAACTCGTCTTCAAGGTCTCGTTTATTAAGTTTTTCATTCGCCGCTAAATGTGTTATCAATCATGAAGTAAAATTCTGTATCTTACTTTGTATCTCGATTAAGCCCCTATGGGGGTTTATTAACATGCAAAAAATTGGGATATTTGGGTGGAGGCTTATTCGAGGGTGGGGGCTTATTGAAAATTTTTCCTTCAAGGGGAGAGCTTATAGGGGGGTATAGGGGGGGGGGTTGATGAAATTTTAAACGCTAACTGTGAATTCAAACTCTCAGTAATACTCCATTTTCTTAATCTGTCGTATTTACACTATGATTTTTGTTTTAGCAAGTCAAATTCATGATACTGTTGCCGGGAAGTTTCTTGTACAACGAACATAAGCACGTGCAAAGCGAAGCTGAACAGGAGGTAGCTACATAATCTTAGTTTTCAGTTATCAATCATGAACCAAAATGGGTTTTGTGTTAGTCTAGAGAGCGACCAGATCTCCAGCTCTTGCTTACCTTAAAGCCTGATACAGTTCTGATCCAAAAATGTAAGAATAATATGAAAAGAGGAAACAGTTTAGCCAAAGGTATATCCATTTTTACTTGTATACTTTGAATTATATTAAATACAAATCAAATCAAATCAAATCAAATTGAATCATCGTCAAATCAAATCAAATCGAATCATCATCAAATAAAATCAAATCGAATCGTCATCAAATCAAATCATCATCAAATATGCATTGAAGATACTCCCAGCCAGCGTATTTTCTAATATTCATCCTAAACTTCTCACACAACATCATTATACAAGCTAGAGCTGTGTGAAAAAATATGATGCAACTTTCAGATAAAAAATGTATAAAATTACATTGAAATAACTGTTACAGCAACCTTAACGATAGAATTTTTCACTTTACAGGAGAAATAGGCATCCGTATAAGTTTTCTTTTTTTAAAGTCAAGCAACATTTGCATCAGGTTTTCCGGCTTTTTTCATTTAAGAATTTCAGTTTGTATCCAATGGTGTGTCTTAAAAAATATTTTAGAATATAAAAGTCTCGTTTATATGCCAAAGCTGAATATAAGCATAGTATACAGGTATTGAAGAGAATACTCTGAAAGCCAGTACAATACTTGATGAAGGCCGTGCAGAAAACAAGATGATAACAAATAAGAAGCCATTTACCTTTGTTATATCAATACGCTATGAAACTATGTAAAAGGCATAAAGTTTTACTTCCTTCAAAAATGAATGCCTTGAGTACGCAAGACAATCCATCCAGCTGCCTCATTGCACTTATTATTGAGCAACATCCCTTATGTCTAGACCTTCTTACTAGAAAGCCTTTCCAACTATACAATAAACAAATCATCTGACTTGATATCACACTTAGCAGCAGGCACTAACTGTCCAAGTTAAAATAGCCAGAATTGTCGATGCCCCTGGACTTCATTCGTTGTTAATTGAGTACTTTTTGTTCCCCTATTTAGTAATAACAGACTGAATGCTACTGGCTACACAGATGAAAATTAGACTGTATTGTCTATGTCTTTTTTATTCTTCCGTACTTGCAAATTTCACTCCCAATGCAAATCCCACTTAAAAATTACAAGACTTCACTCTCTGTTCTTCTGCTTGCCGTGTCGCTCTCTTCATTGCTGTTTTTCACTTCAGGTTCCCTCTGTCTCAACCGCCTGTCAACATTTTCTTTTTTACTGCCATCTTTTCTCCAGAAGAAGATTCTCTTGAATCCTTTTCTGAAATCTTGACTGAAAACGCAGTAGGTGAAAGGGTTCCATGCTGAATTAGTGAATGCAATTAATTGAACAAACAGCCAAACTTTTCTGCAATGAAAAAACAATTCATAGTTGTATTAATAACACTGAATTTCAGTTTTGACCATTTTTAGATTATCCTTTTGAAGATTTACCGTTACAAATGGGCTGTTATTTTTGTGTTAAGTTTCATTGATAAATTACAAACAACTACATCATTGCGTGGCATCAGAGATTTTTTTACATGGACGTGTTCTAAAAACGACTTTTTCATAATCTTTTTGCGGTTTCACTATCAACCATTAACCCTAATCTTTTGTTAGATCATTTTGGTAAAATTTTTCAAAGAAGCAGAAAATCGGACGAGATTTTGACCAGGCGAGGTGTAACTTCTGCAGTCCTTAGCTTTCTAGATTTAATAAAAAAATACAAAAGAGATTTTATGATCATTTTTTTCGTATGTGTTAGGTTTTATATCGGGGCTATGTGGATCCGTAATCACAAAATCTAAATGAAACCTTTTGTGGGAAAATACCACAGTTTCAAAGTTAGTGCAGCATCGTTGATAGGTTAGAGCTTAACAGAAATCTTTGCTTGGATTTGGTGGTTTCGATTTGGTGGCAATTCATTATTTCTCTGTGATTCTCCTCAAGGTCAACATGTGTTGCACAACCTTCCGTTCTTGGCCCTTTGCTTCTTAAACAAGGAGCTAAAGTTTTAGAGTTTTACATCAAGAAGATTTGTACGTACCCAATAATACTTGGATTTCCAACTTTCATTTCCTTTATAAGATACAAAACAGTGTAAGGAAACCATGAAATGAAGAACAAAGATGTTGCTAAAATCATCATCTTAATGCTTTTCTTCTTTTTGCCAGATTTGTCTTTACCAATGGAACTTTTGCTTTCTTTTGTACCCCAGAGTCGACCAATGATCTTTGAGTAACAGAAAACCATTGTAATAAATGGGATATAGAAGCCCACAAAGACGATTGAAAAATTGTAGATTCTGTTTTGACTAGGAGATGGCCATGCTGTGCGGCAGTCACAACTGTTCTCTATGGTGGAGCTCTTTTTACAGTATATCAGAAATGGGCATAGGAAAATCGTTCCAAATAGCCAAATAGCTGCAATAACCCGAACTGGGCTTACGCGATTTGTGTAGCCAAGTGAGGGGTAACAGATGCACATGAAACGATCAACGCTGATGTATGCAAGTGTTAGGGTTGACGTCAACATGAACACGTCAATGATGTGGATTCCAAGTTTGCAACCAGCATCGCCTGCAAAATGAAAATTTAGGGTAGTTTTTTTTAGCTTGAAATGTATTCAGTTGGCCGAGAAGGGTTGTTCACAGGCTTTATTTTTTGACATATTATGATCTTTTTAATGAAAAGTGATACGAAAATATCTTTGAGAAAAGCATACACTTTGTAACATACTGAAGCTGTTCGCAGTGGCGGACACTTGGGGGGGGCGAGGGGGGCGACGGCCCCCCAATACTTTAGAGGACAATGGTCTTTTGTTTGAGAACAATGGGAAATGTGACGTCATCTTATTAAAACAATAGGCTTGCCCCCCCCAATATTTGACCAAGTGTCCGCCCCTGGCTGTTCGTCTGACACTCTTCAAAGTATAAACGTCCAAGTTTCAGATGAAAAGCTCTGGTTTGTTTCAAAATTTTTTCTCTTTTCAAAGCCATTTTTAAAGGACAAGTGACACACTTTTCACCCTATCTTTTCTTTTCATTAACTTATAGATCATCGTTTAGAAGTAAGTTTTTCCTGGTTTAGAACAAAAAATTATAATCAGGGGGCGCAGGGGGCGCGATTTCGCTTTTTATCACGTGACCATATGACGTACATTGTGATAACTCGGAATTTTCCTGTCATTATTAGAGAGTCTACAAAACACGACGCAACAGTTCCAGACGAACTAAATTCGTTTAGAAGCGTGTTGTAAACATTAATATTGCACTGTATACAATAACAAGCAATAACAAATTATCACAATCTACGTCACGGTGTCACGTGATTCATTTCCCGCCATAATTTTAAAAGGGTTTTTAAGTAGGAAAATGAAATCAGAAAGGAAAAATATTTCAACAACACTCTCATACAGCATTTTACTTTAAGTTAAAAGAAAAAAAAAATTTGGCGCCAAAAGCGTGTCACTTGTCCTTTAAGTTGGATACCACTAACAATTGTTTGAAAATATCTTGGATTAAAGACAACGAAAATAAGTCAATCATGTGTAACCATGACAAAAGGGTATTGTTGAAAGGGGAATCGAGGGGCTTTTGGGCTTTTAGCCCGATTGTTGAATTTCCGAATGATTTCGGGGGCTTAGTTATCATTATTGTTAAAGTTTAAGTCCTTAACTATAGCACATAAATGTATGCTAAGGGCCTTTTTAAAGAAACATAAGAAAGATTATTACAAATTATGAGCAATACTGAAGAAGTGCATAAAACCAAATAAGAGGTAGAAACAGACCCTGAAATAGTTTTGATTATAAAAGTTAACTTGATTACCATGTGAATGTTTATTTGTCAGTCCTGTATCTTTCATCTGTTCATATTTCCTATGGATTGGACTCGTTAAGGTATATTAATAAGTAGCTTAACCCTAAATATATTTTTACTCGTTTTTACTCTAATCCTAAACCAAAAAAGGAGTGCTGAGCTAACCTTTTCTAAGTTTTTGCTTTTTAACTTAGTTTAGTTTTTTAATCTGCTTTAATTTCAAATGATTTTACCTCACATACACAACAGAGAGAGAGAGACGCATTGCTATCACAAATGCAAGTTTATGTGGTGTGATCAAGGGCGTAACGTTTTGGTGCTGCCTGCACCACAGCCCACTCCTAATTTTAAGACAGCACCCCTATAATGACAACAATCTGACATCTAGGTAAATGTTTTGGATAAGTGTTATAATATCCAGGGTATAGTCAGGAATGCTGGAGGGGGCAGGGGGTCAACCACCCCTGTTGCCTTTTGATAGGTGGGACAAGGGGGGCCAAAGTGCTCTTTTCATAGAAGTGCCATTAGTTTGTAATTATCAAAAGATTCATATGAAATTCTGACTGTACTGCCTTTATTTCGTGACGTCAAATTTTCAAAACTTGTAAAAGAAACTTCGATTTTCAAGATACCTACAGAAGATCGAAACAAAATGACAGTTACGAAAGAAATTTTGGTACCTTGGGATTGTTTTAAAATGCTCTTTTACTGAAGCCTTCCCCCCCTTGCTCCTTGGTCGTTCCAGCGTCCCTGGGTACAGTCCAGTGTTAGAAATTTAATGATCTGGGCAGATTGTAACTTTCCATTGTAATTGTTATTTCAATTGTAAAATAAAGATAGGATTCAAAGATTCTGAAAATTATAAATATTCCAGACAAGTGAAAAGTGGTGGAATTTTTTAAGGAAATCTTATGTTGCTATTGTTTTACACTAAAGTTCTTTCTCTCGTCCCATTCTCCAATTTCAAGCTTTTCTAGTTTCTTTCCAGCCCCCTAGAATGACTGGTAGAGGGGTCGATATTAATCCTTACCTCGGACTTCCACTTCCTCCATTCCATCCCTTTTAAAACCCTGCCTACATCACTTGGCAACGTTTATGACACGGATAAGATATGACACGGATCACGAAGTTATCCAGTTAGTATATGGAAATCTGAAAACCCTTTTAAAACCATGCCATGCAAAGATATTGGGATAAATTATAATCCCGCTTGTGTATTCATTATCATATGCGAAAAGAAGACACAGCCAGACACGCACACGTAACATACCCATGTCAATCCCAGCCGATTGCAGCAGATGCACTGGTGTTATTAAGGCAAATCCCATGTCCGCGATAGCCAAATTCATCAAGAAATAGTACCACCTCTTTTTTCTCATTTCATTGTTTTTCATAACTGTAACACACACCAATATATTCCCAATCAGACAGGCCGCGAGCACGATCACATAAACAGGCAACACTGCATTCACGTCGACCTTGACTTGGTCAAGATACTTCTTTCCATCGCCAGTTGTGTTTGTTTTGTTGTTTGGGTCAAGAGCTACACTCAAAAGCAAACCATCCTTGTAGTCCAAGAATTCCATAACGACCTTGCAAAGCTTACAGTCGGTGTGGTGTTTCTTTTACCAAATTTTTTCTGCCACCTTACTTGGAGCTGCTGGAAACAAATCACTTCCGTGTTCGACTAAACCGTTGTTGTCACTTCCTCTCCTCGTATTGATTTTCACCACTAATTCTTACAGGGAGGGGGGCGGGGGGGGGGCCGTGATGGTTGAGAACTTTACACCAGCTAGATAATAGACCAATTCACCAATTTCACTCTAGCCTTGAGAAAATCAATACAGCGTCTTTCGTCAATATATCTGTAAGACCAAATTGACAACAGTTCGCATTCAATCAGACTGTCAAATGTCAAGTACCAAATTAGCCTGAGATCAGGCTCTCGGGGCGGAGGTGGCGAGGGCGGAAGAGGGAAAAGGTCTTTTTTTCCTTTCTTTTTCTTATTTTTCTATTTTTCCATCCGAGCCTGATCTCAGGCTAGTACCAAATAAGATCAAATCGTTTTTTATCAAAATTTATGAGCAATGATGTTTGCAACAAAAACATTATTTTTATCTCCGGGGTACACCGCTTAGCTGAAATGTTAACTCTATTGATCCCTTGTTTCTATATATTCTAAATACTCATAAAAATCAAGTTGTAAACGAAATGAGCTCAACGTGATTGAAAAATTTTGAAATAAAATTTCCTCATGTCACTTATTTTATCTATATAATTTAATTGCTCAATGTAAATGTAAATTTTGTTCTGCTATATTGTAAGCTAAAAAAATAATGGAATATTATTGAATATAACATTTCGTGGTTAGCCTTGCGTTTTTTTATAATTCACATTTCTTTTGTTACAGATAATCGCTAACATTTTTCTTTGAGAATGAAAGCGATCAATGTAAGATGTTTGTATTGGTCAATCTGTTCCAAGCTATAAGTAAATGAGGCAAAATATTGAAATCTTAGAATGCGTTTAGGAAGTGAATAGATATGTTGATCTCCTCGAAATTTCGTTTAGGAATTGAAAAATTATCGTGCCTAATGTTTTTTGAGAAAATCAATGAATTTATTGTTCTTTTTTTTCAGATTATAGACTGGACCGAAGGGAAAGACCAGTGCCTTGGCGCAAGTCATTAATGGAGTGAAGAAAGCCTAGTGAACAAAAAGTGACAAAATATTCTGAATGTTTGATTTCGATTTAAAATATCACAGAGAGAAAGATAGACCATTAAATTATCTAGATTCTATTTGTTGACAGTGGTCTTAAGTCACAGTTAGACCTAATTTTTTGCCCCCATTGTCTTTGCTGAGCTCTGCCATTCTCGTGTTATGAACAGTTCGATTTTTATTCCAAAGTGTCGATTGTGTCTCAAAACACTCACTAACTCCGTTATGCAACTGACCTCACCCTGTAGTGTGAAATAAGGCCCACCAACGATATAACCCAGCCGTAAGAGCAATTTAGTCCCTTACTAATTTTTGGTTTCCTAAAGGCAGTTTCAATGTCATGGGATTTCTTTGCCAAAACCTAAACCCCTCTCCGACATTTACCATTGAATTAAGGTGAAATGCAAAATTGATCCTACCAAGAGGACATGCCCCCCCAGGTCCCTGCAGCTATAGGTCAATCCCTTTTGCATAAGTGACAACAATTTTTCCATCCGTGTTATATACCTCCAATTCAACTACCCCAGACAATTGCAGCAAGAGCTGAGTCACCCCTTCTACCCTCCCCCCTACAGAATACGAAAGAACCACTGACTTTAAGATTTCCCAGGGGTTGGATCATATTTTCAAATGGAAAGTTTTGTAATAGATTAGGGGCTCATATCTTTGCAAGGTATTCATGATGAAATTCGATCTCAGTAATTGATTTTCAACGCATCAAAGTGTCCGATTAGTAGGCTATCTTAACTTCTATAATCACCTTTTTTATAAAATATACTGTTTTTGTTTCCCCAAAAAATAATCCCAGGGGCTAAATCCTCAATGCCCACGCGAAGTTGGCATCTATCGTCACGGATCAGTTTCAATATCAATTCACTGGCATAGAGACCACAAGTATTCAAATTGGTAGAACAATTAAAATCGGATTCCTGGTAGTTTCTTTGTTTTTAAACTTACTGTAGTATTTCATCGCCTCTCTTTATCATTGCTGATTTTAGCATAGGGGTTCTGGTCCTGGAGGACAATTGGGATCTATCCCCTCTCCCCAAATAATATTCTTAGATTTTATCTCATCTGTCGCTATGCTAAGATAGTCCTGAATTAAAAAAAAACAACGAAAATAATGATGCCCCTTCCTATCAACAAAAATCTCCTACACTTTGCACTCCTTTAATATAACCTCGCTACAGTCTTAATGTTTACGACAATGCTGGGTTTTTCACGTTTAAATAAATATTACTGAACTCATTTTTACAGCGAATTAATTGGCTTGTCAACTTGCAGAATAAATAAAAATAAATACATAAATGTAATCTTTATTCTAATTAACCCTTGAACTGTGTATACCAGTTATTACGGGTACATTCAAATCGTCTATTGAATTTCTTTTGTCTGAAGCGTGAAAGCTTTGTCTTGCGTGGCTGTTAGAAAGATTAATTTTTCTTGCCTTCAAATTATAGAAAATTTTGATTCCGAATGGAGTAAGATATGGTTTATTTAGCTGTGAATCCCCTCAGATTTTTTGCAGAATTTTTTAAAATTCTTTTTATCATTTAATTGAAGTTTCTTACCCGTACGCCTCTCGCCAGTCTTGGATCACACAAAGAAAGCTCTTTGTTTTTGAATTCAATAGCCAGTGTTTCAACGAAAACTTGGGTTTCTGCCCCCAAAATTCACTCAACTTTCATTTGCTTTGCACCAAACGATGCAGAAGAATTTTCTCTTTCTAATGATTATTTTGGTAAAATTCTACGACATTTCTTCGCAAAGTTATTAAACATTTTATGCGTTTTTGGCAAGGGGGATTCAGGTTTGCATAAAGAAGTTCAGAAAAAACAATAGGCTTGTGATTCCCAGACTTTCTAAAGAATCCGGTTTTTCGCCAATAGCTCCTTCGTTATTTAAGATATAAAATTGTGAGTGGTACCAATAAATTTTCCGGCCCGAGCTCCATCTGTTGGTAGGCTAATTTTTAAATTTGGACCAGTGGTTGCTGAGTTATTAACTACTTTTGGTCCCAAAAAATGCCAAAACAGGTTTTTCGAACCTCCTGGCTCTGATACTGCAAATATACTTTTGGCGACAGCTTCAAAAAATCGGCAAGGTGATTTCGCATCATTTGACACATTGCTTGTTTTTATTTGAGCCCGAACGGCTGAGATATTTCGATTTTTCTCGAAAAGTCAAAGTGAGAAAAATTTTCAAATTGCATCGCAGCGTCGAAGAGCTCCCGGCTACATGAGTGCGGTGGCGCGCTGCAAAATTTCGTCTTTTTTGACCAAAAAACAAGTGTTTTGAGAGATTTAAAGGACGGAAAACAGAATTAAAGGATAAATGAATATATTAAAGCTGTTATTAAAAGCTTGGAAGAGGTTTGAAGAGTTTTCACAGTTTTGCTCAACTCTTGGAGTCTGCTTGGTAGGGGAAACCCCCGAAAAACAAGACAGTTTGTTTGTTTACGTTTTAACTTCAATGTAAAGATATTGCCTGAGTGTAGAAAACCAAAAATTGCAAATAAAAGCACTAAAGTTGTCCATTTTTGGGTCTTTATATCAAAATTCACACTCAAAATATTAATCTTATCTGCCAGGATGTTGCAAGGGTTCCTACACGAAATTTAGGCCACTTTGCCGACAGTGAAGTTTCCTTTGTCTATTAAACAAGAGAGTGATTTTTTAAGCCTAATGCAGTTAAATGTACAAATTATTGACAAAATAGGCATCAATTTCTAGCAAGAACTCCTTCTTATACACGATAAAGCAAGTTAAATGTTTTTGAGTATATAAACAAACTCGAATTAGTAGAGTGGACCCTCATAATTGACACCCCTACTCATATCCTCTCGGTCGAATTAAGCTACAAGAAATACACTATAAATAAACACAGCTTGTCAAAATTGATAAAAGATAAGCAAGCATTTACAATCAAAGCACGAAAACTATTTTGATAGAGGTTATCAGGCTATCATCACATTTTAAGCTATAGAGGTTGGCTTCAGACACATCAATTTCCAGAAAAATTGAGAAAACCATCTAAAATCGAATCTCTAGGGCTAGAAAGATGTTGGAACTCTCTTTAGATAAGTTTGGAACTCTAAAAGTAATAAAAACAACGAAAGTTTGGTAAAAAAAGACAAACCTTACAGCGCGCCACCGCATTCACACAGCCTAGAGTCCTTCGACGCTGCGATGCAATTTGAAAATTTTTCTCACTTTGACTTTTCGAGAAAAATCGAAATATCTCAGCCGTTCGGGCTCTAATAAAAACAAGCAATGTGTCAAACGATGCGAAATCACCTTGCCAATTTTTTGAAGCTGTTGCCAAAAGTATATTTGCAGTATCAGAGCCGGGAGGTTCGAAAAACCTGTTTTAGCACTTTTTGGGACCAAAAGTAGTTAATAACTCAGCAACCACTGGTCCAAATTTAAAAATTAGCCTTCCAACAGATGGAGCTCGGGCCGGAAAATTTATTGGTACCACTCACAATTTTATATCTTAAATAACGAAGGAGGTATTGGCGAAAAACTGGATTCTTTAGAAAGTCTGGGAATCACAAGCCTATTGTTTTTTCTGAACTTCTTTATGCAAACCTGAATCCCCCTTGCCAAAAATGCATAAAATGTCGAATAACTTTGCGAAGAAATGTCGTAGAATTTTACCAAAATAATCATTAGAAAGAGAAAATTCTTCTGCATCGTTTGGTGCGAAGCAAATGAAAGTTGAGTGAATTTTGGGGGCAGAAACCCAAGTTTCCGTTGAAACACTGCCTATTGAATTCAAAAACAAAGGGCCTTCTTTGTGTGATCCAAGACCGGTGAGAGGCGTCCGGGTAAGAAACTTCAATTAAATGATAAAAAGAATTTCAAAAAATTCTGCAAAAAATCTGAGGGGATTCACAGCTAAATAAACCATATCTTACTCCATTCGGAATCAAAATTTTATATAATTTGAAGGCATGAAAAATTAATCTTTCTATCAGCCACGCAAGACAAAGCCTTCACGCTTCAGACAAAAGAAATTCAATTGGCGATTTCAATACTCTCATAGAAGATAGGTGAAGAATCCCCAAGTACTGCGTTGCGCAGAATAGTTCTTGGTTTTCTAACAGTTAATAAACAACCCCTCTTATTACAGCAATATAGAAAAGAGATAAGTAGTGCAGTTACTCAATTTATTTAAATGTAAAAGGTACTTACAACTTTAAAAGGCAATCCGTCTTAAAAAACAGTCCTTCGTGTAAATGTTTAACTTTAAAATGTTAAAATCTAGAAAAACTTATAGATGGCGTCAGCATTGTATTTTTGGCGGGCTTCCGCTAATGCGCTAGTGCCATACCCCTTCAAACGTTTTTTTGAAATCGGATAAAAACAAGAAAACAATGAATTTTGGGTTACAGCAATATTCCTAATCAACAATTTTTTAGTGTAGGTTAAGATTTTTTTGCATACGAATTCAAATTGACCCAATGACCTTTTACACTGAGACGTTAATTGACTTGATTATTACAAATCAATTTGGAAGATTGGGTACAACTGCTTATCACACCTTACTCTATTGGCAAGCTCAATATCTCAATATACTGTCCTTCCTACCGCAAATCTAGGCAAACATGCAGGAGTTGAGGGCACAAGGGACATGTGCCCCCAATTTTCAAAGCCAGAGGTAAAGTGTCATTTGCAGCCCACGGAGGAGTTGCCCCTCACTTTTGCAATTTTACCTTCGTCTATGGGTCTCCAATGTCCCTAGCCCCACATGTCCCAATCAAAATCAACAATCTTTGAGTCAAACCCTGAACTTAAATCTAATGACATGCTACTGCTAGAGCTTATAAAAGATTGGCTAGATACAAAAGATGTTTGATAAACAGAATACACTCATTTTGTAAGAAACTTTTCTCTAAACGTGTAATTGTTTTTCTTAGTTTGGATACTTTCATTGCAAGAAAGGCTTCGTTTTGAGTCTGTACTAGCTCTTCGTATTAAATGAGATAAGTATAACAGCTATTTTTATCGTTTGTTTATAAATATTTAAATCTCAGATCCAAAAAGGGGATGTGAATGTACTAAAAAGGAAACAGCTTCATAAACTTAAGCTAACCTCAAAAAATTTCTATTTCAAGTAGCTTCTTACAAAAATGAGTGCATGCATGATAAAACAAAAAGCTCATCGAAGACTCCTTTCTAAAAGGTTAAGTTCTGATTGAAATACAATTTTGCATGGCTTCTTCCAAAACTAGGTTGCCTTTCAGGTGATCTTTCTTGTAACTGCATTTGTGATTGCCTTACGTCTTCAAGCGTCCATTATCACCCTCCTGCAAGAATAAATTACCTTTCTGTAAATTAATATTCAAATCAATGTAAATGTACTGTGTCTAGCAATTCAAATATTTCAGTAAATTTTCGAGACTGTCTCAATATATTCTGTTTCTAATGGTACAAAAAATGTTTACTTGTATTGCAACATATTTTAAAGATCTAATGACCTCCAGGGTGCCATTTACAAACCGAAAAATCTACAACGTGAAAAATTGTAACTGCAAGATAACAGTTTTCTGTCTAAAAAGGGGAAAAATTATTCAAGTTGTGCCCAGGGCTGTAAAAAAGGGGGCTCAGGGGGGCTAACCCCACTTCTACTTTTCGAAGAGGGGCCTCTTTTTTGGGGTAGTTCTAAAAAATCAAAGCTAATTTCTGCCAGGATCAAATCTTTGATTAAACCGATATTGTTTGACATTTGCATTCATGTGTGACCTCAATAGCCCTCTTAATAACTGAAGACTCAAGAAATGCTAGCAAGATTTTACTACCTTAAATTCTTTCTTCTTTCACGGGTAAACATTTGAAGACAATTTAACCCTAAAAGAAAATGGAAAGGTAAAGAAATTCATATTGAGGAGGCATGCAAACGAAAACGATGGAAACGCTCATTTTGTATACAGTATAGAGAAAGCGCTATGGCCCCCTTTACATTCTTTGACACTACACTACTGGTTGTGCCCCCTCAATGCTCTTGCTCACAACTCTACAACCCTCTTTTCTCCAATTTGCATTTCATGTTCATCAGCCTTGGACAATGAAACAAATACTCCACCCTTTTACAAAATCAAAGATAAAACTAGCCTTTTTCAAATTCATCTTTTCATTGCCATGACATTCCTTAACATAAAGTATCGCAAATTTGGAAAATGATATAATAGAAAAAGCATTGAAATTGAAGAGAAAGTGACCATTGCATTCATCAACAACTTAAATCAACGCCGTTGTCAATCATACTTACACACTACTGTAAAAAGAGTCCCCTAATTTCGATCTTTGACAATCACAACAATAAACAGTTACATATTCGATAAATAACTTTTCTAGAGTTACGAAGAAGGCAGGGGTGGGCTTAAAGAACGGAAGTTACTTAAGTACATCCATCAAAACATGGAGAATATTTTATTTGAAAAGCTAGAAAACTGCCCTTTGGAGCATACAACCCTTTTCCTTCGTATTAAACAAAATTTCCTTTAGCCCCCATTAGAAATTTAATGCCTCTGATTGCGACATAGGTTAGGTGAAGTCATTTTTGTAATTTCGATGGGAAAAAAGCAGATACATCTTCAAGGACTGGCAAGTGTAGATAAATTTTTTCTCTCTGCAATGATCAAAATGAGCAAACTTTGATGCCAAGAATCAAGGTGACTGCGAATTTTCTTAGACTGTGAAAGTTTTTATCTTCGGAGCGCAACACAGATTGTTTCTTCGTAGTTGGCACAGTATTGCTCTGTAGCACTTTAAAGCATTTTCAAAATGCGTGTCAATGTATTTTTATTAAATTTGCAATTAAATACTCGCTAATTTTAGATTTACTTGCAAATAATCCCTTCAGAAAAGCTCTAGAATATAATAGTTTTCAACTAAGCAGTAGAAGCCTAAGAATGTACCGTATTACTTATAGCAAACGCCCCCGAATTTTCCAAGGCCCCTTCGAATAAACGCTACCTTGCTTATGTTTAAATACCACACAAAATAACATCCCCTCGAATTTACGGCCTCTTGATTATGTCGAAATGCGAAAAAGCTCTTCTTGAAAAAACACCTCTGTATAAAAGTAAATGCTCCTAGCTGGAAACGGGCCTTTTTGGGAAAAAATTTTGAAAAAAGAAGAAAATTGAAGAGTGAAATTATAAAGCTATAAGTATTTCAATTTTTGATAAACAAGAAATCTTCTGCCCAACGTTCAAAAATTTTGCTTTACTTCTTAAAATACTTCTTTCTTTTCAAAAGCTCTTTCTCCTGTATCTAAAGCATTAGATATGAAAAACTTCCCCTCTTTTAAATGCGCCCGCAAGAGAATAAAAGATTTAGCGTTGCCGTGATTGTTTTTTGGAAGTGATACGGTATCCCGCTTTTAGTGATACAGTTGTAAATTTACTCAAATGGTCACGAATTCTCAAACATTGCAGCAGCGTACTAGCCTAGGCTGGCTCCTGACCACTTAACGCAATCTATGATTCCTTTATGAATAACCTTTGTGCATCATGATATCACTACCTCCAGTAAAGAAAGCTTCTATAACAAATTGCTGTAATTTGCCGGCAGAAGTTTGCAATCTTTGTTTGTCCAAAAGCTACAGCTGCAACATAGTAGCTATTATTCGAAAACACTTTAAAAAATCAATTTTTGTTGAAATATTTTGCACGCATAAAAGTGTCCCGTTACCTTGGTATGCATTGGTATGCTATGTGTCCGGGTTTCTTCTTGATTTTCATTTTCATTTTCTACAATTCCCTGCTTTAGACTCTATCTCAAAACTTTTAAAGATGAATTTCTTTTTTGTGTTCTTTACGACGTTTTTTTCGCAAAAATGATATGCAAAGTAAAGGATCCACAATGTATGCTTTAACTATGGTAAACTACGATGTCTGCTTTTGTAAGTTGGTATGTTCTCTATACACCAGGTACTAATCTAAGGATATCAGAATTGTGTTATGATGAAAGCACGTCTTTCTTGTGGTTCTACAACTTTGGTGAACAAAAAAGCAATTTTGATATCGATTTATATTGGTTTTTCTAACATTAAAACATTATGCAAGCCTGAAAGTTAAATAAACCACGGATTTATGCTACAAACGACATATAAACGTGCAAGAATTCTTAGGCAACATACATCCAGGCCTCTAAACGATTTGAATGATTCAGGAACAAAATTTTTTAAATCTCAACTCTATTTATTTTGTGTTTATTTATTTATAAAATCGTTTTTTAACAAAAGTTGAAATCATTAGGAATAGTTTTGAGCAAGTTGTTTGTAACTTTTCATATCGAATAAAGAAAAAAACTTTGGTAACATTTTTTATCATGTTTATATTGACGATTAATTTTGATCTATAATTCCATTCTCTTTTCGCTGCCAATTTTTTACTGATCTTGCATTTTTTTGCTTTTAGACTCAAAATAATTTGTACAAACTTCCTTTACTTATTTATTCTTTTACGCTTAGAGAACACACTTGGTATACTTCTTTAATTTCTTTAAGTAAAGCCACTTTATGGTTGTTCGCAGTTTTGGGTTTGCTACTACAGAAGTTTTTTAAAAAAATGTCTTTTCCAACCTTTTACTAAACGGAAGAAGGACTTTTACTAAACAATTACCGTAAGGCTGACTTCTGGAAAGATGCCTTCCGGGTCTCCTTTGTGTAAGTTTAAACTACTCTCTTCATCAGAGCTTCCAACATAAAACTGAACATATTTATAAACTTCCATGTTTAAACAGCTGTATGAATAAACTTTCATGTTTAAACAGCTGTATGAAAAAAACCAAGAAATACAACCAAGAGGGATATACTACACGTGATGGTTATACTGTTAGCAAAATCATATAATTATGTTTGCGTTTGTTTTGAACTTGTTTAAAGATATAATCAATTCCTGTAGGGAATGTGTCGAGTAAAAAAGGGAGTAACTGTGCTCCGAGTCTTCTACGAGTTTGTTATAACCTTGTCAAACCCGTAAGCCAAACAATAGTGGGTTCCAAAGCCCGATCGTCAAGTGGCCAACATGATTAAATCCTTTTCATTGCTATTGACTGAGAAATGAACTGAGCAGGTACATGGAAGTTTAAGAAACAAAGCATTGTTTTCGAACAATAAACAGACAATTTGATTGTTTAGAAAAGAGAACTTTTAGGAGATTTGCAGCTTTTCTTTTTCTAGGCGTCTTTATTATCCAGTTTGGGTGTGAACCTAATATTTTGTGCCAATGTCAAAAAATCTCCTTAGCCTGAGAATTTTGTGCTAATAATAACCTCATTTGGTCGTTTGTTAGCATTATTCTAGGCACAAAACTTTTCATGCTCCGATATAAAAGAGATGATCGGGTCGGGTACAGTTGACGAATGCGAAAAATGGTTTGCCTGTTGATTACATTGTCTTACTTCACTTACATCATGGTAAATCTTATCATTCACAGGAAAGCCAACATAAGTCGAATAAATGTACAAACCTAGTAAGAATCTCAAAGTCCCTGCACCATTTCAAGCAATTCTACTCTGAACAACCCTTGAAAATCTTGTTGTTTTTTGCGCCATTTTGAAACATGTGGCCAAGAAACGAAAACGAGGTTTTGAATATGAGGTCAACTTGGTTTTCTTAGAAGGAAGGATTACCTGCTCATAACAATAATAGACAAGTATTCGTCGACTAAGAAAAGACAAGTTTTGTACCTAAACTCAAAGAAATGCATTGAAAAGATCTTATATGCTGTGAAAAAATATAATAGTCCTTGGAATAGTACGTTAATCGGTATACTTGTCAAAGAAAGTGGAAAATATGTTCCACCATGGACATCAAGTAAATCCTGCACGTCCTCCTTGATGCATTAGTTGAAAGATTTCGCAAATTTCTTGAATCAAATAGTAAATAAAGGATGAAACGAAAATGATGACAAAAACATTAAAAAAGCGAATTTGCATTATAAAAAAATATCTACAAGCATTATGAAATGATATTGGAAACAAAGAATACCTTAAAAATAAACCTTTCTACGTTTCTATGCCTGGCTTTTAACTATATATACAAATATGAAAAACAGCTATACATGTCTCCTTTTTCTTAAAAGCCCAATGCGGGAAATCAATGTCTTCTTAACTTTAGGAATTATTGTATCTTTGCCATCTTTTAGAGGTGCTTCATTGCGAGTTTCTTGTTCCGAGAGTCTCTCACTTCTTTTAAAGAACATGTCTAAAGCATTTTTTTGCCCCGGTGCATGACTTTCTTCCGACAAAAAATCTGCAAGAGTATTCGACTCTTCCAGAGGTGTTGGCATCATCTCTTCAAGTTCCTCCTCCATCGCGTTTAGCTGCTCTGCAGCGGCTACATAAGTATCATTAAATATAAAGTACCTGAATTTCAGAATCATGATCTGATGGAACTTTTTAGTCCTCTGTTCAGAATCCATATCGTCGTAAAGTTTGCGGTCTTTTTTATCAATACGCGTAACTCGCAACGGCGAAATAGCTGTCAAAGCTAAATCAGCTGGAAGATTTTCACCGTCCGGCAGCGAAAATCCGAGCCCGTCTGGAAATATCTGTATTTTCATGTCCAAAGCTTTACGTTTAGGAAAGGGTAGTGTAACTAATAACGTCGCACCTTCGATGAATTCAGAGTCACGATGTATCCATCTAGAGCTGCCGTGTGCCGTAAGTATTTGCGAGAAGTTCGAGAAATTTTGACTGGTAACAAAAAGAGCAAGTGTCTGGTTTCGATCGCGTAACAGCGTGATCCTGTTAACGGCCGGGCCAAACATACGTTTGAGTAGAGTAACAGGTGAGTAATCTGGCAGTTCCAAAAGTATACCTAGATTTTTATAGCTCCCTCTTTTTACAACAAACACGCGTAAATGTCCTTCTTCGAATCCTTTAATTTCTGGTGACCCTAAAAAGAGATTTGTAAATTGACTTGACTGCAAACCTGCTTAAACATGTATTTTCTATTCAAAATCAATTTCTTAAACAGAATAGCTATGCATTCTGGATCTATCAGGCATTGTTCCTTAACAAAAACACAAGAAAATGTTCCAGTGTGCTCTCCAGGTGAAATAAAGGACTTCTTCATCTTTCCTTGGTACTTCTACATAGTGTAGTTTTTCTACATTGTAATTGCAGTAATATAGTCGAAGCAACAAGAATAGCCGGGAAGAGATGAAACTAATCTTCATTTGATGAACGCATTTCAAGCTCAGTTTTGAGTGAAATTTTACTTACCAGCAAAAACAATTTCAAAATTTCCAGAGGCTGGATCGATTTTCCCGCGTAATTTGACCCTTCGCATTTTAAAATCGTCCAGACCGATGTTCTGTAGCAGAACATTTAAGCCTCCGGATGGAAGAATGTCGACATCAAATTTCTTTCCGATGGTCTTGATAGACAAACCTTAACGAGGGAAATGATTAAAATTACAAGACATACTAGAGAAATTGAGGATGTTTCAAGAGAGTCGAATATGAAATTGACGGAAGAAGTATTCTTCATAAACCTAAAGTTTAAATCATAAATTAGGAAGTCAGTTCCAATTATTCATAATATGCCTACCAAAGGAAATTACCATACCTATGCCACTAATACTCAAAATGGAACGATTAAAAAGATTGTAGACGATTACAGAGACAAATTACACCGTAGGCAGTAGGCAGGGTGCACATACTCGTTCATCATGGATATCAATAAAAAATTGGTTCACATAGGAAGCGTCTAGGCCAAAACTGATATTATTGCTGGAGGAGGGAGGGGGGGAGGGGTCGTGGCCCCTCAAAAATTTATGAACCTCACTGTTTCTGGGAATTGCTTTTATGCTGGCTGATTGTGTACATTGTTTTAGAACAATAGTGCCCCCCCCCTAAATATTGCTCCTATCTTACGGCACTGCTCAAGGGAAGCTTACCCTTTCCTCCAGAAAATAAGCCAACATGTTATTTTCAGCACCTTGCCTTCAGCCTTTGCCGTTCTATCTTCAGTTTTCCTTGACTCTGGACATAAACCGACAAGATTCGTATCAATGATAAAAAACACATGTTACCTTCGCGCACGGATCCAGAGAGCGTCATCTCCCTCGGACTACTTCTTGTCAATTTTATAGTCAAATCTTTACCACCAAATTCCCAGCTCCCCCTGGCCGTTAGCTCGTAATCACCGAACGGAAAAGGCACTGACAAATCGGCAACCATTGACTCTACTTTCAGCTCTAGAAAAATCACACATAAATCAGGAAAATGTACAATATTTTGCAGCATTGGATTTCAAAATAAATCGAGATGCTTGCTGTAAATTTAAAGTTGATAATTTTTTATTATGCAAAATATACTTCGAAAAGGCGTTCATTTGAGAATCTCTGGTACATAAACAAATTAAAGGCCAGAAAACAAGAGTGTTATGCCATGGAAAATCAGAAAGTAATAGGCCATGGTTCCAAACAAATTCATAATCAGAAGTTTCCTAATTCTAACTTAAATATTTTTCTCTTTGAAAAGTATAGGGCTGTTTCCTGCAGCAAATTCAAGATTTTTTGTAGAGTAATGGACTTCGCGCAGGTGCCATGTGATGCCTCTGACAACGGCAAAGTCAGTTAAATCAAAGTTAGTTTCCCTTTTTCAAAAAGTATTCGATCGCCAAGCGTAAATACATGAAAAAACTGGAAAGAAACCCCTTGAAAACTATCTAGGTGTAAAATCTATAACATATTGGAAGAGTCGTCTACATCACACAAATATCGGCAATACGTACTCACCTGGCAGAACACGAAGCTTTCCATCTGCATTTGTTACAAAAGTTACTTTGGCAAGACACGTGTTTATATAGAAAACAGTGATGCTAATTGGTAGGATATCACTAATCGGTCTGTCCGATAATGTAATGATGTAACTTGGCAAAACACTGCGAATGACTTTGGCAAGAGTAAGGCAATGGGCTCTCTGTGGTATTACTCTGAATGCACAACTGCCAGACAGAATTTTTACTTCACAGTCGCCTATCTTGTAGACTTTAGATAAATCAGGATGCTTCGTTCCAAGAAAATAGGCTATTTCCGGGAATGTTTCCGCACGGTGAGAATCTTAAAAGCAGGAAGTAAATTTTTGGTTAAAAAAAAGAAAAAACAAATTACCATGTTGTTACATTTAAAAAAAATGTACCACAGAATCTTATTTTCCAAGAATTTAATGTGATGGTTAACAATGAGCGATACTACAAGGCTTAAAAGAAACGAACGATATGAGAACATCTAAGTGAGGTAGAAAATTGACAAAGTGGAAATGACAAAGTATAGACTTAAAGAATAACAACATTGAAAATGGCTTTGAAAAAAACAAACATTTTACAACATACTAAAAGCTTTTTCGTCTGACACGCATAAAACGTCAGAATAAGAGTCCGAAAGAACACGATGAAAAATATATACCCAGTTGTGGGTCGAAATAGGCCAATCAGAAAAACGCAAGCACAATAACAACATTATCGTCCATACCATTGCATAATGTTCTTTTTGGGAAAAAAGCGAGCAGAACTAAATACCAGATTCCATGCATTCAGACAGTGAGAGGCTTCTACCTGAAAAAAGACACAACACAAAACATTTGATTACGAGAAGACAAAATTTCTGGTTCCTTACAAAAGCTAAGATTTAACAACGATTCTAAGGATGTTGACTTGCTAAAAAGCACAAACCTCCAGGTATGGAGCTATTAGGCATTTAGATTCATATTACTTTAACAACATTTAACAATATTTTTAAACAACATACAATTCGCATGGTCTTTTACTTCAACTGGTAATCTTATAGCAACGTGCTTTGCAAATCTGTTTTTAGCATGAACTTGCATGGTGAATATTTAGAATCTTTATGATACCAGAATCTAAGGCAGGAATGCTTGAACGCTTTAAAAGTTTGTCTCAAAAGATGGACAGAAAGTAAAAAAGTATCGCACCAAATCAAAGAAAACGATACAGATAAAAAACACAGCTACCATAGAACTAATGTTTTCACAATATAAACGGTTCAAAAATTGCAAAAGTTTAGTAAAGTCTGTTATTCAGAACCCTAGATTCCTTATGGAATAGCATAAAGTTTTTTTTAAAACAAACTACTTATAAGTCATTCAACGCGCACGTAGGTAATTGGCCACATGAAAACAATTTAGGCCCATTGAAAATATTACGGATCATGACAACATTGATACAAAATATTGCAACCGAGTCCAAAAGTAAGGCTTTGGCAATGAGAATAGTACAAAAATATAGCAACAAATGTGACTTAGGAATCAACTGATGGCCTAGAAACCGCATCTAATTTTGCAAATATCAGTGTAAAAAGAGTAGCAAGCAAATCAACAATAAGTTGCACTTTATTACATACCTCTAGATCATATCATCGGCTTCAAAACCGGCTTGGCACTACAGCCCTCTTGGATTATTTTAGACAATAATAGACGATGAATATAAAATTTACGCGTCTTCAACAAACAACAATTCGATGCTTGCAACTTGAGTCCAGCTTTAGTGATTACATCATTGTAAGCATGACAAATCAAGCGAATCCCCAGGACTGCCAACTCCGTTTCATGTGCAGTGATCCATAGCGGGGCCCGGTGGTTACTTCTACTCTAGTGCTTCAGATAAGATGGTACTCGAACATCCAAAAAGCTGAAGCTGGTCTTGAATCAAAACCTGTCAAAGTGTTAACTTAAAGACGTATTACTCTATCTTCACGGAATTTTGCTGGTGAAGATGACAGACTTCCTAGCCTATCGAGCGAAAAATTGTACATTAGTAAGTGTGGAACGGCTGCAATAAGTATGCAATGAATTGGGATAAGGATAACATTTCTACTAGTAACGATACACTATTTTGAGCTTGAATAGCATGGGTGTTTGAGATGGAAGGAGGGATGAAAAGGTGGCTGACTTGGAAAAAGTAGGGAAAAAATATAGAAAGGCGGTTAGGGGGAGAACGTACTGTAGATGAAGGAAGGGGGCAGAGGGGGGAATCAAAGAAGAAGATAAAAGTGCAAATCTAGCAGAAAAGGTACTGATGCCAGAATCGGCTTTATTTTCAACTTTCTCAACTAGGGATGCCATTACAAACGTTAAAGATGAAAGTTGTAGATAACCTCAAAAGGAACTAACGCTAACAGTTTTGTATTGCAGAAACCGGATGAAAGAGCGTGTCCAACAAGTGCTCCTAAATCTAACTGGGCGAAGGGGAAGAACTTAGTATTATAGAAGCAGGGAAGTCTACATAATGTAGCTGCCCCAGTATGGTGCCAAAACAACCTGCCTGAACGAGCGGTGCCTGAATAAGCTCGACAAAAAGCGGATGAGTATTCAGTTGCAAAAATGAAAGATAAATGACTCTAGGTTGAGCGATACGCAGCCTCGTTCAGATTTCCAACTCCATTGCAAAGAGGTTGCAAAATATCCATGGCTTGACCAATTGAATGAATGAGGAGGATTGAATGAAGATTCCTGCTAATATCCTCTGCTACAAGCTCTAGGCTATTCATGTCATACTAGGGTACAGAAAACGATTGCATCATCAACTATATTGCAGCTTTGGTACGAAGTGAGCATGAAAACATACAGAAGTTTCAAAGTTTTCCTAAATTTTCATTCCATCTGGAACTTCTTTTCTACGCAAAATTGTAATTAATAACAACAATTTTAATACATTTCAATTGACCCGTTCAATCAGTTATGCTTACACAAACAAATGTATCTTTACAACAAAAATCGTGCGGAAATATATTTGGTTTCCAAATTCCAAAGTTTAACTTACATTAGTAATTTTAGTGGTTTTCTATCACAACTGCCTATAACGATTACCCAGTGAATCTTGCCTATCTTTAGAAGAAAATATAAATAATTTACCTATGAAATGTTTTCCTTGAAAATGATCAAAACTTTTTAGTAACAATTGGAGAACTCAAACGAGGAAGGACGGTGAAGTGTACCACAGCTAAGGTTACGTATGGATATAAGGGTATGGAAACTAGTCCAAAATTTTCGGTTTCTCTACTTATTCAGAAGCTCTGATTGGCCAGATCATATGATCATGTGATAATACATATGTGAACATAAAGATTCGTGATTTAAGCAATATTTAAGAATTTGAAAACTCAAAACAGATAAAGAATGGTAAAGGGACGAAAGATTGCTTTCTGAAAATTGCTGTATTCTGCGAGCGAATGTTTACAAAAATCTATTGAGAATGGGTGTACACAAAATTAGGCCAACAAAAAGGCGTGGCTGCCATTTTAGTTTATCATCACCTTTGATATCAGTCTGTTTCAAACCTGAAGGGATAAGAAAATCGATTAACAAGCTTTTTAAGCGAGGAGCACTGTCACGAGGAACAACATTCCTTTCGTAGGACATACTAACGACAAGTAAATCTAGAAGACGCTGTCTTCACAGAGCGGGCGTCATCTGTTCTATGATAAAAGATCCCCATACCTTGTAGATTCTATGATAAAATGAGCCAAAGGTTACCCTAGAATTGAAAACAAGAACACGATCGAGATTCTGCCTACTGCCCTTGTTAACAACTACCAAATAACGTAATTGGTTCGCGCAAAACTACAGTTCCATTGACGTATGCAACTTTACCATGGATCTCCAGTACGGTAACGGAGAAAAAAGATATATGCAGCAATGTGTGAGATTTTACATAGTAATTAATGAGAAACTGATCTTAAGAAGTTTCTAGGACTGCTGTCTTGCAGTACTATCTACGCTTTCTGCTCTAGTAGGCTATCGTCTCCAGTCGATATGGATCTCCGCACTCCTTCCGTAACAGCTTTGCCAAGGGCCTCATCTAGATTGTAAGGTTGTTCAAAAAATTCAACTAAACATGGCTCAGACAAAACGCATGCAACAAACTGTCTAAAACCGATAATCCAATTCTTCTGCGCTGTGGCATTAGAAGGAATTCGATCCGATCTAGGTTTCACCTCATACTGTAGTTCTTTATCAGCTGCGTTTTCAGAGTCCGCTGCACCTTTGAAGGACGCAGCTGGGTCTGATTCCGTTCCAATATACGGACTTGGGATTTCAGAAGATTCTTCCAAGCAACTGGCGACCTCTTTATAGCTTGAACCCACAGCCTCCAACTCTGCCGATCCGAGGTTTGCTTGAGATGCTTGCGGTGATATCCTAGGCTCTGAGCCTTGGCTATCATCAACATAAACATAATCTTCACTTTTTACACTTTCAGTGTGGCCTGGTGACGAGCTGAGGCTGCGCTGAGCGTCAGCCAGCGCCTCCGCTAAAGTCATTCCACGCACTGCAACATTTAGCTCAAGCTCCTCCGGTGTAACATTATCACTAGCTGAAGTATCAGATCCCCCAGGCTTTTCTGTTTCCCCTGACGAAAGAACATTCTTTGTTAGCGACGTTTCTCCACTAGATTTCACAGCACCTGATGCATTCAACAGTTTGTCAGAACTGTTCCTCTGTAATGCTTTGGAATCACGTGACTCATTGACTGGCCAATCGACAGATGAGGAGACATACTCTTGGTTTTCTTGACAAGATGCGTCGCCTATTTGCAAAAGAAGAGTCCCTGCCCTTGCAACTGCTTGATAGAGTTCCTGCTCCTTCTCTGATGACTCTCGAAACAACGAGTAAAGGCTCCTCCATAAACTGATGAACTCAACCTTGGATAAATAAAATGAAATATGACACAAACAAATAATTTTTGAACTTACTGAATAACAAAAGGATAAAGCTTGGAACATTATGTTTCCAGTGACATTTATCTGAAATCGTTATAACAAAAGTTGGTCAAATATCTACCGTAAATCCTCGAATAAGCCCCCACGCTCGAACTACCCCCCCCCCCTCGAAAAAGCCCCCCAAAAAATTCATTTTTGCAAATAAGCCCCCGGGGGCTAATTTGAGGATTTACGGTACTTAAATCGCTTTCACTAAAAGGTCTGTACAAACAAATTTGATACTACGTAGGTACCAATGTTCTCGCAACTTATAGGAATTAAATGATGAATATGTCCAGCTAGAATAAGGTTTGAAACTTATGAAGGCAATTAAACGCTTTATTTGTGGTTGATCTCTTTGCAAAATGATAATCAGAACACTGTGATAAAGCTGTTTTTATTTTCGATAAATTTTGGTAACGGAGAAAACATTCACAAAGCCTTGATAAAATTACATATTTATTAACCAGCCAGATATTTCAAACAAAAGCTGCGAAACTGGCAGGCAACAACAGCTTTATGAAACTTGTTAGTTTTATGAAACTAAGTCATCATGAGTAGAACTATTGAGCTAAATAAGCTAAACTGAAATTGTTTCATTTTTAGAGCGATAAGCAGGCGAATCTTACCACAACTCAAAATCTTCTTACTCTAGCTTCTTTTTGGGGAGACGAACCAGCATATTTTCGAAAGTTCGCTGGCTTTTAAAATGAGCCAGTGTCGAATCAAAAGACGAAAAAATTAAAAATAAGGGTTTTTTGAGAATAATGAGAATGAAAGGCTGGTTTTTATGATGTAAATGTTATGTATAATTGTTTTCAGTTTGTATAGAACAATAGCGCTCTTCCCAACAACACCAATATTTATCCTAGCTCCATTTATATGGAGTTTTACAATATACAAAGTCATAGAAGACTAAATCTCCATACCTGATTCAAAGGCGGAAGTTCCTCCTTCTCATTTTTGTCTTTCATAACGGATGCAACAAAATCTTTTACTAGCTTTTTCGCAGACTTTGGAGACTTTGAAAGGATATACTTCGTTGTATTAGGGCTTAAAGGTCTTGAATCAGGTATAGGGGAGCTGCACTTTGGTAGCTCTGATGCAGATTCAGATTCTGTTACAAATGCTTTCCTATCTTCACCCTCTAATGATCGTGAACCTGACGAGCTTGTGGTCTCAGATGGTATCATTGCCTGGGCCTCTTCTTCCTCCTTCTTATCCGCACTTTCTCTCATACTAGCAGGCCACAAACTTGCCTCCAAAATATCGGATGTTGGGGTCATAATAATTTCACCCTCGTTTTCGAGCGTGCCCTCAACCCTCATGTCCCCTGGTACAACCATCATGGTATCCTCTTTACTTATATCATCTTCCGTTGCACTGTCGTCGTCTGCCTCTTCCAGAACCTCTGAGGCACTCTCAACAACATCGAACATTTTTTGTGGGGATGAGTTAGCTGTATTGCTTTCGTCATTCGCTGATAAATGCATCTTATACAACAGCTTCAACCGTTCGTTGAAATCCCCTTTACACATTACGCCACAAAGAAGCGAGAACTCTTTGAAATTGATAAGGCCGTCACCATCTTCGTCTATAACCTAAAATTTTACAACACAAAAAATGAAGATTACTTGCTCCTTAATAGATTCGTAGACGATGCTTTTTTATCTTCATCAGACCTGTTTTAATTGTTATCAATAAAGTTATTAAGCTTGACGTTATAAAAATCTATTTTCAAATTCTGACTACATCACTGAAAGGAACACCACGAAATACTTCTAAGTGTGCAAAAGCATTGGGGTCAGACAGACCAAATAACAGAAGTTTGATGGGAAAGGTCCTGTGGTCATGTGGCCATTTTGCACTTTTAGAGGTGTTTCATAATGTTCTTATGGTTTATGGAATCTAAATTAAATTCTAATATATAATATATTCTTGTAATATATTCTAATATATAATGTATTCTTATAATATATATAATATATAATTCTAATATATAATATATAAAAATATATATTTTGTGACGTCATCACTTATTAACTCTATTATTACTGGTGAAAATAAAAAAGAAGCATTTGTTGTTCCAAGCAAATATTAATCATATTAGGCCTCTTCTTACCTTGAAACACTTTTCAGCTATTTCACGCCCTAGATCACCCTGACCCCAAGGCAACACATTAGTAAACAATGCAACGAATCTCTCACAGTCAATCAAAAAGTGTTCGTGGGGGTCCTTCCAGCCTTGCTCGCTCTTTGGATCCTGGTTCCTCGAGTCTGACTTGCCCCAGTACTTGCTCTGTAAGTGACCAGCCTAATGGTAAAAAACAGATTACCTTGATACAGGATCCAAAAATTACCTTGAAATTTTGGTACACTATAGACTAACATAAAGGCTTAAATAAGAATCTGTGCCTAATCCTAGGCTTTTATGACCTATGCAAAGCTATGCAGTGCTTTGTAAATTCAAGTTTCGTTTACTGCTATAATACTTTGCGTATCATAACTATGGAACTGTAATTCTTTGAAAGCAAAACAGTCAGTTTCAATTAAATCACTACCGACAACCTCTAGCGTCCCTTTTGGCCAGTAAAAGGAGCATGAAAACGAACAAGAAAGTTAAAAAGGTACTACTTTGTATTACTTTCTATAAAGCTATATGTAAAAGCTTGATAACAAAAAACCAACCTTGAACAGAGTAAACAACTTTTCTAGTTGTGAAGCACTGAGATAAGAATCATAACACAAACTCCTAACGACACTTTTCTTCATGTTGTCTTCCAGGTACTGGAAAAAGAAATCAATCAGACTTTAAGTCATAAAACAGAGGCTTAATGTTAAAAATTTCAGGCAGTAAAGGAATCTACAAAAAACAAAACCGAGAAAAAACGTCAGAGTAACATAGCTAAAGCTAGCTAATAAGAAAAAATGGTTATTATATATGTTTAACAAGGGTGCTTAAAAAAGTATGATCGATTCGCCCTAACATATCTTGTATAAAAAATCTGCTACCCCTCATATCGAAACCTACAAAATGCTTGTGATTACAATTAATGAGAGATTTCCCAATAATATCTTCACATCTTTCTTCATTTCATACATCCTGCATAGCGTATTCTATGTCTTCTGTGAAGCTGTGCGTATTCTTCTATCCGAAAACCTTTCTCTGGCCCTCATAAATCATGATTTCCCTTCTTCAATGCTGTTTTTTTTATAGCTATTGATGCAATGCTCCCATTTTTAAAGAGCCTCGTCCAAGGTCAAGATACGTCCTGCTGAGTGTCGCAGAACGTTCGATTGTGTCACATTAATCACATTTCAAAGCTTGAGAAAAAAGACTAAATGAAAGTAATCCAAGAGACGGGATAATGACAATATGCAACACCAGTACCTGAACAACTTTAAGTCTCTGGGAATTGCGAAGCTTCTCAATCGTCTCCGCTGTGATGAAACCAAACTTTTGATATGACATCACAATCAGGTCAGCGACATCGATCGATGAGCGTTTCTGATATGAAAAATGACAGTTGACATTAGCGTCACTGTGGAACTGTTAGACTGTTCTAGAGCTGAGGAAAACAAACAGGGGTGGGCAAGATACTCTCTATCAATCTTTTAAGGTACAGTTACTGCGTCTTGAAGGTACTTAAGAATGGAGATACGATCGTCAATGAAGTGTAATAGAAAGTATATAGCTATAAAACAAACAAAATATGCTTTAATAAAGAGGTTAATAACTATCAAACAAATATAATGCAAGTAGCAGTAACAATATGAACAAGAAGATGAAATCCAAATAAACAGAAAAAACTAAAAAATATGATGAAAATATCCGGCTTCCAAAATATAACGCAATGCAGTAAGCTAAAAGTAGAAATCAAATATGATTGAGATAATTCTAAGTTCTAACCGATGAATCACTTTTTGTGTGCCTTGTCGAAATCAAAATAGCTGGAGCATCCCGATTAGTGACTCTCTCCAAATATTCACTTAAAATTTGCATTGCTTCACCATCATCCGCACATCTGAGAATCTTCTTTTTATTCACCTCTAAACATGTTAGTGCAATCTGGAACAGAACCTTAAAGGAAGAAAATAAATAGTTAATGTTGTACCTAGATGATGATAAAAAGTAACACTGTTGATTAAGCTGTAATATTTTTTGAACCATAAGATTTACAACTTTTTGTAATTTTTCGGATCCAAACAAAAAATTTATCAAGCCACTAAAAATCACTAAAAGGAAGCTTTCTGGGTGGACCAGAATGCCACGTTTTGCAAGGGGTGGTAGGAAATAAATACCTTCCTCATACGGAGACAAGATTGCGTATGTCTAAGGTTGACGGACATATTTCCTTTTATTGATTATGCAGGGTCCAAGCAACATTTTCAATCTTATTGTAATTCATTTAACGGTTACAAAGAGCAGAACTTTCATTTCATATTTCTCAGAATTTTGTGGTGCGTTTCATTTGTTCATTAACTGTAGGATTAAATCATCCGATTACTTCAAACTTCAAACTTCAAATAGATAGAATCATCTGTATAAGAATATCCAAACGTACCTTGGCACCATCGTAAAAGAAGCAGTCCATAATATTCACAGCACTGGCAACGGGCATTACACTGCAAAATCAAATACTGTTATTGTACCACTTATTCAGACATGACAGAACTACGGCACTTAAAAGTTGGGAAAATCATTAAATAGGCGCCCCCTCTCGAATGAGCGCCCACCAACTCCACTTTAAAAAACGGGCGTCTATACGAAATTTTAGCCAAAACAAGTTTCTGAGACGTAGGTTTGTTCCTACAGGAACGAGGAAGGCAGTTAGCCAAAAAATATAGATAAACATCAAAGTCTACTCTAGTTTCCTTTATTGTCAGTCATAATTTCAATTTTTTCAATTTTCAGAATAAGCTATCAGCTTGATTAACCATCCCCTTTGGAGCTCAAAGATTAAATAAGCGCTCGGGCGCTTATTCAAGGATTTACGATATGTGAAGTGTCTATGTTCTTTGCCGGCTTCATTGCCAGGAGATTTCCCTATCACTGGTACTGCATTCTGCTAAGCAGGCAAGCGCTGTTCGTTCACCTTAACATCATCCAATAGAATTATCACCCATTACTGCGCACATGAGAGCAAAATATGCTACTGAAGTTGAACATACCTGATGAAGATGGTGAGAAACCAGGACAGAGAAATGAGACTCAGGACTCCAAGATTTTGCAAATGTGAGTGGAGGTCAGACATATGCTCTTGAGTAAGCTTTTCGAAGACACCTACACAGAAAAAACAGACAAAAAATTCTTGAAAAATCTCCCCCACTCTAGTAATGATCAACTTAACTATTTGTAACTGGTAGCATCGATTAGGGATTTTAACGAGTTCTTTCAAGTTTCTCAACTTAGCTCTGTATGATTTGATTACAATACGCGATGTAAACTGTTGGTGTCAGAAACATTAAAATGCATTACATTAAGATTAAATTGCAGCAAAGGTAATATGTCCTTCATTTAATACCCCTAAACATCTGATCGCCACCGAAATTTGAAGGAAAGAGTAGATTTAGGCTTTTATAAAGGATGTTAAAAAAGAATGAAAATAAACCAAACAGACAAAAACTGAATCTATAGTCACTTGAAATGTGAATCGAATAAACACACAGATTTAATCTTTTCATAGCAAAGGTTTTAAAAAACAGGGCATCAAAACGTAATGGACAACATACAATACTGTTTGAAAATAAGTATCGCAGAGAATTTGCAATAAAACCCTGTGGTGTCTTTGCAGCATGAAGACAAATGTCATATCTAATTGGGAAACTGTTGAATAACTATTTTCACACCGAAAATATGACGAAGAAATAAAATGGCATATATTTGAATACCGCTGAAAACATGATAAAACATTTGAAATTTATCAGCCAAAAGACACGAGGATATTTTAGTTTACTGGCGAAATTGGTATTACTTTGTACTTGTCTATACCTTGATCAACCAAGGCTCCAACAACCTTTGTGTTGTAATAATCAGGCAACATCCGCTCGCATATTGCAGTGAGTAGCCAGAACGCTTCTTCTTCGGTGCAATACAGAAGCAACACTGATGCAACAATATTCATTGCTTGACAATATCCTAAAATGCAATTCAAGAATGAGAACTATTCACGAGCTCTCTGTGATTGCAGGTAAAGATATCACGAGGTTTAATCGCATCGAGAGGAAGGACAAGGACACTGCTCGATAAACACAGCTCCTCAGTGGCCTAAAAACTACCTTCGGGTGCTAGGTAGCAACAAATACAAATACAAATACAAATAGCTTGGTTGTTCCCTAAACATTTAACAACATGCAATATTGTTTTGTCAGACAACTCTGTTCCTCAAAGCAAAGGTATTTTCTATTGTAATGCTTCTTGTCAACCTGAGCATTTCATTAAGATTAATATACTCAGTGACTGCCAAGCAGTTCAAAGGTGGAGAGGACAGACAAACAGTTGCTGAAGCTAGGAGCAAACCTTATTACCCACATACTTTTTAATGCCTATTCGATAAGCACAGCTTCTCAGTGGTCTAAAACTACCCTCAAAAGCTAGATAGTAACATATACTACTAAAACGGACGACTCAGCCGCTTGGTGAACATTTTTTTAATCTTCTAATAAAACTTAATGCGGCAATAAAAGAGAAAGATAACTTTGTGAAATAAAAAAAGAAAGAGAGAAGAAGCTAATGTTAATCAAAAACACTCAACTACAACTTAGTCAAACTGAATAAATTTGAATATTTTTTACAAATAGCTTTCGATTTTTCTTTAACCGTTTGTATACTTGTCTGTCAATCTGTCTGAAAAAATTAAACTTGGTTCCAAGTCATTTTTGGTAACTGGGACAACAGTTTTTACATAGGGATATATCTCAAGTTGCAAACGGTTTGCTGTTCCGATCAAATTATATGAAGATACTATAGAAAATTCTTACCAATACTGGGATTTCGCCAGGCATATGCAGTTAGGACTCTTCTGAGTGCTGTAATACCGACCTCAGACTGAAATGCTGGGTGTCCTGGTAGGGATCTAACGGCAAAGATAGAATAAAATCAACGTGAAGTAAATATCTACGTAAATTAAGTGACACGAGCTCAATGTTCAAGGCTCTAGGAAAAGGACAACAGTTTGAGATGAATTTCTTCGTTCACTGTAGGAAGCAAAAGCAGGTGTGTTTACTTAGAGAGAGATGGGGGAAAACTGTCTAAGGAATTCTAACATTCAGTTACTCAGACAGATACATAGATGTGAATACATAGATACTTGCTAATGAATATGATGTGTGGATAAAGACAAAGAAACAAAGAACAGACAGTGGTTGCAGTTAATAATTACTTGATAGCAATTGATAAAGGCACTAGTTTTTCAAACATTTATTGGTAACGATTGCTTGTATGCTTTTTGGGCTGAGCACAAAAACTGTGCGGAAATGTCATACTGTCCTCCTTCCACCTACGCTTAGATATAAGTCTGAATCGATTAAGAAAACCCAGGTATCTAAATGTCGAATATAAAGAGCCTTTGTGCAAATAGCGATCGTAATATAAAAATAAACATGAATTACCTGTGGAGATCCCTCTCAATCTCCTCCTGGGTCATCAACATTTTTCCGATGCTCTCCTCGACCATTCTCTTGTAATATCCCGGATGTACTGCGATCTAGCGAATCAATTCAATTCAACTCAATTTCATTTGTATAATACAGCAGTTCAAATCAAATAGATTTAAAGCTAATAATCTTGTGTTATAAATATATCATAATACGTATCTGGCTTGGACGTTAACAAAAAAGGTATAATTAAAACAAATCAGTAATAATCCAGAAGGTTGGTGAACGGTAATAAAAAATAAATGATAATAGTAATTAAATAAATGATATTATAAGGTCAATAATACACTTGTAGCAAAGCAATCTCTACGCCTTTTATAAATTACTCTGAAAATTGTAAAAACATTCATACAAAAAGGGTTAATATTTTGTCCTTTAGGACTCTGTGAAAAATTTCTTCAACAGAAAATTTCAAAAAAGGATTGGTAGGTTCTCTCTATACAACCGAAAGGGGAAAATAGAACTTTTGGGCCCGGATAATGCTTCTATCCCTCCCGATAAAAAGATGGATATTATCGTTTACCGCAAAAAATATATTAATTTGTGCACAATGTTGCTTTCACAAACTAATAAACTCTTTTTTAGCTTATTCTATGACTGTTTAAAATAAAAAGGAACAAGTAAGCATGGCATGGTTTAAAGAACTTTTAGGACAAAACTTCCTTTCAAATCTCAAAATATTAGCCTTACATTAACCGTATTTGTGGCAAAGATTATTCTAAACAACCACTTCAAGCTAATACCTCATTGATTGCTCCAGAGAACAGTATCCAGGTCTCGCCTCTGAACTGATCAGGAACACCTTTCAAAATCAGTTCATGTGTCTTTGGGGTTCGATACATACACATTCCTCTGTAAGACAAGTTTTTTAAAACTTTAGTTCCCTTCTTCAGTTCTCTTGATAATAGTTTATCGATAGCTATCATAGAAGTTTGAGAATTAATCTAGAGGTACTTGATTCGCTACATCCTGCAATCATACGAATCTTCATTTCCATGAACGTAAATTCAAGATTTAATATATTTTCCATGAACGTAATCTATAGATTTAAGCACTTGTAATCGTGACAAGTTTAAAGATTTCTACAACTTTCTATATAGATGCAAAAATTGCAGGGTTCATAAAGAGCCATCGAAAAGCTTTAGAATGGTGTCAAAGCCAATTTTAAATTTAGCACAATCAAAAATTTAAAACAGACAGTTTCCACAGGGAACAAAGGACATCATACCTTCCATATTCAGCAAAGTGGAGATTCCAAAGATGTTCTTTAACTGTTTCTTTAATGGGAAGATCCCCCTTTGTATCTCCGTGAAATACATGTTTCAGTGCTGGTTGAAACGGGATTCGCTTGTCACTTTCACCTGAATAATTTTCTAAATATTCTGGTATCATTCTGAAAAACAATATTTTGGATGTATTTGTTCAAATTGATTGCTATTGACTCACCAATCATATGTAGAACAGAATCAAGGAGGTATATTAAATGGATGATTTTATGGTCATATACTCGTTTTCTCTTTTCCTTGATGCATTGTGGACATCAACAACGAAAACTTAAAGAGACTAGAAATATGTTCAGAAAGACTGTTTAGAACTTTGGAGTTTTTTGTGTATGACGAAAATGATTATTCTAGAAATCAAGATACTTCAAAATGTGATTTAATCATACTGTCCTGTCTGAGCAAATCATGCATAGGTTTATCTGTCCTTCAATTAATATCAAAAGCACAATTTTCACATACGATGTCAAGTTATGAGGCTGAGCGTTTTCCAGGAAAAAGTGATTCACTTTTAACAACAGTTAAGGAAAAAGCTTGCGTAGGACGAAAACTTGTATTAATGAGCGTTTGACAGCCACGACCTTGGATCACCGACAAAAAGAAGTAGCAGATATTTAAGTTTTTTTAGGACAATAGTCCTGAAAATCTGTCTGGCTATGTCATATATCCATCCAGAAATAAATCAAAGGGTTTGTGGGAAAAACGAGCTTGGTGAATAATCCAATTATCCTATTGAATATTGAATTATCTTTGTTCATGCCACCCTGTAATTTTTCTTAGGCAAGGCCAACTGACGCGACGTGACACGCTCATGAAACTGACGTCATACGTCGATATGTATGCAGTTTATATATAATATCATCCCTTGAAACATCAAATACATTCCGATTCTCTTCATGCTCCGAAGGCTTCTAGTCAATTGCAAAAAGAGTTTTAAGAGATCAAAAGAAACAAAATAATGGCATAAAAAGATAACGCACTTTACAGGCGGCGTCCTTGCCAGAAAATCTGAAATCTTTTCCATTAAAAATTCCCGGTTCTTCAAAGAGGCAAGCAATATGTTTGTCTAAAAAAGCAAACGGGAACAAAATTGTGACTAACGAGGTTATTGGTCGCAACTTTTAGGCTAAATCTTTCCAAACATTTAATAAAATACGACTTTGAAAATAACTGGAGCCATATGACATTTCACTAAAAGACTCAAAACTACTAAGATTCGATCTTAGCATAACTTGGCATATTCTAAAATATTTGTCAGGCAAAATGTAAATACAAAGGAAACAAATCTGATAAATTTGTCCAACAAGATATGCTACGCAGATACAGTCTTTGACAAGCTAATATGGTTAGAGGGAACGATATGATTGAATCGAGGTTCTGCAATCATATATTGCAAAATATATTCGCAAAACGTGCTTTAGAGAGCCAGGCAAACATCTACCCAGCTAAAAAAGTTTCAAAAAAGCGCACGAAAAACATCATTTAGCGATCATTCTAAACATAACAATGTTTAAAAATATGGCCATCCTCTCTAATCTATGAACAAACAGATAAAAGAAAACGAAAAATCTTTCTAAGATATCAGCTTTCAAGGTCCGTTGTTTTTAAAGATAAAGTCAATTTTTCCATTAAATCCTGGACGATCGATTTTTAGCGATTATAATCCATGCTATTACTACCTTGGATTTTATCGTTATATGAAGGGCATTTGGTAGGATTGAAGTGGAATCCATCTTTTCAACAACCGAGATTTCCCGCATTGGAATTATAACAACACACAAATCTTTTATCTGAAATAAAAAACAAACAGCAATTAGCGGCGTGTCTAGAGAAGGCAAGCGGCCTCCGTTTTCTGGCCCCGCACTAAAAAGGCCTTGAGTTGTTCCTTTTATAAAAAAAGAAGATAAAGAGCTTTGTTCATATAGGACAGAAATTCGGTACGAGAAAATCAAAACCTATTAATTTGACTAAGAAATTGCAAGGAAAAGAGACAACATGAAAAACGTAGCAATTAAATAAGCCTTTTATATCCATTTTTCTTAACCTTTTCGTTATTTTTTTCCAAATAAATTAACCTTATAGCCTGCAGACTGCCTTCAAGTAACAGATCAAAAGTTTCTTTGTTTTATCCAAACTCAATTTTTGGACAAATCAGATTTTTCTGAGCAGCCTTAATTCCTCTTACATTGCGAAGTCTTAAGATATAAACATGGATTCTATTTTCAGCTTCTTCATAGCGTGAGATGTTGCCAAAAGACAATACATACCCGACTCTCAAAGCAAAGATAGTTTGGAGAGACATAGAGTGTCCCCCATATATGAGTCTTTGCGAACGGGCTCCATATCGTGCACTCTTGAGTTCCATCTAACTTCTCTTCCTTTGGAAGTCGGAATGCATTCCTGAAAAATATAGTATGTTAACTGAATGCTATGTAATCCAAATACTTGTCTGAAAAAGTACTTCCAGAGATTAAAAGACCAACGGATCGGTACATAGTTTGGTAATATTAGGAATATATTCTTTCCATATTGGTTTAACTATCTTTGTTGGTCCCACTAGATTCTCAGCAACTTTGTTGACTCCAATTATTTTTTTATTACAGTTATGGTTAGGTCGATTCTACAATAGCATCTTATACTTTGATGGGGGAAGCCAAAGAAAATTACTGCAAAAGGCCAATTTGAAGCTATATACAAAACTGCTAAAGGAACATAACTGAGAAGGAATATGTAAGTGTAGCAAAAATAAGAGCTTCAATACGAAAAATTTGGAACTTTCTACTGGATACGTGATTAGTCAACCGTCTTTACTTAACACGCTGATCATCAAAAAAGCTTCTAGACATTTATTTCATGTTGGCGCAAAGAATAGCATATTGGAAACGAGGCGAAAATCGAACGATCAGTACCGATAATGTTCACTTTTCGCTCTTGCTTCCAAATCTCTCTTCAAGGTCGAGTGGATTTTCTTCTTTACTTTCCTACCACGCTTCATTCTAGCAAAGAGAAAAACTTTTAAAAATCATATATTACGGAGCTTGAAATAAGTCTTGATAATACGAAGATCTAGCCAAGCGAAAAGTGTGTGCTTTTGTAGCATAAGTTAAAAGAGATAACAAATACTGGGGGCAAAAGGGAACATTTCCTCCTTCCTAAAACACGTTAAGAAGAGGTACAATATTTATACTTTGAATTGCTGAGAAACAATGAAATTGTTTGGAAAACAAAATTATGCCCCCATTAAGTTGCAAAATGACAGCAACTGGCAAAGAATGTAACATTTAAGATGGCCCCTCAAGAACCTATCTAGCTGTTTTCCTAGAACTAAAAACATTTTCTAAACAAAGCCTTAGAAATTTTATAAAACTTCTAAGATCTCTTTCCATATCCTAAGAGTCTAAGCTTATACATGATGCTAGGTTTGCTAGAATCCACACATTCAACGCTACTATACTCCAATATTAACATAAAAAAACCTCAATACTGAACTTCGGAAAAAATGTAACAAAGAAGGGTTCTTGCAAAAGGACAATTTACCTATGTGGTATTGGAAGGGATTTGTCTTGCTCAAAAGATTCCTCAGAGAGTAACCTAGAACGAAAAACCAAATGATGCAATGGTACAACGGTACAACGGTATTTCAACTGGTACAACGGCTGCCAATAGCTCAGTCTACGATTGTAGATACGCACTACTGGGCGCAATAACTGTAATTTTAACTATAAAATAGAAACGATATTATAGCATATTATACTGTACAATAGATTCTACCGTAGAGTTGACAAACTGCCTCCTAATATTGCGTGCTGGTAGCAATAGATATAGACCTATATTTTATCAAGTTATTGAGAAGCTGCTATTTATAATGCTGATCAAACTGATGTTTTATTTTGACCATGAAGATAACTATCAACCTGTCTGTTGCTTGGTGCTCCATGCTGTATTAAAAGAATTGTATCTGCACTAGTGTGTAGAATAAATCTTAGCGACAACTCTGTGAAATTGCCCTGTTCTACAAAGCAAAGCATTTATCAAAATCGAACTAACATTAAACATAGCATTTTTAAATGCTTTACTTCTATTATATTGAACTCAAGAATCTGGATAAATAAATAGTTTACAATAAACAGAACATATTCAGTATACAGTAAACAGATTCATTTGTCAAACTACAAGTAATCGCTATCTTCACGTGGCTCTTGCTTGTAAGGTAGCCAAACATTTACATCAGATGACAATGATAACATCTGAATACACTGTAACCTATTATACTCTCATTGGTTCTTTGTTATATCGACTTTATTATAATCACTTGTAAAGGCACGCCAAAAGATTTTCAAAGTATTGCAAACAGCTAATTTGGAGATACCTTCTCATTCCAATGTTGGCTAGCTGCTCCATCAATTTGTATGTCTCAGAGACATGAAGAAGCAGCGAGAAATAATACTATAAACAAATTAGGATATTTTGAATAGACATATTCACAAAATCAAACGAAAAGCAATTTAGACTGTTAAAACAAGAAATAAAGAAGAAAATCATCAACGCAAATGCAAAAATTACAAAAAAATAGTGTAAGGATATTCCTTTGTCTTTTTGAGATAAAAAGATTTAATTCCTAAAGCAAGTACCTTAAGGTGCTCTACTCACCTCTCCATCCCGTGTTATCACTTTCACTGCATCTGGTAGTACAACACTGTTTGTTCGCTCCAATTCCTAAAATATAATCATAAACATTATATATACTTTTAATCACAAAAGAAGCAAGAAAGAGGGAATTTGATAGACATCTAGGTCTTTTGTTAAATTAAATCACCAGTGGTGCATCATAAACTAAAAATGCATTACCAAAGAGTTGTTCAGCTTCAGGCAATGTATCTTTTGACTGGGTTTTATCCAGTACTAAGCCTAGCAGGGACACAGATAATAAACCTTATTCTTAGGTAAATTGTCTTCAGAGTAGAAGATATGCAAGATATAAATGCAAAATGTTTCTATACATACCAGTATATCTGTCCACCTTATAACCAACTTTGTTTCCTTTCCAAGAAGATAGGAGTAGAAGCAGATATGATTTACAGATAAGTACATCCATCCTTGACGAGGTATCTTCCCTTTCCAGTAGCTGCAAGAATAGTCTGTTAACCAAAAACACAGTGTTAAACATAAATCAAGAAGAATTCATTTGTTAAATTTTTCTAGGTTAAAACCAGAAATGGTTAAAAATTAAACATGATGCTATGTTAGAATGTTAGATTGGGCTGTATAATCCAAAAAATCATATTATAGACGTTGCCACCTTACATAGGATCTTAATTTTTGATAGGATTTGGCAGGACCCAAAAAAGTCCACCTTATAGAGGTGTCTACCTTATAGAGATGTCTGCTAAGACAAGTTTCACTGTAATTCTGATTCCATCAGGTCACTGCTATTGAAAAGATGGACACTGATACAATTCATAACACTTGGTGCAACTGTTGAATGTGGATAAGTTAATGATGTATAACTCTTCCAACTTAGATTATTGCAAACTCAATATTTACAGCTAACAAATAAAGTCACTGATGGAGTACGGAGTGTTGAAAAGAAAAATTCCTTTTGCTTGCAAATATGAAAAATAAAATCTTATAAGCAGTGAGTTTCTCCAACAAAGATATTTGAATTAGTACTTCCTTAATAAATCAAGGATCTGGAGTTAGGAAATAATTCTCACAGTTAACAAGTTTTTCTTCCTCTGGCATGGCAAATAATCTCTTGAAACGGGAACAGGCAGATTGAAACTTGGCACTTTCATTGTCACCTAAAAAGCAAAACCATGTCAAGCATGATATTTTCAAAACGACAACATAACTTCTATTCACCATCATGGGGAAATTGAGGAGATTAAATATTTGGTATAATGGCAGAAATATGATCTTTGATGATAGGTTTCATCTGAGAACACAACCAGATGATCAAATGTGAGATGACCATATAACTGCCTTTGTCAAACTTAATTTACTGTGTGGCAAATAGAGTTCAGGCACAATTCTGATGAAATAACTAGCAGCTGGCAAGATCTTACAGAGGACTGTAATATCATTTCAAAACAGCCTACCTGAAATTTCTGTGTTGCTCTCATCAGTATGGGTTGCAATGAGACTTATAACTTTTGCTTTGACAAATTCTTTTGCATCATCAGCAGAATCAAAGTGTTCTAAGGAGTAATACTTCATAGTATTTATTTTCTTCAGTAGCTGTTTTAGATGTTAAAATAACTCCTCTTGACATTCATTTGAAACAAACATTAATTTTATTATCAAAAAGTACTAAAGTTTCTATAATTTTGCTATTGATAATATTATCATTAACAAAATCAAAGCTTTGAGTCAATTTTGCATTAATTACTGACAATGTATGGTCATTTCTAAAAGAGATTCATGGTCATCTAACAATGATTTTATGTTTGGCATTTTAATCAAAGAATACTTTTGTGGTTCCATCAAATATCATAATTGGAAACAGGTATTATCTATCACCTACTTTCTTGATTTCAAATCCTTTTTGCAGATTAAGATAAATTTTACACAATAAAAGAAAACATTTTTCCTATGATGGAATGCTACTAGTACAGAACAGACTGAATCTTATGTAGCATTCACAGGTTTTTATAGTTTAATGCCTTTTCCAACTGTATATCTTCATGTAGTTTACTCACAAAGACATGAAACATATGAAACCTGCATTTCATTTACAAATAAAGAGAAATAAAGGGTTAAGAGAAAACTGATATTAATTGCTTACCAAGTGTATTGAGAATGTACCTTTGAAGCCAATTCCAATCATCCTCAATTAGCTTCTTAGATGTTGCTGTAGCAATCACTATAAAAAATGATAAGAATTTGACTTTAAACCAACATTAATAATATCATTAAAGATAAAAGTGATTTATCACAGTGCTAAGATGTACTGTAGCAAATTGCAAAGTGGTACCTAATGATAGCAACCTCTATGACAAAGTAGACCTACATGTAGGGACATGAGAATGTGTTGGAAAGTAAAGGCATAGCAAAGATAAGGATTTAAGCATTTTAGTTTCTATTTTATCGGGAATGTCTAAAGAATGTGAAAGGGGTCCCTTCAGAATGTTTCTTACAGTTGCTTGCTTGCAGTCTTTTGGAACGTTATAATTTTGTCTGAAATATGACCCTGCTGAGGTACCAAATTTATTGCAGATTTGCACTTTTCTCAGACACCAAATTTCTGAGCATTGGGGGGCAGTCCCTCTCTCTATGCCACTGTTTGTGAAATAAAAAGGGGCAAAAATTTGTTGCTTAAAGTTGTTTCCTATTGCCTTTGGTCCCTACACAACTGCCTGTCTACGAGTTAAGTCTTTTTTTGCAAACAAAATATGTCATTGTTAGGTACTCTAGTTTCTTAAAAATGTTGGAAAATTTCAATTCCTATTGTTTCCTAAGAGTTTGTTATTTATGATGGTGTTAATTTTGATGTCTTGGGTCCTTTATTTAACTTTTCCATACTAGGAAAATTTCCAACATCTATTTGTTGGAAACAGTTTTAGTAGCTGCAAACAGTGAGACTTGTCATGTTTGTTTGCTTTTTACTAATTTTTTTACACGAATAAGGAACATTTCTTTCTCTTCTCTCTGTCTAAAGTTTTATGCCAACCATATTGATGGATGTCTCAAATTTTGGAGTTCTAGGTGATTCAATAATTTCAGAATTTTTTGCTTGAAGTACTGAAATTTTTTAATTTTTCTTGATTGTCCACTACCAATTTCTTGTAGCATTTTTCTAATAAACAGAATGTTATTTAGGTAAATCCATTTTTATTGTGCATCATCAATCCTAAATTGTCATTGCAATATCCCTAAATTGGGGAGAAGTTCATTCAAGACAAACACAAAACTAGTGATAAATAAATAATAGACCTGAACTCAGTAGAAAGTGGAAGCATTTTGACAAGTATTTTCAAAACATTACAGATAGAAAACTGAATACTTGAAGACCATCTAATCTTACCATAGCAAACATCAGAGTCCCCACTCTGAAGCAATATCCTGTATGGTGCAGGCTGCAAATCAAAATAAAGATTTGAGAATCTGGTAACTGTTTATATTTACAGCTTGTGCCAATTTCTAAGAGACTTGTAGCTTCTGAAGATTTCTAAACAATTAAAATAGCTTTTTTGAATACCAAAATCTATTTTCCTACTTATAAACCAGACAGTGACGTATGACCATATTTTTGTCTTAAAGTTCCTAATGTAAACATGACATGTAAAAGATAAAGGCTATATATACATGATATGTGTAAAAATAAACAAAAAATAAAAATCCCTTCCTACATTTTTCAGCTTGGTAAGATTGAAAATCAAAGCATATCTATGATGTTATATATAAAATTTACTTTCCAACTGGATTCCCACCAAACATTATCATTTCCCAGAAAAGCTTTTAAGTGTTATCAAAATGTTATTACCTTGTTGTCCAATACATTATCTAAAGTGCCAATTAGCATGGAAGCAAAGCCTCCACCACCATGCCCTTTACGTCTTTGCAAACTGAAAAATGGATTGGCTCTTTCTGTTTCCCTGTAACAAAGAGACAAGATTTTCATAATAGCCTGGCAGTGTACTCTCAATCATGTTGAAAAGATGAGTATTTCCTATGTATGTTGGAGATGAGGTCTGTAGGCTAAGAATAAGCCAAAAAGTGTTGATAGGAGCAACAAAACAAACAGATTTGAAAAAAGTTATATTTTAGCATTTGGATACAGATTTCTTAAATGATCAATGAGCAATGTAGTTAAATTAATGAAAGTAACATTAGAAGGGGACAAAAATGTGCCAAAAGCCTCAAAGGTTGGAGTCTTTTGTTCTTTTATATGGGAGGCAAGCCAGTAGAGAAAAAATTCTATGACAAGATTTTGAAAATTTGCAAAACAGAAATGGGTCATCACATCAAAGAAACAGAAAATGGGTTCAGTGGTGTGCCAGAATGCTGGCGGGGAGGATACATCCATGTCAAAGATCTCTGGTGCAAAAAACTAAATGACAAAAAGCCTTTACTGAAGTCTAGAGAGTATGGCATTTCTCACAGTCATTTCCAGCACATTTACTGCATGCAAACCTCATTTTATTATTCAAATAACATGCAAAAAGAACGTTTTCGTAATAGCGCTATAGTGAGTTTGGTGTGATATTTCAAATTTTGCAGGCAGCCCTAAACTGCATCTGCCATACTGCAGACTGGCCTCCACTGACCATATATGAATAATGGTGACAATTTACATTTTTCTGTAGAAAATATATGGAAAAGAGCTGCAAAATTTTAGCATGAATACTTCTCAGTCACCTTTCCAACCAGACGAAGTCCTGTTTGACGCTGGTACATGCAGTTGCATTTTGTGTATTACAGGTACATTTTGAATGTTGATGATGTCATAAAAGATAAGAGTGCCTTGATTTTTTATGTTTCGTGTTTATATAGATTAATATATTGTTGCTTGATGCAGATTGAGTAGGTCGGCGAATACCGAATTCGGTTTCCTTAATCCTTGCATCGAATGGTGACAGCTTACAATGATGGTTTATTTTCTTTCCGAGTAAGGTTTTGAACAATTAATCGAAGGAAGGTAGAAATAGAAACTTTGCTACTTAGAGACATAAATGTCATAGCTTACATACAATGAAACACATAAGAGGCTTCAAATTTTGTTTTCAGTTTGAGAATCTTTAGAAACGTTCTTGTTTTAAAATTCATAATATTTTGAAAATTTTTGGCCTAGCCATAATGCCATTAGGCCAGGTCACGGGATTGCGGTTTATTTGGAAAGGATGATACTTACCAGAATGCATTTGCAAGCAACACTTCTTCTGGTTTAACCCACATCTTTAAAGCTTGATTAAATGGCGGAACAGTTTTTATCGCCAGCCATCGGTGGTAGAAGCAAAGAAGGTAAATTTCTTTCCTTGTGAACACGTTTCCCTATCCAATGTTTTCCTAAATTTTGTGCTGCGCAACTAGAACTGCGTGGCAGCTTTGACGTCACATTTTGGCACTCTCCAAACCACTCTTCCATCCAGGAGTGGAATTCATCAATTTATTGCCAATTTTCTTCTGGTTATGAAGACCTTGTTTTGTCGTTTCCATTCTCAAGGTTACAGCTTCGCAAAATTCCTGGGAGCCATCTAAAGTATTTCAAGGTTTGGCGCAGCAAAAGTAGGGCCTTAGTGTATCAAAAGGGGCACCCTCCCTTAAAGATACCATGGTCATAGAATTCCACTATTTTCCAGAAAATGGGCAATATGCCCCTATTTCTGACGTCGTTTTCCACAAACATCGTTACTACACATTTGCTCGCAGAGGCTGAATGTCACCAGTTATAGCTTTTAATTTTAAGCTATATTTGTTACAAAAAAGTCAATCGAAATTCACTTGTTGACCATTTAAGTTCTTTTAGAAAAAAGAGAAGAGGAGAGTTGAAGCGGAGATATGGATTTCAAGGTAGCAAAAGAGATAATTAAGTTAAGTAGGGAAATCTTGAAGAAGAGGAGAAACTGAAATGTCGTTTTTATTTGTTTCTTTTCTTGCATGCTTCGTTACACTTTGCAATATTGTGGTTCAAACATGATGCAGAAAAATGGATAGAGAGATGTCAGGGAAAGAGTTTAGTTCTTCACATTTTTAGAAAATCTTTCTATAAGCAAATATAAGGCTTCGATAAAAACAGTAGAACCTTATCATTTTAAAAGTTAGAAAGACTAGAACGAAACTTTCGTGAGAGACTAGAAAGTCTTTGAATACCAAACACTACCCAAACAGTCTTTGAATACCAAAATATTTATTTAAAATTTCAGTTCAAACTTTGGAACTGGTATGTTTAGATATAAATTTGCTTGAATCTTCTCTGAGGTCTATTATTTGTAGTTCCATAAAAATCATAAAGATAAGTAACACAACAAAAAATCTTTTTCATGTTGATACAAGTATAATTATAGATGTATTCAAAAACTATAATCTTTTGGAGTAGAAACTAGTATCTTCTATGTTATCAATATATACACAAATTACGACATCATTGCCCAGTCTTCAACTATGTACACGCTCTCAAAAAGACACTGCAAAGTATTTTATCAAAATACAGCTTTAAGTAAAAGATAAAATCGAGCCCTAGTAAAACATTCAAGGACCAATGTTTGACTGCTTGGTTACCCAAATTTGGGCCAATATAAAACAAAAAAGTTTTATTTTCATTTTTTATGAAACGTCAAAATGAAATAGGAACAATTAAAAAAGTTTGACCTGACTCATATGCAGGTATGAATCCCCTCTGTTAAGCTGCGATTCTAAAAAGAAGTATTTACAATACCTTACGCAGTCCTTATTTATTACATAAAAGTTACCATAGAAAATCTACATAAAATACATTTAACCTGCCCAGCAGGGGAAAATCTCTATGATTTAAAAAGGCAAATTCACGCTACAAAAGTGTTAAAAGCGAATTCACACGAAATTTAAAAGAGCGGTAGCAGCTCCCAAGTATGGGAATCAAGCAAAACTTGAAATCTTTAATGCTTAATGAATATAAACACGATATCTGCTAAAGAAATATTACATCTTCTGTTCTCGTTAAAAACTCTTCAGTTAAAAAAGTGCTGTCCAACTTTTCTAAAGCAAGCTGAATTTTCAAATTCAGAATATTACATATTAGAGAAATCTGTAAAATACACACTAGTCTGGCAAATTCATCTGCCATCAACCCCCCCTCCCCCCCATGCCCCGCCCCCTCTTCTTCCCACTACCCTGATACCAAATATTCAAAGTTCTTTCATGGATTCTAGCTTTACAGTTGCCTGTTCTACAGATCGGTATATTCTTCTTGCTTGATTTTTATACATTCTCTTTAAAATTCTCAGTTCTGAATGACACATTAAAAAAATTTTCAGGCCAAGACCTGAGTGAAAAATGGCTCTAATTCAACTCAATTCATAAACACTTCAAACTGCATGGGGCGAGTTTGCGGTGTGCGTTGTTTTAAAAGAAATTTAGGCAAAATGTTAAGGAAAACGTATTAGAAAAACAGAATGGAGAAGACAATATTTTTAAATGTGAAAACAAGTATGAAAATATCTGGGAAAAGTTTTCGAATGAGGAATATACTGACTGTAGCTTTCTAAATCAAAAATTATTTATCTAAAATTTCATCTTATTCTATATATTAGCAATTATTTCCCCGTTGTACTGTGATATTATTCCAAACACTAAAAAATTATATTTAAAAAGAAAATATAAGCTTAACCAAAAAAATCGATGCCGACGTTTAACGCCAAATCATTCATGGATGCATTCTGTAACCCCCCGGAAATCGAATGAAGGCATGGTGTCTCAACTCTTCAGCTGAAGGTCTATCGTCTAGATTCCTGGAAAATATAGTAAAATATTTGCTATGAAAAGATGGATTTCAAGAAATTACAACTACTTCCCAAAAAAACTTAAATAGGCATAAAATGTATTGACAATGGACACGAGAAATAAGTGAGTGACTTTGCTAATATTTTGTAGCAGTTATCAACAACAAGCCGATGTTATTCATACCAAGCCACGAGTAGCTGCTTCCAAATGGGGCTTGCGTGCTTAAATCATTATTATTTGTTATCATCTTATATATTTTAAAACAAGCTATGAATCAATCAAGATTTGATGGAATTTTTCATTTAAATTTTTGTAAGACGTGTGAATCCATGCGTATTATTGCAATTGCAGTTGTAAATGGATAATTGTATAAAAAAGTGCGATATTGAAGGAAACGAACTTTCATAAATAATAACCATTATTATTTCAAGACATACTGTTATTTTAAGGCAAGTATAGGGGTTTTTTATGTGTACCCAATGAATTCTACTTATATAGTAATATGAATCAGAGAACGAGTGTTCTAAGAGCTGCATTTTTACCACGTTAGCTGGCTTCGCAGCGTTCTTACCCACAAGTTAAACAAAGCTTGAGTAGCCCAGAAGAAAGAAAGATTAGCCAGTGTAGTTGGCTTTCTCCTAAATACCCACAGATCTCCTCTAGTTTAATCCACTGGCTTTGTTATTCAGCGGCAAGTAAAAGAAAAAGTGCTTATTTACCTTATCAGGCAACGAGCCACAAAGTCTCTTGCTGCCTCTGAAAAACTGTCTGGAAGTGTTGGAATTTCTGTATCATAAGACGCAATGGCATACATTGCAGCAAAGCGACATCCAGTCCTTGAATTAAAAAAACATGGCATTTAAATGGGGTGCCCTTAAATCATTGATAAAGTATTCAGTAAAGTGATGTTCTTATCAATAGCTTTCTTACTGAAAGGTCAACCAGAGAAAAATCTCAGGGTATAGTTTTTGTCGTAGAAGTACACAGAAGGCGATGAAATAGGAAAAAATAGAAAGTAAGGAAACAAAATGGGGTGGGGTGGGATCACTCTCGTAAAAAAAATTCAACAGCTGCTTACCAAGGCGGTCTACCAGTGGCCAGCTCATACACGGTACAGCCAAGACTCCTGTGATGTAAAAAGATATGCAATCAGACACTGATTTGCGAAACTTTTACAGAAAAGCTCTTAAGTTGATGAAAGTAAAGTAAAACCGAAGAGGATCAAATAATGTACCAAACCGTTATCGTCAAGGTTTTTATAGTCAACGGTTTTCATGATTCGCAGTTCTCACGAAACCCATTTGAATAATAGCTAAGGAGATCAGCAAAGAACTGGCAAAGGATGCTGGGATACGACTGCATCCAAGGACCACCCTTCCATTGCATCCAGGGACTCTGTTATAAATTTAACATTCGAATTTTCTGTACCACAACTCCCTTAGAGTCAACAGCTCTCTCAAGATATAAATTTGAAAGAAAATGTCATACATACCAAATATCTGATTTAAGATTTTGTCCATTCCCTCGAATAACTTCGGGCGCCATCCAATATGGCGTGCCAATCAATGAATTTGCACTCTGTGATGGGTCTGTCAGGTCCACATTCTGCAATAAAATCATACAGCATTCGCATTTCAAAGTTTTGAGCTGGCTATAAACGTTACGAATTTATACCCTAGTGAAATATTTGTATGCTGCAACAGTTGTATTTAATCTTATAGAATGGAGCCACATACAATATCAATACCAACTTTGATGTCAAATACCATTTCTAATGATACTAAAAAGTGCTCTGAAAACATACACTTTTCATCAAAATGAGCAATAAACAAATCGCATTTAGAACTTTAAACTGTAGAAAGTCCAATTATCGAGTAACTGTTACAACCCTGTACTCGGTGCTTCGCGAGATTTCGTCCACAAGGACTCTGCCCCGATCCTATTTGACGACAAGGTGGGTGAGCAATTCTTTACTTCCCGACATATCTGAAAATTTGCCGATGAAGCACCCTAAATGTCATAAACCCCCCCCCCCACACACACACACTCACACACACCCCTCAGCGACGGCCCTACCAGTGCTGTTAGAGTAGAGACTAAATCTTGAAGCGGCAGGAGAGCTATCAGTCATAATGGAGTGAGGTTAAAAAATTAGATATTCTCTCATTTCATGCTGATCATTGACAGTGCCACAATGCCTCGAATAAGCGCCCGGGCGCTTATTAAATTTTTGAGGCTCCGGAGTGGTCGCTTATTCGAGGGTGGCGCTTTAGCGAGAGGGGCGCTTATTTAAAAAGTAGATTTGGGTGCAAATTGTGTTGATCATTAATCTTTCTTTTTGAGTTGCTTTCCAATGATGTTTTCGTTGAAAATTCCAATAAGCGTCCATTTCTGAAGGTTGAAGATGGGCGCTTATTCGAGGGGTGGGCGCTTATTCGAGGGGGCGCTTATTCGAGGCATTACGGTAATCAAACAAATGTGAAGTCTGTTAATCAACGGTTTCTCTATCACAAACTGCCACTGTAAATAACTACACTATTTAGACATGAAAAAACTTAATTGTTCTAAATGGTAGCATTGTTAGCAGCGACAACAAAATGAATAAAAATAAAGGAAGTAAAATGAAGCATACCAAGTGTTTGGCACAACCAAAATCGATCAGTTTGACAACACCACCCGAGGTTAACATGATATTTGCTCCCTTGATATCCCTGTGCACGATGTCACGACTGTGGAGGTAGGCCAACGCACTGATGATTTGGCGGGTATAGCGTTGAAACACCTTCTCGGGCAGAGGACCAAACCTTTTTGAGATTAATTAAGAAATATTAATCATCAAACGATATTTCAGAGAAAATATGTCTATAAAAATGCGAGAAAGAAAGCTGAGTGGGGTGAGGGGGTTGTAGTATCTCTATTTGTCAGGAATTTTAGGGCTATGTCTTTGTGAAAATGTAGTATAGCAGAAAATCCTAAACCTAGTTGTCTCCAAATACAAAATTTGCCGTAAACCCTTGGGTATATCTTAAGCCAAATTTTCGAGACATGGGTACTCAAAATGAATTGTAAAGAGATCGAAATAAGTTTGGAAAATTTGTCGGTGCCAAAAGGGTTAAGTTAGGTTTATAAGGCTTATACGAAACTGGACAGTTTCAGAAAAACATGAAAATATTTTACAGTAATGGAACTAGATGCCCCCCCCCCCGTGATAGGACTCGAACACAACATGGTAGAATGCTATGCTCATTATGAAAACATCATCTGCATTTTAGGTGTAAGGAAGTTGATTTGTAACTTACTGTCTCAGCACTACGTCTAAAGAGCCTCCCGGAATGAACTCCATGAAAATATTGAATAGGTTTTCTTCCAATGTTGTTCCTATGAATCTGAAATGTCAAGAAAGCATTATATTTCATATATCAACTTAACTGAACTAGAAAGATCATAAAGCTTGTTTGTTGATAAGAAATAGAAAAAAATTTAATTTATGATTTGGTGAACTTCCGGAGAATTGAGGATTAAAGAGTTAAGGATGCTGGGATTGTACATAATATAACACAATAAATAACTGAAATACAACTATGATTTCATAAGATTTCAAATCTTTATCATAAGGTAGAAAACTCTATATTTCTGAGATAAATTTATTGGAAAGAAAACAAACGAGCCGTGTCAATGAAAAAGAGCATAGACAGAATTGGGTCATTAGATGCGCTACTACTGAGCCTATAATCACGTGGATTAGTGTTCCAACGCACGGGGAAAGAAACCGCACAGAAAAAAAGACAAAACAGCAGGGGAGGTTTTATGTCTTGCTATTATCGTTATGGTGCTAGCTCAAAGGCTTTGCTGATTAAGGTGATACCCATATTAAACAACCATAGATAAAACTTGCAAAGCCGAAGATTTTCATAAGGTTGTTAGTTACTGAATTCAGACTTAACTATGTAGCCATACAATAAACAATGTTTTTCAATTATGCTAACATAAACGAAGCTCTGACGGGTCACTGAAACCTGTTTAAGGAACATGGAGAAATGATCGTCAGGCAGACGATGTAGAGCTGCTGAGGGGTAAAAGAAGGGGAGGGGGGGTTGGGGTTAACGGTGATTGAAGTTTTCCTGAAATTGTCCAGCAATGTTATATTATTCCTTTCATACCCTCTTGAATGGGAAATTGACCACTTATATGCCCCCAAAATGAATTCTGTCATGTATGCTCGGCGATAACAATTTCTTTTAGTCTAACAAAATATCTTCACAGAATATCGAAACCCGATTCTTTATTGATCAAATTAAACAAAAAAGATCAAATCTCGAAAGCATTTTTCCACTAAACTGCAATCATGGTCAAATCTTAAAATAAGAAAATACAATTGCCTGATGTTCTCAAAACATGGTCTTATCTGCAAAATTTTTTAGAAAAACCTCACACTATGGAACATCCAGGATTTAATCCGAACTTAAACCCTGCCAGAAAAGGTCGTGGGTTTTGATGTATGCCAGAATAAAGCGATCAACCGAATAACTGAACAACATACAAGTTAAACAGTATTGAACATATAACTCACTTTACAATGTATCGATGGGTCAGAGACCTTAGCATCCCAATTTCATCTTGCAATTGCCGGTATTGCTAAAATACAATAAACTGGTAATACAGAGTGAAAAGTTTCATTTCTTTTCATAAACGTAGCTTTTGGGGGTGTAGGGGGTTTGCGTCCCCCAGGTCGTCATTAATGAGTCAGGAAATTTTAAGTCGGTCCATAAAATCCTTAGTTTGCCATTAGGGAAGAGACAGAAAAGAGAACGATAGAGGGATGGAAGAATTGTTGCAGGAAAGACAGTTGGCAGAATTGGAGGTGGATTTTACGATTGCATATTGGAAACAAAAAGGGAAATATTATCATTCTGAGCGATAGGTGAAATTTTGGCATATTTGATATGCAGGGAAATGCACATATAAAAATGATGTATTTGACCAAGGCAACTGTTTGTTTACAGGAAAGAAGAGTCAAGACATGGTGTTGCTTATTCTCTTAAAATTTGAATTGTTCCTTGATTACAATTGATCTCTGTTTACCTTTTCAGCATCCCTGGTGCCTTGCGTGCGATCCAACTCAACCTGCTTTACAGCTATGATCTTCCCTCTGTTTGACAAGCCACGGTAGACAATACATTTATGGTTATTGGCAATTACATCCCCTCTGGTCCAGCCTTGAAGCTCTTCTTGGTCACACTCCGATCCTTCGGACGAACCTTGGGTAGAGATGCTACTACTTCGTGTCAATGACTCGTCTTTCGATACACGCCTGCTTGGGCCACTGCTTACTACAGTGTTTACTCCCGAAGCAAAAGCTATTCCTGTTATTTCCTTGTAAAAGTCATACGAGTTAGTACGTTCTCTGGTTGGCCCTGCTTCAACCAATATTCTATCAGTCGGTAGGATCTCTTCAATGTCATCCACTGAATTTTCAGCATGTGAATTAGGCCCTTCCTCTGCTAAAGTCTCTAATATATCAGAGAAATAGTGGTTTTCTGCGCTGTCTGGTGATATACTCATTCGATCTAAATCGCTTGAAGCCTTTTCCAAAATAGATTCTGTAGCAATACAAGCTTCACTTAGGGCTTCCAGATCATTACAAGAAGTCTCGTTATTATTTAAGTCAATAGATTGTTTAGGCGTTAAAAGAACTGTACCGGATTGCATAATGTTTTTGTTTTCAATAATTTTATTGGTATTCGTTTCCTCAATTTTAACTTCTCTATTTTTAGGTCCAATCACCTTTTTTCTGCTCTTGGATCCCTGTGACCTTTTCTTGTTCTTTTTCGCATCGCCCTTCTGAGTTTCTTGTTTTGGGACACGATATTTCACGCGCTGTACATTTGCTCCGTTCTCCTTCCTTTTTGTCAGCTGATAAATACCCTTGTTAGTCTGGACCTTCAGACCAATTTCAGGAACTTTTAGTTGATACCCATTACCAATCTCTCCGCCCATCCGGTTTGTCTCAAACAAGCTCAAAACAATTGGTTTTCTTTTCCTGCCACTTGCAACAGCATCAATGAACCTGGAGTTTTCTTTATGGAGCACCTGCTTTTTAACATTGTTTTCTTCATTCATTTTCATTTGTGGCTTTACACCATTGATTGGAGTATTTTCATTGGCATTCGTTACAAAGTCAAGGTTCTGCACATCAGCAACGCTTTTTGAATCTGCAACCTTTGGAAGACAAGTATTGCCAGGCTTGTTTTCCTTAGAGATGCTTCTAGGCAGCAAATGTGATGGAACCTCAGGCACTACATTATTCTTGACAATTGGCCGACCCGAAATTTCCCCCCTATCGGCATTCTCCTTAATACCACTTCTCTGAGGGCTGGTCAAATCATTTGCAAGTTTCTGTCCAGATTTGTCTTCTAACACTAATGATGTAGCGTTTTCATCGCTGCCTCTTTTTGAGGAATTAGCTGATCCCTGCAATACAGTTCGATCAAGATATCCGTTTTGTAAGCCTCTTCCTCGATCTGAGGCTGCTGATCCAATGGTTAAAGCTTTCTTCCCTTGTCTGGTCTCTTCTGGGTTAGGCGCAGTTGGACTCCCTAACTCTATGAGAACAGTCGGCACCCCTAAAGGAGAAAAATTTTCAAATTAAACTCCTTCAAAAAAAGGAAGCTATGACCAATGCAACAAACGCAGTGGGATGGTATGAGTTGGTCCATCTCTTTGCAGCATTCCATTTCTATGCCTTTCGTAAATGTCATTTGAATAAGTACATGATAAATAAAACGCCCTATTAAAAAATAACAGCACCGCTAAGGGTATGGTGTACTGAATCGAGATAACATTCTTAACATTGACATGCCTGTAATTTTTTCTGAGGCCTTCTCAAAGTCTCCGAAGCAGTTTCCTAGATCCAGGGACTTTCTTGTGGATGCTGTTGATGGTTTGCGACTTCTTAATGACGCACGTGTAGGGGAAAACGCCCTTGTGCTACTGGCTGCTGAATGGTTTCGAACAGAATTCTTTCTCTCTGCTATAATCAGACTTCTCGATGATGTATTGTTTGCTGTAGAAATGGGATCTGTGGAAAACTTTGATTTATTCTTTGACTTTTTATATGGAGGTGCATTTTCAGGGGTTTTGGCGTCTTTCCGTGGATTCAAGTCCTTAAATTTAAAAATAAAAAATTAAATGCTTCATTGAAATTAGCGGAATAAAGTTTTTAGGCTGTCTGTGCCTGCTCAAATTTTAGACTCATTCTCAGTGCACCCTGGGATAAGGCAGTTGCATCCTGGGATAGAGCTCTTGCATCATGGGATTGAGCTTTTGCTGTCTTTTTTACTTAGTTCATGTTTCAAGAAAAGATACACTAGAAATGCAAAAACTAAACAGACCAGTGCATTAAAACAATTCTTGATCGTTCCAATTTAGATTGAATTTCTTCTAGGTAGTAGTAGAGCGTAATAAAGTAAATTTAAGTAGATACCGATAAATAGCTTGTTTCTCCGATAAATCTTTCTAAGTCAATGAAGAAGCAATGAAGAAGCCATGAAAAACCATACTAATCTTCTTAATACTTGAAAGAAAATCCGACAATCAACATTGTTCTCATTTATCAATTGTGAGAAAACATACCCTAACCCAACCCTATCCTACCCTACCAAACCCTACCCCATCCTACCCTTCCCTAACCCTACCCCATCCTACCTTACCCAATCCTACCCCATCCTACCCTACCCAACCCTACCCCATCCTACCCTACCCAACCCTACCCCATCCTACCCTACCAAACCCTACCCCATCCTACCCTACCAAACCCTACCCCATCCTACCCTACCAAACCCTACCCCATCCTACCCTACCAAACCCTACCCCATCCTACCCTACCAAACCCTACCCCATCCTACCCTACCCAACCCTATCATTTACACTAAACCTTTAAATCAAAGCAATAAGACAAACCCTTTATGTTGTTAATTATCACAGTCAATCTAATCAACGTTCGCTTACATTATTTATGACATGCTTGGAAAGTGGAAGATTTGGTAGCTGTATATTTGAACGGATGGCGTTGGTTGATTCCGATGACAAAGTTCCGGATTTTGAGCTAACTTCGCTTTCATCGGTCAACTGTCTGGTGTATTCCGTGGTGTCCACTACAATCGATCAGGAAATGGAAATTAACAAAATAAACTATGAAACAAAAAGAAGATAAAGTTTCATCAAGATTAGCGAGGAAGAAGCAAATGGAGGGAGAAGAAAGAGTACCTTTATCAGTAAGGTTCATTTATCTTCTAACCCCTTGATCGCACAATATAAGCACAAACCGTATAATGAAACTCTATAATCAAGTTTTTGCATCTCGTTGATTGGCTGAATTTTGCATGGCGGCCTCTTGAATAGCAGAATTTTAAAATGCTGGCAAACCGTCACACTAAGATTACTCTCTACGTAAAGAAATCTGGCATTAACTTAAAAACGTTTAATACGAAAAAAGTAACGTAGTATCCTAATGACGTACCTAATTTGAAAGAGTCTGGTAACGAACGTGCCTTCTTTGCACTTGCAGATCTTATCGACATCCGAGGTGAAGAGTTGGATGGAGTCGCGTGAAACTCAACCGGCAGAATTTTGATTGGATATTTTGAAGAAAGTGGCGACCTAATTAAAAAAAGAATTGTGAAATCACTGAATAAGAAGTGCTTCTACGGTAATTTTGATTTAGATACGCATACAAATGAGGCTTGAATTTTATAACGAGTTTAAGTAAGCTATAAAAAGGAGATCTCGAAAGAAAGTCGTTTACAGTGGCGTATAAAACACAAAAGAAAATATCATCTATTATGTGTTGCTTTGATCCTTGTGCTCATTTCAACCATAGAGATAGAGAATTTCTAGAACTCTTCAAAAGGCTTTGTCCCAATGTATGTTAAATTTTACAAGAGGATCGTTTACATAAGGCAGCCCTACGGTTCACTATACATCTACTAATTGTGTGAAGTTGCTAATGGCATGATTTGTGTGTCTGATTGCTAAAAATAAATTGTCAATCACAACAACCAGTAATCAGAACAAGCTTGGATTTGGGATAGCTAAATTCCCTACAAAACGGACAGAATACATTTCATGGTACAAAACACTTAGCATGTGCTAGAACAAGAAACATATTAAGAAAGCAAGCTGGCACTGATAAAAAGCTGTCTCTAAAAGTTCTGAACAACTTTACGTCTGCAGAACAATTCCTAAAGAACATACCTTTCTTCGATTGTCTTTGAATTTTTGATTTCGTCTAGAGGAATCTTCTTGGAGGATGTTAATTGGCTTGATGATTCTTCTCCATCTTTTTCTTCGGCATCTAAAACATATACGATGTAGAATAAAAAGCTAGAGAGAAGTAAGAAAACGAAAGAATAGTTATATGAATATAAAATATATATGAAAAACATGGCTATTAATCATAATGGATACTTACAAAGATTAGTAAAATCATCGTTTGATTTCTTCATCTAAGAAAAAAATGAAGGACCAAAATGAATTCAATATACTTGAATTCAACATCGTTTATTAAAGGAGGTTCAGTAAAAAAGAAGCCTACACAGAGACCAAATTACAGAGGTTTGATGGGGAACGAGCCTATGTTCCATTGGCCATATTTCAGCCAATTAGTAACATGTTTAACTGATTTTGCATATTTTGCAGGTTATAGGATCCAATTTCAAGAATTCTAAAAAAAGGTTTTGTCACCTCATTGGTTAAAAACTCTATTGCAAGAATTATAGGTAGTTTATGACATTCTTTTGCACATTTAACAGCAGCATTAAAACATACAGCTTTCTACGTTAAATTTTTTAAACACGCTCCTTTTCTAGCAAGCCCCTCCTCTGTAACACACCCCTCTACAGCCTCAAGAATTAGATATGTCCCCAATAGGCTAAATTAAGAGCTTTTGTGATAATTCCATTTTTAACAGAAATCGGCATTTTTTCATCATCAACGTGAATTCTTTGATTGTTTTTCGATTAAAGAATACTCACATTCGCCAAACTCATGCATCTTAATGGAGCTTTCACTGGTCTTGTCAGATTGACATTCTTATCTCTTGTTTTTTGCAGCACTAAAAACGAAACCAAAAGATAAAATATTTTTGTCTTTCTATGATAGTAAAGCCTGTTTTATAGATGAATTTTCATTCCATCAGCACCAGATTGAAAATTGGTAATTCAACAAGGAGATTTGCATCTAAAGTAAAAAATTCATAGAATTTATATATTCCCAAACATCATAGATACTAATCTATGCTGAATTCTTGAATTGAAAGCTCGAAGATCCAATCTAATGAGTATATCGACACGTTGAAACAGACAAAAACAATGAAAAAGTAAATTGTATGAAATGAACAATTGAATGCCAAAAAGAGAGGATTTCCTTTGAAAATGATAAATCCAGCAAGCAGATTGGTGAAGATTGAAGAAGATTAATGAAGATTGACGAAGATTGGCGAAGATTGATGAAGATTGGCGAAGATTGATGAAGATTGATGATGATTGACGAAGATTGATGATCGATTAGGACTGATAACAGCAAAAAGAAAATTGATAATAACATGCTGATATAAATCGATTGAAATAACATTCTACTAACCTTCTATAAGCTTGGCATTGTTCTTTTCTTTGGCTATGTCCAATGGAGACCGACCTGAAAAAGAAACACACGATGATAAAATGTTTCCAATAAAAGACTTTGGGTCTGTTTTGGCAGAATATTGAATAGCTAGTTAATTGTTATACCATTGTTGATGACTAGTCTTCCATACCTAGTGTGTGTGTTTTATCACATTTTGGCATGTTGAGAATGATAGCATTAATGACGTCATGTTGGCTTACGGTGTTGATTATGATTGCTATGTTTATGATTGTTTTGATCGCTTATGATTGTTGTGATTGATTATGATTGATGATGATTGATAATGATTGTTATGATCGATAATGAATTCAATGATTGATAATAATTGCGACGCTATGATTGATATTGATTGCAATAATTGATAATGGCTGCGATGATTGTTGAAAATGATGGATAGTGAATTATATTTGACGAGGACACAGCCTTACCTTCGAAATCGCATTCCTCAGGGTCTGCATTCCTTGAAATGAGCAATTCAACGACCTCCATTTTAGAATTCAATACCTAAAAGTGTATATACATTTTTTTAAAAAACAAGTCAGAAAAAATAGCTTAAACGTTGGCAAATTTCTTAGTTATGCACTATTCCTGCAGTGAACTGAATAAATTTCCAACAGTTTTCAGATTGATAGCGAACTAACAATGAAAAACGAAACGAACTAACAATAAATGTAAATGTTAATATCCCTCAACCAAGTGTCCTGGAAAGAAGATCAAACTACACGATTATTTAAAAATCCTGACAAATCGAAACCTTTCACAGAGCCATTTTTATAAGGCTCTGTGAAATGCATCATAATAACGAAGGTTTCTTCCTCCAAAAAGACGACTTAACTTAAACCACGAAACTTTCGATACCCACCTCAGATATTAATCTTTTACCTCTTTTGAATAAAAATTAGCCTACATTTAAATCTCCCACATTTCATTGGATTACCCTTTTTATACATTACGTAAGTCCCCATTTTTGTCACAAAGGCCATTAAATACGCCCCCATTTGAAAAGCGAGGGGGCATCGTCACTAATACTGATAGAAATGATTAGGCCTACTATCGATACTGTGAGGAAAACCAAAATCCTTTTTGTGGTTGATAACTATGATCCTTCATTTATCCTCCAATAACAAAAACAATTACCTTTGTAATTCACTAGTAGCTGTAAAACGAAAACGGAAGAATGTTGCTGTGGCGCAAGGTTACTTCCAGAGTCAGAAAGCATTGCACTCACACGGTTTACGAGCAATTGAAACAGACAAATAAAAACAAAAGAAAATAAATATCATATCGTAATCCCGTCTTGTTTCATTGTGTTTTTGAAGGTTTTTATAGCTTAAGAGTAAAGTCGGGGAGAAGATGAATACTTTCTTGTACTGTGTCATGAGCAACAAAAATCATTGAGACAATATTTATTTTCTAAAAAACGATACAATTTGCTGCACTAAGGTGCGTACAGTTCCTTCCACGTAGAATTTCTCTAAAAGATAAACAAATCAAGAGATAAAGAGCCCAACAACCCCCCCCCCCCCCCCTACGCCACATCTAAAACAAATAAAAAAAGCAACAAGAAACAAGAAAAACCATCAAGGCTATCTCATTTATAGATCAATGAAAAATTAGAGTCTATAACAACTAACAGAAAAATAATTGCATTTAAAGACAGACGCCTGATCTGAACTGAACAAAGCCGGTGGGTCCGTAGAATCTTTATGTTTAATTTGGTATATCACAGGACGAGGAACAAGAGGCAACAATTGGCTATTGGGCATTAACATATTGTAGTTTAGTAAAATAGGTAACGTAATGTCACGGGTATATCTTCAGTGTAAGAATTCCATTGAGGTAACTGTTGGTTTGACGCTACATATAAAAACAACACACAAGATACAGAATACATATTGATTGATGCCCATACCGCATAGTGTAACGGCGTTTTCCCATCAACTGACTTGCAAGAAACAGAAGCACCACGATTAAGTAAGGCCTCCACAATTTTCACGTCCCCAAGTTTGCTGGCCATGTGCAGCGGGGAAAGTTCTTTGCTGTCTTTCTGGTCTAAATAAAGCAGCAAGAGAAACTTTTCTGAGGATATAGAATACAACGCATAGAAAAAAGAAGGTCAACTCCAGTCTTTCAAAAATCAATTTAAGGAAAGACAAAATTTACTCTGCTGCATTTCACAACAATGGACAGTTTAAAAATCATGCAACATAGTTTGCAGACTAGACTTAGTGTTAACGAAGTTTTGGCAGTCGCAGCTCGTGTGCATTGAATTGCTTACAACCGAAAAGACAAAAATATCACGCCCCCCCCCCCATTATTTGCCGAATTAAACCCAAACTTTCATATAGATGAAAATTTTGATAATTACAAATATTTCTATAAAGGTAAATAATAAAAACGATAAGATGTGGCAAAAAAGTATCACAGGGTTATTGCAAAATTGTAAAAAATGGGGAAGGGGACAATTCAGTTAATTTTCTGAAGAGGATGACCTCAGAGGTGACATGAGAACTTTCTTTGGAAAATGCTTCCAAATGAAAAAAATGCTGTTTCAATAAAAATCATTATAGGGTAGGTATCTAACTGATCAAGAGAACAAAGGTGTCGAAAAGCATCAGAAACACATACCAACTCTTTTGATTTTGGTAACCAGGTCGTTAGCGATGCCTCTTGCTGCAAATCCAGTGTTCTGTACAAGGTAGTGCATTACTGATCTGCCATCAAAGTCTATGTAGTTCACGTCACTAAAGAGAGAGGCCCCTCTTAGAATCCAGTCGAAAGGATAACACTAAAATACGTAGCTGTTATTGGGCCTTAGAGTAATAATCTGTAATGGTTGAGAGCTGCAACTGAAGTATCTGGCCCTGTCATATAGTCTTCATTGACGATGCTTCTAGTGACCAAACACAACCCGAAGAAAAATGAAAAGGTTGGCGGTTACTTGCTTTATATAAGAGGCAATCAATTAAATACCCCTCAGTTCTTAATTGCGGGGAAATGCAGAAAACTTCCTCCTAACCTTCCCAGGACCCGAATCCCTGGTAAAGTGCATCTTCGTGGGAAAAAGACAAGACAGCTCCACAAGAATTCCTCAAGAATGACAACCAAAATAGCTGAATACTTAGAAGACACGAGTGCACTCTTGCCCAGGTCGCCCTGCGTGGGTGTGGAATGCAGAGAACACGCTTAGCCTTTAGACCCGCGAGGTTATGTGCCATGTTCAGATTTCTTGAAAATTGACCCAATTTTGAATGTGGAGAGACTTACGCGTGGTTTTATTTAAAGCTTTTGCTTCAACGTCGACTATTGGAAAATAATTAAAGGCTTATATATCAATAGATTCAAAGCTATCGCAACTTTACACAAATAGCCTGCGTGCAGACTCAACTATTTTCAACTCGGCTCCTCTTTTTCCTTTTTCCTATCTTTCTGTTGAGTTGAATTAATAAATCACTGTTTGGAGGCCAAGTTGGCAAAAGCAGAGTCTGCATGCAGGCTACTACACAACCCTTCAAAAATATCTTTACAATTCAATTAAAAGGAAAAACAGAACAAATTCCATCATTACATGACATTCAAACATGATCAAAGTTATATCTTTCTTACACATTATGCTCCAGTAAAGTCTTCACAACTTTCCAAGGCTCATATTCTTTCATGGCAGGCACTGGAATTCAATATACTTAGAATTAGGTCAGATTTTACCAAGGGTTACGTTATCATTTAAGATTTTCAACACAAACGTCGCTGACAAAGAGTCTTGCGATACAGCCGTTATTGAATCGAAATGTATTTAGAGCCCTTGGCCAATACAAGTGTTCCAAAGCATCGGTAACGCCATTAATTTGACAAATAACTTGACGAATCATTTCCACCTTGGCCCTGGTCTAGGCAAATACCGAGTCAAACGATTTCGTTTGCTTCCTATTAAAACAAAAAAAATACTGAGCATATGTTTTATTTGAAACGTATAGAAGAAGGGATAGCCATCTTTATATGATTGCACAAATCAGTCTTTCGTAATTTCGTTCTTATGTGCAATCAAGTTCCTCTTTCATTTACAAATTTTTACTTTGGAAAAAAGCTTCATAATAAAAGTGAGTTGTTGCTGAGATGGTATGACAAGGGGGGGGGGGGGTAATATTTGCTTCAAAAAAATAGAGTGGCTAGTGAAAAACATTTTTAGGTTGTTAGGCTCTTTGCTTACATTTCTCGAAGAAATTGATGTCTCTTGTTGCTAACTGCAGCGGCGTGGATCCATCTTTGTTTGTGTTATTCACATCAAAATCTTTTCTCTGGAAGGAAAAGAAGACATAAAAATATCGAAAGTAGTATAACGTTTGATCCATAAAAGGAACATAGTATTTTGAAAAGGGCAGATTTGTTAGTGTATTGATTTCATTATGGGTTTCTCCAATGAAGATTATTTTCTTTATAGGTCATGTTAAAGAAATTTAACCTAGCCCCAATGTCGCTTATATGCTGGAAGGCACCTTTTGGGCCCAGGCTAGCGATGTATGGGTTAAGTACCTCATATGAACCCTTTAGTCTACATATAAGGGCAATCATCACAACGAAAATTAATGGTCTGTTATAAAGTCCTCTATGCCATGTAGGCAGAGCTGTACAGGCAATTTGGTGCATAGAACAGGACAGTTCTAAGTTGCTACTTTGATTGTCACGCTTAATACGATTATCAGGCAATTGTTCTGCGTATAAGTGCAATCATACTGATTTAAAGGGGGAGTCTACGCAAGTCGAAAAGCGGGGAATCAAGGGTTACTTGAAGATTCGTAATAACAAATCTTGAAGACTTCTCACACAAAAGTGAGAGGGAGATGTGGCCACTCTGTTAGCAGTGGGCCTAAATCCTATCTATCAACTGAATAAACTTCACGTTTAAACAACTTCCGTTGTTATTCGGTAATAGTTTTATGCAGAATAATTCCAACTTAGCTTAAATTTCAAAAAATTGGCAGTTACTCACCAGCATATTTCTAACAGCCTTAACATTCCCAAGCCAGGCTGCATGAATCAAATCTGACTTCAATTTTTCTGCAAGATAAAGTCTACCTGTTAGCTAAAATATTATGATATAACATAAGTATACCTGTACAAATCAGATGCTTTTAAAACTACCCCCATTTCTTACGACAAGCCTGAGATTACTTTTCCATTTATCTACTCTCCCTATAACACCTATAATTCTGCCATCTGTTCAACATTCAGACCTTCATAATGCAGCTTTCTATTGAATTGAATTTGCCTTTAACCGAATTCCTTGTAGATTAGGAATAGCAATGACATTGAAAATAAACATTTTATATCATTTTTCGTCGACTTGTTTCGTTGTGACAACTTTACAACCCTCGGGTTCTTTAACTTTTTAATAGCCTCTTTTTAATAGTTTTCTAGACCACTGATACACAAAGAATGATATATTCACAAAAGCAAGATATATTGATACATAAATTACTTTTCCAGACTGCCCTGTACCAAAGAGAAGAATAAACCCCTAAAATTTACAACTTGAGTACATAATAAGAAATAGCGAAGTAAAAGTAGTTTAAAAACAATTAAACGATCAACAAAAACACAAAATGGTTCCTTCATGTTCTAGAGTTTTCAATAATTAATTTGAATTGTTTGAAGGTTAATGGTAATTTTGATTTTACACTAGGAATGTTACTAAAAAGATCGGTAAGAAGTGAGGTAAACAATCTACCTGACATCATGAAAGACTGCAAGTCCTGGTTCGCAAGGTGGACAGCTGTTTTCTCGTCTACATTTTGCAGAGTCAAGTCAGGACTATGCTCCAAAAGAAGCTTCAAAATCTAGGGTAAAAGATTCAACATGACAACATTAGTTATAACATGAGGGATTACAGAAATAACGCCATTCACGGGGACAAGCACATCGTCAGTGTTCTTCCATCCCTTATGAAAATGGCAGGCAGGTTGCCGTATTTTCTCCGGCCTATATTAAAGGCCTTTCTGTAATTAAAGCCTACTCTTCCCTCCCAAATTTCGAAATAAGCACCCCCCCCTCCTAAATAAATGCCTTCGCCAAACAGACCTAAGATAAGCGCTTCCCTCAAACAAAGATGTGACTTTTATATTCGAGCTTATATTAGGACATTTACAACTGAAGTTGTTAACTATAACATGGAGACGTAATTGTGGCTACTACTTCATGTACGGAGTCCCAAAATAATTTTGGCTTTGTTGCTAAAGACCAGGTTGATTTCTGGTAAAAAGACAAAAACAAAAAAGTGATGTTTGGAAATACAAATCCAAATTTCCCCACATTCCTGCTTTTTGGTAACCCCATTGCCTGAAAATTGTCAGTATAACTCATTGTATGATAAAAGTATACCTCTTTGTTATTTCGTATTGCTGCAATCATCGCCGGTGTGTTGCCTGTCCCAGCATCTTTGAAATCCATTGAAATATCCTGTCATTAAAAAAGCTAATGGTGGTAAGAAGGGCAGTGCTGGCTGGGTAAAGCAAAAACAGTCAGATTGCGCATGTAAAAGACAATCTGATCCCCTTAAACAGCAACTAGATTTTGACACTCGGGCTTTAGGGCTCATGGGCTGTTTTCTAACTTTTTAAAAGAAGTACAAGTTTAAAAATGTGTAGCATGATATATTACCTTTACTTTTGTTTTCCATTTTGAGATAAGGCCCCTGAGCTCGTCTACTTTCTCTGCCTGCGAAAATGTTGGTACTGACTGTCAACATTATAATCATAACTTAACTGTTTCATAAATGAAAATAGAACAACGTCGAAAAAGGCTAAAATAAAATAAAGTCCAAACAAAAACTTCGAAAAATACCGAAGGACTGTTCATTGTTCAAGGTCTTTAAAACCTCGACAAGTATTTTCTTAAGTGTATTGGAATAGTAGCTTTTTTTCTTTATGGACAGATCTTGGCTTAACATAGCCTGCGTGCAGACTCTACTTGAGTTGAATTAAAAATTTATTGAGCCAAACAATAAACTTTTAATTCAACTCAACAGAAAGATAGAAAAGGGAAACAGAGGAGCCGAGTTGAAAACAGTAGAATCTGCACGCAGGGTAGGCTAAACAGAGTGCCTGAAAAAAGTACGATTTTATCTACAAATACTCTCCCTAAAAAGACCCTTTGCTAAGATACATTGTGTTTCTTTTTTCTTGTAAATTTTGATATTAAGTACAAAAGTTAGGTCAGTTCTTTTAGATGAGCCGTCGTAATTAATAGAAAAAATGAGATTGAAACACCTCAAAAGAACAATTGTACATAAATTTTACCAAGTGAGAATTTCGCGATACTACACCATCCTCGACTAAATCCTTACCTTGAAATGACATATTATCTAGAAGAACAGGAAATTTTCAGAACTAATTAGCGATGTACTCGCTCATATATGCATAAACGAATGACGTTGACACAAAATCAACTTCAATTCAAAGCTTACCTTGATGTATCTCAAACATTGTGTCTTGAAAATTTCCAAATCTCTGAAACGAGATTTTAATCATATATTGAGTACGCCGCTTTAGTTATGATCTTTTCCATTGAAAAAAAGTTTACAAGGATCATCTATACACGCATTGAGCAGACCTTCTAAATGAACCGCCCCTTGCTGCGATTCTGTAAAAGCTACTCCAGTTTCTTGCGTCTTAGTAAGGTCTAAACTGCTACGATGCTCTGAAGAAACTGTCCTTTGATATTTTTGATATTATTTTTGCTAAAATTTGATTTTTCAAAAAACTGCGAGTCTATTAACATGAGAAAATTTTTTTGTTTAAATTTATGCCAAAACATTTTTCGAAAAACTGTAACAAAAACAATAATTTTGATTTGCTGTTGGGGAAAACAACATGCTGAAAATGCAAATTTTGCCATTTTTGAAGGGATCAGGCGGGGATACGGGAAAAACAAACCTAAGGAAAATTTGAGGTCAGCTAATATTCATTGAAGTCCCATTAACTACTTTCTGGTACATATTAAAGTTAATGTAATTGCTGATATTTGTAATTGCAAAATCAATCACATTCTTTATCACAGGTAAACTGCTGAAAAAGTTTGAATGTCTAAAGATTACTGACAATTTTTTGACATTGACTTCAATTGCGGGACACTCATTTAGTTGTTCATTGATGATGTTTCTTTTATTAGGCTTCAAATACACTTCCTATTGGTTTTTTGTTTTATGTCTTTTCAGCTGGTCGATTGTTGTTATTAGTTAATAGTGCGCTTATATGTATCAATATGCTATGGTAGTTTTTAGAGTGAGCAGTAGCAGCGCCACGAGGGGGGGAATGGAGGAGGGACGTGTTCTCGGCAGGATCAATTTTGTATTTCTTCTAAATTCGATGAGAAAATGTTGGAGGAGGGGTGATATTTTGGCATTGTAATATTGTGATGAAATCCTATGATATTTAAACTGCCCTCACAGAACCAAAAGTTAGTCATTGGCATTCACTAAATTGGTAAAATTGGCGTTCCTTGTTGGTATAGGGGTGTTTTCCGACAGTAAATAGGGCATAGCCTAAAAGTTGTTGTTTTTTCCCGTCCCCCCCTCCCCAGGGCCTAGTGGCTGTCGTCGCCCCTGAGAGTGAGGCTTTCTGGTAGAAGAGTTAGTTGTTTGCAGTGCTGACAAAATACGTTCAGTAGTGATTGATACGAGACAAGTCTCTCTGGTCCTTTTGTCTCAATTCTCTTGCTTATATGTAGTATAATAAAATCGAATAAATCTAGCTATTCAAAGCTAACGGCTTAGGATAAGTAAAAAATTCCAACTATGGCATTAACACAGTCTTTCTGACGTAAGTGTTAACTTTATAAGCAGGGACAACAAGCGGGTTTGGTTGTTGTTGTTCAAAGGTAGCGCCTTATCAAAGCTTACCGAGGTGATTACAAAAATTGGTCCCAAGATGGTACTAAGAGCCAGAAAAGCTTTCAAAGTAACAGTGTCATCGGAAATGCCTGCTCCATAAAAGGCTTCAGAGAGAAGACAATTTCTATTATCCGTACAATGCATATTCCCGAAAAGTTCAGGAGCTACAGCCCTCAGGCCCCCTTTGGCAGAGCCCTGAACCAGCCACGGGTGGTCGATCTCACCAGTTAGTACGTCAGTGATGGGGACGAAAGGAAACATGAGTTGCAGTCTGGCATAAAGACTGGTGGAGAAAGTTTAACATGTTTCAAATATTCTAAGCGCAAAGCAACAATAGCTCAGTGCAAAACATTTGCCGCTTCTTTGGTAAGGCTCGAACTGCCCCCATTTAATCTGATATAGAACGACGTATTAGGGCCTAGTCCCCACAGCGTCTTTCTAAGTAAGTCTCTGGTGCTCCGAAACGTTAAAATATCACGGGAAAGCGATAACAAGCATATCAAAATACCTTTTCGTCCGAGTAATGTGAGTGCAAGTATAGCACGCTGATCGCTTCCTTGTTTTTGAAAGCGAGCTAACCAAGTCAGTCTCGATCGAATAAAAAATGTTTTAATAATGTGGAAGGGATCGCTAGTAGACAAAGATCGACATAGTTTTAGACGAAGAGAAGAAAGAAATATTTTGGCATGGTGTTGCCTCCACCTGACATCTGCATCTAAAAGCGATCACAAGAGTTGCAGAGATTCGCAGAGATTTACTTGAAAAAACGCGATATTTACGTAAGGAGAAATCGGAACAAGGCCGAAATAGATAAGTTTACAAATACTTTAACAGAAAGCTTTGGTTCATCAGAGTTTTTTAGATCAACGAAAAACGTCTAACGAAGAATTTAAATTACCAACAGTATGCTACCACGAACACATAAAACGGTGACGATAATATGTATTTGGCCATTTGAACAATTTGAAATTGCAAATAAAAACACACAAACCCCAGTAGCGACCCCGCTAGGCATTGAAAAGAAAGTGGGAAAATTGTCAGGTTACAAATTTTGGGTCATGACAAGGAAAAGCAAATTTTCAACAAGGTCAGAAAAATGGCACCCTTGGTGGACTTTCTTGGTGGAATTCAAAGCCTTGGGCAGCCTAAAAAACCGCGCGGAGAAAAAAATTAAAACTTGGCTTTAAAAACAAATTTTCTTGGCGGGACAACACTTTACCTTAGCTGGGATGCGTTCAGCGGGTCGTTAGTTGAGGGTTGGGGGTGTAAAAACTAGTACAGAGGTTCGAGCCTTGTTTCTCACTAAATTGGGTTTAAGTGTCCATTCTATTCGTTTAGCGTTCCATGCTGAAAGCATGTAAGTTTTTACTACATTTTAAGACCACTCCAGGAAACTTTGCAGTAAGAACGAGGATGTAACTCCTTCCTATTGCTATCAGAGGATCGAAAATGACACTTGTTGGGAAAGTAATTCCGGTTTTGATCATGTGTCAAATTTTATGTACACTAAACACTTGTGTTTCTCCGCAAGATGTTAAACTGGAAATTTCCCTGAAGTTGAGGGTTGACTTCAACTCTTCAGACTGCAATCGCCCCCCCCCCCCATCACTTTATCAGATTCAGACAGTACGGATAAGTAAGGGAATTTGCGAGCTATATGAGGTGAATGTCCTTTTTGCAGACAGAAGGTAGATGTCACAAAAAGAAAATAATATATGTGCTTGTTCTAGGGGTTGCAATGTCTTTAATATGGGGGTCTGTTGACCAATTCGAACTTCTCCCCTTTGGAATATTTGCCCCCTCCCAAGTTTTTATAACTACACATCTTTTTCCGGCATCTGTATCCAAAAAACAGCTCTTGGAAATCTATAGACGCTGCAATCAAAAAATTGTAAAGAATTTTGCAATAAAGGAATCGTTCTAACACTGGATGGCTCTAAAAAACTATTTCTGTCCTCGCTTTTGGCTTGACTCGCTTCAGTTAAGAGAGAATTCGAGAGCCCCAAAAAGGGAATTTGAGAGCCACACAAAGAGAATTCGAGAGCCACAAAAAGAGAATTCGAGAAAACTCTCTGTAAATTCGAGAAAACTCTTTGGGAATGTCTATTTTCAAAAAAATATAACAAAATGAAGTTCTGCATTAATTCAAAGTCGTGTTTCGGTCATCAAACAATCTCCACATGGTTTGTTCCTTGGATCACTTTCTAGCTCATTCAGTGCAATGATTTCGAGCTTCAAATGGTCACAAACATGAAAGCTAAGCGTAAAAATATCGATTGTCGAAAATAAAATGTACTACACTCTCTTTTTATAAGAAAAATTTTATAAGAACACGAGCCTCAAAATTGGTCAAAAGTTAAGAACAAATTAAGAACAAGCTGAGGCTGAGCTTCTGCAAAATGCAATTTTGAACAACGTTTTTTCTTAAAATCGAGGAATTTTTAGCGGTGTGGGTGCTTTTTCGGCGAATATTCAAATTTGTCAGCAAATTAAGGCTGTCTCATTCACTTTGTTGGCAAATGAGGCCTGTACACCACTCTAAAGCGAAAAGCTAGCACTCGCACTGTTTTAAGAACAAATTAAGAACAATCCAGCCTCAGATTTCGAAAAAATTGAGAACAGTCAGCCTGAACTTAAATTTACTGGTTCTTATAAAAAAAGAGTGTAATTACCGGGAAACTTCAACTTGTAGATAACCTGGGTTACTGAAAACTGCAGAAAACCCGCAGGCGATTTCCTCTTGTGAGAGCACGGTCCAGGTCATAAACCCAAAGCGAAATCTTTTCAAACCGCTAAATTAGATATAATGTGACTCGCGGAAGTGTTATTAACCATAATTTACTAATAAAGTAGGAACAGTATAACAAATCTTTACACTTAGCTCGCGTGTTATATTCTTTTTCAAAAACATTTAATCGATTATTGTGACGCTAATGTAAAAGATATTTACAACAGCCCACTTCAGAATTCAGCTCATAGATTAAGAGGAACTGGAAGTTCGGTGTTTCTTCCTGTTGTGATAAAATCAAACGATGTACAACGTCACCGCTGTACGATTGTAGGAGCTAAAATTTTTTTGCCTGCTTAAATTGTCTCTTGAAAGGAATAATGACTATGTTGCAGTAGCTATGAACGAATTTAAGTCTTACAACTCACCTAATTTCTGGCACGTTCCCGAATATGTTCGCAGCCACCACATCGTACCGCTCTCGAGCACTTTGATTCCCCTCACCTAAAGTGGGCCTAATCAAAGCAGGGAACCTTGTACGCTCGGCGTCCTCCCGAAACTTTGTATCGCCTTGTGAATTTTTGTTCGGCATTTTACTTTTCAAATCACGAATTTGCGATACATTTTACTCGATAGGTGCCACGACACAGCTAAACGCCGTCTTGAATGTTCACTTACTGAGGACATTTGATTCGCCATTGTAGATCACGTTACAAAGTCGAAGCGTCTGCGGCTTTTAACCTCAGACCATCAGCCGCAGCCAAAGGCACGTGCGAGCGCGCGATTGTGCCAAAGATGCCCGCACCAAGAAATGTGAAAAGTGGAAATAGCAAGAAATTATATACATTTACGTTTAGCCCTCAATCTATTTATCGTTAAGGTTTTTGTTGATAAGTCGTGAATTCAATTGGCTTTATGTGACAGTTCACAAACTCCGTAAAGGAGTTTCGTATTCATGTTCGCAACACAACTTCACAAGTTACTATCACAAGTTCAAAGGGTAAAAGCCTGCGATTTCAGGATACTTTTGAAGTTCCTAAAATTTCGTTGAAGTTTTATCATCAAATTTGCTCACCAAAAGGTTTATGGAATGTCATTCGTAATTGTATCTTTTGAAAAGTCGAAATGTCTTTCTGCTGCCAGCAAGGTTATGTGCAAAAAATGTGGGAATCTCACATTCCTGGTCTTCAACGACTACTCCACGTTTTTGATCGTTGCAGATTTATATGCAATAGCTTCTTAGAGACAAGGGCCTATCAATTCTAATACCGCCTTTGGGATCACTTAATTCCTTCGGATTACTGAGAGGTCTCATCTAGAATTAAATACATTTGTGGTCAGGAAACTGGCATTATTGCCTTTAGCACTTCTAATGCCAATTCATTTTATATCTACGACTGAAACTAGAGACGTAGCTGGTGGTGGTGTAAGGGGGGCGAGACATCCCCAATTTTTCATGAGTTTGTTGGGTTATATGGTACCTAGAGTTCCCTGGTTTGTCGGTAAAGACGCCATCTGGGCATCGGAACTTAATTTCCTGTTTCATCACTCGTCTGTTACCATAGTTTTTTACCTTTGGGCAGTGGTGTATTGCTATCAAAATAACAAGGGGGACTCTTGCACGAAATGTTGGGAAAAACAATAGCAAAAGTAATGATATGCCAATTTTCAGCCTTATCAAGGGGGCTCAGCCCCCCCTGAGCCCCCTAGCACTACACCCCTGCTTTTGGGGTTTAGCGTAGGTGAAAAGAGTGGAGAATCCCCATTAATCGCCCTTGCTGCTGCAATTCATGATGTTTTCGTCACCAAAAGGGACCGAGGGAGAATATGCAATTCTAAAAAGCGCTGCAACAATTTTCAGTTTTCTGTTTTCGAGAATGAAACGGATATGTTGTTGATGAACTCGCTTGAGAAATTTCAAGTTTTTATGGTTTAACACGCCCCTTCAGATTAGTTATTACAACTTTGCGTTTGATCCAGCGAAAATGTTTTATTCAGTTAAACTCTAAAAACTCTGTAAGCAACCAAAAATATTAAGTAAGGCAGGAGTCTCCTTTTTCTACTATACTTTTATTGAAACATAAAGCCATAGGCTGCGAACTTCGCACAGTGTTATATTTCAATAACTCCTTATATGGCGGATCATAGAGATATGCATCGTCTAGGGCTCGTGAAGTCATGTGATACTGATAAGTGCAATTATCGTGCTTCTTTCATAACCAGTGAAGAAAGAAAAAACCACAAAACCTGTTCAAAGATCTACAGTGATCCACTTTATAAATAAGTGACAAAAACATGGGCCGTTGAGAAGTTTCCAGGCAGAAAAGGTCATAGGCTCCAACAAAGGTTGTAAAGTGGGGAGGCCAAGGGAATATTTATCACCCATAACAAAATATTTTGAAAAAAGTTCCACTGTTTTGCAAAAAAGTGGGGGGGGGCATGGCCCCCGGCCCCCTTTTGTCGGAGGCCAAGAAAGTAACCTTGCTTCCCAAGAATTTTCTGCCTTTTTCTTTTGGAGACTTGGTAAAGGAAGACATGAAATACAGTAAAATATGCACAGGCCATCAGACCATAACCAACCCTACACTTCCTGACATTTGATGTACATACGTAATCCGATATCTAAGCGAAAATAAGGGACGGAATAGGTAATTATTATTCTGTGATACTGGCTCGGTGCCTCAAGCTATATCTTCCTTGCTTGGTTATTGACGTTTTCAACAGAAGTGAATGCTGAGCTTCTCTTTTTTCCATTTATTTTGCAAAATTTTGTGTGAGATCTCGCCTTGCGTGAGAGTTTTATAGTATTACACCCCTCTTGTTTGTACACTCAACAAAGGATGTTTGGTTTTCCCCAATTCCCCTCCCACGTGAAGCCTGTACGCACATATAAGGTAATCGGCTGCTACCTATCGCGTCTTTGGGGTTGCGGTCGAAGTTTCCATGGTTTCTGACGAACAACAAACTCGTTTTCAAATTACGGCACATAACATCCAGACAACAATCAGGCATTGTGTTTGTATCACTCACCCTAAGCTGGAAGTGGGCCAAAAATGCGTATTTATGAGATTTCTTACGATATAAATTTAATTATTCAAAAGTGAGACGATATCAATCACTTTTAGGTCTGTATTTGATTGGGGATAACTGGATGAAATTTATTGCGCCATTATCAGATACCTGAAATTGACATCGATAAACAGAAATGATTTGTAAGGTGGAAAAAAATAGCTGACAAAGATTAAAGCTTTTATAACGATCCCCAATAAAAGATGCATTTATAAAATCCATAAAAATGCATTTCTAATTTCTTCTTTCTTGCATGATCGAGTGGCATTGTAAAATCCTTTCAAAGTTGAATGTTCGATAATTCAGTAACTATTCAAAGGTTGTAGGGTATGCTAGGCCCTTTCCCTCTGTAATGTTTTTTTCCTCTAAAACAGTGCATTAACGTGTTCTCAATCATTTATGAACTCCCAAAGATCTTTTGCATCACATCCAAAGTCCTCCCTACCGATTTGAGAGGCATCTTTAAATGACTCATCAAAAACAATTAAGGAACAGTGTGGCATCTCAAAATTTGAAAAAAAATCGGAGCAATTGTTTACAATACTGTCGAATGACAGGAAAAGGATAAGCCGGTTTACAATGCGAATTTCCTGCCAATCGACAAATCATATCATAGGATGCATTAAGAAGTCTATATACAAATAATAGCTGTTAGAAAACATATCCCATTGTTTAGCTTTTGATAGGTTTCTCGCTTTACCTTGATTCAAGAGAAAGAAGGCTTAACGTAATTTGTATTTGTTGCTACCTAGCATCCGAAGGTAGTTTTTAGGACACTGAGAAGCTATGCTTATCGAGCAGTGTCCTGGTCCTTCCTCTCGATGTGACCACACCTCGTGATTCCTACGCCTGAAATTACAGAGAGCTGGCGACTCTCCCCACTCTGGGTGAAAGGTTGGTCATGCCAGGGACTCGAACGACGGACCCTTGGGTCTGTAGCCAGCGCCTCTAACAACTGAGCCATCCTCGCACCCGCCTCTAACAACTGAGCCATCCTTGCACCTAACGTAAGAAAAAAATGTGCAGGCCTTTTCACCTAGGAAAATAAATACTGCCCTCGGCTATGTCTGAACATGTTTTGTTTTTGCCATGTCCATTAACACTGGTGCTTGTGTTTCAACAAAACAAAAGTGCAATTAAAAATATTGCAGAATCAACACAAAAACCTTGTCTTTGATGCAAGCCAACATAAATTCTTTGAAAAGCTGGCCTAAAATAATCGTCTTATTAGACGCTGATACAGTGCCTTACTAAAATGTGTAAAAGTTTCAACATTCAAAAGTGATATTACGGCATTATAGAAAAAACGGTTGAATTTCTTAAATGTTTATTGCGTGAATAATTAATAAATTGTGCATAGAATGAATACATCATTTTAAATTACATAGAATTACAGTGTAAAATTACCTCTTACATTAACAACAGTAATTGAAAATTGCAAAACACATTCTGTTTCTTGGGCAGATTCCCTTGAAATTTGTCACAATAAAAACGAAAAATTTTTACAAACCAATAACCTCCGATCGGCGGGCTGCTTTTTCTGTACAAATCTTTTCCACGTTACAAACTAAAACTCAATTATGAAATCTATATTTTGAAAAAAAAAATATGATGGTTTGTGAACGATAGTGTTTTATCTTTGATTAGGATAGACGTGCGCAGGCTAATGGTGCGAGACGCAAACCAAAAATTAATTCAACTTAAAAAACTACTTAAAGAATTATATTTCTAGTCTGTACAGTCAAAAACTTTACTATACTTCACGAAGAGTAGAAATCATTAGACGAATGATAAAAAGACTCACAAAAAACCGTAAGAGTGTTATAATACAATTAAACAGAGCCCGGGAAGAATGGCGGCGACACAGTCCCTGACAGTGGGGAGGGCCAGTCAAAACAAAAGAAATCGAAGTGCCACACCCAAACCACGCCTTAATTTTCATTTTTTTTCTATGAAAGGTTTTCAAAGTTTATAGAAATTGTCCAGAGGAAGGATAAACATTGGACTCTTGAGTTACCAAGATTCTCTCCATCAAATATCGAGGTCAAAACCCAAACAGTTCAACCTAAAACGTTTATTCTATTTTATTTGCTAGTATTCAACATCTCTGTTTTGCATTGAGAACTGTGTTTTCTTACAGCATGTTCACAATTTTTCGCGGTACAAATTTTGAAAATGGCTTTGAAAAAGCAAACATTTTACAACATATTTAACACGTATTCGTCTGCCACTCCTCACATAAAACGTCAGAATCCGGGTATAAAAAATCAAGCTGGAAAAATATATACCAAGTATTGGATCGAGATACATCTAAAGGCCAATCAGAAAATCACGTGTTAGCGTTATTTTGATTGGTCTGTTTCGATCCACAGCTTGATCTTTTACAATCTGATTCTGGCGCTTTGAGGAGTGTCAGACGAAAGAGTGAAACCAAAAAGATTTGAGCTTATATGTTGATATTTAGAGGTAACAAATTGTTGTAGCTGTAATTACAACTAATGTTATGTTGCTGTTGCAATAAGGTTAGAGGCCATTTGGCCTAGATACCTACGTGAAAAATTAATGCCTTGAGAAAAAGGCTTCTGATTTCTGAGGTATAGCCTCGCATAATTCCAATCTAGACCCAATGTAACATGTGTTCCAATATGGCGTTTTTCATTAGCTGCTCAATGGATATTATCTAATTTCTTAACATCGAGACTGGCAACTATCTTGCAGGAAAGTCGTCAGGAGTGTCTTCACCAACACTTTTTGTAAACCGTTCGTCACTTTTCACTGACCAGTCATCTTCGTTCTGTTCAAGATCTCTTTGCGGTGTATACGTGTACCGCAAGGAAATCACGCAAAACACGAGGAAGTTCACGCTGAGAAGCCCAGCAAGTAAATAAAAGAAAAAATCCAACTTTCCGTCATCAATATTCTTTCCATCGTACCATTTTTTGCTCGAAACTTTAAAACTCACGGCGTTGACAATCTGAACCAAGGCACTACCAAGAAATGAGCCGATACCCGACGTTGCAAGAAAAAGGCCCATGACAACACCTTGTAGCACTCTTGGAGACTGCGAATATGCGAATTCGAGGCCTAAAAAGAAAATTTGTCTTAACTTCATTTGGTAACATAAAAGTGTTTTGTAATAGAATGAAGAATATGCCTAAATCCTTTTCTCTTCCACACTTTCTCTAGCCACGGTTCTTCTCTCTTTCTTTGCTTACTTTGTTGTCGCTCTGCTTTAACGGAAGAGACTTAAGGAGGTTCAAATGGTCAATTCAGTAAAAGCATATGCAAGAAATTGGGCCCTAGCAATCACATTCAAGTTTGATTTGAAATTCTCAATTATTGTTTCATTTTTGTTACACTCTCATAGTACCGTAAAATAAATATCACACACTTATAATTACCGATATAAAACGTTAAAGCACTTCCCTACACAACGACAGGTTCAATCGAGACTACGTCACATTGGACAAGCAAACATGTACAAAAGATAACCTCCCTCTATGATACAAACGGACTACTTCAGGGACAAAGAGCTTTTTTGAAACAGACAACTAAAATTACACAAAACGGACAAGGATTAAGCTCAAATGAAAAAAGTAAGAAAATTTCTCACCTGAAATACTTGTAAAAACTTCACTGATTCCAATTAGAACAAATTGTGGCACTTGATAAAAAACAGTAATGTGTGACTGGTTATACCATTTACCAGATATTTCTTTGCGAATTCTTGGCCCAGATTTATCTCGACGGTACACCTAATGATAAAAGCTTTTACAATTCGAGAACACCTTTTTAAGAGCAAACCCACTGGCGATAAGGGGAAAAACTATCAAAAGGGTGTATCAAGAAAGGATATGGAATTAAGCATGATATCGGAATTTTCAATAATAAATTGCGGATAATAATGCGAGAAAGAGTTGTATCATTAACTTGCAGACCATTAAAAATAAAATAATCGTTTAGCTAAAGCCCTCTTATCAAGGCTTCTAAATGCACACCGCGCAAGATATTTTTGGAAGAGTGCAGTTATTCTCTAACCCCCCTCTCAAATTCATTCAGCTGCAATGGTGCCCTTTCTAAATCAAAGAATAATTTCTCATAGCCCCCCCCCCTGCACAACATGGAAAGACAATACATTTTCTGTCAAAAATATGAAGTTAACTGTGATTAACTTGAGAAATAGTGTCATGATGCCTTCATTCAGTATATCATAGCACAGAGAGAATTGAGGTGGAGACTACAATCTGTGCAGCCACATACCTCGATCTGTGCAGCCACAATGACAGAAAGTATAGCAAAGATCATCCCAATACCCATTCTTCGAAGGGATGTCATTCGTATTTTGAGCTTGGCAAAGAGTGGGTAGATAACTCTATCCATCAATGGAATGAGAGCGAGGATGATGACTATGTCGAAAAGGCTCAACGAGGCTGGAGGAATTATGAAATCATCTGTGACATTGAGGTTCATCCCAAGACCTTGTAGCAGGAATGATGTCTGCATCTGAATAGAGAGTAAAATGTTTATATAATAATGTGAATTTAGGGGCATAAAGGATGAGCAAGAGCACTGAAATTGATAGGGTCTCGACAAAGGACTAACGGAGAGGGCCTATTCCCTGAGACTTCGAGTTTACCATTATAAAGGAATGCACCTTTTCACGATCATATTTGACGTGAAACACTGAGTTTTAACTTAAAGCCAAACAAAGCGGTACAATGCAGCTCTGTCTTTGCGGCATCGAGCACCATATGACAGACAGGTAAAACAGTAATTCTAATTAAGTAGAAACAAAAATACATAAATGTATGTGCTTTATTACACTACCTGCTATATTACAGCTGAAATTAGCAGGTAGTGTTGTAGACTTCATTTAACCAGTATCTTCAACTGTTGAAAACTGTCGTACACGAACACTGTCATAATAATTTAGTTTTAAGCATATAATCGATAAGTGTGTATAGTTTTGAGTATATTAGGGCAACAAGCAAAGGGTACTCAACAAACGGCGTATTGCCATATGCTAGGATTATGCAAAATTGCAAAATTACGCAAAATACAAGTCTTATACTAAATGAAATATCCGTTACCTGGAAGTAAATAGTCCAGTAGAGGATCATACAAATAAAGATTGGAATGATTCTGAATAACGCCAGCACAGTGTCGACCTGTCCGTTATAATATGGTCCCCCATACCGTATTCTTGCATAGTCAAGCCACGCCATACCAGTGACTCGTTTTCCATCCTCGCTACGGCTAAGCCTGAACTTTCTCGTAGTGGCCTTGTGCATTATTTTACAGATATCCGTAATAATGCTTCCATTTGGTGGCTTGCATATGTATTTATGACGTCCTACAATTTAAAAATTTAGTTTTATTGGCACGGGCCTGATATTACACAAGCAGTTCTAACGTATTAATTCTATTATAAGCCACTCTAATTTATAAGCCGCCCTGGATTTAGCCTGTGCCCCAGTCCACAAAGGGGTTATTAACAGCCCGCCGAAGTATTTCTTCCTTATCTTCTTCCTTATCAATCACCCTTAGCTTCAAGGTAGCAGGAAAGCTTGGCAGGATCAGGATAAAAAGATGTAAGCGCCCATTGTTTATAAGTAACCCTTGATTATAAACCACAGAAAAACGTGCCAAAAAATAATTTTAAACCGCGGCTTATAATCGAGAAAATATGGTATCACCCACCAACATACTAAAGAGCCGACTTTGGGCAAGATTTCTTTCTGTAAGAGGCTAAAAATATGCCTTTGAAGCTGCTCTTCGTCAGTTGTAACAGACTGATCTGAGTGAAAATACCAATATTGATGGGTAGAGAGGAGCACCTTGGCAACAATAGTGATCACCAGAGATAGAATCGGGTGCCACTAAGGGGGGAGGGGGAGCACCTTGGCAACAATAGTGATCAACAGAGATAGAATCGGGTGCCACTAGGGGGGGAGGGGGAGCACCTTGGCAACAATAGTGATCACCAGAGATAGAATCGGGTGCCATTGGGGGTGGGGGGGGGGAGACAGAGAAATGACTCTATTAATTAAGCACAAAGTCTGCTACAAATGGCTAAACCAATGACACTAAACAGCCTCATGAAGAAAATTGTTGATAGCATCGGCGTTTCTCTAAAATTGTTGGCACATTAGATATATGAAAAAAGTTTCCAGCTTTTGAAACCACATTAAATCAGAAAGATTTGTCCCTAAAACCCACATAAAATCAATTCCACTTTGCAATCCTTCTGCCCTCTTTCTATGATAATGTAGATATTGAAGTCTGATGCTAAAACATTTTAACTTGCTTAAAACTATTAGCGAGAAAGGAATGTAGCTTTGTAGTTTAGTTTGTATGACATCATTGTAAATTATCCTTATATTGCAGTACCACAGGGAGGAGAGAACTATTGGAAAAATATAACAATTTAACAGAAATCAGAACAAAAGGAATTGTCAGCCCATTAAATTTGTGACTGAGGGATTGAAAAGTCAAGCTTTTATTATACATTTATCAGGAAGAAACCTTTTGTTAAAAGCAATAGAATAACATTCTAATTACCTGAAACCAAAATGATTGCAGCAACAGTTATGCCAGCTGCCAAGATGACATATCCTTTGAAGAAGCCATATTGTGTTTGAATATAGACTATAGCTGTATAGGCAATAAATGATCCCACATTTATGAACCAGTAGAACCAATTGAAAAATGTAGTGATGGCACCTGGGCCTAAGCTCTGCACTTGCTCTGCACCAAAGGGAGAGACATTTGCTTTAATACCACCAGTTCCAATTGAAATGAACAGCAGAGATATAGCAAAAAAGACCCACTTTGCTGTTTGATTAAATGCATACTTTCCACCAGATGATCCTTCATAATCGAATGCAATTGCAGGAAGAAGAGATGTGCCAACAAGGTAAATCATAATACTCCCAAATAATGCATTGTATTTTCCTGCAATAGAGTCAGCAACCCATCCACCAAATAAAGGGACAACAAAGCTGACTCCTGGAACAAAATTGACTCATTTTATGTCACAGCTTGATAAACAATTAATATAGAACTACAAATGCCATGTTGCAAAAGAATTAATCTTTACTCAAGAAGCTGTCTTATAAACTGATAAATTTATATGGATGTCTTCCTCTATCCTTCTATGTTCATGCTATTTCCGAATAGGTGGTACAAGAATTTGCACGAGGAAACACACAGCAGATAGGTAGATGGAGATTAGCAAAAGATGAAACCCCATGGTTTATCTTTTCAGTGATTCATCAGTTGCACTAGATGTGTGTTTGGGCCAGAAGAAACTTTTTTGGGGATGGCGGCTTAAGCAACAAAGTACTACATAGTAAATTACCTAACAATATAATTCTTTCAATTAAAGGGGGACTTAGCCACCCAGCCCCCTTCTCGCCTGGCGAGATTTATTTATGAATGAACACAAGCTGAATCCTATTGAGAACTGCAATTACAAAATAACCAAAAAATGACACCAACCTGTAAAAATAAGAACAATGGAGGATGCCAAGGCAGAATCCAGAGACATATTATTTGTAAGAAATACCAACAGATTTCCTGACACTCCATAGTAAACCAGCCTTTCACATAACTCAGTGAACAGTATGCACAATGTGACAGGCAATTTTGGACCAAAATTTGGCCTTTCATGCCTTGGTGACATTAAATTCCGTTCTTCATGATGACATGAACTGGAGTAGCTCAGTGTCATAGATCTTTCACTATTACTCCGACTTTTGTACAACAGAGAGTTACAATCTTCATCAAATGATTCTGATGCTGAATGCAAACGGGAAGTCTTCCTTCCAATTTTCTGTCCATTTCTGCCAGCTTGAGAACCAGCCACTCCTGCATTGTCATCTTCATGAAACATTTTGGCAACTTTGTTTGAGTTGAGATTTCAATAAACTCAAGCCCACTGTTTCTAATATATAAGATATTATCAGCATAATATGTGATACAATAGATATCAGTTTCATATAATTTTAAAAACTCTAAGTACAAAAGGCAAAAGTCAAATACAATTAACTAACAATGACAAATGCTACGGAAAAATAAAAGGTTTAACAATATACATATATATAGAAAGAAATCGTATGTAGGGGGAGTTTCCTATAGTTAAGGAATCTCACTCAGGTCATAACGTACAAGACAAACTTCTGCCCTGTTTGCGAAAATTGACTCTTGTTGTGATCCAGCCACTCTCAGAATATAACAAATCAAAAACTCACCAGAACTAGCAACACAAATTAAATAAAGAATAGCTTAAAATGTACCTCAATTGTTGTTAGTCCAAATAATGTAGAGTTAGCAACAGAATCCGCAAAAGCCGTAATCCGAAAGTTGACCATCAGACATCTCAGTGCAATGTAATTCTCTTCTTATGACTTTGCTAGACACCATACAATACCGTCTGTTTTGCCAGGTATGCTTCCTTGTCTATTTCCCACCACTCAGTCCCATGACTTGAGCTGCAGGATCACTTTAGCTTCCTCATCGCCTCGTTTCAGTTCCCAGGGTGAAATTTTCATGCCCCTGCGAAGGACACATAACATGATCCAATGGGAGAGAGGATTTCATGGTGCCCATTCGACGTTTTCGATTTCGAATCTTGTTATCTGCAGATTTTTCTCAAAAATCGATTTCAGATTTGAAATTTTCGTGTCGAAAAACTTATGTTGTTTGGATAATCGGGTCGCGAGTTACTACGTTTTGAATATTCGAATAATTATAATATTATTTTATATATAATTAAACTTATGACCAGCAAACACCGATGAAATGTATAAATCCAAATTAAGAAACCAAAATCGACAACGCTAACGGGGAATCACGAATAAGATAAATTTTAACCCCAAAATCCGAAGCACTGCTTTGCAGATCTCAGGAGACACCATGAGTGCCTGGGGGACGTGAAAACATTTTTAAAGAAAAGACCCCCTTCTAACTAGCACAACAATTTTCGCCAATTTCACCCCCCCTAGGCCGTTCAAATAAATCAGAAGACCCTCTAATACGACTACTCGTCAATTAAAAGATTAATCATCTGATGGCAAGTCGATTTATTCAAGTCATGTATTGATCTTAATCAGAGGTCTAGCAACAGGGCGTTTTAGCACAGGGGTGAAGTGCTAGAGGGCTGAGCCCCCTTGTTGATGCCAAATTGGCAAATTTATACTTTTGCTGTTGTTTTTCGCAAGATTTGTGCAAGAGCCCCTTTTGTTATTTTAACAGCTCTACACCATTGGCTGAGCCCCCTTGTTAATCACTACTTTGGAAAAGTAGCAAATCTCACCAAAGAAGCAAATCACTACTTTGGATGTTGTTTCTAGCAACATTTTGGACAAGAGCAGCCCTTATTTTGATAACACTACACCCTGACTTCAACGGACACCATTTTAATGTGTCAAATGAAACTTCATTGTGAAATTTTCTTTCTAAAGGTGTCAGTTGCGAGTTTTACAGCGCTAAACAAAAAATCCACTCTCAACTAATTATTGTATTTTTGTTCTTGCTGGATAAGGAGTGTAATGTTTTCACTGCTCTGTTTAAAAGTGCTGCTGTGTTTTTGATCTTGCATTCGCCAGTGTGTGAGTGGGATGTGATTTTTCCTTATAGATCTGATGCTACCAAAAAATATAACCAAAATGATGTCACACACTCAAAGATTTCCAAAAGCTGACACTTTGAAATAAAACACATGCAATACAACATAACATTATAAATAATCAAATATTAAGTAACATATTTACTACAAAGCACCTGTAAAACATACAATCAAACTGCTACTCAAATCAATTCAAGTCACACATCTGTGTACATGCATCTGCACTGAGAGGAGAGTGATGTTACATGATTTGTATATTGAAATAATGAAATGTAAGAGCCTACAAAACTTACGGAGATACAGGGACAAGTTGCGGTACAAAATTGATGTCACAAAGCCTATTGTTTGTGCAAGGCAAACAAGCTACGAAGTTTAGTACTGACTTCTTTCCTAGTAGATCAAAACATTAGATTCAAAGAGATGGTTTTCATATTCACGAATAACTATTAGAAATCAATACTGAAATTGGGTTTCGTTTATCTATTTTTTAAAGTCTACGAAGAACTTGGGGGTCTTGATAATGTCAAACTCAAAAACTAGTATAATTTTTGTGGAAGTGGAAACATCTTTGTTGCAATAGACATGATTTCTTAGATATTCTCTTTGTTACCAAAGAGCTAGGTGTTCTACAACAGCTGTTTTATATTCAGTATGTTACATGGTGTTAAAAGAGATTGGCTTTTTTAGTTTTAGTTCCAAGAGTTCTTCTCGAACAGTCGAAAACACAACTATTTGGTTGACATCTACATGATTTCACTACTAGAGACGGGAAGTTTTGCTCATTTTTCAATTTTTCACTTCACTAAATAACAGAAAGAACACAGCTTCACTAATTAACGACAAGGTTTTAACCATGACAAGGATAAAATCTGTATCAGCAGCCAATAATTTTCGCAAAATTTCAAAATATCATTTAGGCAACAGTAAATAATGCATTGATTCATTTATTTTTGCGTCTAGTCCGGTTGGCATGCGGCATGGCGTTCTGAGGACCATCCCAACGAGCCTATAAAAGATATTTAAAAACAAACTATCAAAAGAAAGATGAACCTGGTTGTATATTTTACTTACGTCATACGTTGAATGCAATTTAGACTAATATTTTAGGACATAAGTTCTATATCTGCTTTATATTCTAAACGTTTTCAAAACCTATTTGGCAAATCCTTCTAACACGTTCTGGTCTTGCTACGACTCTCTCTGATATCCATTGGCCCCATTATATCTGCTAAACCGAAAGTGGATTAAATTAGTTCGGATAGCTATGTGGTACAGTGTAAACGGTTTTATCCGGATAAATTTTATCCACGTCGTATCTTGCTCGAAAGCGATTGGCTATTTCATCCCATTTAGTTTTCACTGCCTCCCAATCAAGACCTTTCGCCATCTTGGCTGCATGTAGTCGATAAATATTCGTGTTAAAAGTGCAGTATTTTCGTCAGTCACAGGAGTGGCGGCATGGGGGGGGGCAAGGGGGGGCTGTAGCCCCCCCTAGATTTTTGTTAGCCCCCCCCCGTCGGCAGCCAATCAATTTTTGCTTTCTCAATACCGTCGGCACTTGATGGATGTCACCCGGTTTACATGTTGTTTGAATGACATAAATAATCGAGGAGAAAACTGCACTGGCTGGTTTATGGTTTTCTCAATGGCTTTTCTTCGGCAATATTACTGTCATAGTGGCATTATATCCTGTCGCTTCCGTGAAAGCTGTGACTTAATTTCATGGTGCTCCTTCGCATGACCCACAATACCATCGTGCTCCTCTCGGTTGAAATCCCTGTTGCTGCTTGGAATTCATGCGAAACGTGCAGAGATGCTTGATTTGGATCATGTTTTGGACCGTTTCAAGGAAATTTACCCTAACAACAGCAAAATCACGCTGTCATAAATAAAGTCTTTAATGAATTTTCTTCTTAAGGGATTCTCTTTTCGTTTCAAGACATTATTATTGCCAATGAAAACATTTCGATCATGAGCACATTTTGCGTAATAAATTTTTCAAAGAGCACTTTATGTCCTTTTTCGTCAACTATTTTTCAATAGCATTGTTCACCGCATAGCTCGCAACAAACAAATGGTTTAGAGAAAACCGTCGATTAACTTCTTCCAACATAGATAGGAAGAAAAATTCAACAATAGGCAATATTTGCGCATTAAGTTTCTTACAAGGCACAAATTGCCGACAAAATCTCGTGGACTCCGACACAGGTTGGAAAGTGGGAGCGGGGAGGGAGAATTTTGCACCCACAACAAACGATTTTGTAAAAATGCTTTATTGCTTGCTCTATATGCTTGCTTGCTTTTGGAAAAATGCTCTTTATCGGTGCCCCTTCATTGGAGGTGCTGCTCAGGGGCGTCGCGACTGGGGGTTGTCACACCAACCCCAATAGTATCTCAATAGGGAATTTCAGGTAAAATCCGCTCGGTGGAAGAAACGCTTTAGGTATTTCAGAGACCTTCCTGTCATAAAATCAATAAAGGATCAAGCAATCTTAGGTAAAATTGTGCCTCGTGTCCACTTCTCCTAAAGTTTCTCAGTAGAAGCGTCAACTGCAATTCACTATGAGCTCCAGATTTTTCTTAACATTCATAAGGCATGCTAAGATGGAGAGAGAGATCTAAATTTAAAAGTAATTGGCAACCTGGTATTTTTCAAGACCACGGCGAAATTGTTGTTTTTATCTGCTGTAAAAAAGTTTTGCAAAAAGACAATAATTTTCAATAGGATTAGGAGGATTGCTTTAGTGAAATCTGCTTCAAAGAGTGCATTTTCCAGGGAACTAGAAGCATCACAATTCGAAAATTTCCTGCCCCTTCCGCGGCAACCATGGTGCCGCCTCAGGTAGTAACTATATATTTTGCCCGTCCCGATATAGAGATTTGACAAGAAAGTCGGTTATTATCATACAGAGTTAGATTGACAAAATGTATTGCAGAGGTTTGTGACACCAGCTAAAAAGTTTCAGGCAATAATTTTTTAATCAGGTAAATTTGCATTCCACAGCCCCCCCCCCAAACGAGGCTTGCCTCGCGACGGCCCTGCCTGCTGTATGGGGCAAATCGAATTTTTTTTCTGTCGGCAATTTGACACATCCAGCGTCGGCAGTTACGGAGAATATAAACTTCGGCACCTTGAAGGTTTGTCTCTAGCGCCACCCCTGGTCAGTCAACGTAAAATTGGCATCCTTGTCAGATTTTGTTTCAAAGAACGAATTATTTAAACTAACTTTGCCTAACTTGTTTTGACAAAATTAACGGACTTCGTCTGAAAGAGAAGCAGATGATTCTGTAGAGAGAATGAAAAGTCTTTTTACGTTGGCGGGAATTTTGTTGTTACTTTGTTTTCCAGAGACGATTTCGTTTTGGGTGTTCTGTCCATGATTTAGGTCATGTGACTGCAGTTATCCGACACAGTGTAAACGGAAGGGCAAAGTGGACAAAATTTGTGCGGCACAGTCTAGACGCAAAACAATCCGAACAAGTTTTATGCGGATAAAATTTTTTCCGGCACAGTGTAAACGGCACAGTGTAAAAGTCTTTTTATGTTGGCGGGAATTTTGTTGTTACTTTGTTTTCCAGAGACGATTTCGTTTTGGGTGTTCTGTCCATGATTTAGGTCATGTGACTGCAGTTATCCGACACAGTGTAAACGGAAGGGCAAAGTGGACAAAATTTGTGCGGCACAGTCTAGACGCAAAACAATCCGAACAAGTTTTATGCGGATAAAATTTTTTCCGGCACAGTGTAAACGGCACAGTGTAAAAGTCTTTTTATGTTGGCGGGAATTTTGTTGTTACTTTGTTTTCCAGAGACGATTTCGTTTTGGGTGTTCTGTCCATGATTTAGGTCATGTGACTGCAGTTATCCGACACAGTGTAAACGGAAGGGCAAAGTGGACAAAATTTGTGCGGCACAGTCTAGACGCAAATCAATCCGAACAAGTTTTATGCGGATAAAATTCATCCGGCACAGTGTAAACGGGGTCTAAACCTAGCTATAGGGACTGGACCTAGCTATAGAACAATAGAATGCCAAAATGGCATCGTTGATTTAGCCAATCAATAGGCATGATACCACTCAGACGATCATTGATTGGACAATAGTTGATTGATGGATGGCTTTCATAAACTCTCGCTCTTTAGAACATGCCACAACTATGACACGTGCTATGAAAATGAATACATGAAACGAGGACAGGTTCAGTACCGTGCTACCCTGGGTACCAGACTCACTATATAAAATAATAGAGAGTCTGGTCTAGTGCGCCCCATTCTCGTTCTGGTGAACTTACTTGAAAGAACTGAAGTCTATTTAACAGACTAGGCCTGTGAAACAAGACTGTCAGATAAATAATAAAGAAACTCAGTAGTCAGAGGAGTTTTGGGAAATCTTAAAGCAAATGTGTTTTATTAAGTTCTTTAAAGTCGACATTTTTAATACAGTGGTAATAGACTTTTCTGCCTCAAGATAACAATCAAATCAGGTTTAAAACGCCATTTGGCAGCAAAAAACATGTGCGAAGCATGAAATTAAAGTTAGCACAATGCAGTTATTAAATTTTAACCATTATTAAATGTTAATCATTATCAAATTGTTAATCATAGTCTTTTGTAATTTTCCTCATAAATTTTGTGTACTTTCAACGTCTACTTCCTAACAGTGAAGGCAGCGCGCTTGGACACCGCGGCGGTTAGAATCATCACGTTGGAAGGTCACCACAGTAAATATGGGCAATATGACAAGCGAAGCCCCGTATGCCGGGCGAAATATTAGCTATAACTGATTTACTGTTTTTGTTGTTGTTTGTTCTCGGCACCTTGCGGTGTTTCTTGTCTACTGCATTTCACTACAAGGCCTAATTTCACTACACTCGCTCCTGATTGGTTAATATCAGCACACCAGAACGAGAATGGGGCGCACTAGACCAGACTCTCTATTTTATTTCATATATAGTGAGTCTGGTACCCAGGGTAAGTACCGTGCACGAGGGTGATTGGTTTGCAACGGACCTGCGGAGGTAGCCCTTAGTCTTAGACAAATATTTATCATAAATAGTAAATAGTCCTTGCAAATATTAGATGAATTACATCACTATATCATCAAAATACTTAAAACAAACAATAGAACGCTAAACAACCTACCGGACTTTGCACATTCCACTGACTCGGCTTCTCAGACCTATTGACAACAAGGCACGCCTTTTTTACCAAAAATATTCCAATAAATGGATGCAACTATTTTTTAATGTTCCAACAAGATTATGAGGCTAGTGGCCAGATGGCGTACCCCAAGGTAAAAGAAACATAACCCTTTAAATATAAATGAAGTATAAAAACAAGGGCAGCATGAACTAGAATACTCCAGACTCTTATCTTGATCTCTAAACAAAAATACCTGCAATTTCAAACCCCCGAAAATGCGTTTAAGCCAGACCCGAAACTTTAACAAACTCCGAACAGAATACGCTGAAATTCTTTAAGTAGGACTGACCCCAAGGGCGTTTCATTTCCAGCAATGGTATCTTCACTTGTAATTATAAAAACAGGAGCCTCAACATTAGATAAAAAGTTAGAAGATTAAAACCAAGCAGCGGCCGAGATACTAGAAAATGTACGAGCACAAAGAATATATTTTCATGACAGGAGATATCGTTTGTGTTATCATAAATATTTGCATTGAAATGCTTTTCTGCATTGAGGTATTTTCTCGTGTCTAAATTTCTTCAACATACGCCCTAATAATCTTGGACCAAATTATGAATAATCCAGCCTCAAAGTTGTGGTAAATTCAAGAACATCTAGTCTGATACTCTATTTACTTGTTCTTAAATAAAACAGAGTGCAATTAACAGAGTAAAGTCGGCCATTTTTCGATATTTTTAACGAAGATGGGGAGGGGGTGCTCTTTGATTGAAGATTGTATTGAAATTGAAATTCACTAGGACATACGGTTTGTGCGGTGAAGGCATGCAGATAATACGATCATCTTCCGGCTTTTTGGTTCCGCCTTGCATTCCTGGAAAAAAAAGGAATAACTATTCAACCAAAGCCGCAATCCAACAGTAGAGGCAATTGAAGCATAGATAAACACATTGTTACAACACAAGTTTTAAAAGCAAGAAATTCTGAACCAGGGCGGCCGAGCACTTAGAACTGATACAGAAATCTTGAAAAACACTTTTGAAGTTGTTTACTGTTTCAGTGAACGAAACAATGCAGTTTTCCTAATGTAAAATATGTATAAGTGTTAAACCATATCAAAACCATAATTTCCTTGTCAAGAAATATTTTCGTTGTGAGAACATTGTTGACATAATAATCAAACAATACAAAATAATTTGACTAATATAATATATCATATGATATAAAATAATATAATGTGATATAATATGACATAATTTAATATAAAATAATATAGTATAATATAATATAACATAATATAACATAATATAATAAAATATGATATGAAATAATATATAATAAGATAACATAGCATTGTACAATGAAAAATGATAAGGAATGATATAACACATTATTCATTTTAACACAATATTGGCAATTGAATTTATATAAAAGATTATGAAATAATACAATATTTGATAATGAAGTATATTAGAGTTAATAAAATTCGTTTACCTGCTTTTCGTGATCGCCTTTGGATCTTAATAGGTACTGGTGATTGTACGCGCGGAATAAAGCTCAAATCAGTTGGTGCCATGAACGAAATATGTGACAGGTGGCCTAAACGAAAAATAAAAAAAAGTAGAACTTTGAAACCAAATACCTCAGAGACGGGCTTCCACCTTCAGCTGAGGGTTACAATACGATTTTGTGGGGACAAAATTGAAAAAGAAAATGATTCTTCTCGAAGTATATTGACGAGAAAATGGAAAAATTTCAACTTGATTTAAAGATGTGAAAACCGCCAGCCACTAAGCCCTGGGGGGGGGGGGGGACAAACCATAAAATTTTTAGCCACGCCTTTTACCACCAGAAAACGCCCTTTTACCAACAGGGAACACCGATTTTATCCGAAGGGAACGCCGATTTTATCAGAAGGGAACGCCTAAGACTAACTTTTGTTTGAAAATTGGCAGTTTGAAAATCATAGGACTACATCACAAAAAGTACGGTGTCAAAATATTACCCCTCCCCAACATTTTCTCATCGAATTCAGACGAAATAGAAACTCGATTCTGCTGAGAAGTGGGGGGGGGGGACGTGTCCCAGTCCCCCCCCCGTGGCGCCGCTACTGATTTCAGCCTGACTATAACTTAAATGCCAATATCTTGAATAAAAAGGGATGAATGTAAACTTGTTTTACAAGCAAGTATAAAATAATTTGATGTGAAGACATCTCACCTTCTGGCGTACTAATAGCCCTGCCAACGCGGTCTTCCATTAGTTCAGCATCTGTTACCTGTATATTATAACAAAATCGATCATTAGTCGGAGTTGCAAACAATATCAAACGATTGCACTTAGCAGTAAAAATTCACATTGTTAGAGTAGATAGTAGAGAATCTATTGCCAGACGTTGAAAAGACTTGAGATTTGTCGTTGTTGTTCCATAACGACATTTTCTTAGCCTGAGTGCAGCACCTACTGTTTTGTTCACATTATTGAACTGAATGTTGAGCAATGTGGAGCTTCACCTTAGCAAATGCTTTGTTTGTTCTAGTTTTGCATTTTCCCTTTAATATGGTTTTTACCATGGACTTGAATCAATTATCACAAGAGACGGAATTTTAGCGGCGAAGGGGGGGGGGGTATAAAAATGTCTAATTCAGGTTTGGGAGCAATTCAAGGGGAGCTTATATGTTAGTCTTTGAATTGACTTGCATTGAAAGCAGCATAGAAAGAAAGAAAGAAAAAATTAAGGCCAAAGGAGCATGTTTGCATCAATTGAAGAATTTTTGGGGTAAAAAAGAGGTTTATCTAAAACTGAATTTATACAAGATAAGATTAAAGGAAGCTGAAAAGGAACAAGTTACACTACATCAATCGTAGTTCATAATTTCACTGTAGTAGCTTGCTTGACTTTTATTTATGTTTGCCTCACCTTTAATTAAGTGAATAACATCTGAACAATTTTTAACGGTAAAAGCTTAAAAATGGGTTTGAAAAAAGCGGACATTTTACAACATACTAAAAGTATTTCGTCTGACACTTCTTAGAGTATAAAACGTCAGAATAAGGGTCGGAAAGAGCACGGTGAAAAATATATACCCAGTTGTTGATCGAAATAGGCCAATCAGGTAAAGATATCCAATCACCTTCTGGATAGCCGTTGTCCAGAAAATTCATTTCAAGTTTGTCCAATTCCACGTGGATTTCTCAACCAGCACAGGATACGGTTTGCTGAATGCAACTGATTTTAACTTTCTAAGATTCAATCATTTACCTTGATAATAAAAATTATCCGGGAGACAAAAAAAACAGTTCTAGAGAGCATACCTGAACCGGAGATCTGAAATCTGGTAGCTGATCTTGGACGATTTCTCTTACTTTTGGCGTAACAATATCGGTTGCATTCCCTGCAGAAGAAGCTGCTTTTGGGGTGACATTGTTTTCATCGATGATACCTTTAGCAGATTGCCTGTCGTGCCTGGGTGTTCCAACTTGATCCTTTTCTTGCACATTTTCTCTAGGCTTAACGACGTTAAACAAAATGAGATTTGGACTAGAGAAAACAATATATTCTAATATCAAAAATTTACCAAGTGTGTCTAATTCAAAATATTTTCCAAGTCTACCCAAAGTCAACTTCATTGTCTATATTCTCCCAATCTTGCCGACAAAGCTTCAGTTGGTTTCAATCCTACCATAGAATAGATAGGACTCATTAGCCTGTTCAGTGACCATTTAAATAGGCAATTATTAACAGATCAATGATTCTCCATGTATAAGTTTCAGTCTTATAAATCCTTGCAGTTATTATCATTTTTCATCACAAGTTATGTTTCAAATATAACTATATCTCATAAGGGTATAAAATATTCTTTTGTGGTTTTATCTTGCACCATTATTGTACCAGTATTAGGAAACCTTAAAACAAGAACTCCCAGAAAGGCAGTGAGTAAGTAAAAACCCTTGTGATTTAAAAATACTTGGTAATTTACCGAAGGGACCGAAGCTCTTTCGGCTACTGAGAGTTTTCTCATCTTTTCCATGACTTTTTTAGCAGAGTTAAGAAGCACTGCTGTCGAGAGGGTGGTTTGGTTCATCTTCGCCTTGGATTTTGGTGTCTTCATGTGAACAGGTGCAGTTTGTGCAAGGTAAGCTGATCTGCTGGGGTCTAAAATTTTATATAAAATATTAGTTGGATTATAAGCAAAAATAAACATTTAGTAACCAGGAATATTCTTATCTTAATCTTCCATGGTATAGAGCCAATAAAGGAATACAGAAAGAAAGGAATCTTGAAAATTTTGATAAAGCCTATTGTTTTGATAAAATGACATCAGTCCGCCACTGCTTAAAAAACATTATGAAGTTTGTTGTGCGCAGTGAAGGAGCAAGCTAGCATTGAGTGTTTGGTTTTTGAAAGCTGACAGCGCATATTTTATTGTGCCACTGACCAAGAGTCCTGACATTAATGAAAATGGACTCACTATTTGCATTGGTTGGTGTCTTTAACCTCGGAGACGAGAATGCTGCGCCATTACGAGGCGTTATAGCCGCATTCCTGCGCGAGGCTGTCATTGGATGATCCTGGAAAATAAGGAATGTGACGTCACATTGTTGATAGTTCATAGAAAACTGAAAGCGTCTTTTTGTCATGACGCGGGTCAACTATAGCTCCCTGATAAAACTATCGTAAGAGATTAGTAAGAGATTTATGCTTGTGATGTAACTGAGTTTATTCACGATTTGGTAATTTCCAAACTAGCCCCAAATCGTTGACAATTATTGCCAGAAACCTTTGATCATTCATTAGCTTCGGTTCCACATTGGTCCCTATCCCCTTTATAAACACTGTTGGCGTATTTTAGAAAGTAACATACCATGGTATCTAACAAATCAGTTTTATTCGGGGGTTTTTTGTATTTACTTTATTTGGAATTTACTGTAACTATTATGGAGTTTAATATTGTTTTCATTGCGGATGGGGAAGCTAGTGGTTGTATCAAGTGCGAGAAACAAATCAAAATTGTTATCCAAAGGTATTGTTGTCAGACAGCTGTTGTTTGCTGTATATTGCGGTAAACTCGACAGGAATGCGATCAGTATCTCTCTCGACTTAAGCAACCGGTGTTTCCAATAAGAAAAATAGAAACGGTGATATGAAGAGTACCAAAGGATCAAAGAATGGGCTTCAATCTGCTCATCACAGAATTAACTGTCTTGTAATCACTAATCGAGTACAGAGCAGTGACTCTAGCATCTAATTCCCCATTTGGTTCAAATATTTCCTTTTTTATAAAGTACAATGCCTGCCAAAAGTCCTTGGAACACCCTGAGATTTCTGTGAATTCACGTGTCCGATGATATTTCCATGTCAACAAGGAGAGTGTTGCCCCCCTTCCCCTCATACAATGTTTATTAGTTAGCTGAAAACCATAGCTATGTAAAAATGTATGACTTGTACATGTAGGATTATCAATATTTCCGTGGCACAACATTGTACAAGGGGGGAGGGGATGTTGCAGCTCATACACAACGTAAATTATGGCCAGTGTTCCAAGACTTTTGGCAGGCACTGTAGGCAAGGTAGCTATGCATAGTACTCAAAAGAAGCCTGAAGTGCAGTTTGGCGATAATCTTCAAAAATGACGTGTGACAAGAAAGCGTGGCTAAGGTAGGGCTACAAGGGTGAAAGTACTCTAATATATCGAATTATCTTCTTTCCCACTGGAATCTGACCCAAACAGGGGCTAATCTGCTAAAAACCCGGCATGTGCCCTCTGCATTTTATGTTGAAAGACGAGCAACACACATTTTTAAGGAATTTTTTAATCACAAAAAACTTCATAAAGTCTCACTTTCCAATATATCAAAGACGCCTAATTGGGTGCCCATAAATAATGACCGAATTTGAGGTTTAGGAGGAATTTCGAGTCAATCGGCGCATTAAGGAAAACAAATTACAGTCTTTGTGAATTTTCTAGACGTTAGTTAGCTCTTACAGTCAGCAGTTTATGATACTTAAAAAAACGCCCTAACTTTTTTACATAAAGCTGAATAAATCCTTTATAGTTTCTGATCAAAGAGTTATATGTCCTATTCTTAACAAACATATTCATACTTGCATGCTCAAAGCATTAACTATGTCTAAATATACAGCATGTTTCGAATAACGTCACGTTTTGGATAAACATTACATCACCAGTATGACAAACTTAAAACTCCAGTGGGAGGAGGGGGTGATGTTTAAACTATTTTCGTGGAGATTTAGACACACAACATTAATCACAACTCAACATCTTTAACCGGATAGATTAGAAGAGTAGAAGCCTTCGTGAATTGTAGCACAAACCTCTACTTTTGATTGAAATAAAGAAAGGAACCGGTGCCCTATATTTCCAAAATTATCCATCAAAAAGGGGTTGCGAAGAGGTTCAGAATGAAAAGGCTGACATTTTGAATAAACAAAGAGTTTGAAGATTGCGGGCACTGATTCAACTTCTTCGATAACTATACAGCACTTTCTTGCAGTAATATCTGCGTGTTTGTTAAACAAAGAAATCAGCTTCGGAGAAGGACCTTCAAAAGGCAGCGTCTTTGATGCCTATTATTTCGTTAAAAACATGGTGTTTGTCCCTAAGCCCACCAAATCCTACAATCCTGGACAAAGCTGTTGAGACAAACACCACAACACATGTTTGGTAAATGCTTCTCCAGGATTTCTCCTCCCCCTGTTCCAAATTTCAGCCCCCCCCCACACTCCATATTTGATATCAACACTGACCTGAGGGAAAGGGGTGCTCAATCTCAACAACGTCTGCCCAGAATTGAATGTAGGCCCTAATCGCTGTCTTTTCTAGAGATCGAGTCCCTTACCCCACAGAGGCATTAAAAATATTCCTAACCTGTTGCATTGTAGCCAGTGGTGTTCTCTGATGATTTCTTGACGCTGAAGCATGTGACTGGGGAACATTTCGACCAGGGGTCATCGGGATTTGCTCGGGTATGACAGTCTCTCGCTGCCTTTCCTCGTATTTCTTTAAATCGTATTCTATCTCTGCGGCCAACTGCTTATCAAGGGCCAAGATATCTATCAGATTTGAGTTGAAAAGCAAAATTAACAAAGTCAAAAGTCCACTTCAAAAACTGAAATTTTTTCATCCTCAGTGCCTCTGGTAATTCTTCGGTAAACGAAGTTCCACTCAGATCCTAATCTTATTAAAATTATGCTAATAGAAAACGAAACTATGTTTTAAAGAATATAAAAGTAAAATATACGACTAAAAATGCTATTACATATTTTACAGAGAAACTTAAAGAGACTGAAGGTATGGGGCTCAAATTAATTCAAAATTTGTATCTAAGAGACAATTTAAATCAGAGCGCTACTTTTAAAAAAATATTTTTTAATATTTCATAAAAGGATTATCGGGTTTTTCAAATTTCTAAGAAGGCAAGGATTGCTACGCGCAGGTCAAAACTGTTCAGGCAATATTATTAAGTATTCACTAATAATTTCTAAGTTTTAGAGCAAACATGAAAACAGTGTGCTTTGGATGAGCTTGGAGCATCCTCATAAATTTCTATTGTTTTCTACAATGCCAAAATATAAGAAAAAATCTCGTAAATATACCTTTCGATGCTTAGATTGAATTGGTAGGGTTAGCGGCTTTGATATTAGTTGTATTCGATATATCGTATCGCGGGAAAACTAGTAAACTTCGGCAGCCCTGCTTCCAGTACTAATATGCTGATTATGCCAATTATGATAATTATGATAACTTTGCTTCACACTAGTAAGTAACTTACTCGTTAATGAGACTAACAACAACCTCATCATGAAAATTTACAATATTGGAAGTTGGAATTAATTATCTATTATAAAAATAGTTCAAAGAATTTACCTCTGATTTCTGCTTTATAATCACTCATTAATTCTTTCAAGCATTGCATCAAATCTCGAAGGAGGGAAGACTTTTCTTTTTCAAACTGTCAAGAAGGAAGACAATTCTTCAATTTACCCATGATGCTAGCACTTTTGGGCAGCTAATTCCACTGAGCAGAACAAAACGGTAAGATTGAGGAAAGCCCTCAGCATGGTTTTAGAGAGAGGTTGATTGTAAAATGATAATTATCAATATAAACAGAAATATTTAAATACAAATTATTTGTATATGCAAAGAAAAACGTTATTTTGTGCAGTGACAGGCCCTTTCGAGATGACTATTGGTGAAGCAAAATAAGATACAACAAAGTAACCATCTAAAGGGAATGTAACCATTTGCAAATAAGAATGCTTACTAAAGTTATAATTAGATTTGGCAATGGAATGAAGTGACTTGAATATCAAGAACACAGTTTACTGAAAATACATTTATATACGCACTACTATTTGGTGTATAGAACAGGTCGGCTCTAAGTTGCTACTCCGAGTTTCACGCTCAATTCGATCACCAGGAGAAGAAAAGAATATATAAATTAGTAAAGTTATACAAAAGTTATAAGATATATTGAAAGAAGAACGTTATAAATTACTGATTTAATGATTTAGTGCAGCTTACTTGTTTTTTCAAGGAAATGATTGTTGGGAAAATGTTTTCAATCATATTCTTCTTGACAATCTAAAAGAGGCAAAGATGAAGTCATTCAAGTGTCAATAGAGTTAAGAAAAGGGAAAAGCATGGATTTCATTACATGTATTTTTGCAGTGATTTGCCCGTTTCTTCTGCCATTTTGGCGCTTACCACTCTAATTTTTGTGTTATTTTGCAAAAGCAACTAACATCTTAGAAAACTTTCAAGCAAGATTTTCTTTTTGAATTGAGAAAAATATTTCACAGTAAAAATATACCTAGTCCTGTGTGTCATGTGGGAAAGAAAAAGAAAAGCAAAACAAGCGGTGTTCACAACAAAACCTGAAGACATTTTAGATAGCTAGTTTCCAGACCCCCTACATCATACGGCGAAAGGAAGGTACTTGATGTAAAATGTGTGTTGAAAATTTTAAATTGCTACAAAAGATTTTTCCCAAATAATTGGTAAAAACATTTCTTGTAATTTTTCTGCGGCGAGAACCAGCTATCAATCATTCTGAGTACCTTGAAAAGTTTCCAGAAAAATATCTCTAGATGTCTCAAATTGTAGTTTTGTTATTTGACCTACTGAGAGCCTTTGGCTGTGGATCAACAAAATTCCTTGCCGCAACCAGGAAGCAAAATCAAAAGCCATAATGTAATTCAACTTTGCTTTTGAAGATATCATAACACAATATCTCTGTGGTTTTCACATACAAGAGTTATCCGAAGATATATGTCATTTTATCCATTCGGTGGACAAAACCAGCGTAATAAGATATAAAAGCTCTTAAGATGGCTATTAGATTTCATGAAATCAATACTATCTAATCCTTTCTTTCAATTTGTGCTTTACACTATTCAAACTCCTTGATAGTGTTTATCCTTGACAAATAAGGAAGTTTTCAAGCAACGTTGTGCAGACAGATTTTTGCAACAGAATGTGCAGTCGCGCCTGTGCCACAAGACCTGTAAACTGACCCTTCCCACTCAATATATGCTTTCACTTTAGCATGGTAGAAAGAGACATCAAAACAACTCTCCTTGAGTAGTAGTAGGCGGAAGAAATGAGATCTGCAAACTGTATAGCGCTGTAGAATAAGGGCTTCCTTTCGATATGATACAAGAACTACTTTAAGCAACTTTTCGAAAGAACTTGCACAGTGGATATCCACTGAGTTGGTAATAGAGTACCGAAGTGTGACGTCAGGTTACCATGGAGTCACTTTTTACTGGTTCTAAACAAACGTCCGCTTGAACCAACATGGCGGCCATTACGATAAGTGCTCTCACGGCTTTCTTCTCGGACGAGCCGAAATCAATCCAACGAGGTGAAAATCACTTCAGATCCGACCATGTTGAATCTTTTTATTATTCTGATGGAGTAATTCGAGGATCAGTGCACGCTAGTATGAAGAACAAGTCCTATAAAGTTACGGTAAGCGAATATAATGTATCTTATTACCCTAGCTCCTAACATTATATTTTGTAGTAGGCCTAACGATTATTCATGATTATTCTTTAAGTTTATCATTCTTCTTCCCTTTTCATCTTAGAATTCCAAGTTAAATTCTGGTCTCTTCTTTAAATTTAGGTATTCCTCCGTAATGATGAAATAATATCATCTGAGTGTGAATGTCCTCGTGGAAGTTACAAGTGTGCTCATGCCGCTGCAATTATAATCCATGGGATCCACAACCTTAGTCGAACAGATGTCGAGTGCGAATGGAAGAAGCAGAAGGCTCCGCTAGATGTAAAATCTGTAGAAGAACTCTATCCATGCCCAAAAGAATACAACTGTCTTAAACGAGAGGTTAATGATGATGATAGGTCCTGGTTCTACCAAGAACTCAAAAAGTATGGCAGCTTTACTGGTACTTTGTGGCTTCTCTCTCCCGAACCAGCAAAAGCTCTACTCCCAATTACCCCCGTTGAAGACATCATTGTATCATCAGAATTCATTAATCATAATAACCAGCGTGAATATCTTGTTAAAAGATTAGAAATCACTGAAGAACAGCGGTTGAAAGTGAATCAAGTCACCATAAAACAACGAGAAAACCCCTCTTGGCATATTTTACGAAAGGGAAGACTGACTGCAAGCAATTTTGGGAGTGTGCTAAAGGCTAAAAAAGCAACTCCATCGTTCATCAAGCGAGTCCTTGGCCAGTATGATTTGTCTGGAGTAAAGGCCATTCACTGGGGGATCGTTAATGAAAATGAGGCAAGGAAAGTATTTGAGCAGAAAACAAATTTAAAGGTAGAGGATTCCGGGCTATGGCTTGAATTGTCTGGCATCTTGGGTGCCTCCCCTGATGGCTTAATTGATGAAAATGCATTGCTCGAAATAAAATGCCCTTACAGCCAGAGAGAGTGCACCATTGAGGAAGCAATCAGATCAGAAAACTTTTATATAAAAAAATATGATGATGGTGTGTATCAACTGAAACAAACACACGATTACTGGCATCAAATTCAAGGCCAGCTTCACTTGACTGACAGGGAAGTTTGCTTTTTTGTTGTTTGGACAACAAAACAATCCCTTATTATTCAAATCAAGAAAGATCCTGCATGGGCTGAGAATCTGCTCATTTTGAAGGACTTTTACATAAAAAATATGATTCCTGCATTTGCAAAAGATCTTTTGTAATTGTATTTTACAAGTATTTGTCTGAATATTATAATTGCTTGTCTTTCAAATGGTGTATACATCAAAGTTAATAAAACAAGAAAATTTCACAGTACAATCCAACACAATTTTTGAGTATGATGTATTGATCAGTATGATTAAGTTTTTAATTAGTATGATTGATTTTATGGAAATAAACAGCATCCAGTTTTGAATATAAGACAATCTTTATTGCAAACTGTAAAGGGCAACCAAACATTTGAAAGAATGTTAAGTCCTGGGCAAATGAGCTGAACATTACATTCAACAACATTCAAGTTTGAGGTAAAGAAAAAATCCAACTAACTTGGCAATCTTACTCAGTCAATGAACATTTTAGTAAAGTATTTCAGTAAAGTTTTAGTAAACAAAATGTGGTTAGTGGCATGTTCATTTGATTTTGCCTCTCACCTGAAGAAATACTGAATATTTATCCACAATCTGCCTGTATAAATTTTGAACTGACCACAGTTGCTCACTTGGCAATGGGTATGTAATGTTCAGTTCACTTGTCCAGGGCTTTTTTAAGTCTGTAATTTATATGCTATTCAAAAATAGGGTTGAGGCTCAAAATTAATTCTAGTCAAGTTGATTTCAAATTTTTGTTTATGTTCTGACATTTTGACATTAAAAGAAAATTATGTTAAATCTACAGTGTCTCTGATTTCTCTGATGAGTGAGTTTTGCAAGTTGACCAGCCCAGCACACAGTTTTAAAAGTGTTTCAGAGTAGCATCGAAGGTATGGTGGAATAAAGCTTAAGATCTTAAAATCTTTAAGCCTTGCGTTTGCTCGTTCCACGTGAATTCTGCATCGTGCAATTGTTTTTGTGAGCTTTATTTCGCTTGAATTAAACTTTCCATTATATAAGAATGGGGGAATGTTCACGGAAACACCTGGGGGAAGAATATCTGTTATTAAAAACCCCTTGTCTGCCAGTATCAAATCTCCTGCTTCAAAATGATGTAACACTCCAGATTTTTCAACAATGGCTTTATCAGATGTTGAGCCAGGAAACAGTTTGCTTACATAAGTAATGACAGCATTTGGTGCAACCCCAATCAGTGTCTTGAATGAGTTCATTCCTCGGTATGTTGAATAGATCAGTTTCTGTTCACTCATCAAGCCAGGGGCAGCAACCTCAATATCAGTGCAGTCAATGATCATTTTACAATGGCCAAACAATGAAAATGATTCAGGCATAGAGGTTCTGTTCTTTTCCCTTGAAGGCACAGTTTTTAAACAGTCCTCATAAAGCAGCTTGCAAAGTACATGAACAAATGTTAATATTATATTACTGATCGTTGAAGTGCTACAGTGAAAAAGCTCAGCCAAGTGCAGGTTTGTATAGTTCTGTCGTACTTTCATTAGGGTTATAAAAACTTGATCTTCCAACAAAATCTTGTCAACTTTCCAGCCATAATAGTAGTCGATATCATTTGAGAACCGTCTTACAAAATTTACAACGATAAGGAATATATCCTTATTTGTTAGGCCAGTCTCCATGCAAATTACCTCATCTTTCAGTGATAATACGGAGTAAACTTCCCTCTGGTACGTCCCTTTAATTTTCAAATCCTTTACTTCCTTTCTTAGATTTTCTACTTCAATTTGAAGCAGAACTTCTTGAGTTGGCGTTTCTGTGTTGTTTTCTCTTGAAGTGGAGGCAGCAGAGGCGTAATACTGTTCAACGATGTCTGAAACTAACATTAGGCCACTTGGATTTTCGGGAGCTGGCTTTACCTTTTTAGCAATTTTCGGCTTTCGTACTTCGGTGGTTGGAAAGAATTTATCTGCATTTCTTTTGAAGATTTCGGGGCCATTTACTTTTAATTCGTCGCGGAAATGGCAGCTACAAACACGCGAATTACTTCCCGGAGCTCGGTCTTGTCGTCTAAAAAAATAAATTTAATACGTATCTATTTAATCAAGCATCTAACCATAATATTAGCTATGGTTTAAAATGCTTTTGACAATATAAAAGCCATTAAATCAAGACTACCATAAGACAAAGATAATTGCCATGAGGCAACACGAAGATAACACGAAGATAACACGAAGTGAACCAACTAAAACATTCTTACCTCAACAGCTTTTTCCACCGTTCAAACTCACTAGGGCTCTTAGGAAATCTATAAAATTTGCATGTCTCCCTCTCTGACTGATGATTGCAGTCCGGGGCAAAACACTGTACCATTTTTCTTCGCCTATGTTTTGCTACTCGAAACCAGACGCCATGATGAAAACTTTGTTTAGAACCAGTTGAAACGCTTCCATGGCAACCTGACGTCACGACTTCGGTACTCTATGGTTACCAATAAATGTACATATTACGTAACCACGTACAGCAGGCCAATGGTGACTGCTAAAGGGAGGGTTAGGTTGTGGGCATAACCAATACACACTTTATCTGTAAGAATATAGTCTAAAAGAATATTGAGGACCATACTCGCTGAAATTGAAAAATAATTTAAGAAAAATGCAAAGCTGAAGCTTCATCAAGATCTAAATTGTTCGTTCCTTTGAGTTTTTTGGGAAGCAAATCAAAAGCGAGTTTCACACTCTATGTCTTGAAATAGACCAATCCGGCCTTGGAGTCATTAACACTATAATGGGACTCAGTTACACCTTGTGTTGCTTTAGAAAAATTTGAGAATAATCTTGGGCTCAGATTAATAAAAATAAGAATAAGGAGGCTCCGCAAAAATTAGGTATGCTTATAAAAAAGTATGTACTTGAGAAATGGGGGGTATCAGATGTTTTCAAATTGGGAGAAAGAAAAAACTTAGGAATAAGAACTTAAAGACAGTTCATATAACATTTTGGTTTTCATAGGTCAATATGTACTACAAATGATAAGGATGATAAGGCAATGGAGCAATGCAACATATAATGACATTATCAGTGTGTTTGGCAGGTTAAGTGCCTTGCAGGTTAGTGTTCATATAAAATGGAGAAATATGCAGAAGTAGCCATCCCTTGATCTCGGGAACAAAGAATTTTAAACCATGGTTTGTGAATTTAAACCATGGTTTATATTGCGCTAAAATGTTGACATATAGTTTTAAAAATTGTGATACTTTCCGAAAATGATGCAAAGCTCTAAATTACCTGGCTGATAACCTTGGCTCTAAGCTGCGAAGCAAGCTCCTGTTGCTCTTCGTCCATCCCTTCCTCTGGCTCAGCTGACGATCTTCCCTTCGAAATCTTTATCTCCTATTTTTCAGACAATATATAAAATTAGTAGCTACAACAATCCATTTCATCAAGATGAGTGCCACTTTTCGTTGTATGCACATGACACTACCATCACGTGTACAATACACCACTATCACGTGTACAAGACACCACTACAACGTGCACAAGACATCACCATCATGTACACCTAACACCACTATCACGTGCACAAGACGAAAATGTCACATGCATAAGACACCACTCCGAAATGGGCAAGACATCTCTCTCGAGTGCACATTTGAATATTCCACATTTTTACAACTCAAAAAATAATTTACATCACAGATGCTGAATCTAGGTAGCATAGAATGCTGATCGTAACATTGTTAAGAGATGAGAATGTGATTTATATGAATCTTGATTTTTTTAACAAAATGTGCAACTTAATGTAGCTTAGGGTCTTAAGACTGCACAAAGAAGGGCGCATATCATAAGACATATCACAAATAAATTAAAATATGTTTATAAGAAATTTCAACCTGAGAGCTTATGATAGCAAATGCATCTTCAATCATTGGCTTTGACTGTGCATCAATGGCCATTGTCCCGTCGACAATCTCGCCAAAAATCTTCAAAAAAGACGAAAACTTTTACATGAATCAGCAGATTACATTACACAATATAAGTTTAATGTAAATTCTAGCTTGAAGTTGAACTGGCCTAATGATTAGCAAGTGTTGGTCTAGTGAGTAACATCGTTGAATTCAATGGTGGACCTTTGGACGCTGAGAAAGCCAAAGGAAATTTTCGGCGATTGAAAACGGCTCTCCGCATTCAAGCGGAGTAAAGAAAGCGACTGTATATTACAGTCACAATAAAAATTTATGAAATGTTCATAATGTTTATATAGTAGAAAAAACTTAAAGATTGATAAAGTTATAATATGAGTGTAAACCGACCTCGTTGCAAATTTTTCCAGTTAGTTTGAATTTCTGCTCATCATTCATGTTGCCAAGAAGAAACGTGTAAATTTGCATGCGTTTTCTGTTCGTTGAGAAGAATATATATAGTTAAGGAATTCTTGTTCCAGTTTTAATAAAATGAAAAACATATAAAGTCATGAGTTTGGACATGTCAATGAAACTTTTAACAAATAAAGACCTTTAAAAGGTTAAAAGAGAAAATATCATTGACTTGAAAAGGAATTGTATTTACAAGACTTTTTTATATAAATAGCATAAAGATTGATATAAACTCTGTGTAGAAAATAATCAGTAGCCAAAAGAAAAATAATGAAAATCAGATCATAAAAAACACAATGTCATCAGACATGAAAAGGAATTGCATTTAAAAGACCTTTTCTCTCTACAGATAGATAAGACTTCGCAAAAAATATGAATTCATAGTTCATACTCTCTTTTGCTGTCTCCAGCCAGAGAAAAACGAGTTCGTTCTAATTCTGTTTGTTGGAATTTGTTGTAGGCTGCAAGAAAAACATTAAATTAAGAAAAATATTCATCACCGTTCAAAATACACATTTTAACAATATGCTTAAATCTCAAGTAGGGTTAACAGAAGAAACAGTTTCACAAGGCTTTCTGTATTTCGAAATTTATTTTCATAGAGTGTTCAGAAGAATGGGAAAGGATGAAAAAATTTACTCTGTGGACGGGCTAGCGTCTTAAAGATGTGAAATCTGCAAAGCAAAATTGCGTCACGATAATTATGCTAGAAAATAAGCGTGAATCGAGATCCGATACAAGGAAGCTTGGTAACGCCAATAACTTAGCACGAGGACCTAAAATTCCATTTATAAATATTTTGTGCTTTGCTTAAATGAAAACAATCATGTTTACAGTCTATGGCAGAACAAGTGATTTATTTGACAACAAAAAGTAACAATGTTGGTTAAAATTGGAATGAGCTATACTAATGCGGGACAAAAAATTTCAAAGCAAAAACAAACATAGATCTCAAACATGTTTCGAATGTGAGGAAAACTTACCACGATGTTTTGTATACGAATTAAAACAGAACAACGTTTCGATAAAATGAACAGAAAACATCGTTGGGTGTCTTGGCAGCAAAATATGCACGAGGCAGAACTCAGCTGGAAATTGAAATTGTGAAAAATTTGAAAAATTCAAATTTCGAATTTAACCACTTGGAAAGAGTCAAGATATTTGCATTTAGCAAGAATACAAAATGTTCTAAAGATGGTCCTTTTTGAAAAAAACCCTGGAATAACACGACTAACTCTTGATGTATAACAAACATTGGCTATCTCATAAGCACAGAAGCGATATAAACAGAAACGTCTTGATTAACCGACAAATAATAGACGTGGAGACCAGTCAAACAAATTTGAGATAACTGTGTAATTTTTTTATCTGCATGCATGGAATATATACTCTCTTGTACATAAAATAATGGACTACATTTGGGACACTGGGTGTTGAATTTGAATTTAAAGAGTTTATTTTGTAAAAATTTGTAAGCATTTAAAGGGTTTATTTTGTAAAAATTTGTAAGCATGAAAAGAGTTGAAAAAAATATGTAAGCATTTAAAGATTCTGATTTTAACTTTCTGTCTGGCAAAGTGGATTGATGTTGTTGAAGAGATCTGATCACTGTTTTTATTCGCGGTAGTTAGTTGTGTGTAGGCACAATGACGTTATCAATGTATATTGTACATAAATCCCTAACCAAAGTTTTTTATTTCCTTGTTTTCATCTGCCAATGCAGTGATGAATCTGAAGAACAGTGAACCTTTCCATTTCACAAAATCTTCCTGAAAATAAACGGTAATAAAAATTATCTAAATGAAGGCTTTGAACACATTTGAGGTTTGAAAATTGCATTTAGTTGGATAAATTCATTTTAGATGAAGGGAAAATATCTCACAGCAATTTATGCTGGGGGTAACACTGGTTAATTGGCAATAGTTAAAGATATAGAAGAATTCAAGGACCAAAAAATGGTTTGTATACGAGTTCTCAAGTTCAAAGTACTATCACAGAGCAGAAATAATTAAACAAAGAGCTTTGATTGATTCTCATCCTTCGCCGTTAGCCATGAACGAAAATTAACTCGTTGGGGGTCACTAAAGCCTAATATACGGATGATCTTTGCCTGTACAGAAATGGGAAGGTAGCTTGACCAATAGTTGTTTGTTGCCCTGGCACGAATACAGAAAAACATCCACAAATCAAACAACTAAGAGAACGTTGACAATCAAAGAAAGTTTCGTGCTTTCAAGTGTAATTATCAAAGTCCCACATTGGTTTCAAGTCTCTTATTGATTTGTAGTATTGCTATTGGGGACTTTTGATTGGTCTGTATGTACGGTAAAGGCTTGAAATAGCCCTTAGAATATAAAACATTGATGCTATTGTCAATGCTATTCAAGCCAATTGAATTTGAGCTTTAGGAATAATCATAGGAAAACGGACTATTGCCGGAACATTTCAAATACTTCCTTGTTGTTATCAAGGAAGTCAGACTATAAACAAACAATGATTAGTCCACGTGAAAGAAACTTTCATTCATATCAGGTTCTAATACTAATACTTTGAGCCATATCGATTGGGTGAATCGACTGTAGTTAGTGGCTGCTATTTAAAATTGATAGAAAGCAGTTGTAAGCAAATCGAAATTGAGAATGGTCTAAAGATTTAACAGATATCAAATAAGAGGCAGGTAATAACATGCTTCTCAAGTGGTGTCTGGATGAAATCTAAAATTATCTGTTAGCTGTATCTGAATTTAGATATGACAAAATCGATACCTGTAAAAGGTGAGTAAGAAGGGTCAGTGCCTGTCTTCTGACAACAGGCTCAGGGTCCGCGAGGCAGCTTGCTATATTAGGAATGTATCTGTCCACTAGATTCGTGTATCTGCAGAAAAGAAGTTATCTCTTTGATTTAAAGTTGGCGGTTAAAAATAAATAGCTTGAAAGCTAATTAGAGCCAACTGTTTAAACAAAAATACATACAAATTGCTACAGAAGTGTTAATAGCAGCACAGTCGCTCGTGTAACAGCTGGTTTAACCAACTGTTTAAACTGAACTAAAAAGGATTCCAAAAGACTGCAGTAGTGCTAGTTAAATGCCGTGTTAGGAGGGTACCCAATAGGTCCCCATCCCCACCATCACCATCCATTCCCGAATCCAGGTGTTATCGATTCCCGACACCCGCTCACAAAATCACCACCATCCATTCCCGAATCCAGGTGTTATCGATTCCCGACACCCGCTCACAAAATCACCACCATCCATTCCCGAATCCAGGTGTTATCGATTCCCGACACCCGCTCACAAAATCACCACCATCCATTCCCGAATCCAGGTGTTATCGATTCCCGACACCCGCTCACAAAATCACCACCATCCATTCCCGAATCCAGGTGTTATCGATTCCCGACACCCGCTCACAAAATCACCACCATCCATTCCCGAATCCAGGTGTTATCGATTCCCGACACCCGCTCACAAAATCACCACCATCCATTCCCGAATCCAGGTGTTATCGATTCCCGACACCCGCTCACAAAATCACCACCATCCATTCCCGAATCCAGGTTTTATCGATTCCCGACACCCGCTCCCAAAAATTTGCCAATTCCCGATTCCCGACTCCAAAAAAATGACAATTCCCGAAAACATCTTGGGTTCCTTCTGTTAGCATTGGATAGAATAAACGGTACCTATTGCTAAATTATCCGATTTTTCAAAGGAACTAACTTATCTCAGGTCATAGACTATCAATTGTTTCAAAAATCTCGTTAGAACATCATATGTACCCGCAAGTGTTTCTAAAAAAGATTACAAATTATAGCTTTAGTTTTTTTTACATTATTTTTCTTTTTCTCTCGATCGAATATTTTCTCGATATAAAATGAGGAGCCTCAATCTCAAGTAAGTCTTATTAGTGTCCAGGCTCCTCTCATATGAATCCAAGCTAAATAGCAGTAGCTTTTTAAGCCTTTTTATAAGTGAGAAAATGAAGAGAGCTGAAATAGCACCTAGTTCTGTTTCCCTGATGATCATCCATGTAAATTAATTTGAGATAGAGTGCCTAAATGTTGGTTTCCTTCTCAAAAATTACCAATTTTGGGAAGAAGGGATGACTTGACAACATATGTTCATGAGAATTTTTAAACTTATGTAAACTTGAACTTTTTAAACTAACATATATTTCACTAGATAAAAATATGGGACTATTTCGTAAAGGAACATCCTATATACCTGACACAAAGATCGCAAAGGGCAACAATAACATTATTCTTGATAGCAGGGTCTTCAGATGTTTCCAGCTCCCGAGCAAGGGCAGCTACACATTTCTTGGCCAGGCCATCATTCTGTAGGCACAGCTTACCTATAAAATGATTCCCAATAAAAACTTTTCCCAACATGTTCAGCTACAAGCAGAAGGACAAGCTTTGCCAGCAAGTAAACTATGTACTAACAAGACAGAATTTTTTGCAGAGCTCCTTTTTGGCAACTTATCAAAAATTTAGTGACACATATCTTGATCCCTTTTGGGACAACTTTTATGTCAAGTAGATAATTCGATCTTTTGTCTTGGTAAATTTCCTCTAAAACCCTCGCGAGGCGAACTTTTGTTATAAAGGAAGCCATATTCATATGCAGATTCATTCATTAGATGAGCTTATGCGTCTAGTCCTAGTTAGATTTTCATAGAAAATAGTGAGGGAAGAAAATTAAAAAAAACCTGTGTAGTTGTTGTCACCATTTTACCAAAGTTAGATGCATAAATTGTTCAAAGAAATTTTGAAAGAATTAGCTAATCAGTCATAAATAAATAGGGGGTGCTCTCTCCTCGATTAGCCTAGCTACTGAGAGAGCTCCTCCTTAAGAAATTCCCCTACATACAATTCCTTTGTCTTCTTGGTGTAATACTATATATTGTTTCTTTTAGGTTTCTTGTGTAGCTTTTATCTTTGTATTAATTGGTTAAGCATGCTTTATTTAATTGTATTTAAATTTTGTCTTTTTTGGGTTGTATGTAGTGGAATTTTAAAATTATATAAAACTGAAACTGAATGGCACTTACCAAGAGTCCCAAAAGCATAGGCTTTCACGGTTGTTGAAATTATCAAATTTCTGATGCTATTCTCGTTCACACCTGTACTTCCTGCAATAGAAGTAACATGAAAGAAAGACAGCTAAGACCTGGTCAAACGATCCAACATTTCACCCAAACAACAAAACATGATGTTGGGCGAAATCTTGGATCGTTTGACCAGGCCCTTAATGAGTATTCGCTAGATGGTACTCAGCAAATCAATACATTAATGATACACGCGCAATTTTATATAAGAAAACCGAACTTAGGAAAAATACTCAAAACAATCTTTTGGTGGTACAAAACTTGTAAATGGCTTTGAAAAAAGCAAACATTTAGAAAAACTGAAGCTTTTCATTATTATTATTATTATTGAAAAATACTCACTTAATAATTCTTTTTATCTTAGTACTGAAATTTCATTAACGGTATATCAATATTAAGTGCTTTTCGAAAGTAAAATAACACCAAAAACATAGCATAAACAGAAAACCTAATCAATCACAAGTAGTTCAACTTTCAATTGCCTATATTTATTGAATCAGAAACAGGTACCTAATCGTCTTAAAGCTTTTATCCCATCTTTTAAAGAATAATTTTGGGCAGTTTCTTGAGGTTGAGGGTGATCAGCACCACCATTTCTTTAGTTTAGATATGGTTTGCCATTTCTTTAGTCATTTCAGGGGGTAGGTTAATAAATGAATGTCTAAAAGTGTTTATCTGAGCCTGGTAAGCAATTCGATCATCACCACCAAGAAGATTTTTTTAAAAAATTGATATACCCCCGGAAAGTTACTTTCAGGTAACAGACACAAAAGTGTCCCAAAACCAGCTAGGAAATCGACAAATAAGAATTGCCTTCAACATCTTACCTGGAGTAAAATTCGAAAGAAAATTCGATACAAAAGCAAACCAAAGATATTTAGGCATCGTAGCCATTAGCAGTGTTTGACATTCTATTTGGGGATGAAGCTTGGTGTTTTCAAAACGACATAAAATTACTTCCTACATAAAAATACGTTGTTCTACCAAAACTTTGATGGACAGCTGGACCAAAACAAAAGCATTTACCGTGTTGTCTCTTGTATTTTATTAAAGTGAGAGGGGGGGGGATACTTTAGTGGGCAGGAATACAAGAGAGAATACGGTATCAATGATTAAGCATGAAGGGTAATTATAAAAACAAAAGTTGATGCACAAACCTCCGCTGGATGGCTGTGGCAGAAGCATTGACTGTACCATGACAAACATTCTTTCACTTGTCTTTGAGGGACCAAGCTAGAAAGAAAATCTTCATTGGTTCATTGATCGAATAAGGGAATGCTGGGGGAGAGTTTAATGCTTCTAGAATATAATATGGCACAGTGGATGGAATAGCTGGCACACTGGTAGCAAGTGGTTGTTCAAGACTGGGGTCTTTTCGGACTTTACATTTCTGTGGGGGAAGGAGGGATGCTTAGCAAGATGAAATACTTGTTCAGGCCAAAATACATTATATAATAGAAAGCTACAGTTGGTACGACATTGTTTGATATAACTGTTAGAAGCCATTTAGGACCACTTGACGATAGATACGAACTCATATTATTAAATGGAATTTACTGTTAGGTGATATTCACGTAATAATTAAGAGAATAAAGCACTTTATCTACATGTGTCAATCTGAAATGAACAGAATGACTTTAAATTCTCAAAATTGATCTTTTGATATACAAGCAATTCCTATTTTTGCCCGTTCGTATTTCCAAAAGTAATTTTAAAAAATGTTGTTATAATAAGCACAAATGTAAGGTGCAAAGAAGAATATAAATATTTCAAGCTTGTGTACCTGAGCAATATCTCCAAGGGTGACGAGTCTTTTGATGATTTCAGATTTATCAATCGGAATTGCTGGGAATAAGATATCGCAATTTGAATCATAACCATTAAATATAGTCTTGCTTGGAATAAACATCATGCCAATAAACTTTAGGAAGAATTAAAAGTGAAAAATTGGTTTTTTTCAAGGTATATGAACATTAAAGCAAAGGTGTGTTTTTAGTATTTTATACACAACGGACTGAACGTTTCTTTAGTAAGCAAGCAAAAAAGTAAACATGCGAAGAAGGAAACAAACTTGTTACGAGGACAGAGCAGCCCGTGATGAAAAGAAGTCAAAGTGAATAAGGTCAAAGTAGCAGCACAAAAGTCAAAGGCCAGAGATCAAAAGTTTCATGTCAGTTTCACACATGAAGATTGGAGAAGAAACTGAAAATGACTTTTAATGACGATTCAAGAGAAATGAAAAACGCACGAGTTATCCCATACCGTGTTCAGTTCCCAGTATGCTTTGCGATATGTCTTCTTCGCAAATAGCCAAGACTTTTTCGCATACATCTTGGAGTTTTGCTTCTCCATTTTCAACATGAGAATAGAGCTGAAGAAAAAATTGATAAACTTTCATGTTTTAAGAATTAAGGACAATTGTTCTTATCAAGGATTTTAAAAAGTAAGAGTGCAAAGGTAGATATAAAATTACTTTGGGTCATTTTTCATTGTATAAATTTCTGACTACAGAACGAGTTAAAGCACAACACGAGAAACTTTAACATGGTAGAATAAGAATCTGAAGTAAGTTTTAAATTACTAAACGCTAACAATTTTATAAGGTTTTGTAACAGTAACTAAAAAAACACAGCTGAAGGTGCGAATCGTTCAAAAAGTCCCCCTTGCATTACTTCTTTATCTTGGCAAATCATCAACTATGAAAAGCTGCTTTTTTAATCTGTCCAATACCAGACTATGAAAAACTATCGTTACCCTGTCGAATCTTAGGCTATATTAAATCTAGGATAACAAGATAAGAGAGGAAAATGGAGATAATAGAACAGAACATGTGAATTTTACTGGGACAAAATGTAAAGGAGTGACACGGCCAGGGCAGGACCAATACCTGCCACCAGTAACACCATAGGGGAGGAGTGGTGTTGATGGGTGGCTTTGGATCTGAAAATGTGACCAGGTAGAGCAATGGCGTACAGTATTGTTCGATTGCTGCGCTGGTCGTGCATAGCTTAAAACTAGTTTCAAGGCTTTTATTCGCAAGCTTTATCAGGTTATAAGTTACCTTTGGCAGACATTGCACACAAAGGGAGATTAGTTCAGGAGGACATCGAAATTTGATGACTCTTTCTTGAATATCATCTGGAAAATCAATCAGCCAGTCAAGCAATCACTCCAATCACATCAACAAATCAATCACTACAATCATTCAATTCAATCAATTAATCAGTCATCACTGCAATAAGACAGTCTGTCAGTCAACAAATCCATCAACCAAACAACCAAATGATCTACTTCAATCATAACAATCAATCAATCATTACAGTCAATCAGTCAACCAATCAACCAATCAGCTAATCAATTACTTCAATCAGTCAATCAAGTCTTTTATGATATGGCAAGAACACATCGTAGCAAGAGTATAATTTAGTACAAAATAGTTGAAAATGAAAAGAATTTGTTAGATTTCATATTCAATCATTCATCAAACCTAGAAACAATCGAAGAGTTCACCAAAGCAGAACATATACTAGACAAACAAATCATGTTAAAAGTTTTGTTCAAGAAAATATCTATTCTGCACAAAAGGCAGGACGGGGGATACCAAACATTTCTGAAAAGCATAACAGAGAATTCGTCTAATTTCTAGCGTTCATAGTCAAAACAATATTTTCCTTAATCCAGGAAAGAACAAATAAATTTTTAGATTGATAATATAACAGCTTGATTTTCTCCCAATAAAGTAAAGACATTTTTCTTGCTAGGCAGCGCAGAGTCTCAAGCCCTGGCATAAATCCGACATTTGTTATGGGTGTTGCTAAACAAGGAATTATGAGGAAAGCGAAAACGTGTGTCGATAGCACTCTACGCAGCAGAGTCAATAATTGTTTCTTGATAAATTTGGTAAAATAAGAATTATATCTTTGCTATCTTAAAATAAAAAAACGTACCAAGGAGCTTTGTTGCCAGGTCTGGAGACAGTTTCTTGGATATCGTGAGGATGGTCTTCAGTATCCTTGACATTGTCATAACATCTTGACATGAATTGTCTTCTATGTTTTTAAACCAATAATCTGTTATAATGCTTGGGTTGATTTTGTCAGATGATGACGAAACTGCAGCAATAAACAACCATGCAGCCTAGTTGAAGAAGGAAAATATCATCACTTGATCAGACCTTTAGATGCGTTGAGCACTAAACAACTAAGTATATAATTTCATGCATCTGTGTTTGGTCGAAGAATATTTTCAATCTTCGATCCACTTAGTTTTGAGAACACAGAAAAACCTTTACCAAAAGACATCTTTCAACAATGGCCTAAGTTGGACAGAGTCTATTCAGCTCTTTGTAATTCTGTGTAACGTGTATCAGTATTTTAGAACTTCTTTAGCTGGAAATGTTAGGGAGAGGTCCAAATGGGCCTAAAAAGAAGCCCTAGCAAGCGGAGGGGGAGAAAGGCTAAAGAGAGAGGAAGGTGAGATCAAGTTAGTTTATTTAAGATTAAGAATCGGAAACAAGAATATGGTAAATCGTTAACAAGCTCAGGGAAGGACACATGAATTGTGGGACAAAGTTCATGACTTTGGCAAGGAGATTGCAAAGGGCAACTACAGGTAGAGTTCCTGTGTTTTGGCATGTTTCAGGGGACACGGGGTATTATCTCTAATCTCCTGGTAGTTGGCAATCTGGCTTTGGAAAACACTTATCAAAAGGACACTGTTTAACAACATCCTAAGCGTATTTGCTCACAATCAAAGTATTGAGAATTTCACCTTCGCATTGTTTGTATTTAAATGTGTCTGCAGGCTCTTTACCAAATTTCCATTGATCTTTCCGTTCTTGCTCCAATTTTCACAGACCAAACCAAAATATTGGCTGCAAAATTAAAATGTTGGAAATCAATTTTGTAGAAAATGGATAAAAAATAGAGAAATTTTACAGATAGAGGAGAAAAATAAGCGTTTGCCAGAAAAACATGATTAAACAATTAGTTTCCCATTGAAACGCTGATTACAAGAAAGCATGTCAAATAGCTGCAAGAAACGTTTATCGAAGTGTTGCAACATTAAAAACTGTTACTTGTTATAATTTATTAATAAGATACTTTCACGTAACTTTATGCTTTAATGAACTTTCGCACTGCACAGTATGGCTGATTAAAAGGCTATATGGCTATACGGAAATATAATAAAATAATTGAATATTGAAATCACAAATGATCATAATGACGGATTCACGTCGAAATTTGGATCATAAGATAGCTTGTCTGATGACTGCAAGGAGAATGAAACCAAGCTGGCTTAAACTGACTTGTTCAAGCATCGTTTGGTTTTTAAGACATTATATGCTGTACAAAAGATAGTTTAACAGTAATTTCTTAAAATTTGAAAGCCAGTGAAAGTTTTGAAACCACTGCTTGATGAAGACATTCAAGTATACAAAAATCTTCTTATCGGAACTTTTCTGAGGAATCCCACATGGGTATAAGTGGAAATAATTGATACTTCTGCTAACAAACCTCTGTTTTTGATAAAACTCATTGAAAAGCAACATTAACAACCATGACAAGTCCTAAGTGACTGAAAGCCTCTATCAACAGTTTGCTGGTAAACAAAACTGAAAGCCTTAAGTGCAGATTTCAGGTTAAACATTGAAAGCTTAGGACAAGACAGTACAAAGAGAAACATAGTTACCTAGACTCTTGCCCTTCGTTTCCAGCAATATTGTCTAGGAGAGTCCATGCTAGTATGTGGTCTGAATCATATGACCTGTTTGCAGGGAATAAAAAAGTCAATTAACAGGCAACTGCAACAAAAATCGCCTTGACTTTATTCTTGTTTTAATCTATTCTTGTGATATCAATCAGAAATCGGTAAAAAAAATAGAAAATAAGAATAAACCAGCCATCTCTCAGAATAGCAAAACCAAAACTTTTTGGATGATATCTCTTGACAAGATCATTCAGAAAACTACTCACTTGTCGCTAGGCCTAATCTTCGACAGAATCAACTCTTCCAACACTCCTACGCACTGCTCTTGTGCTGTTGTCTCTCTGTCCAAAACCATGGGTAGAACACAATTCAACCAAAACCTGTGAACAGATTTAACATCAAGAATAAAGGCCAAGTTTGGCGTTAGTGCCTGAAATAAACTCATACAGCTTAGTCTATCGATGGAATCAAACGATGATGATATATAAAAGCCCAACTGTTTGGAGCTTATGTCATCCATTGATATGATATCAGGCATTGCATGACAAGAAATCTCTTTCAATAATACTTTCTTGCATTATCTGTCTCGTAGCGTTTCGTAGCGTTTCGTAGCGTTTCGTAGCGTTTCGTAGCGTTTCGTAGCGTTTCGTAGCGTTTCGTAGCGTTTCGTAGCGTTTCGTAGCGTTTGTACTGTACTGTACTGTACTGTACTGTACTGTACTGTACTGTACTGTACTGTACTGTACTGTACTGTACTGTACTGTACTGTACTGTACTGTACTGTACTGTACTGTACTGTACCGTACTGTACTGTACTGTACTGTACTGTACTGTACTGTACTGTACTGTACTGTACTGTACTGTACTGTACTGTACTGTACTGTACTGTACTGTACTGTACTGTACTGTACTGTACTGTACTGTACTGTACTGTACTGTACTGTACTGCACTGCACTACACTGTAATCTAACATTACATTATCTTGCTTAGAACATGACATGTTATTACCGTTTATTTTAAAACGCTACACTTTTTCGTACTGCAGTTTTTATCTATGCACTGTTTAACTCAAGAAATCTGCTTTAAAAGAAAACGACTTACTTTTGAAGCTGAGGATTCGTGGAAAAATGTTGCAACAACTGTGTCATTGAGTGCATTACTTGCTTTCGCACTGACAATGCTGGGTCCATGCCTCTTTCGAACAACAATTTGAGATCCTTCAACAATAACATTATATATATTTTTAGCAAAAAACATGAACTGCCTTTATACAATGCTGAGCAATTCTACATATACCAAATCATAACAAACTTCTGAACCAAAATCAGGTAGCCTTGGCTAGCAATCTTTAAAGTTGAATGTACCCCCACTGAAATGGTGGCATTACAAGACCAGCAACCAAAAAATATCCAAACAAAAGGCACAGTTATATACACATTGACAATTTCTATGATTATTCAACATACTACACAGCAGCGTAGGGCTCAAATCTTGATTGGCTGAGAGCTTTCGCTAAATCACTTAGCCTCTCTCGCCACTGAGCCAATCACAGCCCCAGTTAGTGTAAACAAACTTAGGCCAAAGCCTGAGCCACTTAGGCTGTGATTGGCTTAGTGGCGAAAGAGGTCACGCGGTTTAGCGCAAGCTGTCAGCCAATCAAATTTCAGCTCTATGCCCTATGCAGCAGCCTTCCCAGCTATAACAAGTCACTTGATTAAGACATTTTTAAATTCGTAGCCCATGAAGCACCAGGTAGCAAACACCCCCTCTTTTTAAAAAATGCGTTATTGTCCCTTTTGCAAGTACAGTCTGGTTTAGTACAAATCACTTTGATAAGGGAAGTGGGTTCTTACCAAGGTATCTATTGTAACGTCTTGACCTTTTGTGATGAATTGTGTTCAGCAATAATATTGAACATAAGAATATTAATAAAATTATCAATACTGAAACGTCACAAAATAGGAAACGATAGGAGCGAAGCTGTCAGTGAGACAATGTTGTCTGGTACTTACCTCAACTGCAACAGGCATGTCCAGCAGAAGTAGAACGCTATTGAATGCCTTGAAAAAAGAATTCATTCAGTCGAAAGCAAAGACATCCTTGTATTTGTTACAATATTTTCAACTATATTCTTTTCTTCATACTTCCCTATGAATTACAGTTACATAAATTTTCTTTATACCTCCCTATCTATGGTACAGTAAAAATCCGCGTGTAAGATCACACTTTTTCAGATTTCAGCAAAACAGGTTCTTGTATTATGGGGAACTTAATGATAGTTTAGGCTAAGTAGGTTCTTAATTTCTCATAGTAAATATTGTTGCTTATTATGAGAAAATAGCATTAAATCTGGTCTGTTCTTCATTCTAAATATTTATTAGTGTACCAATGTTGCCAGAAATCCACCAACAATTATATATTTCCAAAATAGTAGCAACAATTATTTCATAATAACAGTTAAAATTTATCATACATTGCGCATTTTGAGCTTCATTTGAACAATTTAATTTTCTGTCACCTTTTGGTTTTGGTAAAAAAGTATACAAATTAAAGGGTTAAACCCCACATTTAAAAACCTGTTGGAAATTATTTGGCTAAACAGGTTCTTAAATTTTGGAGTATTAAAATACAATTTCTGTCAGAAGGTTCTTAAATCCCTAGGTACTTACACGCGGGTTTTTGCTGTAGCCGATTCAGAACTTTTCCGTCCATGGCTACACTTTTTAAGATATATTGATGCACGTTAGGTAAATTTGTTGTCAAAATTGAAAAACTTTACTGAATGTAGCCTGTAAGCAACAAAGCTAGTTGTGATCGTTATAGGAGTTTGATTCAAATGAGAATGTGTTGCTAGAAGCTCAGGGGGCTCGGAGAAGCTCAGATGGGCTCGGGGAACACAGATAGGATCCGGGGAGCTCACAGGAACTCCGGGGAGTTAAGTGGGGACTCCAGGGACTTAAATGAGGACTCCAGGGAGTTAAGTGGGGCGAACCCCAGGGAGTTAAGTGGGGACTCCAAGGAGCCGAGGGGGACCCTAAGGGGCTAAGGGAGACTCCAGGGAACTCAAAGGCTAAAGGAACTTCACATAGCGCTACATCCGCGGAATACCGTCCGCAGAAAGTTCAAGGTTCCCTCTTGTAATCCCGTGCCAGGTTTTTCTATTCAACCTCGAAATGTAAAACCTATTGCTTGCAAATTATTGGGCGCCCGCCCCTTCTGCTTCCCTACTGTCAGCAACATTATAGACAGCAACTTTATATACATTATATACACGAACAGGACAACAACAAGTGGAGGATGGCTTAAAAACTTGTTACCCTATATTTCGAATTATTGACAATAGGTGCAATTAGATTCTTCCATGAGGAGTTATCATCAAACCGCAACCATTTATAATTACATCGACAGGTACTCTACCCGTCTGACCAGAGGAATCCCGCCAAGAGATCCAAGTTTAATGGCTAACAAAGTCGAAGGATTTTGTAAAATCCGAAGAATATCCATATAAGATTTCAAATGCTTAATTCCAAATGCAAAAGAGCTTGGTACCTGAATGGCTGCCTTTCGAACCAAAACTCTCTCATCTTTCATCCGTCTTCTTATCAGGTCCAAAATCGTGACTCTATCAGACCCGCGGGCTAGAAAATGTTGTCAAAAATAAAGTAATGAAACAAAGGATCAGAATTTTGAAAAATGATAAGTGAAAGGTTTTTCTCAATATATAATTGTTGATTTTATAAAGTTTTGATTGTAGTTCATTATATGCTACAAATCTGCATGAATACGTGTCACAAAAGTTCAATACTGCAAAACTTGCATGGTAAGTAACATTAGTAAAACCGGTTTTGTGTGGCCAAGATATGTTTGTTTTTCCATCTGGATTCTTCAAGCCAATGAGGATTTAGCGGTCGCTGATTGGTCAAAATAAGGAGCCAATCAAATGTGCCATTGTTCGTCTCAACTATGCTTACTTAACATAAGTTCCCATCAAACTTTTGGACATTAGCGATCTCATACCCATAAGAGAACTAAACGAAAAAATGGTCTATATTTTCAAATGATTCCGATTTACGTGGAATCTTGCGAGAGTCTACCATTTTTGTGGGTGATGTGAACATAAAGTGGCATACATGCAACCAAAAGCTAGTGCAATGAGCCTTGGCGCAATCTCAAAAAGGCTAACCTATCTTGATTAGTACAATATAGTTAACCTTACAAAGATAGCTGAGAGAAGCCTTCCGGAAAATTCTTTGCTGTGTGCATACAATATCTTGATCATTAGCATACAAAGTATATTATATAGGTTCACATCAGATCAATACTTACAGTCAGAGACAACATCTTTGCTGAGATTCTGGGTTTGAAATAAGCCCGAGGGATTGACGGAGCTTGAGAGCAAATCTTTGAATGTTAGAATTACACTTTCGCAAGGCGAAGAAGCCACTTGATGCAGACATGTTAATGCCTTCGCTCTGACCCTGATCAGCAAAGATTAAGAATTAGTTACTTACCATGGGAAAAAATGAGTTTTGCTATCGGCAGAATCAAATTTCAATTGAATTGCGTAAAGGTTTTCAAATTAAACTTCCACTTCTAATGTTAGAAGGAGGTTGATTTCTAGAAACAGTCCTTTCAAAGAGACGAAAGAAATGGATGTCACCGATATCAATGCACATGTCCTTGAAAACTATTTTAGGCATGGCAGTTGTATGGTGGAATTTTAGCAGGACCAAAATATCCAAACTGCAAATTTTGCAAACAAGGACAACAAAAAATAGTTCTGCTAGGGAGTAAGGGATCTGTCAATACACTTGCTTGTTAAAGAAAATGAGGCGCTTAATCTACCAATAAAATGATAATGAATGCCAATAATCAAGAGCGACTTTTCATTAAAACCACCTATCATGGGTTTGAGATTGAGTTTACTTATTCAGCTATTATGTCCAAGTCTAAAGTTGTCAGTAAATTTTAGGCATAAGTGGATAAGCTTCTAGGGCAGCCGGGGGAGCTTGAGCACAAAGTATTCTATTGTTCTTGATTGCTACTAATGTAAATGCATCAAATTTCAATTCATTTCACATATTTAAGGAGGGTAGCTCTTCAGCAGTGCTGATTTTCAAGGGGCCCTCCACTAAAAAAACGTACAGGAAAAGCTATTGTATAAAAAAACTAAGCTAATCACAATTCAATATATAAAAATTACAAATGATACCAATTTGGCAATGACAGAATGGCATTAATCGAAATGGCAGAGTATCTGTATCAGAAGTTAGGCATTTTGTTACTCTTCTGTTACTCTAATTGAAGGAAATCCACTTGTATTGCAACTCACGTGGGGGAGCGATCAGAGCAGCGAGCAAACATTGCTTGAAGGAATGCTGTTCTGCATGTGGACCGCTGGCCTAAAAGGTGAAAATTTTCTACTTATCACTGATATTCACAGGTGGGCATGACATCATTTGTGTCTATGCTTAAAAGTAGTCTTTCAAAAGAATGCAATGGCATTACAGCAAGAATGGGGGATAAATATAAAAATTAAGTATTGAGCAGATTTTATTAATCCGAGAAGTTTGGCTTGCTTAGTTTATTTGTCCTTGGCTGCAAGTGCATAAAACGTCCAGAAAACTTCTAAATTTAAATTCAACTGGTAAAAAGTATTTTTGCTAAAATTAGCTATGATAAATAAACAAAGATTTCTATCTTACATTAAAACCAAACTGCTTGAAATATATTAGAAGAAAATAGTGAACAGAAGAAAAATTGGGAATCAAAGTTCATAGACATTTCCAAAAACCACAAGGGCATACAGTAATGCCTTGAATAAGCGCCCGGGCGCTTATTTAATTTTTGAGGCTCCGGGGTAGCCGCTAATTCGAGGAGGGCGCTTAATCGAGGGGGGGGCTAATTTAAAAAGTAGATTTGGGTGCAAATTGTGTTGTTCATTAATCTTTCTTTTTGAGTTGTTGTCCAATTATGTTTTCGTTGAAAATTCGAATAAGCGCCCATGTCTGAAGGTTGAAGATGGGCGCTTATTCGAGGGGGCCTCTTATTTGAGGGGGCGCTTATTCGAGGCATTACGGTACATAGTCTTGGGGGTGGGGGTTGGGGTTCATGAGAAGCAAGGGCCAATAAAACATTTCTTGCATTAGTCCAATATCATAGTGCAAATTATTCCGGAGAAAAAAGATTCAGATAACATATAGCTACCTTCTTGACCAACTATATCTTCCTCGGGTAACAGCAAAAAGCAGTTCATGAGGTCAATGGAGAAGACACGATATCCAATCTGCAAAATTCAAGAGGGATATTAAGAAAAACAAAACATGAAACAGCAAACTTACAAGCAACAATGGTAAAATTGCACCTCTCGCATCCAGAGTTACCGTCTTCCTCTGCTTACTAATTTACCCATGTCCTTCTTATTCCTGAGCCCTTCTAATTATTTCAAGCCTCGTGTTTTAAGGAACTTCAAGGTGTAGACAACGAAGTTCATTGCAGCGTAAGGAAGTGCATCGAGAAGAAAAAAAGTGGAAACACTATTAAGAACATTTTTTCACACTGTTATCTTATAAATGCGATTTTTCTATTTTAGGAAGTAAAATTAGTGCTTATATTCCCTATGTTTCAAATTCAAAGGATGTGCTAGCCATTCCCGATTCACAACTGCAAATAACAATTGTGGTTAGTTAGGCCTTACTTTTGCATTCCTTGAGTATTTCTTGAACCATTCTGTTATCGTTTCTTGGATATTCACAGGAAAACAGAGAATGATTTTGCAAATATCCTGTTTAAAAAGATGCAAGTTTAGATAAATATCACCTTGCAATAACTCATCAACATAAATTTTTTATACCTCTATGGACATTACAACTAAATATAATAACAACCATAGGGAGAGTGGTTTTAACAGTCACCTGATGATTGCATACAGGAAAAAATAAACAGGACAGCTCTGGCTTAAAGACAATCGACAAATACTACAATGTTAAAGGGCATATGTTGTATCAACAGTTGGCTAATAAAACAAAAGCGCTTGGAATGGAATTCCATTGTTTCATGACTTTTCATTTCTTCTTGTTGAATTTTTGCTAAAAATTCACCCTCGATTCCATGCTTTGAACTAAACAAAAAATATAATTGTATTGCATTAGCCAATCATGTTCACAACACACGCCCTTCAAGCTATCTTTCAACAAAAAATGGACCAATCAGTGAGCACGATTCCACTCACACGCCCATTCATTGGATTATATTGATTGATTGACAGATGGCCTAAGCCATTTTTAAATCTTTCGATTGCCTTTAAGCAAGAACCGTCCTGTTCTTTAAACCAAAAGCGTAAAATCCAACATATACATTCATAGCAGTCTTTTGAGGACTTGCTAAAGTCCTTACAAAATATAAAAGCTGACATAAATAAGCCAAGAAAATTTTAATGGCATCAAGTTCCTTTGTATTACATTATTTAAAATCAAACCACAAGGCGGCCTCGCTACCTTAAGAGGGGTATCAATCAATCAATGGCAATATTGAAAACTACAATCCCTGTCAAACAGGGTTGCCAGATGCTTGGGATGGTTGGCGGCCAAATATTTCACGCGTGACGGCCAAATTCGGCCAGCCAAACAAAATATACAAAAAAGCTACATTTTGGCTAAGTCTTTAGAGTAATAGTGTAATCAAAATTGGCTTTGTTTGTTGCAAAACTCCAACTTGCTTTCAATTTAAATTTTCTGTTATCTTTTACTTTGTTTCTTGCTTCGTTATTTGCAACTTTGAGATTATTTTAACAACATGTTGAATATTTTCTATGCTAAAGTTGTCGTTTTCTTTGTATTTTTGTGGCTTTCAACATCCTTCGAAATTCGGCCAACTTTTACTTTTTCGGCCAAATCATTTTAGAAGGCCAATAGCTTTAAAAAACAGCCAGAATGTAGGAATTTGGCTGTCAATCCTGCTGCCAAAGTCCTTGTAACACCCTGTATTCAATAAACATTTACGAAAAATTAATATTTTCTGGGTGTAAAATGCAGAAATCCACACTCCTCTTAAGCCATGTTGGATGAATTTCAAACTCTGAACCTGTTGCTATTCAACATTGTTACAAAAGGAGAATGGGATGATCCTGAAAAAGTATACGAAACTTAAAAGAAGGAGTACATTTAGCAAGTATTATGGTATTTGGTAAGAAAGACATTATTCCATTGTTCCAGCTTACTGTTTACAGTTTTATTCATTGGGTTTAAAAGACGATATGCAACAGCTATGAATTCAGTGGATTCGAATCCATGCTTTAAGTGGTCTGTCTTATGATATAACAAAGGATCTCATCTACAATTATTGCGACCATGCTTAAATAACTACCCAAAATCAATATGAAATTAGCCACGTCGCCAATTACGAAAATTGGCCTAGTTCTCTTGGAAAAAACTCAATTTGTGTTAATCTCGCTGATCTATGTCCTAATTTTTTCATCTCAAACGACCCGCTACATATGCACGCAAAAAACTGTTTTCTGACCTTGGCCAACGTATAACTTTTCTAATCAAGCATAAAAGCTATGGAATATGTAAAATCGGATCGAAAAACAAAGTGATGTCGAAAGCTAGCGACGAAATCTATCTCCTGTAGCTACAAAATTTTGCTAGCTGAGCTGGGCTTAAAACAGGATAAAAACTTAACATCTACTTTCTTTTTATTAAGCTTCTCAGCACACAATTGCAGATTTGAATGCGTTTCTAATGCTGCATTTTCAGCGATTTCTGCAGTTTGGTAATGAATAATTTAGTGGCAAGATTCAAATTTAAAACTGAACGTACGAAAGCAAGCAGAGTGAACAGGAGAAATTTATTCGAAATCAGACGCATAGCTGTTTTGCAAAATCTCAGTACTTCGCTTAGACGGGCCATCACAACATCGAAAATAGCCTAATGGCACCAAAATTAACATACTGATAGCAAAGACAAATTGAAGAACATTACCGTGTACTGAGTTCTTGCTTTTTATCATTAATTCTGCATTTATAAAACTATAACAACAAATCAACCATAAGTGGAAGTTTCATATTAAAATCTTTGTTTGTAATCTATTTGAAACTGGGATGCGGCCGACAGCAAAATTTTTCCCATTTTGAAATTAATCTATTTATACTTTATCACTGAACCAAGGCTCAAGGCAACTTAAATTTACTGCACGGACAGAAAGTTGCCATTCTTTACTATATGTCATCAAATAAAGCTATCAATAATCAAATAATCAAACAAAACTGCTGAACATACCGTACACAAAATATTTCTATATGCCGCTTTGTCCGGTATTTTGACGCACATGTTTTGAAGCAGAACTCGCACAGATTGAACAATCGCAGGGTCATTTTTCTTGATGAGATTGCTAAAATAAAACAATAAGCAAATTACGAAGAAAAAATAAATGTGCCAATTTTTCTATAGGGAAAGTCACTCTACTAGTGGGAAAAAATACCTTTCTAGCGATCAAAAGATCTCAATGATTGATTCAAGAACTAAGGTGGCCCTGAGAATCAATTGAGTGGTTGAACATAGAACTTCTGGCTGCAACCAATGTTTTTCGTACATATCAAAGTATGCTTAACGCATTGTGTCAAAGTGGAGCAGGCACTTGCAAGAAAGACACAAAAAAGTCTTGAAGCCCTATATAAACAAAAAACCTTTCCATTCTTCTAAGGAAAGGTCTCCGATAGTCTTGTCCAACCATAACTCTAACTAACAAAAAAGGCCATAAACTTGGTATAATTGCTGTCTATTGATAGCAGAATGGTTCTACAAAGCAGCGTTGACATAGCAAATGATTTTTTCATTTTTTCATTTTTTTTCTTATTTTCTTTTCATTTTTTCTTTAAGTTTCTCCAATTTTTTAATTGTATTTTAATTCTATTCTAAATTCCTCAATTTTGTTTGATATTCCTCATTTTTTTATACTTTACACTTTTTTCGTTTTTTTCAAATTTTTTATTTTTCTAATTTCTTCATCTTTTTTACTATTTCTTTTCATTTTCTTGAATTTTTTTCATATTTTTTATTTTATCTGCATCCCTACCAGTCCACAGTGATATGTTTAATTTGTGTTTATTGCGGGGAGAGGCCACTAAAGAACAGTGTATTAAGACTCTTGAAAGATTCTAAACAACAGACGTAATGGATCTTAGATAATTTGCGTTTTTAGTAAGACCATTATAAATCAGCTGCTCTTGTTTATGATTCGGGATTCACAAACGAACATTTTAAGGACACATAAAAAGAATGACACACCACATAAGGCTTAAAAAAGGGACGGCTTAGATCATAAGCCAAGCTCTGTGCCTATTGATCAATTATTTAAAACGAGTTTTTATAAAACATTAAGGAACTCAAGGCAACCAAATATATTTATAACTATAAAAATATTATACTGGTAATACTGTATTTGACCATCAACTGTTTGAATTTTATAACTTCATTAATTGATTCATTAATTGTGATTGACTGTTAATGTTTTGAGCAACTGACATTGTAAACAATTTTGCTAAATAGCTTGATTTTACGCATTATTGTAGGATCTTGATAAGGACAACTTGAAAATAAAACTTCTAAAATTTTATAAATTCACTAAACTGCAACAACCAGATCTCAGAAAGATCTGACTATCATATCAGCATCAATCCTTGATTAAATTCTTTACATTTTATTATACTAAAATTCTTAAAGTAAATACGTCCTTTATGTTAAATTCTTAAGACTACTAAAAGCCATAAGAAATATAAACAAAACAAATGCTAGCAACTAAAAGTAATAAGATGCTTCAAATTAGTAAAACCTCAATATAGATCACATAATGAGGGCACAAGTTTCTTTTTTTAGTTTACTTTGCCTTGACTACAGGAAATAGATTGATCATATGGAATGACAGAAATAGTTGTTTGTCTGATTATTTGAGGTGTCCGCTATTATAATGGCGACAGGTTTCGGATTATTGGTAAAGCCCGATCGTCGTTTCACCTAGCAGTTTTGGAATCTATCTACATAAGCACGACTAGTCTAGCTACTGAGAGAGCCCCTCCTTAAGAAATTCCCCTACATACAATTCCTTTGTCTTCTTGATGTAATACTATATACTGTTTCTTTTAGGTTTCTTGTGTAGCATTTATCTTGCATTAATTAGTTAAGCATGTTATATTTAATTGTATTTAAACTTTGTCTTTTTTGGATTGTATGTAGTGGAATTTTAAAATTATATGAAACTGAACTGAAACTGACGAAAAAACCGCTACTGTGTAGACAAAAGGAGCTCGTTTTCACCTTAGGACTCCATTGGTAACATTCTCAATAGGCAAGCGGCACTGATTGGTCAACCTTTACAGTCATGTGCTCGTGTTTCTGATTGGCCTATTTCGATCCACAACTGGGTATATATATTTCTTAGCGTAGAGTTTTCGGTCTATGTTCTGACGTTTTAAACTCTGAAGAGTGTCAGACGAAAAGCTTTAGTTTACCAAATGTTTGCTTTTTTCAAAGCCATTTTCAAGTTTTGTACCACCAAAAGATTGTCCGCTATTAAGAAGTTTTCTTTGGCAGAAGTGGCCCAGCGGTGGAGGTCACGGACAATTAATTCAAGGGTCCTGGGTTCGAGTCCCTTCTTTGATCAAACTTTTCCTAAGAGTGAGGAGAGTCGCCAGCTCACTGTAGATCCAGGTGTAGGAATCACAAGGTGTGTTCAAATGGAGAAGAAATACTGCCTGATAAGCACAGTTCTCGGTGCCCTAAACTACCTTCCGAAGCTAGTGAACAACAAACACAAAGTTTCACTGTTGATTTAAATCGTTTTTGAGAATCATGTGGCGCTAAATGGATCTAGCCTAAATCTCGAAAAAAATAAAAGGGGGTCCTGTTTAATTCCAAACTCGTGGTCAGGAAAAACTATTACAGATAAATACGAGCTCAGGAACAACTAGTACTCACCAAATGAAATCTCGAGTATCATTTTTGATATTTTGAAGTTGCTTTGGTATTGTCAATGCTTGAACCGGTTTTTCATCTTCAAACATCATGATACTTGATAAACAGTAGTTCATTACCTGAAACAAAAGGACAGGATACGTTCAATTTGTCAGCCTGGCTTCTGATTAATATACCAGCAATACAAAGAAGCAAACATCCATATTTATCTGACTTTTATCAGGAATGACTCCTTTTGTATTTGAAATCGTGAGAATTAGATTCTAACTTATTCAAAAGCACCCAAAATAATTCAGAGATTAAGACTTTTTCTGTCACAAAAGAAGAAAATTAACAACATCAGAATCTGCAATAGCTGAATTACATTTTATAATTACCTACTTTTATGCAAGCAAAGTTGATAAAGAAATTTGGAATTATAAAAATGGTTATTCAAAGAATACAACCGAAATTCGGACATCTCAGCTAATACACGATTGATGTTCAATAACGATTTACTGATGTTACTCCAAAATCTGCAGTAGGGTTGACTGCAACCACGAACTATAAAGATTATCTTTGCTGTGTAGTAAAGGACGGTTCTAATTTGCAGCTCCGAGTTTAAAGGCAACTGTCTAGTTGTGGATTGGTTAACGAGAACAATAGCTGGAACAATAGCCTAAACACGATTCCAGCGCTCCGCCATATTTTTTACAATGCGATAAATTAAAGGGGGACTGGAAACAATAAAAATCCCTTTGTTCTTATAACCAATCAACGTCGTGACAGATTGCCTTTAAACTTAATGCAATCATCAGACAACTGTAAACAAACATAACATCTACTGCTTTTTAAGGAATAAATCTAAGTTGAGCAATAAGACTTTGATTAGCTTCAATGAATCAGTAAAATTACAGATCACAAATGAGGCTAAAAACAAAGTATTTCAAGGAGGTTAAATATCTACATACACATCTAGATATCTTTGATACGTCATCATGGAATTCGGAGCAGAACGACTCTATGGCCTATGGAAGAGACAAAATGAAATGGAAAACTGAATAAAGAGGGAACTTTTCATATAAAGGAGTGTACAGTATTCCTCAAAAAATTTAAACAAGTTGTTTCTTAAGTCAGGATTATATCTATGAAGTACATGCAACGGCCAATTTCTTACCGGAAAATTGTCTCTTAGACTTAATAAAAAAATTGAAATATTTTCCTGTTTACTGGTAATCGTGAATCGGCTTAGTTGTTATAAAAAGATTGCAGATCTTTATTGGTAAGATAAAATCTAAAATTCAACAACTGCTGATTACTGTTGGGCCAAGCATGGGTAGAAAAACACACAGACAACTTAATGCCTGCAAAAACCTTGTTCTTCGATTCAACTTAATGTTCAAGCCCCATCCAGTTTCCTTCGTTTTCAGATGAAGGTTTCAAAAGTTTGAGGACAATGTACGCAGGGAGAACTCTGCCCTGAGAAAAAAGAGGGCTGGGGGAGGTACCCCCCCCCCCCAAGTTGGAGAAAAACACTATTTTTAGGTCATATACTATGTAACAGTTTTTGGCTCCGGACAGGAGTACATGTGTCCTAACATGGTAAATTACTCCGCCGAAAATAAAAATTGTTAAAGGGGAGAGATTAGGGTGGTGAAATTCGTCCTTTGCAACTGACGTTGATCTTTCAAGACCTTTCACAGCGAAAATAGTTTCAGCCATGTAACTTCCTTAAAATAGACGTGATAAAAAACATGACAAACGTTAAAGAACTGACACTGCAGAATGTAAAAAGGGGGGAAGTTGTCTTTTTTACAGCAAATAATAACTTTCGTTAAATTTTTCAAAAGCATTGCAATCAGAAATTAAAATTCCAAACCTCATAAGCGAGATCTTTGATGCATTTTCCAGCATGTCTGAAAACAGTGTTATAAAAGATCTTTGATCAGAACACAAACAAAGTGAATTCAAAAAAACCGATAAGGATTAATGTGATAAATTATGCATTTCGCCTTTACAGAATGTAAGTTTTGTGAAAATAACAAACAAAACTAAAAAAGCCAGTTTAATGCATAAATTAAACACAAAACAAGAAAACAGAATTGTTTTATTTTAAAATGATTTTAATAATTTATTGAGGAATTGAAAGCAAAAGGTAACAGAAATCAAAACTCATGAACAGTAGAAAACTGAGGCCATCATCGGAAAAAATGAAATAAATATGAAAATTACAGCATGATTAGTAAAACATATGAAAAATACTCGACCATGGAAAAAACAAAGCATGCTGTGCATTTTACTTATTGAAAATGAAATTGACACTTAATATTGATAAAATAAATTGTTGATGATAGTATTACGTAGGCTTAAACATTAACAGATATTTCCTCTTAACAGTTCGGGTGCAGTAGACACATTAGAAGCAAAGGACTAGCTGCAAAAAGGCTTAGGAGCAAAGGACTAGCTGCGAAAAGGCGTAGGAGCAAAGGACTAGCTGCAAAAAGGCTTAGAAGCAAAGGACTAGCTGCAAAAAAGGCTTAGGAGCAAAGGACTATCTGCGAAAAGGCTTAGGAGCAAAGGACTAGCTGCAAAAAGGCTTAGGAGCAAAGGACTATCTGCAAAAAGGCTTAGAAGCAAAGGACTAGCTGCTAAAAGGCTTAGGAGCAAAGGACTAGCTGAAAAAGACTTAGGAGCAAAGGACTATCTGCGAAAGGGCTTAGGAGCAAAGGACTAGCTGAAAAAGACTTAGGAGCAAAGGACTATCTGCGAAAAGGCTTAGGAGCAAAGGACTAGCTGCAAAAGGGCTTAGGAGTAAAGGACTAGCTGCAAAAAGGCTTAGGAGCAAAGGACTAGCTGCAAAAATTGTAGGAACACAAACTCAAATCTTTCAAATTTTCACTGAATTGTTTTCCTGATGTCATCTGATTTAATATATTATGATTCGATAATACAAATTATATTTGATTGTACAATAAAAAATTAATCGGTTTAAATAAGGACCTCACCATCTATCGCCCTGAATACAACTTTACCATTTATTTTGTGTATATAGTAAATTTATTTTGGGTAAAACTTTCAGTGTAACCTAGGGTTGCGGAGTGAGAAGTAACTTGAAAACTAAGGTTTCTTGCCTGTCACCCTGAAAGTTTATATATATATTTTGCATTGTAGTTGTTCTGTGTATTTTTAATTCCATCGTTATAAAAATTTTGGGTACCTCTTTTATCATTTTTACGAGATTCCAATACTGCATACCTACTGGTGAAATGTGAATGGGCAAAACTGTATGACTGCAAGGCGGGGAGGAATATGTAGGGCTAGCAAAGACAACTTTGAAGGGTAGCAAAATCCTAACCAAACAATATTGAAGTGTTCTAAGCTTCTGACATATGTTGGGATCGATGTTTTTTCATTTTTTCATCTTTTCAAATAAATTCTTATCTCTAGGCTTTGGGATAAAGAAATCACTTAATGTCTGATACGAGTTTCAGTATCGATCGGCTAATTAATCAAGAAGGAAATTGCTCAGAAGTTGTAAATGGTTTATCAGCACAGGAAATTTAAGCGATAACGTATAAACTCTCAATTTCTTCCAAAAATGACTATAAAGAAGCTACATTGTCTTGAAAACCATTCAACAATGAAAATCGCTTGAAACCCGTATAATGTAATTTCAATGTAATCAAATATAGACCCACACAAAGCATGGTCCACGTGTAGAATGTTACTCGTTTCTCTGATCTAACAGATTCATAGTTATTTTTCAATTTGTATAAAATTCATTTTTAGGAAAAGCATTAGTAATACTGCATTAAAGCTAACAATCATGTCTCTTTGAAAAAAATAAAGGTAGTGAACATACATTTATAAATTTGCTGTGAGAAACTTGATCTTATATGAGCTACCAGAATTATCAAGAATTGATATAAAACAGTAATTATATATCTTTAGGCACGAAATCTAGAATTGCAACTTTGGATAGTCAGTTTTACAACTTGAGTTACCATAACCTTTTACCGTGGCATTCACATTGCACAAGGGAAGAGGAAAACAACAATTAAGCTATACTTTGCAGAGCTAAAGGAAAACATAATTAGGTTTTATGGTTGAGAAACAAGATGATGTGACGTCATTCATTGATTCTTTTTCTAGCAATAATCCCGATAAGCACTTTAATAGCAGTATGTCGGGCTTGTCTCTGAAGTTAAAATTACATTGTTACCTTTCATAGGCCTATGTGTTTCATAGCTTCATACAATGCCTGCCAAAAGTACTTGGAACACCCACCAATTTACGCTGCATTTGATATCTTTCATTCCTTTCATGAAAAAAATTTGCTACTTCCGCCCCCTTCCCCCTCAAACAATGTTGATGATTTAGAGAAATATCATAAAAGAAGCGCAAAAGAAATTGCTTCCTAAAATCCTAACCCATTTGATAGTAAACCAACATTGTTCCGTGGGGGAGAGGGGGATGATTGGTTTTGACCTTGGAAATTGATGTCAGTGTTTCAAGACTTTTGGCAGGCATTGTAGGTATATTTATGGCGGATCTCCAGGAGCAGTATCTCAATGGTCTGGATGAGTTTTACAACATACCGGTAAAATTTAAATTTCAACTGCAGATGGGAAGTTAACTTTATCGTTTACTTTGCATCGGCAGCGATCGACAAAATACTCTTGAATGTTAAGCCTTTTTAGACAGAATTATCGACGTTTCTCAAAGCAGAATTTCAGAGCATCTTCTGCTTAGAGGATTTCCGAAACTAATATTAAATGAGTGAATTTATTTGACCTCCATTTTCTAAGCAAAGCAGGACTTCGATTCTAAGTAGTGAAAAAGGTTGTGCATACCTTCCTATTATTTTGCTTTTTAATGCTGTTTATCTACAATTTATGTCTTTGCTGCAACAAAGAAAAGCTTAAACACAAAAAACTGAAAGAGTTTTACCTGAAAGTATCATGGATACATTCCAACCTTGTTAAATGAGCAAAGACTTGTATGCAAGAATAAAGAGCCTGCTGCAGATCTTTGAAACTGTTTCTTTTAATGAACGAGGTAGTATCCTGTAAAAAAGGAAAAATGGTTCTATTTCAACAATAAATAGGAAAATTCAATTTATCATGATCAAAATCATTGAAAAAGACTGAAAAACACCAGCAAATAATCAAACAGATAAGGAATTTAAAATAACAAAAGATTATCAAACTATACCATAATATACCACAAAATAACAAAAACAACATTACAACAACATTATGACAGAACATAACTAAATGTATAACATAATACACTAACACAACACAACACAACACAACACAACACAACACAACACAACACAACACAACACAGCAACAACAACACATAACACAAAACTATATAACTCACAACAGTATATAATATAACATAATATAGAGCATAATATAACAAAACATTAAAGTGCTAAAAACTAAAAATTAAAAACCAGCTAATTTCTATGCTGCCCAAAAGACTTATGTAAAATCAAGTGCAACCAGTTTTCTGAATTTCAAATTAATTAATTAGCCTCCAATGTATAGGTCCTTACTTCAAATAATTCTAAAGAACCTTCAATTCAAAAAATTTTCTGCATTATGCAAACAACTGGTAAAAGGAATAGAAAATGGTCTTAAACTGTGTAAATTTGTACTTAAGAGTTTTGTACTCAAACATTCTCTCACTTCCTCCTCAAACCTCTTCCTAAAAATTATATAATTCTACATTAGCTATATCTGAACAACTTTCTCACCAGAAAAAAAGTATAGAAAAACAATTTTAAACTTCCTCCTTTACCAGGATTACTGTTGACACAGTTGCTAACTTTCAAAAAGGTCCATTTCAAATCTCTGAGCTTGAACCAATACACTTTAATAATTCAATCTTATCCTTCTTGATTCCCATTTTGTAGAAGTCTTTCTTGGTAACAATTTATATTATCCATCTTTATTCCATCGTGATTCCCATTTTGTGGAAGCCTTTCTTGGTAACAATTTATCAACAAAAGGTGCCCGACAATTCATTTATTTGCAAAGAATTCTAAGGAACTTCAGCTGAAATCTTAATTCTACTTTTAAATGATCTGTTTATGCAGCATGTACACCATAAGAATATGGTTTACAGTATACTAGAGTACATATGAGAACTCTTATCATTAACTATGTTTCTAGCCCATGTTAAATTTGTTTTCTTTCTCTATCTGCTCCCTTTAGGATACCTTCACTTGTATATGACAGCAAATGTACCGAATTAATGGCGTAATGTGTAAATAAGACACCACAAGAAAATTTTACACAAGAGAATATTTATCTATATATATTTCTAAGAAACTTTTATCTCATAAACTTCTGAAACATTACTAACATAAATGAAAAAATTAACTCAGCAGCCCTTAAAATTCTCCTTTTCAATGCAAAAAACAACATAATATCAATTATTCCTGGAAAGCAATCTTACCAGCTTTGCAATATGGATCAGAATAAGGGACTAGTTTAATTACAGTTAATTTTTATGAAATACTGCTTGACCTAACCTGTTTTCAATAGCATTTCAAAAGCCTGCATAGCTATTCTGCTTCTTAGATGGGTATTGAAATGAAAACCAGAAAAATAAACACAGCATCTTGAAAGGGGGCCAATAAAGATAGGCAGAAAAATAAAAACAATTTACAATCTATCAGCTTTTATTGAGATTTTGATAAAAGAACACTGTCTTATATGGTAAAAGATTGACCAAAAAAGCTCAAAGAATTAAGAAAAATGACAAAACAGGTTATGAAGATTTCAATGACCCTAAATTCTAAAGATAAATGTATATGAATTTAAAATGAGCAAATACCCAAGAAATTTGAAATGATTGGGTAAAAAACATTGAAGAAACAAACAAATACACTAACAACACAATAAAATGTATGAAGAGAGTATTTTGCTAGCTGGTCATGTCCAAAAGTTCATAATTTCCAAAGGATATATGTTCAAATTGCAATACAGAGTTTACAGAAAGTGTTCCTGATGAAATTTCACATATGGCCTTAAAATGTTAATGTCTTTAGTTTCCATCTGCATCAGCATCATTGTCATCAGCCTGCTGGTCAGATGTCCACAAGGTCAGGTTGTCTCTCAACAACTGCATGATTAGGGTACTATCCTTGTATGACTCATCCTTTAACTTATCTAGATCAGCAATAGCATCATCAAACGCTGTCTTGGCAAGTTTGCATGCTTCATCCTGGTTACCAACAATTTCATAGTAAAAGACAGAAAAGTTGAGGGCCAATCCCAGTCTGATTGGGTTAGTAGTGGGCATATTCTCTTTGCTAAGATTATAAGCCTCCTCATAAGAGTCCTGGGATTTCTGCACAACGGCATCTCTGTCTTCCTTTGATGCAACCTCAGCAAGGTAACGGTAATAATCACCTTTCATCTTCAGATAGAAAACAGGGGCTTCTGCAGCACTTTGGTCTACTTCAACCTTTGCCTCTGCATTTTTCTTAGCCCTTGGTATTAGGTATTGCTCCAGGAGATTTAGGACTTCATCACAAATTTTCTTCAATTCTGCTTCAATTTTCTCTCTAAATAGGAATAAAGATGAAATTTTTACAATTGTGACACCAGTTACGTTAACTGATCATTAAAATAATGAAGATTACCTTATACCTTTATGTTTTATAGTGCTTGATTGCTTTGGGGTGTATCAAAAAATTAACATGAGTTGCATCACAGAGTTTCATGCTTACAATAAAACTTGTAAGCATGGAGTTTAGAATCATCTTAGAATAATGATAATTGAAACTTTATGTTTCACCTTTTTAATAGCAAGTTACATTGATCTGATGATATTTATAAGGAAATAAAGGACCAAAGCATCACAAAAATATAGAAACATATTACCAAGCTGTTATATCTACAACCAAATGCATCTTGATATTAAAATAGTTTTTTGGAAAATTCAATATATGTATGGCAATCATTAATTTTTCTACTGGTCAAATTATCCAAAAGTGTTTACAAAAGTATTTATATTGTAATATAAATTGCAGATCTGAGATAATAACAAAATAATAAGAAAAAATAATTGAAAGTAATAAAAGAACCACTGAACATCTCAGGAAATTTTTTTTCACTTTTTATACCGGGTTGGGGTCTAAATAAATTTGGTTTAATGAAAACATGCTATATATATTATCTAAAAAACCAGGGCATTTTATGTTAACTTTTCAAATAATAGTGAAATGGGGTACAATGCAACACTGCAAAAAACAGATAACGGATTTGAATTAACAAAGATTAAGAAATTCTATCCATGAAAATTGTTACATTTTTATGCCAACAATATGTTAAGGTGTGTTTATTGACGCTGCACCTCAGGATTTGGAACGTAAAAATATTTGATTCCAAAACTTTTCAGTGAAAAACAGCTTGTTCACTGTAACATGTAAAATACTGTGTTACTTTTACAGGTATTGTGACGTTCACGCTTTCAAAACATCTGTTATCCATTTAGGCATGTGTTACACATCCTACTAGTTTCTTTGATCATTTCAGCAGCAAGAAAATCTCCTCGCTAATTTCCATTCTCGGTTTCATTCATCCAAACTGCCAGCCTTGATTAATTGTTAAATTACAAAAAATATGCTTATGTAAAAAAAATTAAGCAACTTAATACGTGGGTATTTAGCCAAAGGCTTTAGCGTTGAAAATAACAAGCAATTCGCGTGGGCCTATGGCTAGCTAGTATAGTATTTTAGTGATTCAAGTTAGGCCACACAAAATTACAACACCTACCTGTACTGCTTGGTCATTCGTGCCCTGTTGTCTTCTACTTGAGTCTTTTGTTCTATGCTAGATATAACTCTCCATGAAGATCTACGAGCACCGACGATGTTCTTGTAGGCAACCGACAAAAGATTGCGTTCTTCGCTAGACAGATCTGCGCCATTTTCGGCCTGGGTTACATGTTTCATCGCCTCGGCCATATCATCATAGCGTTCAGCTTGTTCTGCAAGTTTAGCCCTCTGCACAAGTTGATCTCTGCTAACAGCCATTGTATTGAATGTTTTGTGGAAGTATACGAGTCTTTTGTAGGACGAAGATCGGGAGTTTCGCTTCACTATCAGAGCAGGTGTATCTAAACCTTAGGTAACTCCGTCCAAGGAAAGGAGACTCAGCAGCGAGGGCGCGTGAGAAATCCGCCGAACACGGGGGTTTGCAGAAAGCATGATAGACAGAGTGCCCAAATTGTAGAAAAACTTTATCCCAATTTGGCCCAAGACTCATTGGGCAGCTGGCTTCTAGTTGAAATCTATACTTAGACCCAGATCTCTTTATCCAAAATGGTAGCCGCATATTACTCATTGGCAGTAGACATAAGAATGCGAGGCTGGTCATAAAGTAGGAAGTTGAGTAAGCAGGAAGGGTGGAAGTTCCATTTGATAATAATTGACAGAAGTTATGAAAAAATAAACAGTTCTTCATGCCATTTCAAAGGCACCTACAAGCACTTAGCATTAGAACCATGTAGATCTGAGATCAAGCTAATTTTCTCGAACTTTCTCGAATCGGGGGGACACATACAGCCATAGAAGGAACCAGACGCCTCATCGAGCGACTTCCGTTGACCAAAGCAAGGAAGATGGACGCGTTTTCCAAGAAACATTCAGATTTCGATTTTCTTCTAGATATAGTACATGTTTAACTTTCCACTGATTATATAAATAAAAACAAATTTGCTTTTTAAGCCTTGGGCGAGTAAGCAGGATTTCTAAGCCTACCAGTTAGAATAGTCAGACCCTTCGTCGTCGGATAATCTCTTGTGTCACCCCTCTCGTTGAGTGGCAATGACACATTTTGATTTAAATGATGCAAAACTTCGAATTGCCCCCTCTCCTTGTTTATTCATTCTTCTCGAATAAGTCCCTACTAATGAAGTAAAACTTTTTAATTTGCCTCCACATTTTATAAAGGTTAATGTTTACAATTACGTGGTTTCAGTCCAGGATAAATAAATTTATTTAACCCAAACAAACGAAGCATCTTCACAAAGTTTATGTTAGCAACATTGACTTGAAACGTGCTTCGCTTTGTCAAAGTGAACTTAAAAATAGCGAAAATGCTTTAGAATCATCATCATCTTGGGTGTGCAACCCTGTCACCGTATGGCTATTTTCAGAAAAAAGTAATAGCCCTAACCCTCACTTTAGCTTCCCACTTTAATAAACCACCATTCACAAACACCTCGAAGTAATAAACCCCCAAGACTAATAGGATGATTTACGGCAGTAGAAAAATAAACATATCAGCCAGGTCGCTTAAGAAAAAATCTCTACCGGCAAAAAGATTATTTTATCAATTTTTTCGCACTTAATGGATAACATCTACTGCCGCTCTCACTTTACCATGGGTGGATAAGTCTTCTTGCTAAACCCCAAGGGGAAACCTCAGCCAAATTTTCCGAATCTCCAAGCCCAACAAATAGGGCATGGGTTGAAAACTTTAGAGAAAACTAGCGCTTAAATGAAAGGAAACACCCTTTCTTGAATTCAAAGCTTGCTTGGAGTTCTTGCTTACTACAAAGAATTCTAATAGGAAATAGGAAAACTAGATTACGAGAGACGTGTACTGACGAACTTTCTTACAATTCCAGGGCCTGTTTAATTATAACTAAATTTAAGAAATTACTTTTCCTGAATCAAGACACAATAAAAGACTGCAGGTTTAAACGTAGTGAGCAAACGACTGCCTTTGTGTAAGCGGAAATACAGTAGGATACAATCTTATGATCAGTTGTGGAAATTCTGACTTTAATTGACTTTAATTGACTTTCATTCATTCATTCATTCATTCATTCATTCATTCATTCATTCATTCATTCATTCATTCATTCATTCGTTCGTTCGTTTATTCATTCATTCATTCATTCATTCATTCATTCGTTCATTCATTCATTCATTCATTCATTCATTCATTCATTCATTCATTCAATCATTCGTTCATTCATTTAGTCATTCCTAATTTCATATATTTAGAAAACTATCCATATATCTTCTCTATTCGTTCATTGCTTCCTAATTGAGAATCTATATCACAAGTTCTATGACCACACGTTCAAAAAAGAAACAGGCGTTATGCACGACCAATGGTCACCAAATCTACTCAGTAACAGTATAAAAAAGTTCGTTGCCTAAACAACGGTCTCATTACCAGTCCTCTTACGACAGAATCAAAATCACCAAAAAGCTTATTATTCCCATGAGTTCTCACGCCCCTGATCCTATAATGGAAGCTGGAATAAGATAAGACGCTAGCTGAGCTCCAAAAATTGTGGATTGACATTCAATTAGTAAATAGGAAGAAGATACCATGCAGCTGATCTCAGAATACGATAAAGAAATCAAGAGATTTTGGAAGCTACAGGCAACAAAAGATTGGATGGACAACTGTAGAAGCTGAGGAGCTAAGAGATACGACCATTCAAGTACGGAAACGGTCAGTTTAAAATGGCGGCTCACATGCAGTGGCCAGGGCCTAAGTCGACAAATTTCCAAAACGAATTTACTAGGTGAAAAGGCTTGGAATCGATAGTTTATGCATTCGCCATCCTTCAAGGTTTCAGTTGAAGACAAAATTGAACGAACAGTTTGCTGTTTTGAAGAAGAAATTCCGTAAAATTTTGAAGCACTACTTCAAAAAGGCTCTGTAGAAGATTTCCGAAGCATTAAATTATAAGAATGAAATGAAAGAGGTCAACTATAGTATTCCTCTCGAAGAAGGAAGAAAAATACTTTAGTTAACTTTTATGGAGCGTCGTTGTGCCTATATGACAATTGTACTTTTTGTAGTTTTTAATTGTTTCGAATGGCATTCACCCCCATTTTACATGGTCTTTATTTCAATTTTAATGTATTTTTGTGATTCTACGGCATTTAAATCCTCGGTCTTACATTTCGTGTGGCTTTTCAAATTTTCGATAATTTATCATATTCCCACTGCTTATTCATTCTGCTAGGCATTACTATTATGTGGCTTTATAATCCGAGTGACGTTTCATTTTGTATGGCATTTGAAATTTCATACGGCGTTTCGAATATCAAATGGCATCATGAATTGCCTCATGCTGCGGTCGTAGGAAAGGCTTAGTAAAAACTTGGCTGATAAATAACTCTTTCATTTTGCTTTCATTTGGTACAGGTTTTTTTTCGCAATTAATTTATACCTAAAACACGGAGTCGCTTCACCAAATCTCGTCGCCAACTGACACACTGAGAGGATAATTCACTCGAAAAATACGATCAACCATATAATGGCAACGAACGATAGCGGCCTACGCTTCAGAAGGGCAACAGCCACCGATTTGGAGGGAATTGCATCTATATCTGTTGGAATTTATGAAGGTTCCGATTTTGTTGTCCACCAATTTCCGAAATGGCTAAACGACGATAGATGGCATCTTTTTATTGCAGAAACAGCAAATGGGAAGCTGGTTGGGTTCACGTCAATGAATATCACTGACAATGAAAGAAGTGCCATCGTTAGATCCACAAGGGTTCACATTGCATATCGAGGAAGAGGAGTGTACAGAAGTTTGCTTGATTTTACATTGAAGTCAATCAGAGAGTTGCTTCCAAATCTAAACAATATCTTGGGATACAGGACTAAGATATTAGATAATTATGAATGTTTGGCCAAGGTTACCAAATTGACATTGGCGTGTAATTTGACTACAAATGAACATTTAGTCAGCAAACTACAAGAAGGAGCACAATTCACAACATGGCAAGAGTTTCAGGATCTGTACAGCCAAAGCCAATTGATAAGAAACATGTTTCCTTCTGACTACCTTCGAGTAAACGCTGAGCTGTTCAACCTTAGCATAAGCATGAACTGGGAGTATCTGAAAACCAGGGATGAGCTTTTACTTTTAATGACGAGAAAGCAAAGTCCCACTGGGTACAAGTTAGCAGTATTCTCGGTGTGGGACACTGCCATAAAAACTACAAATCAAGGAGAGAAATACCTTGTTGTGGATTTCTATGGGGCTGACCCTGAATCGATCTTGGACCATGTTCTTCGAGGGATGCAGTTTGTTTTTGACAAAATTGGTGGAACTTTCAACGTTAGTTTCTGGATAACAGAAGAAAATGAAGGCTACTGCCATAAATTGTTTCAAGAATTACCTTTTTGTAGAATTTTAGAAAGTTTTCCGTTACTCTTTTTGAAATGGGACCTGACGACTCATCCTTACTCTTATATTCCTTATAGAAAAAAATCGTTAATATAAACAAAGAACAGTAAAGGACCTGATGAGGGTCCTTGAGGAATCACACGTTTTGTATTCTTTATTAAAAATAAATCTCCGTTTACTTTGTAGCTCTTTGTCAATGGCTTAGGAATGATTGAAATAACTGGAATGCAGTGCGTTGTATGCCATAGTGAAAAAGTTTCTGCAAAAGTACTGAGTGGGCAATAATACCAAATACGTTACTTGTCTTTGAGCACGATACCTGTAGATTTGGGAAAAATCCTGTCCCTGTGGCTGATAGAAAATGTTCATTGTGCCACTCTTTGAATATAACTGCTGTGGAGGACGGAATTTATTTCTACTGGTTTGTCCCCTTTAACAGGACCATAGGAATTCTATGTTAACTGTCATTTATTCAAAATTTCCCAGAATTCCATCCCTTGATCTGTATGAAAAATTTATTTGGCTGCTGAGTCAAGAGGATAAAGACAGTTTGATCTCAACAGCAAACTCCAATCACTGGCTTTAAAATCACAGGAATCATTTAGGAAGAGCTCTATATGCATTTCTACATAATATTATATGTGTGACGTAAAATATTCTTAGTCTTATTTCATTTTTACCTTTGTATAAGTTGCTTGCTGTTTTCATCTTGTATTTGTTGTTTGCTGTTAACGTGTATTTATGGTTATGTTGGCGATGAGCCATTTCAACCTACAAGCCTTAACTAAAAAAATAATAGCAAAGGATCCCTTTCCTCGTTTACTGCAGGTAACCAATCACTGTTTGACCAACATTACTGGCAGAGAGTTTCCCTTCTGCCCCTTTCTATTTTCTGCGGCTTGGTTTAATTTCCAAAACGAAGCAGTTAATTAAGTAGGTATATTGGAACCTTCTTTTTCTTCTTGAGATATACACTCTTTCTTAAGCTCGTTTGCAAGTAGAATCTGTGGGCGGAATATAGTTTTTTACACCCAGGGCACCATCGTGGCTCTCTCTTGGCGGGCAATCATGTCAGCACTTAAAATAAAAAAACTAAAGGATATAGCGATAAATGAAAGCTTAGAAATATCGCCTTGGATTTTTCTTCAGTCAAATTAATGTTGCAGCTTCTGACCATCCCTATAATACCATATTTCTGAAATGTTTCTAAATGCCAACCATGGTGGGCGGCAGCGGCCTTTACACAATCTAAATACACGTATTTTTTTATAAGAAACTAAGGTCCGGTGCTGGTAGGCAGTTTCTTAAATTTGCTGGCCATTTTGCTACCAAAATTTTCTCACATGTTTCTTAAATTTCTTAGGTAATGAATTTTTTAAACGTGCTTTCAAGGTAAAGTAAATAGTTCACTCACATTCAGAGATAAACTAACAAAGTGATCAAGGATTTTGTTTTCCTAGAATGACTAACTCTGTTGAGTTCTGTAAACAGTTAAGCTCATTGAACTTCGTCAATGTCAAGTTGAAGTCAAAACAAATTTTTAAATGGAACCTTCTTGAGTATGCACTTTGCTGAGAATGACTGCAAACTTCATGTCAATGTCAAGACGGTTTCGAGTGCCAACTCGGACAATTTAAACAGCAAATTATTAAAATTTCTTGACTTTTTTCAATTTGGGTAGAGTTGTTTCTTAACTTTCAAAAAATCGAGCATACCGTTTCTTATAACCTCTTTCTTAAAACAAATGCGTTTATTTTGGGCTATTCACTTTCAAATACGTTTCGCTGGCCTTGTATGCAGACAAACTTGAAAAAAACTGACAAGCTTTAATTAAAAATTCACTGTCTTGCGCATGCGTGAAGGAAGTCATTTGCAACGATTGAAACCCGTCACATGATATCATACCATAGAGATATGATATCATGTGACAAGTATCAGACACAGATCTGGTTTCATGTTGGTCCAAGTCCAAAATACTTTGTTATTTTTCTATTGGTTTCAATTTAAGCTGAGTTCTCTTTCAAGCTTTTCTCTAGTTACACATGGTTGTATTTTGCGAAACTAAAAAGTGGATGAACTACAATACTGAAACAATTTACCAAAGCACAACGCGCAAACATTGTTAAGATGAGATTATATCAATGACCCATAACATTATTGATTGTTTCAATCCCTTCGGGTCAAAAGTGTCGGGTGGTGCTACGTAAAACCACAGAATTTCCTTTTGTTTTCATTTGGTATATAGGTTGTCCTTTATCGCAATTAATTTCTACTTGTGACACAGAGTCGCTTCACCGAATCTCGCCGCAAAGTAGCACACCGAGATGATAATTCACTCGCCCAAATAGAAAACACGATCAACCATATAATGGCAACGCACGATAGCAGCCTACGCTTCAGAAGGGCAACAGCCACCGATTTGGAGGGAATTGCATCTATATCTGTTGGAATTTATGAAGGTTCCGATTATGTTGTCCACCAATTTCCGAAATGGCTAAACGACGATAGATGGCATCTTTATATTGCAGAAACAGCAAATGGGAAGCTGGTTGGGTTCACGTCATTGAATATCACTGACAATGGAAGAAGTGCCATCATTAGATCCTCTAGGGTTGACATTGCATATCGAGGAAGAGGAGTGTACAAAAGTTTGCTTGATTTTACATTGAGATCAGTCAGAGAGTTGCTTCCAAATCTAAACAATATCTTGCGATACAGGACTAAGTTATTAGATAATTATGAATGTTTGGCCAAGGTTACCAAATTGACATTGGCGTGTAATTTGACTACAAAAGAACATTTAGTCAGCAAACTACAAGAAGGAGCACAGTTCACAACATTGCAAGAGTTTCAGGATCTGTACAGCCAAAGCCAGTTGATAAGAAACATGTTTCCTTCTGACTACCTTCGAATAAACGCTGAGTTGTTCAACCTTAGCATAAGCCTGAACTGGGAGTATCTGAAAACCAGGGATGAGCTTTTACTTTTAATGACGAGAAAGCAAAGTGCCACTGGGTATAAGTTAGCAGCATTCTCGGTGTGGGATACTGCCATAAAAACTACAAATCAAGGAGAGAAATACTTTGGTGTGGATTTCTATGGGGCTGACCATGAATCGATCTTGGACCATTTTCTTCGAGGGATGCAGGTTGTTTTTGACAAAATTGGTGGAACTTTCAATTTTAGTTTCTGGACAACAGAAGAAAATGAAGGCTACTGCCATAAATTGTTTGAAGAATTACCTTTTTGTAGAATTATAGAAAGTTTTCCGTTACGGTTTTTGAAAAGGGACCTGACGATCCAAGTAAAGGACTGAAACTACTGCATTTGTCTGTTTTGTCAAGTAATGAAAGAACTTAATTGAGGTAAAAATATACTGCTGGCATAATGTAGGCTTATATATGGTCCTTAGGATTGCTCACTTGAATAGGAGCCAGTTGGCATTTTGTCATTTAGAATTTTCGTTCATTGTAGCCCCGTAGGTTATTTGAAATGTGGTTTACAGGGAGCTCTGCTAAAAGCCGACAATTAAATGACATGTGGACAATAGCAACCAATTATGAATTTTCGAGAATAGGCATTTAATCCAACGTCAAATGATAGTGAGATCAATAAAAAATTTAGGAGCACTAGATTCTGAATAAATTTAGTAATATGTAATAGAAATTACTGTTTACCGGTCTGTCATTAAGTGCTCGATGCCGTTCAGGCAGAGCTGTACAAGCTACTTGGTGTTAAGTTGCTAATCTGAGTTCAACGTTTAATGCGACCATCAAGCAAATTTTAGGAATATTTATCTGATTTCAATTTTTATTAAATGTTACAGGCAAAAAGTCTATCGTTTTCTTTTAAATAACTAAATATTTTAATATTAAAAAATTTAAATTTTGAATATCGTTGAATTGAACTCGTTTAGAAGAAATATCCAGATTGCTGCTCATATTTATGCTACAAAGTTTTGACCATGCTTGGTTCTACGTTTTGTGGCTCCACTTTGAATAGCGTTTTCGAATGATATACGGTTTGGTATCAAATGAAGTCAAATTATTCTGTTTTCAAGCGTACTAAGAGGATAGCAAAATCAAAAACGGATTCATTCGACTCCGTTTTAGTATGAAAACATAGCAGAATCGGCTTTAGAAGAAACAATGTGCCATGTGCCCTTTTGTGCTCAAGTTTTTTATAGCTAATTGTGTCTGATTGAGGAGAACCACGTAAGAAAATTCTAACCTTTAACATATTTATCGAAAAGAGATGCATATTTCAACGTGTTAGAACAAAGCATTGGCCTTGATACGTCAGGTTTCCGAACTTTGTGGACCGTTCATTTTACACCTCACCTCATGCTGGTGTGCTCTTACGTTGTTCTTATTTCTCTCCGTGTTCTTATAAAGTTAAAGAAAGAAAGTGTATTTGGTCAACACTATCATTTTAGATTTCACATTACTTAGAACATAAAAACTGAAAAGTGATTTTTTAAGCAGATAATTCTTTTATGGAGAAAACAATTCGTTTTCCTTTCTTCCAATCAGGTTGATTCGTTGTTAATTTTGGTCTCTGGACCGATATGACTCCAGGGTCATATCACTCCAGGTAAGGGTCATATTGGTCTGGGCAAGAAAAAAGAACTCGCGGCTATTGTAGCGGTTTTCATGGCACCGAAGACGCTTATTGTGTTTTCCGATTAACGAAATGAATCGAAAGCCGCGTTAATCATGACGAAGGAAGATCGGAGAGTAGAGCACAAAAAACGCTTCAACAAGTGGTTGCCTATGTTTTAGGCCGTCGTTCCAATTTACGCAGCTTTTACCCCACTTATGTTATGGCATTGCGAACCCCGCAGTCGTCTAGTATAGACAGGAACCACACCAGACCTCAAGGAGCAATCCAAATATAGTTGATAAACTAAAATTTTCAAAATAAAGTTCTAATGTTTCTTGATTTCACAGAGACGGGCAAGTATTTTTCTCTTTACATTTTATCTAAAAAAGATTGCAAGCGAGGCTGGCCGCTTCAGGGGTCATACTGGTCCAACCAGAGTCATACTGGTCTGGGATTCATATTGTTTTGGACCGATATGACCCTGGGGTCATATTAGTCTGAAAGGACATATTGGTCTGGAACACAGTCTTGAACCGATCAGTGTTGCAGGGTCATAGCACATGCGCATTAGTAACAGTATTCGCACAAATGACACACTGAGAGGATAATTCACTCGAAAACACGATCATTACTGGCAGAGAGTTTCCCTTCTGCCCCTTCTATTTTCTGCGGTTTGGTTTAATTTCCAAAACGAAGCAGTTAATTAAGTAGGTATATTGGAACCTTGTTTTTCTTCTTGAGATATACAATCTTTCTTAAGCTCGTTTGCAAGTAGAATCTGTGGGCGGAATATAGTTTTTTACACCCAGGGCACCATCGTGGCTCTCTCTTAGCGGGCAATTATGTCAGCACTTAAATGAAAAAACTAAAGGATATAGTGATAAATGAAAGCTTAGAAATATCGCCTTGGATTTTTCTTCAGTTAAAATTTACGTTGCAGCTTCTGACCATACCTATAATACCATATTTCTGAAATGTTTCTAACTGCCAACCATGGTGGGCGGCAGCGGCCTTTACACAATCTAAATACACGTATTTTTTTATAAGAAACTAAGGTCCGGTGCTGGTAGGCAGTTTCTTAAATTTGCTGGCCATTTTGCTACCAAAATTTTCTCACATGTTTCTTAAATTTCTTAGGTAATGAATATTTAAACGTGCTTTCAAGGTAAAGTAAATAGTTCACTCACATTCAGAGATAAACTAACAAAGTGATCAAGGAATTTTGTTTTCCTAGAATGGTTTACTCTGTTGAGATCTGTAAACAGTTAAGCTCATTGAACTTTGTCAATGTCAAGTTGAACTTAAAACAAATTTCTAAATGGAACCTTCTTGAGTATGCACTTTGCTGAGAATGACTGCAAACTTCATGTCAATGTGAAGACGGTTTCGAGTGCCAACTCGGAAAATTAAAAAAGCAAATTATTAAAATTTCTTGGCTTTTTTCAATTTGGGTAGGGTTGTTTCTTAACTTTCAAAAAATCAAGCATACCGTTTCTTCTAAGCTCTTTCTTAAAAAAAATGCGTTTATTTTGGGCTATCCACTTTCAAATACGTTTCGCTGGCCTTGTATGCAAACAAACTTAAAAAAAACTGACCAGCTTTAATAACAATTCACTGTCTTGCGCATGCGTGAAGGTAGTCATTTGCAACGATTGAAACCCGTCACATGATATCATACCATAGAGATATGATATCATGTGACAAGTATCAGACACAGCTCTGGTTTCATGTTGGTCCAAGTCCAAAATACTTTGTTATTTTTCTATTTGTTTTAATTTAAGCTGAGTTCTCTTTCAAGCTTTTCTCTGGTTACACATGGTTGTATTTTGCGAAACTACAAAGTGGACAAATTACAATACTGAAACAATTTACCAAAGCACAACGCGCAAACATTGTTAAAATGAGATTATATCAATGACCCATAACATTATTAATTGTTTCCAATCCCTTTGAGTCAAAAGTATGCCCCGCCAAATGGGACAGAAGTTTATTATACAAAATATATGATGTGATTGTAAATATATTGTTTTAATCTAACATAAACCCAGGGTAAAATCTGTTGTACAACTTATATCGACGTTATTTCTCCTAATTAAAAGCGTGGCCACTTGACATTTATAATTTGTTGTCAGAATTTTCAGATATATATGATGTGAATTTGTTTGCAAATATATAAGGTCTGAATTTGTTTGCAAATATACAAGGTCAAAGCGCGAACGATATGCGCAGTGACATTTCCCGCCAAATCCGACTCGATTTACACATTGCACGTTGCACAAAATGGCTGCGAATGCTTCAAGTACTAGAATGAGACGGCCTAGTTCTGTGCCCGCATCACCATACACTCGCCCATCTTCTTGGGGAAGTCGTCGCTCAAGCTTCCATCAGAATGACGACGGTGGGTATAAATTCCGTGTGAAAGAAGTCATTTTACACTTTGTTGGCCGACTAAAAGGCAGACCAAGTTGTGCAAGCAAACCAGATCCGATTTTTGAGAGTAGGGTCACAAGCTGAAAATTAGCAAACTCACAAGTTGAAAGCACACAAATTTATGTTTTGACGGGAAATGTCACTCCGCATATCGTCCACACTTAGACCTTATATATCTGCAAACAAACTCATACTTTATATATTTGCAAAAAAATTTATACCTTATATTTTTGCAAACCAATTCAGACCTTATATATTTGCAAACAAATTCAGACCTTATATATCTGAAATTTCCGACAAGAATTTATAGATGTCAAGTGGGCACGCTTTAAGTTTGGAGAAATAACGTCGATATGAATTGTACAACCGATTTATATCAGATTTAAACAATATAATTACAATCACATCATATATTTTGTATAATAGACTTTTGTCCCATATAGCAGGGCATACAAAAGTGTCGGCTGACGCTACGTAAAACCACAGCAATTTATTTTGTTTCCATTGGGTATATAGGTTGTCCTTTATCGCAATAAATTTCTACTTGTGACACGTAGTCGCTTCACCGAATCTCGTCGCTAAATAACACACCAAGATGATAATTCACTCGAAAAATACGATCAACCATATAATGGCAACGAACGATAGCAGCCTACGCTTCAAAAGGGCAACAGCCACCGATTTGGAGGGAATTGCATCTATATCTGTTGGAATTTATGAAGGTTCCGATTATGTTGTCCACCAATTTCCGAAATGGCTAAACGACGATAGATGGCATCTTTTTATTGCAGAAACAGCAAATGGGAAGCTGGTTGGGTTCACGTCATTGAATATCACTGACAATGGAAGAAGTGCCATCATTAGATCCTCTAGGGTTGACATTGCATATCGAGGAAGAGGAGTGTACAGAAGTTTGCTTGATTTTACATTGAGATCAGTCAGAGAGTTGCTTCCAAATCTAAACAATATCTTGCAATACAGGACTAATAAATTAGATAATTATGAATGTTTGGCCAAGGTTACCAAATTGACATTAGCGTGTAAGTTGACTACAAAAGAACATTTAGTCAGCAAACTACAAGAAGGAGCACAATTCACAACATGGCAAGAGTTTCAGGATCTGTACAGCCAAAGCCAATTGATAAGAAACATGTTTCCTTCTGACTACCTTCGAGTAAACGCTGAGCTGTTCAACCTTAGCATAAGCATGAACTGGGAGTATCTGAAAACCAGGGATGAGCTTTTACTTTTAATGACGAGAAAGCAAAGTGCCACTGGGTACAAGTTAGCAGCATTCTCGGTGTGGGATACTGCCATAAAAACTACAAATCAAGGAGAGAAATACTTTGGTGTGGATTTCTATGGGGCTGACCCTGAATCGATCTTGGACCATGTTCTTCGAGGGATGCAGGTTGTTTTTGACAAAATTGGTGGAACTTTCAATTTTAGTTTCTGGACAACAGAAGAAAATGAAGGCTACTGCCATAAATTGTTTCAAGAATTACCTTTTTGTAGAATTTTAGAAAGTTTTCCGTTACGGTTTTTGAAATGGGACCTGACGATCCAAGTAAAGGACTGAAACTACTGCATTTGTCTGTTTTGTCAAGTAATGAAAGAACTTAATTGAGGTAAAAAGATACTGCTGGCATCCAGTTATGAATGTTCGAGAATAGGCATTTAATCCAACGTCAATTTATAGTGAGATCAATAAAAAATTTAGGAACATCAGATTCTGAATAAATTTAGTAATATGTAATAGAAATTACTGTTTACCGGTCTGTCATTAAGTGCTCGATGCCGTTCAGGCAGAGCTGTACAAGCTACTTGGTGTTAAGTTGCTAATCTGAGTTCAACGTTTAATGCGACCATCAGGCAAATTTTAGGAATATTTATCTGATTTCAATTTTTATTAAATGTTACAGGCATAAAGTCTATCGTTTTCTTTTAAATAATAAATATTTTAATATTTAAAAATTTAAATTTTGAATATTGTGGAATTGAACTCGTTTAGTAGAAAAATCCAGATTGCTGCTCATATTTATGCTACACAGTTTTGACCATGCTTAGTACTACGTTTTGTGGCTCCACTTTGAATAGCGTTTTCGAATGATATACGGTTTGGTATCAAATGAAGTCAAATGATTCTGTTTTCAAGCGTACTAAGGGGATAGCAAAATCAAAAACGGATTCATTCGACTCCGTTTTAGTATGAAAACATAGCAGAATCGGCTTTAGAAGAAACAATGTGCCATGTGCCCTTTTGTGCTCAAGTTCTTTATAGCTAATTGTGTCTGATTGAGGAGAACCACGTAAGAAAATTCTAACCTTTAACATATTTATCGAAAAAGGATGCATATCTAAACGTGTTAGAAGAAAGCATTGGCCTTGATACGTCAGGTTTCCGAACTTTGTGGACCGTTCATTTTACACCTCACCTCATGCTGGTGTGCTCTTACGTTGTTCTTATTTCTCTCCGTGTTCTTATAAAGTTAAAGAAAGAAAGTGTATTTGGTCAACACTATCATTTTAGATTTCACATTACTTAGAACATAAAAACTGAAAAGTGATTTTTTAAGCAGATAATTCTTTTATGGAGAAAACAATTCGTTTTCCTTTCTTCCAATCAGGTTGATTCGTTGTTAATTTTGAGAATGTTAGCATTACTTTAATCTAAAGTACAGTTGGCTACCTATTATCAACCCTAGACCACACTAAGGGGCTCAGTACGCCCCTAGAACTTCCAGTTTCATTGGGGGACTACCTAAGGCATTGCTGAAAACTGGAAACAATTTCGCTTCATTGTTGTCACAGCAACTTCACAATATTGAAAAAACACCCGAATGTATGAAAACCCCAGATCCCAGATCATAGCTTTTGTCCGGGAGACGAAACTATCAGTCCTTTGTTTCGAAACAATACAGTTGTTCCAGACCGATATGACCCCTTGGACCAATATGGCCCTGGTGTCATATTGGTCTCTGGACCGATATAACTCCAGGGTCATATCACTCCAGGTAAGGGTCATATTGGTCTGGGCAAGAAAAAAGAACTCGCGGCTATTGTAGCGGTTTTCATGGCACCGAAGACGCTTATTGTGTTTTCCGATTAACGAAACGAATCGAAAGCCGCGTTAATCATGACGAAGGAAGATCGGAGAGAAGAGCACAAAAAACGCTTCAACAAGTGGTTGCCTATGTTTTAGGCCGTCGTTCCAATTTTACGCAGCTTTTACCCCACTTATGTTATGGCATTGCGAACCCCGCAGTCCTCTAGTATAGGCAGGAACCACACCAGACCTCAAGGAGCAATCCAAATATAGTTGATAAACTAAACTTTTCAAAATAAAGTGCTAATGTTTCTTGATTTCACAGAGACGGGCAAGTATTTTTCTCTTTACATTTTATCTAAAAAAGATTGCAAGCGAGGCTGGCCGCTTCAGGGGTCATACTGGTCCAACCAGAGTCATACTGGTCGGGAGTCATATTGTTCTGGACCGATATGACCCTGGGGTCATATTAGTCTGAAAGGACATATTGGTCTGGAACACAGTCTTGAACCGATCAGTGTTGCAGGGTCATAGCACATGCGCATTAGTAACAGTATTCGCACAAATGACACACTGAGAGGACAATTCACTCGAAAACACGATCATTACTGGCAAGGGGGTTTCCCTTCTGGCCTTTCTCTTTTCTGCGGTTTGGTTTAATTTCCAAAACGAAGCAGTTAATTAAGTAGGTATATTGGAACCTTGTTTTTCTTCTTGAGATATACAATCTTTCTCAAGCTCGTTTGCAAGCAGAATCTGTTGGCGGAATATAGTTTTGTACACCCAGGGCACCATGGTGGCTCTCTCTTAGCGGGCAATCATGTCAGCGCTTAAAATAAAAAAACTAAAGGAAATAGCGATAAATGAAAGCTTAGAAATATCGCCTTGGATTTTTCTTCAGTCAAATTAATGTTGCAGCTTCTGACCATCCCTATAATACCATATTTCTGAAATGTTTCTAACTGCCAACCATGGTGGGCGGCAGCGGCCTTTACACAATCTAAATACACGTATTCTTTTATAAGAAACTAAGGTCCGGTGCTGGTAGGCAGTTTCTTAAATTTGCTGGCCATTTTGCTACCAAAATTTTCTCACATGTTTCTTAAATTTCTCAGGTAATGAATTTTTTAAACGTGCTTTCAAGGTAAAGTAAATAGTTCACTCACATTCAGAGATAAACTAACAAAGTGATCAAGGAATTTTGTTTTCCTAGAATGACTAACTCTGTTGAGATCTGTAAACAGTTAAGCTCATTGAACTTCGTCAATGTCAAGTTGAAGTTAAGACAAATTTTTAAATGGAACCTTCTTGAGTGTGCACTTTGCTGAGAATGAATGCAAACTGCATGTCAAGTGTAGTGTTGGAAAACACAGTGGTGTTCAATGTCAAGACGGTTTCGAGTGCCAACTCGGAAAATTAAAACAGCAAATTATTAAAATTTCTTGGCTTTTTTCAATTTGGGTAGGGTTGTTTCTTAACTTTCAAAAAATCAAGCATACCGTTTCTTCTAAGCTCTTTCTTATAAAAAATGCGTGTGTTTTGGTTTATCCACTTTCAAATATGTTTCGCTGGCCTTGTATGCAGACAAACTTGAGAAAAACTGACCAGCTTTAATAAAAATTCATTGTCTTGCGCATGCGTGAAGCTATTCATTTGCAACGATTGAAACCCGTCACATGATATCATACCATGGAGATATGATATCATGTGACAAGTATCAGACACAGCTCTGGTTTCATGTTGGTCCAAAATACTTTGTTATTTTTCTATTTGTTTTAATTTAAGCTGAGTTCTCTTTCAAGCTTTTCTCTGGTTACACATGGTTGTATTTTGCGAAACTACAAAGTGGATAAATTACAATACTGGAACAATTTACCAAAGCACAACGCGCAAACATTGTTAAAATGAGATTATATCAATGACCCATAACACTATTGATTGTTTCAATCCCTTTGGGTCAAAAGTATGCCCCGCCAAATGGGACAGAAGTTTATTATACAAAATATATGATGTGATTGTAAATATATTGTTTTAATCTAACATAAACCCAGGGTAAAATCCGTTGTACAACTTATATCGACGTTATTTCTCCTAATTAAAAGCGTGGCCACTTGACAATTATAATTTGTTGTCAGAATTTTCAGATATATATGATGTGAATTTGTTTGCAAGTATATAAGGTCTGAATTTATTTGCAAATATATAAGGTCTGAATTTGTTTGCAAATATATAAGGTCTGAATTTGTTTGCAAATTTATAAGGTCTGAATTTGTTTGCAAATATATAAGGTCAAAGCGCGAACGATATGCGCAGTGACATTTCCCGCCAAATCCGACTCGATTTACACATTGCACGTTGCACAAAATGGCTGCGAATGCTTCAAGTACTAGGAGGAGACGGCCTAGTTCTGTGCCCGCATCACCATACACTCGCCCATCTTCTCGGGGAAGTCGTCGCTCAAGCTTCCATCAGAATGACGACGGTGGAAATAAATTCCGCGTGAAAGAAGTCATTTTGCACTTTTTTGGCCGACTAAAAGGCAGACCAAGTTGTGCAAGCAAACCAGATTCGATTTTTGAGAGTAGGGTCACAAGCTGAAAATTAGCAAACTCACAAGTTGAAAGCACAAAAATTTATGTTTTGACGGGAAATGTCACTGCGCATATCGTCCACACTTAGACCTTATATATCTGCAAACAAACTCATACTTTATATATTTGCAAACAAATTTATACCTTATATTTTTGCAAACCTATTCAGACCTCATATATTTGCAAACAAATTCAGACCTTATATATCTGAAATTTCCGACAAGAATTTATAGATGTCAAGTGGGCACGCTTCAAGTTTGGAGAAATAACGTCGATATGAATTGTACAACCGATTTATATCAGATTTAAACAATATAATTACAATCACATCATATATTTTGTATAATAGACTTTTGTCCCATATAGCAGGGCATACAAAAGTGTCGGGTGACGCTACGTAAAACCACAGCAATTTATTTTGTTTCCATTGGGTATATAGCTTGTCCTTTATCGCAATTAATTTCTACTTGTGACACGTAGTCGCTTCACCGAATCTCGTCGCTAAATAACACACCGAGATGATAATTCACTCGAAAAATACGATCAACCATATAATGACAACGCACGATAGCAGCCTACGCTTCAAAAGGGCAACAGCCACCGATTTGGAGGGAATTGCATCTATATCTGTTGGAATTTATGAAGGTTCCGATTATGTTGTCCACCAATTTCCGAAATGGCTAAACGACGATAGATGGCATCTTTTTATTGCAGAAACAGCAAATGGGAAGCTGGTTGGGTTCACGTCATTGAATATCACTGACAATGGAAGAAGTGCCATCATTAGATCCTCTAGGGTTGACATTGCATATCGAGGAAGAGGAGTGTACAGAAGTTTGCTTGATTTTACATTGAGATCAGTCAGAGAGTTGCTTCCAAATCTAAACAATATCTTGCAATACAGGACTAATAAATTAGATAATTATGAATGTTTGGCCAAGGTTACCAAATTGACATTAGCGTGTAAGTTGACTACAAAAGAACATTTAGTCAGCAAACTACAAGAAGGAGCACAATTCACAACATGGCAAGAGTTTCAGGATCTGTACAGCCAAAGCCAATTGATAAGAAACATGTTTCCTTCTGACTACCTTCGAGTAAACGCTGAGCTGTTCAACCTTAGCATAAGCATGAACTGGGAGTATCTGAAAACCAGGGATGAGCTTTTACTTTTAATGACGAGAAAGCAAAGTGCCACTGGGTACAAGTTAGCAGCATTCTCGGTGTGGGATACTGCCATAAAAACTACAAATCAAGGAGAGAAATACTTTGGTGTGGATTTCTATGGGGCTGACCCTGAATCGATCTTGGACCATGTTCTTCGAGGGATGCAGGTTGTTTTTGACAAAATTGGTGGAACTTTCAATTTTAGTTTCTGGACAACAGAAGAAAATGAAGGCTACTGCCATAAATTGTTTCAAGAATTACCTTTTTGTAGAATTATAGAAAGTTTTCCGTTACGGTTTTTGAAAAGGGACCTGACGATCCAAGTAAAGGACTGAAACTACTGCATTTGTCTGTTTTGTCAAGTAATGAAAAAACTTAATTAGGGTAAAAAGATACTGCTGGCATAATGTAGGCTTATATATGGTCCTTAGGATTGCTCACTTGAATAGGAGCCAGTTGGCATTTTGTCATTTAAAATTTTCGTTCATTGTAGCCCCGTAGGTTATTTGAAATGTGGTTTACAGGGAGCTCTGCTAAAAGCTGACAATTCAATGACATGTGGACAATAGCAACCAATTATGAATTTTCGAGAATAGGCATTTAATCCAACGTCAATAGATAGTGAGATCAATAAAAAATTTAGGAACACTAGATTCTGAATAAATTTAGTAATATGTAATAGAAATTACTGTTTACCGGTCTGTCATTAAGTGCTCGATGCCGTTCAGGCAGAGCTGTACCAGCAATTTGGAGTTAAGTTGCTAATCTGAGTTCAACGTTTAATGCGACCATCAGGCAAATTTTAGGAATATTTATCTGATTTCAAATTTCATTAAATGTTACAAGCATAAAGTATATCGTTTTCTTTTAAATATATAAATATTTTAATATTTAAAAATTTAAATTTTGAATATTGTGGAATTGAACTCGTTTAGTAGAAAAATCCAGATTGCTGCTCATATTTATGCTACACAGTTTTGACCATGCTTAGTACTACGTTTTGTGGCTCCACTTTGAATAGCGTTTTCGAATGATATACGGTTTGGTATCAAATGAAGTCAAATTATTCTGTTTTCAAGCGTACTAAGGGGATAGCAAAATCAAAAACGGATTCATTCGACTCCGTTTTAGTATGAAAACATAGCAGAATCGGCTTTAGAAGAAACAATGTGCCATGTGCCCTTTTGTGCTCAAGTTCTTTATAGCTAATTGTGTCTGATTGAGGAGAACCACGTAAGAAAATTCTAACCTTTAACATATTTATCGAAAAGAGATGCATATCTAAACGTGTTAGAAGAAAGCATTGGCCTTGATACGTCAGGTTTCCGAACTTTGTGGACCGTTCATTTTACACCTCACCTCATGCTGGTGTGCTCTTACGTTGTTCTTATTTCTCTCCATGTTCTTATAAAGTTAAAGAAAGAAAGTGTATTTGGTCAACACTATCATTTTAGATTTCACATTATTTAGAACATAAAAACTGAAAAGTGATTTTTAAGCAGATAATTCTTTTATGCAGAAAACAATTCATTTTCCTTTCTTCCAATCAGGTTGATTCATGGTCGCTTTTGAAAATGTTCGCATTACTTTAATCTAAAGTACAGTTGGCTACCTATGATTAACCCCAGACCACACTAAGGGGCTCAGTACGCCCGTAGAATTTCCAGTTTCATTGGGGGACTACCTAAGGCATTGCTGAAAACTGGAAATAATTTCGCTTCATTGTTGTCACAGCAACTTCACAATATTGAAAAAACACCCGAATCTATGAAAACCCCAGATCATAGCTTTTGTTCAGGAGACGAAACTATCAGTCCTTTGTTTCGAAACAATACAGTTGGTCTGGACCTATTTGACTCCAGGGTCATATCGGTCCTGGGAGGGTCATGTTAGTCTGGGCAAGAAAAAAGAACTCGAGGCTGTTGTAGCGGTTATCATGGCACCAAAGGCGCTTATTGTTTTTTTCGCGGGCAATGTGAATGAATGTTTTCCGATTAACCAATGAAACGAATCGAAAGCCGCGTTAATCATGACGAAGGAAGATTCAACAACGAAGGAGGCACAAAAAACGCTTCAACAAGTGGTTGCCTATGTTTTAGGCCGTCGTTCCAATTTACGCAGCTTTTACCCCACTTATGTTATGGCATTGCGAACCCCGAAGTCGTCTAGTATAGGCAGGAACCACACCAGACCTCAAGGAGCCATCCAAATATAGTTGATAAACTAAACTTTTCAAAATAAAGTGCTAGTGTTTCTTGATTTCACAGAGACGGGCAAGTATTTTTCTCTTTACATTTTATCTAAAAAAGATTGCAAGCGAGGCTGGCCGCTTCAGCGGTCATACAGTAATAACAGTATTCGCACAGCTATTCTGTCTCCGACCACACAATTCTTGAACTTCTTGCCAGGGCTTCAAGTGATAATGCGCATGTGCAATGACCCCGAAACGGGGGCTAGTCAGATCAGTGGGGCTAGTGCATGTCTGGAAGACGGGCACTAGTTTACAGGCTATGCCCAGATCAATTATATTTATTTACCGTGATAAAAGTGCGGATTATGAAATTTTCATCGCTAATCGTGAGCTAACATCTATAGATCAATGCAGCTACTATTTTTACAAATAAACAATGTCGATAATACCAATAAAGACTGAAAGGAGTTGTTTGAAAGAAACGTATAGAAGATTTTTGAAAGTTGCAAAGGTAATAGATGAAATAACGATACCTTTAAAAGATCAAGGACTGCTTCCTTCATTGAAACTTCAACTTCAGGGCTGCTAGCTCCAACTTCATTAGGTTGTTCAATGCTGACATCCATGTCCTCTTCCTCGTCACTCCTTGAGGATTCAGCATTTCGTTGTGAGGCTGTGCGTCCCGAACCTCGCCTGGCTTTCGCACCTCGGGGATTACTTTTCTGCGTTTTCTTTCTTTTAGTTGGTGCTTTATCTGCTAATAATTCAAGAAAATACAGCAAATCCCTAAAATAATCTACGAACATAAGCACCTACGTTATGACTAAGCAAATATTTTGGCCTTACCACTCGTTTGCCAAAAGTTCATCATCGAAAACATTTTTTGGATAAAAATCCAAATATAATAATTTGACTGTGCTGGCCGAGTTGACACCTTCAAAACAAGACCTAAGAAAAGCCAGACTCTTGAAAAGGTAGGTCTTTCTTTCTGGGCATGAACTATTATGGGAAGATCGTACAACAAGCTTTGCGCTTAATAGAAATTCTCGGGTAAAGAAGGAGCCAAATTGAGCAAGTTTGATTTATTTTTTCGAGGTTTTTCGAAATAGAAAATGGTTTATAGAGTTAATCTCTGGTACTTTTCATTCCCCCTCCCCTCACGATATTCAATTTGGATTAGTGGGAAAACAAAGAACTGCAGCACCTATATCAGTGTTGGGCAACCTTCAGCCCACAAAGAAATTTTTGTGGCCTGAGAGCTTACTGCATGAAGACATCATAGAAAGATAAATGTGAATGATTTGGCCAGCTATCCTAAAAGGTTTCTGAGCCCCGATCTATACGGTACTTCTTGAATAAATAAATCTAATAAATCTTGAATCAAGATAAAAGCTGAGTTGAAGATATCCGAACTTTAGGAAAACAGAATAAATATCGAAGTGGAAATGAATCTGATAGCGAAATGGTGAAAACAATGGACACGCTGTTGACAATCCACTTAAGGCTTTTCAGAATATTTAGGGCACACGTAACTTAGAGTAATTTCTAAAAATGCTACATTAAACCATTAAATTTTTCAGTTCATAAAATGGTTCAGTAAGGTAAAAAAGCTCTAAAAAGCTACAAATAGGTTCCTGAACAATAGAAGGACAAATGATAACCTTTCTTAATAGTTAAAACAAAAAATGTGGACATGATTTATAATGCATAAAACAATGGAAAAGCAACAAACATCTGCAGGTTACCAATATTCAAGAGATAAAAGATGAAAGTTCAGTGGCAATCATAGGTACACATAGAAATGATACCTGAAAAGGTCAAAGGAATGGATAGTAGCAGGCAAGTTGTAAAGCTTTTCATAAAATCTCAACTCAAATCAAATGTTAACCAGAAATTCTATCTTTAAAAATGTACTAAAAGAGTGAATAAATCTGTAAGTCAATAACCTTTGGAATCTGGACATCAAAAGTTTACATAATGAATATAGCAGAAAATTCATTAGAATATTAAGGAAAAGGTGTCACACCTCCTCTCGGCCATCTTTTCAAATTTTCAATAGCTTTTGCTAAGAGGATTTGATTCAGGATTCCATGGGCAACGCTTCCTACAAATAAGATAATTGTTGATTATAATTAAGATAACATAACAGCAAAGGTATTACAGAACATAATAATTTAAGAAATTCAAGCAAGTGGATGCCCCAAAATATTTTCAAATGAGACTACATAGCTACTTGATGAAAACAGTGGGAGTAATTTCAAATAATGCAATCATTTGCTGACAAGTTTTCTAAATCATTGATACTAGCTTACGAGTGCATTGTTTGAAGAATTAAATTTTCAATTAAATCTAAATGACATCAATAATATATAACTTTCCGAATATGTTATATAATACATCAATTGGAAATATATCTTGAACATCTTACAGACTTTAAAATTATTAATAAATCAAGGAATTAAGCTACATTATTCTTTAAAGTAGAAATGCTCAAGAAACAGGAATGTGTTAAGCCCATTGAAACTAACAGCAATATTAATAACCTCTGGGTGGGGGGGGGGGTACTCCCATACTTGACCTGAGGGGATCTTCTGCAGAGCATGGCATGATATCCTTTGCATCTTAACTCTGGGACAGGGTATCAAAATCAAGGAAATTTATAAACAAAAAAACATGTGAGAACAGCTTGCTTTCTTTTTTATGAAAGAGCATGATCCAATTACATTTTCTAGTAGTAAATATCATTGTATTAGCCATATTTAATTTTACCATAATTTGCCATATTTTTGGCATATATTATATAGGAGAGGGTATGCTTTTGGGACATTTTTATGGGACAGGGTCAGGGTGCAAAATTTCTTAGAATTTCTTTGTAAAAAGCTGTAGCCTCCACATCCAGATTCAGAACCATACAAGGTTCCATCAGGAGCAAACAGTTGTTAAAATATTGGGGGAGCAAGCCTACTGTTTTGATAAGATGATGTATTTGTATTTGTATTTGTTGCTACCTAGCATCCAAAGGTAGTTTTTAGGACACTGAGAAGCTATGCTTATCGAGCAGTGTCCTGGTCCTTCCTCTCGATGTTACCACACCTCATGATTCCTACGCCTGGAATTACAGAGAGCGGGCGACTCTCCCCACTCTGGGTGAAAGTTTGGTCATGCCAGAGACTCAAACCAAGGACTCTTGGGTCTGTAGTCAGCATCTCTAACAACTGAGCCATTTTTGCAACTTAAGATGATGTCTCACTTTCCCCATTGTTTTAGAACAAAAGATCATTGTCCTTCAAAATATTTTTGTCTCCCCAGGTGTCCACCACTGGGTTCCATTGTGATAAGTGAGACTTCAGAGATACTTTATAATCATGAAGTAATAAGAAAAGTGACTAATTTAGACAGGTCATGCAACCAATCAATCATGCTCTGCCAGTTTTTGATTACTGGCCAATTGAGCACTTGAAGATGCTGTATAGTAATGTATGAAATGAAAAGACACTGGCCAATACATTATAAAATGTAAACAAATCAAGTTTCGAGACCAATAAAAATTTGAAACAAATAATTTTGAGACAAACAAACATGAATGACACTTTTCCTCAGTGATATTGGCCTCCGTGTCTCTCTGTGGCTAAATGACATTAGATGTAGTCATTTGCACAATACTAAGTTTAATTTATACAGTATTATTCAATGCTTAAATTTCATACAACAAACTCATCAGTTATCATAAAGGAAAAAAGCAGGCCAATATGTGGAATGATATGGTATAGCATTTATGCAAATTAAGTATATGTGATGCAAATTAGGTTTCTGGATACTACAGAGAAGTCAGTAAAATTTGCAAACCTGGAATTGAGACAAGGTGGAGATAAATGTTGGAAGCATATATGCATGAAAGGTCTCTCCATGATACAGATGATACCTTAAATTCAATGAAGATGAGACATTGCAAAACAAAAATAGTAGATCTGTATAAGAACAGCGAAATTTCAAAAACCCTCACAATTTCTAAACATTAAAGTCTATCACTCAATGTTAGTAGGAAAAACCTTGCTTGCTTGAGTTGGTAATCATTTTTTGAAGTAAGTTGCAGGTATGCAATGACTTCTTGGCATGCATAGATGTAAGTATGCATATTTCTTTAAGTAAATGTCCTATTCTTTTGTCACATCATGAAGCCCCCATCAATAAAGTCATTCTTTGAAAAGGGGATGTTATCAGAAAAGATAGAGAAAACAAAGAAATTTTTGGCACAATCCTTTTTTCTTAGATTTTAACGTAGTTACAAGTAACAGTTCTATTCTAAGCTATTTTTCTGCTTTGAAAAATAGCAGCAAGTATGTTATCAGTACCCTTCTTAAATACATAATATGACAGTAATGCTCTTTCTATTAATTATCCCCCTTTCTAATGACAGCCCTACAAAAGCATAAACATCATGTCTCATAATAACAAATCTGCTACTTTACCACTAGATAATATTACAATGAATAATAACTTGGATGTAGAGCAATTTACTAACTTTTGTGCACATGAAACTTCAGTGCTCACATTACTTCACTTAAACATTACTCTTTCAATAATAATGAATTGGATTAGCAAATATATTATCTTATATTTTGCAAATACCTTTGTCTTGGAAGTTATGAAACAAGCCAGAATTGCAAGAAGAGCTTTGTTTGACATTTCATTTTCAGGCAACCATGACCAGAAAGCTAGAAAATAATTTATTTAGTTAAAAAATTATATCCTTTAAAAATTTCAAGGCCAAGACATTTTCGATCCATTGAAAAAGTTTTGTGCAGAGAAATTTATTTTATCAGAAATGGTAACAGTCCTATCCACACTGGCCTATCCTCTACAAATTTTTCTTTTCTATACAATCCAGCTGAGAGCGCACCTAAGATATCCCCTTTTCTATTATAACAATGAAGTAAGCATTCGTGTCGTGAAGTAAGCATACCTATTAATGCTAAGCTGAAAAAAACCTTATGAGTTTGAGTTGTGTCAAAATTTCGACCCATGTGTGTAATTTGTTCAAAATCTGGCAAGCAAATTTAAAGACATTCAGTTGGAAAGAGAAGAAAATCGAGATTATTTCGCATGGTTGCAATTTTTACTTACTTTTTAATTCATTCATTTCACCCCATGTCGGTGAAATATCGCGAATATCCTTCAACTGCTCGACGAAATATTTTGTCATTTTGGCCTCTTCACGAAGTGGCTCAGGGAGTCCATCGATCTCACAAAAATTAGCAGAAATAGCTTCATCGATCCACTGATTTTCTACATCTGGTATTTTCAATTGTTGTAGAAGATCGATCGTTTTATTATAGCAAGTTTCGTGCGCCATTTTGCACTTCTTTGATTACTTCATCCTAGTTGATTCGAAGGACCTAGTAATTTTGGCGCGGTTTTCGGCATGGCTCCTACACAGAGGCCAATAAATTCAGATTAGCTTCATTTATTTTTGCAGTCATTTCTTGCAGTCATTTATTTTTGCAGTCATTTCTTATAGTCGTTAGCTTGCTACTTATAGCAAGTTATTTGCAAAACACTCTTTTTTGTACGAACCAGTAAATTTAAGTTCAGGCTGACTGTTTTTTCGAAAATTTGGGGCTGGATTGCTGGCGTTTTAACTCTAGGATGGTGTTCAGCCATCAATTGCCAACAAAGTGAGTGAGGCAGCCTTTATTTGCCGACAAGTTTGAATAATCACAGAAAAGCACTCACACATGGCTAAAAGTCCTCGTTTTTTGAGATAAAACGTTGTTCAAAATTGCATTTTGCAGAAGCTCAGCCTCAGCTTGTTCTTAATTTGTTCTTAACTTTTGACCAACTTTGAGGCTTGTGTTCTTATAAAATTGTTCTTATAAAAAAGAGTGTATTGATGAGACCCTTCAAGGGGGGTTGACATTATTTCATATTTCATAACGAAATCTTGCCATAATTTCATATTTCAAAACTAACTTTTAAAATATTTCAAAATTATCTAAAGGCCCATCCTGCTTCCAATTAAGGAATTGGATTTGGCAATTCTTTGATACCAACTAAACTGAAGTATGTGCTTGTTACTCGCTCTATCTGTGAATAGCTTGGTGGGGTTCTGGAAACACTTAATAAACACTCTTTCTACTTTGGTCCAGAACACTTCCATTTACGGTAAAAACCCGCGTGTAAGAACAAATTCTTTTCAGAGTTTGGCAAAACAGGTTCTTGTATTATGGGGTACTTTTTGACAGTTTAGGCTAAGTAGGTTCTTAGTTAGGTTCTTAATTTCTACAAAGTATATATTGTTTTTGACTATTAGAAAATCTGGTCTGTTCTTCATTCTAAATAATTATTAGTGTACCAATGTTGCCAAAAGCCAAAAGCCCATCGATATTAATGTACCAAAAGCCCATCAATAATTGATTCGTGATACAGTACTGTATATGGAATAGTAGCAGTTATTGTCCTATAGCATAGTCAAAATCTCTGGTCTGGAAGCCCATTTTTCTAACTTTTTGTTTCATTTTAATGATGTCACGTGATCAAAATGAGTGCACAGCTTTCGCGTGGTAGAGTTCAAACTTCTAATTTGCGCGCCGTTTTAACATGATATTTTCAGCTTATCATCAACTTATCAAGTATGCTTTATTATTAACATGCCTGGAGCTAATTGTACGTTTCATTAAGGTGGAGTGACAAGAAGAGAAGTTTTTTGTCGATAGCAATATTTACAGTTCCAAACCGGGCAGAAGTTTTATTCGAAACGGCGAAAGAATATCTTGGATGTGTAGTCAAAGTGATTATCTGCGAAGGACATTCTGTCTTTGCTTGAGTAAAGATTTTGTCAATTTTTATTATTAGCTGTTATCAAACCTCATCTTCTCTTGGTTTTATCAGTCTTTTGGACAGAGGCCTTTCTCCAGCAACCCCATTATAGTCTGGTTAATGTCATTTGGGCTGTTTCTTGCTTTTTTAAAAACTCGTCTTCAATCTAGCCAGATAAGTATTGTAGGCAATCGAAATTTTTATCGCTTATCGGCAATGGCCTTTCTAGCGCTCTGGTTGTGGTCTCCTGAAGAAGCCAAACATTTTGTCCCCGAAATTTTTAAACAAAAAGAAGTTAATAGACCTGGCTGCAAAACTTGGTTTAAGAACATTTGCAAACTGCACAACCGTACCGAGAAAAAAACAACAGAAAAGTTCAGATCTACTATAAGAGCAGTGCAATGCTTCAATTAAGAGAATAAAAAAAATCATGTCACAGGCACTTTAATAATCCTCACCCAGAATTTAACAAAACACTCCGTTATTTCGCTATTTTGATATTTCATTCTGGGAATCGATATTATTTCATATTTCAAAGCTAAGAAAACTAATTATTTATATTTTCCCTCCAAAAATCACAATTATTTCATATTTCAAATACCCCTTAAGGTACTCTACCACTCAGAGATGTGAACTTTGTTGTTCTGCAAGCTATTGACTCACAAATTTACAAACATATGTAGTTTTGCATTGGGAATTCAAATTTGGTATTGGTTTTTGGGTGTGGCTCATCGTTACCATGGAAACCTACAAACAATAGAAATTTTATTCTTTCTGTATAACTCTGGGACATCTTCTAAACAATTTCGACTGACTTTACATGGGCCGTATTTAATGCACATGATCTTATCGTCATTACACCCGTTTCGACCCACTTTAATGCGCATGTTTTCTTTGTTTTACATCAAAGGCTATAAGGGGACGCTTAATAGAGAGGGGGGCTTGATAGAGAGGGGGCTTGATAGAGAGGGGGCTTGATAGAGCGTTTACGAAATCATCTCTACCGTGGCGTTGTTTCTGCCTCTTTTTCAAATTTTAGTCTCGTGTTGTTGTTGAGTTTATTTCCAGTTCACTTTCCTGATGCATGCGAACAAGGAAATAATAATGAGAGAAGTTTTTGTTTGTTTTGATCGCAGTTAAGAATGTTGAGAGAAGCTGTCGATGCAGTTCTGAAGTCTTTTGCAAAGCACACAGGACAGAGTGGTGAAGGTCTCCAGACTTATCATTGGCTCTTTGATCGATTCGAAGTGTTAGGTTTAGAATAAATGAAAACCGATATAGACTAAGGCCTACAATTTTATAATACAGTTATAGCAAAAACAATTGCGTACGTTACGATTTTTAGCAAATTTTTGGGTATGTATTTATTAGCTTGAATGTATTTGATTTCATGAAAAGCATTGTTTTGGTTTTGAATTCGATTTTCTTTAAGTTGATGTAAAAGAGGCAATTGGTGAATTCTGGCATGCGAAATCGAAAGATGGAGTTCCCGTCGACCTTACATACGAATCTGAAATACTTCAAGATGGAACATATGTGTGTTACGTAACTCTTCCTGGGGGTAGCTGCTTTGGAAGCTTTGAGCCTTGTTTGACAAAAACTGATGCCCAGATAAGTGCAGCAAAGATCGCTCTCATGCATTCTGTCTTTAATGATCATCCTTCAAGGTAATCATTTTGTAAAATGTTATTTGTATTGCTCTAGCTGCATCTGTTTTGAAATTTATTCCTGGCTGCATATTTCTGCATTGTTACAATTGAAGTCATGAAATTTCTAATCTGGTCATTTGTTTATGTATTTTGATAAAACATCATGATACAAAACTCTAAAATATTTTTTTGCACAGGGAAATATTTTCTGTGGCTTATGCTTGCATTATAGCAATCAAGTTGCAAATTAGCAGGCTAGAAGCAATGGAATTTTATTTTTAAATAGTGTTTGTAAGCCTGGATTCACAAGAGAATCTGTGCTGCAAGTGAGTGGATTTCTCTTAATTGGAAAAAGTGTGGACATGATTCTTTGGGCATACCCAGACTTTGCAGTCTGGTTGTGATATGAAGTAATTAATTGATAAATACAGTGTCTAATTGGCTTTTTCCAAAACAGGATTATTACAGAGAAGTTCATTGATCAAGCAGTTACTGAAGCAAAAGAAAATTCTACAGGCAATGCAGATGACAATGGTATAGAAGCTTTCAGCTACATGTTGTCACAGAATCTTGGCAAGTCTATGCTAGAATTCCAGGAAACAATGACATTGTTTTGTTTACTACAGTGGAATGGAAATTTAAAAGCTATGCGCCGAAGTCACATGAAAAAGAAGGATGTAATTTCTCTGTACTCACATAAAAATGTAGACATAAATCTAAGAAATAACATTGCAAAGGATTGGGTTAGGAGAGAGAAAAAGAAACCAGGAAGTATATCAGATGAACTGAAAAAAGCTGATGATGACTTGAAAAAATTCAGAGCAGCAGGAAGAGAACTCAGATTCTATAAGGAGAAAAAAGATATCATAATTTTTGCATCAAAAACCATGGTTGTTCAATAATATTCCTAAGGAAAAGCCAAGCATACTTTAAGACTATTTAGCTGACAGATATATTTTTAGGTCTTTTATGATTGTCAGTTCTTTACTGGCTAGTATCTTTTAAAACTGTTTGTACATGTATTTCAACTTTTGTATGATAGAATATCTTATGAATATATTCTTAGCCACCAAATAAAACTTTTGACCTGGATACATTATTTGGCAGCTAAGTTTCCAAATTTTGTTTAGAGCCCACATATCTAACCCAAGGGGGGGGGGGGAGTTCATACCAGTTCTTAATAAGAATTATATATTTTAAACTTATGATACTAAAATATGCTATGGAAGCAATCCAAAGTTCCAAAGAAAAGGCACCAGTCAAGTGCTACTAAACTATTATCTTGGAGATGTTCCTTGCTAGAGGAAATAGTTTGATGTGGATATTTACAACAAATTCATTGGTGTTATCTAGCTGATTCTGCCCTTCACCTTTCTAGCTACAATGCTTGCCAAAAGTCTTGGTACACTAAGATCAGTTTCCAATGACAAATTCAGCCATTCCCCTTCTCCCCTTTGAACAACGTTCATTACTACAAAATGACATAGGGGATTAGGAACTTCTATGATATTTTTCTAAATTATCAACATTGTTTAGGGGGAACCCTTTTGTGCAGAAATAGGAGTATCCAGGGAAAGAATTGAAACATATAATAACACAAAACAAATTGCTGGGTGTTCCAAGTACTTTTGGCAATAATTGTAGGTGTGGCATATAGATGATAAAGGTGTAAATGCATGAAATCCTAGATAATATTAAGATATTTTACACAATAAGCAACCATAATTACCATAGTTAAGTTCAAGTTGCTATCAGTGTTTTCAGACGTGTTTTTATGCCGGAGAAGCAGTTACACTTAATATGTAAATCCTTGGTTGCAAGTTTAAATTTATCATAGAGCTGTCTACGAATGACACTGGTATATTGACATCAATTGATAGCCAGACTCGATCGAACATCAAATTTGAAGCTCAAAGATTTAGCCCCTGCTGAAGGAAGATAGGACATCTAAGTATTGATATGACTGAAGATATTTACTAATTATCAGAGTCAACATGAACCCCGTGTTAAATTGTATCAATTTGTGAGACTTTCTCAAGGTTATGCATTTATTGGATTTTGAATGATAATCTTAATTGTAAAATGCCTTCAATATTGAATAATGAATGAAATTTGAGCTAGCTATTTCTGTGTTCGAAGTTATTATATATTCTCTACAATTACATATTTTCTTTGAATCAAAATACATACATGTGGCAAAGAAAGGAGAGCAGAAGCAAGACCACAATTAAATAAGTTCAGCACTCTAACTGAATAAATCAAACAATTGCATACATTCCTATTGACAAAATTATGCTAATTATGACAAAATTATGCTAATATAAAAATTATTTACCCTGAATAATAGCTATAAATCAAAATGGGAAATGTGCATTTGGAAAATGTTAAACAATGGTTGTCCATATTTTAAATGAATATTACAAATGTTACTGGACTCTCTGCGAAAAATAACCGGGGTTATTATTTGTAGACTTCACTTTAAAGTTTACAACATGGTGACATAGTTCCTCTTTTTAAGACAGGGTTTTTTAGGAAGCATATAATACTGTTTTGCGAAAATCACAACATATAATCTTTAAAATCCTTCATTCAAATAGTTGCGGTGTCTTAAGTTACTTCAGACAAGTTCTGGAATATAAAAATGAGATATGCCAAGTACTTGCATTAATTGTATATAAAGCAATTTTTTATGAATGACTAAAAGTACCAAATTTCTCATGCTGTCTAAAATACAAAATACCTCTTAAAGAAAAGACTTGCAAATACTAATAAACCATTGAATTTATTTGCACATGAATGGTTTTTATATGAATGTATATCATTTATTGGTGTAGACTCACCAGTCAGAATTAAGTTGGGATTATAGGAAGAATTTACTGGCTAATAATTCTTTATGTGTAAAGTTCAACTGTTTTTATTGATAATAGTATATAATAATAATGCAAAGGGGGCTATGAAATATGAAATTAAATATGGGTATGGTACTAGAAAAATTCTAAGGTTAGTGCCCAGATATTTTGTTAGGAAGGGCAGAGGGACAAGACAAGGCAGGTAAAGAACAAGATGATTGGATGTATTGAAAGAATTCACTGGGATAAAACAGCAATGAGCAGATCAGAATGGAGATTGTTCGTTCAGAGGATTGCCAGAAGTCTTCAGCGATGTAATGGTACTAACACACACTTAACACAAGGTTAGTGTCCAGCACTAGCCAATTGCTGTTGTTGCAGAAACGTCTGACTCTCAAGAGACACAGTAGAAATAGGGCGAAAGCAATTTCTGACAATCAAGATCCGCTGCAAGTTTAGGATAATCACAGACCATCCCTTAAATATTACCAGTTTGTACATTAGGCAATTATGATGCAATGAATGATGTCTAGGTCACAGTATTTAAACTACTAGGGGAGATCATTTGTAATTATTGCAGATACTTTTATAATTAGGAATCTCACATAAAGCAGGGCTATATAAATGATGGAAATGCTGCAAAGTACTCAACCACATAATTGCACATCTCTAAGTGACTAACTTGCTGTCCGCTTCACAACTGACTTCATGGCATCATAAGTTAAAGCTTCTGGAAGAATTTACTGAATCCAAACATAAATAAATTTCCAAGCAATTGTTTTGATTTGCCACCATTTTTAAAAACAAGCCCCGGCCCATATCAATCCTTGAACAAAAATTTAACATTTTGTAGCATATTTTCCATTTCACCTCTTGAGATACTGCACTTGAACTTTCCCATCACCATTATCTTAACTCCTCGAAAATCAGTGAATTGTAATTTCTCAAAAGGTTCCTTACTGTGACAGCAAGATTTGAATTGTGCACTGCATTCTTGGAGGTTTCAAAAAGAAAATCACTGCATGCATATCAGCTGTAAAATTAATCATCTGGAACATAGTTGTATTTCTCAAGAGATGACTGCAATTTGTTTATTATCTAGAGAAAAATAAAAATATTACAACTGGAGGATAAAAATAAGCAATAGCTAGAATATTGTGGCCAGTAACATACTCTTTTTCACTGTAAGGGGTTTGAGAGCTTTCTTTGAGTTATTCTACTTGATAGGCATTAGCTTTACAAAATGTGGATTTACAACTTTGGTACAAATTTATTATGACAAGTTATATTTAACACACTCTCCTATTTTTCAAAACATTGTCAAATAAATTATCACAATAAAATAAATTTTGTAATACAACATTGATACCTCCTGATGAAATTGAATTTGTTCTCCAATGAAATGTTGCATTTGCTTCTTGAAATCCCTCACTCTTTCTCGCTGAAAATGATTTATCTCAGCTAAAAGAAAAAATGTTAATTTCATTGTTTAAGATTTAGACAGATCTGTTAAGACAATTCCAATTTTTATACAAATCCACAACAATGATAAGTCCATTAGATTAAATTAAACATTTCGTCTCTGGCTAGAGTCATCTTCAATATCATACAGGCGAGAAAAAATCAACTTAGATACCAAAGGGCTAAACTAAGGGAATTGTAAATCATGCGATAAAGAAGTACACTGGAGGAGCAATCAGGACGCGAGAGAAGACATAAGGAATAAACAATCTAGAGAGATAAACAAGGAATAAAGGCCCAACACAGAAAACAATGTTGGAAAGAAAGTTAGAACTTCTTGTTCCTATTCTTCTTGACAAACAATTCAAACCTTCAAATCCTTCAAACCTTCAATTCAAATCCAATTCAAAACTACTAAAACCTCCAACCTTGACAATAAACAGCTTCTCTTGTTCTTTTTACCCTTTTTAGGGAACTATAGCTTCGCATTAAGAAAAACATTATTAACCTGATGAAGATATGCTACCCTGATGTTCAGCTGAAATTAGTGTTCAGATCACCTAAATTTTACTGGTTACTGGAAAACCCAGATTGTGCAAAAAACTATAATGGCAAGGTTTCGGATTATTGGTAAAGCCCGATCGTTGTTTCATCTAGCAGTTTTGGAATTGATCTACTTAAGCACAAAAAAACTGTAGTAGACAAAAGGAGTTCGTTTTCACCTTAGGACTCCATTGGTAACATTTTCAATAGGCAAGCAGCACTGATTGGTCAACCTCAACAGTTATGTGCTCATGTTTCTGATTGGCCTATTTCGATCCACAACTGGGTATATATATTTCCTAGCATAGAGTTTTTGATCTATGTTCTGACCTTTTAAACTCTGAAGAGTGTCACACAAAAAGCTTTAGTTTACTCAAAATTTTGCTTTTTTCAAAGCCATTCTCAAGTTTTGTACCACCAAAAGATTGTTTGCAAATACCTATTGCCTTCTAAAATGCCTAAAGTGGCTCAAGAGATATCTTCTGGCAGTGTCAACTTTTGCTTATCATGAAAGATTCTATCAACCTTTCTGTATATACTTGAATGATTGGCTAATGTTTGCATTAACTGTGAAACTGGGAAAAGCAACTTAGAACCATCTTGTTACCAACACCAAAGCGAGAACTTTATGACAGACTGGTAAACAGTAATTTTCATTAATACTCTATATATTCAACTGTACATATTTAAACTATATAAGCATACCAAATACGCAGTTTGTCATAACATCCAGTCTGGCAGACACATCTGCAACTTCGTTATACTGAAAATGAATTAGAAGCATTATTTTACGCTTTAAAAACGCAGTAAAAACTTTGCTTAATAAAATAAACTAAAATGTGATAACTTTGGAGAAAAATTCTGCTAATTCTCTGAAACTTAATTAAAACTGAAGGGAATGAGAAAATGCTAGAAAAGTATAATGGATAAAAAAGGTTTTGTTTAAAAAATAATATGAAACAAACAAAGAATTCAAGTTTGATTACCTCCATTTTTTCTTCTTCTTGTAATTTTTGACATTCCTTTAGTTTGCTCATGGCAGACTATGGAGAAAAGATTTTGGAGAAATATTTCCAGACATATCTTTAAAATCATATAACAGTCTCTAGGTTAATTTTCAAGCTAACTTCAGAATCAACACACAAGAATCATATCGTACAGATTTTGGGTACCTGCAAACATGTTAACTTAACACAGAAACTCTTAGACAGAAAAAAGAGACTGATTAATGTTCAATAAACAAATGAAGATGATATTACCTTTTGTACTATAACAATATCTGGGAAAGTTGAAAGAATACCAGAATATTCTCTCAATAAATCTATCATCTGAGATGCATCCTTCCTTGGCTAAAATATTAACACAAAAATTATGCAAGAGAATTGAGCCAGAAATCCATGTTCTATGCATAACAATTTTTATAATAATTGAATATTATAGTTTTTAATAATGACAGATTTTTCTATGACATTACCTCTAAACAGCAGGAACGTCAGACAGAGAATATTATTCTATTCAAAACTTTGAAATCAAAACTAAATAGATGACATAACACAATTGGCTTATTTAAGGACATTATTTAACCATTTATGTAACAACAAATGAGAGAGTTTTTGTCGAGCTAAAGAGCAATAACTCATTGTGGTTTGGTGATCACCTTCACCCCCAATGAGAGGATCAGAACAACTGACAATTAATTTTATAGCACATCAACTACCTTATGGTGCCAACATCACAGCCAATATCATTTTAATTAATTTTTTTCTCAATAAATAGAATTCTTATTTTCATTACCATTATTAATATTTTTAGCAGTATTGTTTCTTGTTTCATCACCAACTTCAACAGCACTTTCATTCCAGTCCCAAACAAAATTCGACACATCACCCACCCAGTCCTTCCTCTCCCACACTCATCATCTGTTTTTTCTCTGTTGTGCTCCATTCATTTCACTCCGCATCTCAAAATAATTAATGACCTTAAAAATTAAACCCCCAACCTAATCCTCTCTACTATGACTTCAGTTCAAGTTCCCCCTAAGGAGGTGATTAAATTGAACTGTTTCAGCACAGTTCAGGGTAAACGGGAACTGACTTGGTTCTGTACCAATTTTGTTTGTATTTACACTGCAACGAATTGAATCCAGATTGGATCTGCACCTTGTCAGTTTTGTCACAGTGGAAACAGGGATAATGGTGATTTAGTGGAAAACAGATTTTATTTAGTCAAGTCACCTGATCCTGACATAAGTCTCCAATTTCTTCATAAGTTCTTCCAGTATCCTCAATTGCTTGTGTCAAAGGTAATGAGTCTAAAAAGAGATTCATTATAATGAAAGAAATACCACTCAGACATATTTCAGTTGATTAAAGAAATAGTAAATTAGAAAACTATTTTAAGGTTATTTTCCTCTGCAGAATTTTCTGTGAAACCAAAAAGGAAAAAAAATTCTGAAGAAAACTTTAACTTCCACTAGATTTGGCACCCTTTCACCTAAAAACACATTAGTGCTTCAAAATGGCTGCCTTGAATAGATGAGGAATAATTTTGGCCCTGAAACTTCGGCAAAGATTGTAGAGCGGGTGAAAGTAAAATGTATGTGGGTTTGAAAAATGTTTCAAAAGCACAAATCAAAAGGAGAATTTCATGATTACTCCTATACATACTTCAGAATGGAACCATACCAGTAAAGAGATCTTCTCGCATGGTTGCACCTTTCATTACAAAACATAACACGAAAATGTATTGGGGCTAGTGAAAGAATTTAAGATGTTAATACGCTAAAACCACAAGGGGTCAAATTGGTATGGAATGATGCTGGCAAAGTTTCAAAAACCAATGGTCTCTCATGGTCTAACAGCATTCCAATTATTCTTGTCAGCAGACTCAACTATGTGTGACTGGAAGAGGGGTAAGGTTTTTTATGCGCTATGGCCATTCAAAGGCACCACTTAAAGTTTTCTTTTCAAATTCACCATTTTCCTGTTTTTTGCACTTTTGTCTGTCCATTATCTCACAAGGACTCTGGAATTTCCTAAAGCGGAAACAAGTTTATTGCCAGGGATCAGTGAAATTCTTGATTGATGTCACAAGTGACATGTTCAGAATGCTGTTGTAAAGTCTTCCACCACAATGGTGAAAGTTCAGCTGATATTTTGTGATTTACTGAAATACATTTTGTGATAAAGGGACAAAAATTTGAAAATCTAAATAAATTGAAAATTACATTGAACTTTACTTACATGCTGCAGCATCTGGAGCAAAGGATCCACTGAGCTGAAGAAATCCACTTGCAAACCTTTTATACTCATTTCTATAAGCTGAAGAAATAAGAAATTTCTTACTAAGATGTTGTGCAATGATTAAGAATGTTAACCGAGTTCAGAATTACTAAATACGTGTATTTGCTTGACAAACTAAGAAAAGAACAACTAAGTCAAGATACTCTTCAATCATCATAATTTGCAACAGACATTGAAAAGGTATTAAATAAAAAATTTATATTAGTATTTGCTATTTGAAAAAACTAAAAAATAACAAACAATAAAATCTGACATCAAGAAACTGATACCAAACTGATGATTAAGAACTAAAATAAGAATCTTACATCTTGCCACTTTATCCCAGTACTCCTCAAATCGAGAAATTGTTGTCTTTACACTTTCATCCATGCCTTTTACAAAATCTTTGAAATGTTCCACTTTATGTTCCCTTTAAAAATAAAGGGCCAAATTAAAAACAGAAATTTTTGTTAAAGCTGCCAAAATTATATTTTCACAATTTTACCAAACAATAGATAACATTTTAACCCTTTTAGTATAAAACTCTTTCAGTCTTTGCTGGTAATTGGCACTGTTCTTGCAAATATCAAACTAGGTACTCTTATGGTCAACTATTCCATGTTGACCTGACTATCCTAAATGGTCAGAGTGTTAAAAAATTCTTTTCTTAGAAGCATCATACTCTTTTAAGTTTTCAAAAATGGGAAAATTGGAATGTCCTATACTTTGTTTAAAGAAACACTGTTTGTATTTTTAGCTACAATTTTTTTAACAAGCCAGCAAACATTATCAACCAAACTGTTATGCCTACAAGATAAATTTACTTCTCTGATCTTTGAAGCTTTTCACATGGACATTGCAGACTTTTGCCACCAACTTATGCCTCCTTAAAATTAATGTCTTGAAGTCATCCAAATCATGCCATAAGGATAATACAGTACATAAATACATAAAATTCCTCCATTAAATAAATGCTTATAATGTAAGCATACCAAAACCAAACTCACTTACACCTGTTGTTGTGAGAGATTCTGTGCAGGTGAAGAAATTGTGTAGAAAAATTGTGACCCAACAAGTTTGTCACATTCAGCTCTCCTTTTGCCGGCTTTCCATTCCTGTAATGTTGCATTATAAATATGTGATAAATGCATGTATCATAAAAGGAAAAATAGAAAAGGACTAAAAAGAACCAAGAAAAATTTAGTATAATAGTAAAAAGCTGGACTTCTAACCCAATGGTAAAAACGACTGTATAGTCAGCAACAAAAACATAATCCAAACCAAGGAAAAACCAGAGGCAAATCATTCACAGCAACCTTCAGGAGTGGACAATTCTGGTAAAAAGGTGGTCTACTGGTGGGAGATTAGGAGCTCTTCCAAAATGGAACACTGGGAATAGCGGAGGACATTAACAGTAAAAAGTTTGGTCACCTGGTGATTACCCTGATGCATAGATAAGCAGTCTGGCAGATAAAAACTGGTTGTTTGGATGAGAGGGAGACAGAATTGTCCACTCCTGAAAATCATACATCTTTGATAAAATTCCTGTTTTTTTCTGAAATGATTTAAAAGTCATTTTGCTTTGTTGAAATTAGGGGGGTTGCTCTTCCAATTATTTGCAAAATGGAAATAAAAACAGATTTTCCCAGATTTCAGAATTTAAAATGGTAGCTTTAAAATTAGCAAATGGTACCTTTAAAATTCTATACACAAATAAACCTATGGAAGCGAGCTGAATGATAAAAATCATTCAGATGAATGGCAAAAATCATTTAGCTTTAACAAATCTTAATTTTAATAAAATGCAAGCAGCAAATTTGAAAAAGAAGAATTATCTAAAAGCAGGATACTTTAGATAGAAACTCCAAACCTTTTCCTGTGCCTCTGAATCACATTTAATAAAGTGCTGGAAAACTTCACATTGCGCAATTACAGGGTGTCTTGAAACTCTGTTCATCCATAACTCTAGAAGTTGTCTTCTTTTTTGAATAAATTCGTCTGCATAACGACCTAAAAAAGTTAGAAAAATGGCACTGTGAATTCATATGTTCTTGAAGTTAAACTTCAGAATAAATTAACTCTCAATAACCAAATTGCCAAGAAATGTTCTATTCGTTAACAATAAAATACAAGATTCTTTCATGAATGATTAATGAAAGGTCAAATCTGCAAATAAAACTTAGCCACAAACCTCAAATCTGCATTCAAGAAAACTAAAATTAATGGAAACCACAAGCCACAGTTTATAGAAAGCCACAAATAAAAACAAGCACAGAAAATGAAAACTTGTTTGGGTTTGTTGGCTCTTGAATCCCTTCATTGTGCAAATATGTAAGCTATTTTGCAACCACAAACCTATCAACCGATTCTTTCAACTTATTTTATTCTTACCTGTTATTTGTTTGTCTGGTAAGGGAGGCACTGAAATTGTTGGAAATTTCTCTACTAAACGTCCATATAGCCAATCAAAATGCTTAAATCTGTGTGATACTGCTTTATCTGTATGCTAAAATAAGAGAAGCGTCAAATAACTGAGATAGAAAAATTGCCTAACATCATACATCTTCATCATCAGTCTAAATTTCTGAGCATATTCTGCAGTTGTTGAGGCTCCAGCAGGATTCTCCTACGGTTGTCTCAGCTAAGCCATGCCACCGAACTTCAAAAGAATTCTGCCAAGGAGCACTAATTAGCACCACTTAGTGGCGTCATCTATGGTGCAGCCTCACTTTTTGAATATGGATACAGTGAATGACAGTTTTAGAGATCATGCTACCGCATACAGGGTAACTGATGCGCCACAATGTGCAGCAGTGGCGGAAAATAAGCAAAGACCGTGCAAGACAGCAAAAGTAGCTCAAAGAGATCATCTCTTAAATTTCGGTGCATGGAATGTACGAACAACTAATGATAATGTGGACTCTGTAAGACCTGAACGTGAAACAGCCATCATCTGCAGGAAGCTTGAGAAAGCGCACATAGACATTTGTGCACCAGGGGAAGTTAGGCGACCTGGCTCAGGAAACGTAATCAAGGGAAGCCATACAATATTCTGGAGTGGCGATGAAAAGAAAGAAGCTGATGTAGGTTTCACTATCAATAATAAACCAGTTGCTCAGAGAATGAATCCCATAAATGACAGACTCATGACACTAATGATTCAGCTTAGGAGTGGTGCCCACCTAACGCTAATAAGCACTTATGCACCTACAATGCAACGCACACAAGTAGAAAAAGAAAAGTTTTATGAAAAGCTTGGAGACTGCCTTGACATGGCAAAAAATGATAACACTATAATCTTAGGTGATCTCAATGCCCGCGCCGGGAAAGACTGGAAATCCTGGCTATCTGTGATTGGGAAATATGGAGTGGGAAAAATGAATTTAAATGGAATTATGCTACTAGAATTTTGTGCCAGATTTCAATTACCTATCATGGGTACAATGTTTCAACTGAAAAATCGCCTTAAAAGCACATGGCAGCATTAACGCTCAAAGCATTGGCACCAACTCGATCATGTGATTGCCAACAAAGAAGCTAAACAACACATCACAGTTACTAAGAGCAACAAAATAGCTGACTGCTTTACAGATCACAAGCTGCTTATTTGCAAATGCTGATTCTCTATCAAACCAAAGAGAAAAGGTCCTAAACCACCTAAGTAGCTAAATACTAACATGAACAGTGAATTGTATACTAATGTGCATGCAAGAATTGTCATCAACAGTTAACTTACAAGCCCTTTTGAATACAACAGCCGTGTTAGACAAGGCCGTAAACCTGCTCCTACACTGTATAGCATATATGCAGCTGTTTTGCTCTGGCTTGCATGTAAGGACATCAAGCACACTCACAGCATAAAAGTCAGGTTTTGTCATGATGGTGACTTACTTGACCACAGAAAACTGAAAAGTAAGACCAAAGTCCTCGCCTTATACATCAAAGAGGCACAATATGTAGATGATGTAGCAATTTTCAGCGACACCCCTGTGCTGGCATACAAATCCTGCTCACTGCCTACAATGTTCTAGCAAGAAAGATGGGTCTATGCATCAACACCAAACTGAAACAATGTGCACTGGACCAGAAGCCCAATTTTTCATTGATCAAATGAAATGAAAGAATGTCAATAGCTTTAAGTATCTTGGTGGCTATGTAACAAATGACTGCTCATTGAAGGAAGAACTAATAGCACACTAAACTTTACTGTGTCTGTATTGATTCGTGTTTTAACCGCTTTCGGGACTATGCATATTATTATTACTTTTGAAATACCCAAAGTGTCTTACTAAAAACTGAATCTAAGATTGTGTTACAAAGGCAAAAACATAAGAAGATATTAAAATTCAGTATAATTTTAAATTTATTACCGTTGGAACAATTTGATATGCAACATAACTTTTAATTCCTTTGTATTTTGATTTTTTTTCTGGTTCTGAAACTGCACAAATGAATGGGATTGGGTTGTTCTGCCATATAATTCCATCAGCACTATCCTGTAAGAATTTAAGCTATTAGCAAATTGAAACAGCATGCTTCTTACATGAAAAACCTTTCCTAATATCCCTTTTCAATTTTAAATTGATCTCAAGGTATTCTAAAAACACATCCTCCCAACCCAAAACTCCCTTTGTCTTATTCAATATACTGATGGAGGTTAGAGCCTCTGTTACACAGGTACATAACTACTTGGGTGTAATGTGTTTTCTAAAAAGCTATGCTCAAAATTTATATAAAAAAAGAAATTTTGAATGAACAAGAGGTTTTTTATCTAAAACATTATATGGAATTCTGTTCAATATATCTAGTAGGCATTTCCCCCTATACAGAAAAAAGCTTGAAGTGATTGACAAACACATTTAAAAAAGGAAAATAAAATACAGTAAAAGATGATGATACTAAGATATAAGATCAAAAACCCATACTTCAATAACAACTTTATCTTGACTTTGTAGAGTTGAATCCTGATTAGCTCCAAGAAGAAATGCCTCACCACCAGATTTCACAAATGTTGAAAACCTAACAATGATTAATTTTATTGACTTTAATCAAATCCATAAACATTAACATCAAAAGCTACAAAGGGTTTGGTGTTTAGAACAGGACAGTTCTGAGTTGCAACCCAGCCTTTGATTGAGTTGCAACCCAGCCTTACATGGAGAGGCGCTCAACCTTGATCAAGCACCTCCACAAGTCCCTAGAGAGTTCTAGGAGCTTGATTGATCAAGCACCTAGGTGTTTATGCTGTCTGAAAACCAAATGGGAAAACCCGAATTTTGTTATTGATTATATTTTATGATGCTTCATTAAGCACCTAGCAAAAGAAAGAGGTGCACAGTTTGTCAAGTGCCTGCTTTTTGCTCCTTACAAGGCCTGCTAAGGGGCTGGCAATTTAGAATCAAAGCAAAAACCAAAGCATGCACTTCTATAATGTTAAAAACTCTACCATAGATTCTTTCAGAGTAATCTTCAAAAATGACCTACATGTGCAGCCTGCTAGAATTTATCAGAAGAGCTAAACATTTGATTACCATTTCAGAGAGAGACTAAGATGAAATCACTGGTAGACAATGCCTAAGTAATGAAGGGCCTAAGTCATATGCACACAAATACCAGACTTAATAAAAAGCTCTGCCAATAGTGAGTACCTAATATATAAGGTCATTAAATCATCAGAAAATACCTGGCATTTGAAAGACCTTAAATTGTGATCCAACAGGATCCAGCAGTGTGTTAACAAACAAACCTGTTCATGCTTTTCTTTACAGTACCGGCTCTTGAAACACTCATTGTCCTTGGCGCATTATTGGAAGAAAAGGCATAATCTCCAGAGTAACTATCAGATGCCACAGAGCTCCCATCATCCCACTCGTCTTCCCAGTCTCCATCATTCTTGTCATAACCCCTTGTTGGTGATATACTCAGATATTGTGGTGAAGAAGACTGAATGGGAGCAGGAGGAGGTCTGGATGGAGGGCCATCTTCTAAAACCTTGAATGAAATTAATTTATTAAAACAAAAAGACAAAATTGTATCTTTCATTAGGTATCATTTAACCAATTCCCTTCTATTTTATGTGCATACTCAAATATAGCAATCTTGGGGACCTGTGCAAACTGGCAAATTATGCAGTGTATTGCCCCCAAAACTAATACACTGTTAAAAATTTAAATGATTTTTCTTGCATGACTTGCATAATGCAAGTCAAATTTCCTTTGATGAGCTATGGTATCAGAATTTAATTTGAACAAGAACATTTTGGATGACTTTGTTTGACCCCAGGGACTTGGTCTAAGCAGACTAATAACTCTACTGGATCTACTCTTGGCCAGCCCTGTAGTATGCTAACATAAAAAACACAAAACTTTTCACACATAATTAAGACTAACATTTATGAAAGAATGTATTATATAACAACAGTGATAGCTGTCTCTTCACTCTACTTTAGATGGAATGATTAGGAAAGCCAAAGCTACCTAAGAAAAATTCTAAGATTTTAGAACATACCTTAACATATGCAGCTGGAAATAGTCCTCTATTCCCATAGCTGTCAAGGCCTTCCCACCAGCCCTCACCAACATCCTTTAATAAAGAAACAATAAGCATATCTCTAGATTGTTTGACACAAATTTAAATTGTGAACAAATAAAACAGAACTTGATACATATACAAACTGTCTCTCAATTAGCTATAAAATATTGATGAGAAAAACCAAAAGGATTAATTTTTCATCAAGATCCACTCTAGCTTCTTTCATCAAGATACACAAAAACTCATTTAAGATTAATAGATTATATCTAGATGTAAAGTTGAAGGTTGTAAATGTAGGGCAGGAATGCTCCTATTTCTATTAGTAGCTTCAAAACAGCTATGAAATAAGGAAATATAGCTTCTTGGTCGATATATTTTTACAGTTTATAGAAGTACTTTTATGCGAATGTCTTGAAACTGCAGAGGCACATAAACCCCTGAGCTACTTCTATACCTAAATATGAATTGATTGCAAAAAATGTGCGATTCAGTGACTAAAATTTCAAAAAATATCAGCATGAATATTAAGAGAACCGTTGCAAAATAATTGAATAAACAATGCCTCGAATTAAAGTGATTACAGTGCCGGCAAAAATATGACTGTACAATACCACTGTATTGTACAATAAAGATAATAAATTTTGAACTGAAAGCAAACAAAGTTTTCTAGATTATTATGCAATGCAAGAAATATATTGGAAAATCGTGTTGCGGCTGGGAATTCTGTCAGGAATGCAGAATGCAGGATCTTCTACTAGACCTGACCAAAACGACAAGCTCAAAACGACGAATTCGCAGCTCGTTCCGTGTATAGTCATTTCATTAACATCCAGAAGCTCAGTTATTTTAAAAATGCTTAACCAGCTTGCTGAACTTTGCAAATGATCTTGAAATATTCTTTAAAGCTATTCTAAATGAGCTGTGACTCATAGGTCGGCACCACTGCCCAGAAAAAATAAAAGGAACCATCGCGGCCTAACCTTGTCTGTAACTGTTAAATGGTCTCCTTCCCTGACGACAAGTTCTCCATTTTGGGTATCCCCATCGAAGTCATAGAGCACACTGACCTGCAACAGATTAAGATACTTCAGACTCTAGTAATGTGATCCTCTTCATGCAATCAAATCGATTTGAAACTTCAAAATTGACTCACCCTTGTCGCCATTTTGCCTAGAATTCTACCTCATATCACGTGACACACAGCCAAATATCAACAAAAGGTTATTATGGCACCTTCCGCAGCCCCCAGGAGTGACAATTATGTACTTTTCTGTACATGAGCTGATTTCTTCCTATCAGATCAGACACCGTGGTGCTGTTGGGTAAAACGAAAACTGAAAGTACCCAGCTGAAATATAGTGAAGATCACTCATGCTGAGTTAAGGACATAATTTCAAACTGTATAACAAATTCATCCCAAAAACGAAAGTAGAGCTATGGAAAGAACAGGGGGGGGAGGGGGGGACCTTCACGAAAAATTTCTCAGCGAAAATGTAGAAATTGTTTTTTCCCCTGCATTAACAAGGAACTCTTTATCTCCCTTTATCTCCCATTATCATCTCCAGCTCTACGGTTTTTGTTCCAAATAAGGTGGATTGTTTGCGTTGATTATCTGACATTCATATCAAGTTAAATGAGTACCACAAGACTGACTTCTAGCACCTAATGAAGACCAAGTCTTTCAGTCCATAATTGTTTACCAAGTTTTAGTGGCATAGGAACTGGGAGGCTTGGCTGTTACGTGTAGGTCCGCCGAGAGGGGGGCAGGAGGGACAATTTGTCCAGGGTCTCGAAGTCTAGGGTGCCTCAAAAAGAAAAGAATTCCGTTTAAAAATGGAATTAACTAAAAGTAACAAAATTATACCTACAACAGGAAAATTTTTTAAACAACAGCAAGAAAATTAATGAATTTAAGTTAATCTAGAGGGCATAGCCGAAAAATTTCTGCTCGCTTGGCTCGCAGGGGCCTTATCCTTCTGTTAAAACAAAGGGCCACCAAAACCTCTTGTCGGCTCTGGTTACATGCCCTCTACTCATTATGTGGCAAGGGTTGGAAGATTCATTAGGGGGAGGGGGCAAAGACTTGTCCGAAAATGTCCTAAAGAATTTGGAAAAACGCCTCATTTTGTCAACGCGTTTGGGAAAGCTATGCTTTTTCACGTGGCAATGTTTGGCTTATCAACACAATAACTGTCATATGTAGCTTTTTGTGACTGACCCCATTTCCCAATTGTCTTCGCAATTCCTTTGAATTGTATAAGGCGAGGAAGCTCTACATGTAAAAACTAATTTTCCAAAGTTGTAAGCAAGTGTCTAAAAATAATGAACAGTATTCAGAATTTTGAAACTAAGCCAGTTCTCCTTGGAGTGAAATCTGCAAAATGTTCGACAAGCATTTCAGAATCCAGTTTTTTAAGGATTGAAGCATTTAAGTTTCTTTTTTATTGGGAACATAGGCGTAAACTTAGGGGGGCTCTGGGGCTTCAGCCCCTCCTGAGGAAAACCGAGGGGGGGCTGAGCCCCCCCCCTGGAAAATAAGGAAGTGCTTCACCAATTTTTAGATTAGTTTGTTATATTATTGGTTCCACGCAAAAAAATTTTGTGTGCCTAAATAGAACTGATGATCTCAACCTAAAGAAACTGATTATGATTTAAAAATACACTTTCCATCATCTCATGTGTGTTTCTTCTTCCTCGATAATGAAAAACGCACGAAAAAATCACCTTTAAGCCCTTAGCTAATCCATTTTCTATCCTGTGACTCCAGCAGCTGCCATTAGGAATTGTCATTAAATTTTTGAGCCCCCCCCCCCCCCTGAAAAAAATGCAAGTCTACGCCTATGATTGGGAATGTCTAAAGAACGTGAAAGACTTGTCTAACTTAACCCTAAAACGAGTTGAAATTGTAAAACATTCTATAATGGTACAGGCAAGTGTTTCCCTCTGGCGAAGCGAGCAGAAATGTTTCAACCACGCCCTTTAGATAAGCTTAAAATACATTTCAGAATATTTTTTACAGCCTTCTGATTGCAGTCTTTCAAAAAGTTTTAATTTTGTCTGAAAAATCAACCCCCCTCCCTGAGGTACTAATTTTATTGCAGATTTGTACTTTTCTCAGACACCAACCTTCTGCGCATTGGGAGGGGCGCCCCCTTGCCGCCTCGCTACGCTACTGCCTCTACCTTTTCCAGCAATTGTGAAAAATGCTCTTCTCTCATATCCCTACAATATAAGATGCATTGTGCCTCTCTCCCTCGCCCTCTCCCTCGCCCTCTCCCTCGCCCTCTCCCTCGCCCCCCCCCTCGCCCTCCCCTCGCCCTCCCCCTCTCCCTTGCCCTCTCCCTCCCCCTCGAACTACGCAGGCATTGCATACGGAATACTTTTTCAGTGTGAACTTCACTCATACTGCCGATTCGCAAGACGCAACATATGAGTTTACGACTGTACGTACGAGTTGTCTTCGTTATACTTTGTCTCTCAATCATACTTACAGTGAGGCATACTCCAGCACAGGTTCACAGACAAGATCCCTGAAATTACGTGTCTTTTTCTATATGTGGAAGATATTCAAGCTTCATGGAAGATATTTTTAGCATAACTGGATCACCTTATAATCTCAGGGGTTCACTTTCACTAGAAATAAACCAAACAATATAGCATACGGATTAGACACTGTATCATACAGATGTCAAAGAGTATGGAATTCAATTCCCACAGAAATAACCTCAAGCTCAAATACAAAAACCTTTAAAGCAAGTATCAAAACAATGTCTGCGAATTCTTGCTCATGCCGCACTTGTAAACCATTTATAGGACAAGTAGGCTATATAAAATGACAGGGAACTTAGTTTATATTGATGTATCTTATTAGTTATTCTTCTATTTTTGTTGCGTTGTTAAATTCGGTTATTTTTAATATATTTAGTTGGTTTTAATTACCTTTAGTAAAGCTAGTAGTGTACGTTTACCAACTCAAAAGAAAGTGAAAGAAAAAGTCACGCATTCCTTAGAACGTACGGATTTAAGGCTTCTCGTGCCCAAGAATAATAAAGGATCTAACTTAGTAATGATTTTCTTACAACAAATGATATCCTAGGCACACGATCTGAAACGAGCATAGCTTTGTCTTCAAAATTTTTCAAAGGTAGAAAAGAAAAATCACGAGGGAAACAATACCGTCACAATCGACACAACTAAGCAAATAAAGACGAACCAAAATTGACTTTGATTTACAGGAATTAGAAACTTAATTTTATATAAAAAACATTTCTTGAGGCCTGATTTACAGAAGTTCTGATTTAGTTCATTACATTCATTGTTATAAAAAATTTAGATATCATTGAATGTTTCCCAAAAGTTTCTTGAATTTTGGGGTTATCAGAAACCAAGAATAAAAATCAACTTTAATGCAGTCACTTTAAAATTTTTATGGTAGGGTACGTGTAGGGTAGGAGGATGAGATGCTGTTTACACATTAATTCTTTACGAATTAGTTGTTTTCTGATATTTTGATTCAATCGCCATTCCCTCTAGAAAATTTGAAACAGAAAAATTTCCTATATTTTGAGCTAGGACCGAAAGGTTGTTATTCTAAGGTATGAACAGATTCTTACACAAATGAATGTATTGTAGAAATATTGGCCTGAAATTTTTCAAATACCTTTGACGCATATATTTATGTTACTGAGCCTCTCTGTATGAAGAGGCGCCAAAATAAATGATTATGCACATTGTGTATGCTAATATATGCAAAGCTGCAAAAGCCAATCTAGACCAGGAAGTCTACGATTTAACAATATCACAGACTGGGATACACCATACAAGAATTCAACATTTATAACAATATTTCAGATAAGCAGCCATGGACGTTTATTGGTGGCTGGTCTATCTTCTAGCAATACACCATTTATCAATAAACAGCAATGAATACCAACAGCTTGCATACACCAACTTAAGATAAAACCTACTATAGATCCTAAAATCTTGTTATTGTATTCAGAACCTCACATTTCCCAATAACCTCTTATCATTCTGTCCTTAGTGACATATTGTACATTTTCCTAAAGCAGTGCGATAGGTACTCTTCCATTCTCATGAAAAAGAGTTTGCTTTGCTAGCCTTGTCATGAAACAATCCAGTCTCCAACATTTCACACCACATAAACGAAAAACGTAGACTTCTGTAACTTGCCCTAAAACTTGTACTAAATTAAGAACGATCTCTTGAAACAGTGTGGATTATAGCGCTCACTAGAACATACTTTCCGTTGTCTCCACCTGTGTCAAACTGACAACAACGTTTAAAACTCTCCCCTTTTTAGGATCCCAGCCCATTTTCAAGATTTTCATTAAACTAAGGTTTCTTTGTTTTGTTTTTTTTTCGATCACGTATACTTCTTAAACGTTTTCTCCTGTCCTCTTTTGATTCCTTATTTGTGAAAATCAGAGGCGTTTTATCAATAGTTGTTTTATATCCTTTGTCTTTAATGCTTCTCTCCCACTGCCTTTTATGAAGTTGGTAAATCTTCATCGTCATGCGAGCATCTTCCACCTAGATAATAATTGTAAAATTAATGATTTTGAGGCTCTACGCAATGATTATCAGCCTCAACGCAAACATACTTTACAACTTTGGATCTAAAACGTTCACTGTTAATACAAAATGAATATGATAAAAATTCTGGCTCTGAGAAATTTTTAGCCTTATTCAACACTGCTAGATATACTTTATGAAAATTGAAAATAGGTATATATCTTGAAATATTTAGGCATAACTTTTTTCTTTTTGCTTGGACAATTGTAAAGCAGTTTCCTTTTTTTGCAAAAATAAATTAAATGCCAGGGAAAATATTTTGAAATAAAAATAAAAACTTAAAATGTAAAAATATTAAGCAATGCCTGTTCAAATCGGCACACGCAATGACGAGGGTAGCTAAATTTTGAAAATCAACAAGGCACCTTCTGACTAGGCCTGCTCCTGTTATGTGTTTGAATTTTAAACAGCCTGAACGGAAAGTACTAGCTACTGAAAGTTTCTCAATTAACTTAGGCATTAAACGTTATTCTGGGAATTTATCAATTTGCGGTACCTGCGTTCACAATCAGTGACAGAATATGAGCAAAACAAAAATCGACAATCTAGAAAAATCTTGACTTACAGATGAATGCTCTCCAGACTGAATATCTACATTCAAAATCTCCTTTGACAGTTTTTTGAGAGAAGGATATCGAGTCTGTAAATAGAGTGTAAATAAAAATGAAATCAATACTATGGCATGGCAAGTGTATAGAAATAGAATAAATGTCCTAGAAAGAGAAGAATCTTCTACTGCGCAAATAGCAATTAAAATACCGCTTCTCATCAAAGAGAATGAAATGTAAAGGTCGCTTAAGTCAACTGCTCTTCACATGCAGACTGATTCAGAAATTGATCAAAGCGATCAATCAAATTCGCTATTTTTAGTGTCAAAGGCTCATTGTAGAATTTGACGTTTAAATATAAGTAAGTAAATAATACTTTATTATTCCAATGAATATTTAACCAAATTAATTTTCATACAAAAATTCAGCAGTGCATACCTTCAATAGTTTCTTGAATGGTTTATACGACGATGTATCTCGAATATCTTTTCTGGGATGACTTAGCATTAATACCTGCAAATAGGAATTATGACCTCTTGAATGTGTACAACTGTTGAAAATTTGAGAGTTTAACCAACTAGAGCGAGGACACTGGAACAGGGGGTACTAGGTTTAAGTGCCCAAAACTTTTTGCAAAGTCCCCCTTTCCGTAGTGCGATATTTATAACTTTTGGGAATGTGCCCCTTTTATTAGAAGTGTAGCCTTTCATAGGTACTCTCGCTTTTGGTAATATCCCCCTTTTTCTGAGACGCGATCCCCCGTTCTACCTACTCCCTCCAGCTTTGAAATTCAAGGGTAGTAACTGGTTATTAGGCTTAAGGAAACTCTTCAAAATACGCTAAGTGTCTTGTCTTGTACGTTAGTGTCTTGTACGCTAAGCTTATTTCGACTTGTCCGTTATTTTAACGCTTCCGTTGATAGAGGCGTCCCCGTATCTTTAATAGAACTTATCAATTTTTAACAGTATTGTTTTTAATGTCATAAATCGCATGCCTTACTTCTCTAGCATTAATTCCTTAAAATGCCAGCAACAGCCTGAATTTTAAAAAAGAATCATCTTCACTGTTTATTGAAGAATCGTGCTGGAAAAAGAGAAACTAAACTAACCTTCAAATCATTATGGACAGCATGACCAACAAGGATTTTACAGTTAGTTAAATCAGCAACCTGTTTTTGGACCTCGGTGAATGGCGGTGCTAAAAATGAATTGTAATTTCCATTTTGATCAGTGCAAAAAAAACATGTCTGCAAGGCAGTCAGTATAAATATTTTTTCAAAATTTACAATGATCAATGCATATCTTTGATCTTGACTTTACTGAGATATAACCATGTCTTACTGCCTCTATCATTATGAAAACTATGGAAACTTGACCTTAAAATGATATTATGATTCAGCAATATATACTCGTAAGTAAAATATGAGGAGCTTGTCTAAACAAAGCAGAAAAGAAAAAAATGTAAGCTTCCAGGTACAAGAATTCACTCTGTTGAGAAGATCAAGATGTAGTGGGAACAGAAACAAGATATGAGCAATGAGAGAAAGCCTTTTACTGTTAAGGAAACATAAATATTTGACAAACAGATAATTCCAATATAGCAACAGATACGAAGTAGAAAGAGAGTATGGAAAGGAGATTGACAGAATAGTGATACGTGAAAAGGAAAGCCTACCCTTCACCAAAACAAAACCAAAAGAGCTAGCACTACGATTGAAGAAATCAATTAAGACATTTTTAGAAGACTATAAAATATCTTGATATAGACTATAACACGACCTAATCAATAAGGGACTCTAAAGTGATTCAAATAATCATTAAAGACAAACCATTGACTAGATCCTCTGGTCTTATGCCACTAAACTCCGTTCTGTAGTCAGCAACTTTTTGCATTGGTGCAACAAAAGTGTCATAAACAGTTTCGCCAAAGGAATTGACAATTGAGACTCTGCCAAGCATATTGTCTTTACCTTCGATTCCAACACCAACCATTTCACAATCAATAGCAAGTCGTTTTGTTATGCTACAAACAAAAGAAAAGACTTATTGAATTACAGATCTCATTTTAGCTTTTAATCATAACGCTGGAAACTAAAACTGTCTCGAAACCAAATTGTACATATATGCAGGATATCTTCGAACTAAAACAAAAACAAGGACAAGAAAAAACCTCAACTATTCATATAGTGCTTAATGCCATATAGGCAGATCAGTGGACACTTTGCTGTTTGAAACAGCTTAAACCTTGTTGCAGCTCTGGCAACTGCAATGAGAAAAAGTATTTGATTTTATTACAATAGCTAGTAATTAGTTAAATATATTATCTTGATTAGTTTCACTAGAAGTTAGAACAATAGAAAATAAAAAAATAAAAATTAAGACAACAAACAAACAATCAATCAATCAACCCAAAAGTGCATTCCTTCTGGCTGAGTCTGTTTCTTCATGACAAAGAGGGTGTTAATCTGACTCTTTTCAGAAGAATGCTCTCCTGATGTCTCCTGATGTTGTCGGGTTATCTTTATATAGGAGGCTATGGGAAAATCTGTTAAGGAAACTTCTTGATTTTGGGACTGTTCATAGTGAGCTTAATGGTTGGAGGGAGCTTGTACTGTGAATCAATGGAGTCTGTAGTTTTGTCATATCCCTGTCTCTACCAAATCCGTACTAGGCAGATGCATAGAGGTTTATCTAGTTTCAGCATTGCCTGCCAATTCAACTTGAAGGTGAAAATGCATCACGAGAAAAATTTCCAATAATATGAGACTGATTAAAAATGAAGTTATGTATACCATTTGAATTTGAAGGAATTTAACTTGCCTTGATGTGAAACCATTTGTCTGCATAGTTGTCTCTGCTGTAATCGATTCTGACTTTTTATCATCAGACACAAATTTTTTTCCAGTTGCAGTTTCAATATCATCAATGTCAACATCATCAAACCAGATGTCTTCCCTGCCAATCAAATAAAAAACAATGAGTCAAAATGAGTCAAATACATGAGTCAAAATGTGAACACTTTGAGACATTTCAGGGCTTTCACGTTTAGAAATTGAAGCACGTGACAAAAAACTCATGTGATCAGTGTGGGGCGCACAAATCAAATATATTTGATAAAACAAAATAATGAACTTTTTTGAACTGAGACGCTTTATTTAAAATGAACAAAATACTTTGTTTGCGAAAAAAGTTTAACCTCAAAAAAAAGTTAAAGACAGCCAAGCGTCTTAAATTCCTTATCACTTTCTGACTCTGTCAAATGGACTGTTGATGTTTCCGATAATTTCTGAGTTCGGATGCTTTTTTGAATGTTTATTTTCATTTTTCATTTCATTTTCAAATATAAATCAACAACTTTGTTTTTCTCAGATGATTTCCTCCTTTTCATCTTTATTTTAAAGAGGATCATTGCCATAAACGATCAAATTATTGTTCAGAGTACTGTGTGAGATACAGAGGCATTTGTTTGAAAGTATGTTGCCTACGGTGATAAATGTTCCTTCAACCTTCAAATTTGAAGAAAAGAGATTGACATAACAGAGTTTGCCATTTTGTACAGGTTTGGAAAGTCATTGCAACATTACGTTAGAACGGATTTCCATAAACATTTTGCAGTAGAGAACCTAGGGAAGTGAAACATTTTGTTGTCAAGCTGCAGGCTACAAAAGCTAGTGGCTCTTAAAAGTATGTGTCTTATTTGACTATATCATCACTTCAATAGTGGCCCCTATTTGACTAGAACTGGGGATCCACCCAGTTCATTTTGGAGAACACCTTGTGGTTGTAGACTTCAAACTCTTTGCCAAAAAGGGTTGTGTTGTAACTTCCACATAAGCTACTGGCATTTTTCCTAGTGCTTTCTTTTCTCTCTTGCTTTGACAAACATCCCTGCAAATTCTCCATCATAGCTCTGGACACAATGCATGTAGCTGTTAAGAAACTTTGCATCTGTCGCTATCTCATTCAGCTTTCTTCGAGCTTGTAAGGGCCTGTTTACATGAAGTGGGCTAGTTATCTGGTTAACTCTGGGTAATTTCAGGATCAGAAAAGAAATCAAATTGATAATAGCCATTGTTGTATAAACTGATGTTCACCATTATGGCACCAAAAACTAAAAAAATCTTGTTTACAAGTTTCAAATAAGATACATCTGAGTGGGATAGATCATGTTCTTGTGTGAACACTCTCAGAAAACCATCACACGGGCCCTTAGTTGATCTCGAAATTGCAAGAGGTACATCAATAACGGGAGATATATGAAGCATTTGGCATGTGCCTGTGTTCTTGGGCGCCATCGTGCACCCCTCAGCATTTAATGTGAACATTTCAAGACAGTACACAGTGTAGAAAGTCATAATAAATTAAAAACTCATTCATTTACCATAAAATTTGCAGATATAATACTAGAAGACACAATAAAGTAAGTGGCTCACAAAAGCAAGGGGCTCAAAAGACTAAATAAACCATGTATCATAGGCTGTTGCAGAACAGATGTTCCAAATGACATGTTGAAGACTAAAAATTTACATATAGACAAAGAGACGAATGTCTGTTTCTCAACAAACAATCAAGTAGCAGAAACCAAGCTTACCTTTTTATTGTATTACTTTCTTTCTCTTCAGCCTTTTCCAACTTTGCTCTTTTTTCACTGTTTTTTTCTAGCAAACTATTCACTGGCCTTTTCCTTTTTGGAGTTTTGGGACCATGCTGTTGATTACTTGATTTTTGTTTTTCAGCATTAACCTCCTTTGAAATTCAAAGATACAAAAACTTTAACATACAATAACAAATACACAACAGGAAAGTCACATTTCACTATTACCATTCAATTGATAATCCCTATTACATCATGACAGATCATAAACAAGTCGCACCATACATAACCTAAAATGAAAGCCAATTTCCCTTTATCACAATTCCTTTACAAATACAATTAATGCATCCTTGATAAGATCAAGGTACTATTCCATAAATAGGCATGACTTGTTTCTTATAACATACCAATCAACTACTAGAAAATTGACATTACAAAATTTCTGCTGCTGTTTAAACTTTTATCAATAAAAGATAATATCAAAAAAGATATGATATCTCTGTGACAAAATTTATGAGCACTTAGGTTGCCAGGGTATTTTTCATAAATAGGCTCTGTATTATTGCATTCAATATTGGGACTTAACATCACTTTTTATCTTAAACTAACAAAGTAACTAACAAAGCTGGGGCATTGTACATCTGATCTGTTGATGGTTAAAAACCTTTTGTAGGGGTTCTGGAATTGATGCACACAATCAAAGACCAATGTGATAGCAGGTAAGTTAGGAAATCTAAATTATTTCTTTTCTAAGAAATAAACTGTTATTGAAAAGTACACTTATGACGAGAAGAAAGTTGTGTTGTGTGGATGCAGCCATCTTTTGTTCTTTAATTCTGGCTCTAACAAAGTACCTGACTGAAATCCTAGAAAGAGAGGTTAATCAAATTTTGCTTGTTTTATGGCCCCTCGTTTGAGGGAAGGCACTTGTTAAATTCTTGACATACTGCCCAGCCCAGTATCTGACATCGAAACACTTTGCATAAAAACAGTTTCGAAACACTTGGCTAATATATTTATGCCTATATACGGTACCTACTTGCAAGAATGCCTGCCAGTTCGAAGACAACACCTTCACTGGCTGCTTTTTTGTATCTGGTTCGTTGTTCATACTTTCTACTGTCTTTTTTCTCTTCATTTTAGACTTTTTTTTAAACTTCTTGTATGGAGGATAAACCTCAGTCCTGTCCGAAGGCTGCGTGTTATTCTTCATTTTTGAGGTATCTTTTGGCTGAGATTTTCTCTTAAATTTTTTACTTGAATTTCTATTTTTCTTATCCTGCTCCATCGGAGATAATTTCGGTGTTATCGGTGCTGTTGTGTGTATGTTTCGACTTTCTCACACGGTCCATGCTTTCCCATGGCCATCTAGGCCACTTCTTGAAACGAGGCTACTCTCCTGATGTCTCGTTACGAAATTATGGGAAAATTAGATTACCATAAATCCTCGAATTGCCCCCCCCCCCAACCCCTCGAACAAGCCCTCTCCCTAAAAATACAAATTTTCAATAAGCCCCCTTTCAAATAAGCCCCCACAGCTACCGTAAATCCTCAAATTGACTAAGATAAGTAAATTAGATACGTTTTGCTTAATTTGTAGTGCCAAAAGTGGGAAATTGTCTGTGAGGTGTTTTGAATCAACCGCAGGAAAATACCATCTATATATGGACTAAGTTGAAAAATCGTTTTTGGTTACTATGTTGTTTATAGCTTGATGTATGGGGCGTAAAAAGTGGACAGTCCAGCTTAACTAAATAGAGACGTTATTATAGGGAGGTTTTAATTGATACACGGACACAAATAGAATGATTCACTTTATCAAAGAGTAAAGTGTAAAAGTAGTAGCTGTAGAAAGCTATAGAATCGCGTGTAAGATATAGAAAGTACTTTCAAATAAACAACCTCATTCATTAGGTTATGACAAAGGGGTTGGAACTCCCCCGTCTACTGCCTAAACTGAGATTGTATGTGTTCCTGATGGGAAAAATATCAGGCCTGTTATAGTAAGAATCAACAACACCAAAAACAGCATAATTGGAAGTATATTTGATTATGGCGAGTAAGGATTAAAAAACAATAAAAGTTACGCCCTTTGAAATGTTTCCTTTGAAGAAGATTGTTGCTTACTTTTATATTTGACAAGTAAACTAGAATCTGCCAAGAACAATATATTTTTATTTGTTGTCACCCACTTCTTTAATTAGAAGAATTAGTTCTGCAGAATCTTTGACGTCTGGCAGGTAAACCATTTAAGGAAACAGTGTTTTCTGTAAGGGAACGAGAAGAGGAAAATTTGGCTGCTGCGAGGTTGCAAGCTGTAGTGACATCAAAAAGACATTTAACAGGTTAGTCGCAGTTAACAATTACCATGTGCTTTTCCACAATCGTGTATTAGCGTCATTGTTAATATCAGAGGAATTCTGAAAAAGTTAATTCTGAAAAAGAATTATTAATTTATAAGAAATGTGTGATGTAGGTTCAGAGACGTAGGAGCTGGGTGCACCAGGGCCACGTGCCCTCCAAGAATTTTGAAAAATTCCCTTTTCTAAATTGTAACTTTCTGAAATAGTGTTCCCTTTTTTTGATATGGTGCCCATTCAACCCTGTGCCACTCTTACTTTGAAATGCTACCGACGATCTTGTTTAGCTTGAAAGCAACTTTAAATCAAGCAATACAGAGATAGCTTGGGGCCTCGCCCAAGGACCACGGAGCACATTACAGATTTATGGGGCTAAAACGTTTTGGGGGACTAAACATACTAAAAATCAAGAGCAGGGCGATTTTGGTATGATTCTAAATACATTGTTGAAATTATTGGAGGGGCTAAAGCCCCCGTAGCCCCCCGCTTCCGCGGTCCCTGATCTCGCCTAAGCTTGGTTGTCAATGTGGAAACTGTCAAGTTATTGCAACACATCTTTTCTCAATAGCTCTTCTTCTCTGTCACAGCATTTGGGGTAATATATGGGGGCGGGGATCAAGCCCCTAAGAACAAGATTTGTTGGAAACTTTGGGAATATAGGGGAACTTTGTATGTTTGTAAGAATTTTTGGAAATACTTTGGATTTAAATTTAGAAATGTCTCTTACTTGTGAAAAGTTTTTTCTGTAGCGCATTTAAAGAAACGTACTTACATTTTTGAACTGAATATCTCCTTTATCGTTGTGTAAAACATAGTTTGTGCTTGATATGGAATGGAGTGACAAACAACACTAAGAGACAATATGATATCGTGTTCCCGTCAAATATCGTTCAAAGTAGGTTTGATTGCCAAATGAATGAGTGGCTCTGGAGTATTGGCTTTTATGTTAGACTTTGAGACTTTGTTGTTAACAGACAAGTAAAATATAGGAACAAAATTTCACGACATAGTCTCTCTTGCAAAACTAAAACGTAAATTAAGCAATTTATAGAAACTATTCTTGATATTTGAGCACGTAAAAAGTGAGCCCTTGCTGATTTCCTGATTTCTTGAATATGTAAAATGTTTATTGTGATTGGGTTCCTTTATCAGTTTACAAAATTCAGCATCATAATAACCGTCAAAAGTAGTATTCAAAGACAAATCGAAGATGAAAAGGTTCAGACAATCAAACGTTATTCTGGTTATGTCCGAAACTTGTTATGTCCAAAGCTTTTAAATTCTTAGAAAGTAGAAAAACACAAGGCAACGTGCAGGATTCTTAAAGAAAATTAAGATTTGAACAAGTACAGTTACTTTTTTCGAAACTCTCAGAACCCTAGCACTAGACGTTTCTTGCAGCATATTCTTGTTGCTTCATAACATCACCATCATTCGGTGACTGTTTCAATTAAGAAGTTTCGTCGTTACTCCTCTCCAGTAGTCACGATCTTCAGCTTCTCTTATGCACTGCTCAAAGTTTAACATTGTCTATTCCATGATGTTTTTCATCCACGATTGACGGGGACGTCCCCTTGGTCTTTTCGCATATACTTTTCTTTCTAACAATGATTTTTGCATTTTGTCTTTTCTTATTAAATGACCAAAATACTGCGTCTTTCTCATTTTTATGTTCTTTTCTAGTGACAGACCTTTTTCATTTACACGTTTGATCACCTCCTCATTTGTAGTGTGACTTGTGTATGAGATCCTAATCATTTTCGATACATCCACATTTCAAAGTTGTTTATCTTCTTACATGTATCCGCGTTAAGTATCCGCAGGTTTCACTTGCGTATATAAGTGTTGATAAAACATAACATCTGGCTAAGCGTTTTCTTGTCTCGATCTCGATGTTTCTTGCTGTTAAAACATCACTCATATTTAGGAAAGTCTGTCTTGCGATTTCTATACGTTGTCTTATCTCAGTATCTGATCTACCATCAGATGTGATCGTTTGCCCCAGGTACTTAAATGTTTGCACTTGCTCTGGAGTAGTTCCATCCACCTTTATATCAACATTGCCTCAATAACTCGTGTCCACAAATATTGTGGATTTCAAGTAACTATCAAGGTTCTTTGCAGTTTACTGCATTTTCCTTTGCAATGCCAGAATTATGACACAGTTTTTACAATGCGTATAAATGCTGGACTTCTACTTGTTTTACTTTTCACAAAATGTACGAAAATCTGCATTATTCATAGTGATATTTTTAATTTTTCGCAATCTTCCCTTAGTTATCATCGTTGCCTTTAGTTCTCTCTTTTTCATGAGCTTCTCTTTTGAACCTAAGAAGTAAGTTGCCCAAAATTAATCAACGTAAAAATACGATTAGTTTTAACATATATCTTTCAAATACTGCCCGTCTAAAAGTTTTTGTCCGAATTTCCTGAAATTTCGTGTTTTGTCTGATATTATATTTGCAAAACTTTGCTGTCCCAAGGCATTCGACTTTCATCAGCTTTATAAAACTGCTTGCTACATGTCGCCTTGCTACATATTTCATATTCATTCGACGATCTTTCCTTTTAAACATAAATTAAGATATAAAGCTTAAAACATTTAGAAATTATGGAAGTGGACACATAGAAAGCAGCGATTTGTAGAACTCATATTGGGTCCCTGAAAACTGAAGATCAGCACTTGCCGATATTTTATGTAGAGAACAACGAAATCGAGACTAGTGCAAAATTCCAAACTAAGCAATAGGCTTAAGGATTGCTGGGTCTTAACAGTTGCTATTTTATTTCTTAGGTGTGGGGCCCCTTTCTGGCTCTCATAAGCACAGGGCCATGGGCCGTGGCCCCCATGGAGTCCTCCTAAAACCGCAAATCAGCGAAAAGAAAAATTGGGGGTCAAGTCGACCGACCCTTTAAAAGCGTGGGCCTTGAGACTGTGGGCGGTGAGGCAGAGAGATCCGCTTTTTTGTAAGCAGATATGACGTAGCTGCGCATGCTATTCCCCAGACCACTATTTTTCGAAGTGCTGCGCACGCCACTTATTTGATCTGAAAAGTGTCACACTATAAACTAACTGCAAACATATGTAAGTAGGAAATTTTAAGAAGATCGCTTTACCTTTAGTCTCAAATTTCTTTTCTACTTACTTAAAGGGCGAAATTGCACATCCAGGGGTTCTATTTTCAGACAAACTACAACATAATGGTGCGAGTCAAGCCAAGTCAGTTGGTGTCTTTGTTGTTGCTGTTGGTGGATGTCTGCTGTTGCCAGTCATGTCCTAAGCTGTGTTTATGCAACACCACTGTGGTGCGATGTTGTGGTGCTGGTTTACGAGAAATCCCAGAAAATATAGAAAACTCGGTGACGATATTAGACTTGTCGGAGAATCCCAATCTGATTATACAGAAGCTCTCATTTATAAGGTTCAATGCGCTGCAGAAGCTATACTTGAATAACTGTTCTATAACGTCACCCTTTTTGCTACCTCGGTCCTTGACAGCCCTTCACTTGGAGCGGAATAAATTGACTATGAACTTGATAAAACAAATTTTATACAACCCTCCTGAATCACTACTTGCACTCAACCTTAAAGGGAACAGCATAGATTTCCAAAATGGTCTGGACGCCATTCCTAAAAACCTAGCGGATCTGGATCTCTCTCAGAATGTGATTCCTATGATAACACCGGGTTATTTTCGCGGTTTCTCAAACCTTCAAAGAATGTCTTTAAGAAGTTCTAAAATAAAACGAATATTGCCTCATGCATTAGATTCCTTGCGTAATCTTGTAGATCTTGAGCTGCAGAACAATGAGTTAAAATGTCTCCCCCCTTTGCTTTTCGGAACGATTCGCAAACTGAGGCGTATAAAACTGAACCAAAATAAGCTGTCCGGAATCCCAGATTTTCGTGGTGTCCTGATGCTAAAAGAACTGGACCTGTCAGAGAATCGTATTCAAAATGTTACTTCGAAATCGTTTGGAATAAAGTGGACAATACTTCTTATCTTGGGAGGGAACCAGATAGAGAATTTCGAGTTGAATGGAATGAAATACGTCAAACTTGACTTGTCTCATAACAAAATAACCGAGCTGAAAGCTGATTCTTTTAGCCACCTGAAAGACGTCACCCAGATCCTGCTGCATAACAACCAAATAAGGGAAATTTCTCCTTTTGCATTTAGAGGAATGAGGTGGATTCTTGAGCTCTTTTTGCAGAAGAACAAGCTACAAAGGATTCAAAGAGGTACTTTCCGCGGAATGAGTATAAACAAACTTATTTTGTATGGTAACGATCTTGTGACTATTAACGGGGTTTTCGATGATATGAGAGTGCCACCGAAACTGGTTCTTCTATTTGGCAATCCTAAGTTAACGAATCTTAAAGGGTCAAGCTACAAAAGTCTGACCAACCGATCTGTAGTATGTATTAATTGCAAGAACCTGAAGGTCATGACTGAGACGTATCTAATTCGCTCTCAAATAAAGTGCATGCCAACTGAGGACTTGAACATTGATACCCCTAGCACTGTCCTTGGCGATGATGGCTTCAATTGTAGATACAGCGCAAAGGTGCGACAGTACCAATGCTATCCTTGTCCAGTAGGGTACTATGGGTACTGCGAGAAAGATACATCACCGTGCACTGGCTCCTGTAAGGCTTGCCCGCCCGGCTCTTTTTTCCAAGACGAGCTTGCAAAGAAAGAATGCAAAGAGTGTCCGGTAGGTCAGTTTGTGCCACCAGAGCGGGCCCCTGGCAAGACTCCATTGGACTGCTTCACTTGCCCTAAAGGGACAAATACCAACAGTTCTGCAGGGTTCCGCGCTTGTCCTTGTTTAAAGGGCTACTCAAGGACCTACCGTTTTGGGGAATGTAAAAGGTGCTCTACTGTTGGATTTAACTGCATGCGGGATTACCCGCAGCTGAAGCCAGGTTACTGGATAACATGGCTTAAAAATAAAACTTGCAAAAAATTCTACAAAGAATTCATGCAGAACCTGGAAATAAAGAATGATGGATACGACAGAAAGACTATGAAATTGTTATGCGACATGCCGATGCCACATAAATGTCCTATACCAGGCTCGTGTTTAGGAGGTGTTGATGCTAATTGTTCTGCGGGATACACGGGGGTTTTATGCGCAGTGTGCGCGAAAGGTTACAGTCGCCAGTTTGACAGGTGCATCAAATGCCCCGGACCAGGAGTGGCTGTGCTGCAGTTTATGGGGTATGCTGCGTTTTTTATAGCTATTTGCTTCTTAATATCGTGGGCTGACAAAATAACTCTGAATTCAACGGAAAAGAGAGAGGCACGCCGAAAGACAAAAAAACAAGCTAAAAAAGAAAGGACATTTGCTGATATCATCTTATCTACTCTGAAGATTTTGCTTGGTTTCTATCAAGTTCTTGACGGAATAATCCATGCATCAGCCTGGGTTAACTGGCCAAAACCACTGAAGAAGGCAGTCCATGTTTTTGAATACCTACAGTTTAATGTTATCCATCTTCCTTCGTTGAGCTGCATTAAGCCAGGACTTGGAATGAGCGCCATCACAGAGTTCTGGTTCGCTATTACTGCAACTGCCGCATTCCCAATCGCTGCTATCGTTTACTTTGCCGTGAAGACGCTTTTTATCGAGATGCGGTCAAGTCAAGAAAGTCGCGAGGAAAGACGAAAGAAATGCTGGAGAAACTGTCTCCGCGCTATAGCTCTGTTTATGTTTGCAACCTACCCTTTGACGTCAAAGAAAATCGTACAGATTTTGCCGCTGAGTTGCCACACGTTTTGCGTAGCGGGAGAAAGTGAAGGGCGGTCAAGGAAATGCATTAAAACCGTATCATACCTCCGCGGCGATTACAGCGTAAAATGCCCAAGTGTATCATCATACCATCAGATCGCTTTAATTGCGGCCTATACTGCTCTTATTATCCCGCTAGGGTTTCCGGTGTTACTTCTTGTTCTGTTATGGAGATTTGCAAGGCCTAGCATTCTCAAACCAAGGCAGACAGAAGCTGATCCTGCCGCGATAAATGAGTCGTGCGCTGGAGATACAGGCGATTTTAAATACTTTCCATTATTTTCGGTGAAGTGTACATCCGAAGACGGTGCGATACAGTCCGCTTTGAAGTTCGCATACGAAAATTACAACCGCTCGTGTTGGTACTGGGAAGTGATTGAAATGGTGCGAAAGTTGATAATGACTGTTGGTGTAACCCTCTTTCTTCAGCACACGAAAGTGGGCCTAGGTGGCATAATCATCATCGCAATATTGTTCACAACATTGCAGGCAATCAAAAACCCAATAAAAGACCCATTCGAGAATTTCTTGCAGCTTCTGTCCCTCTCAATAGTTCCAATCAACGTGTCAGTTGGGACAGTGTTACAATCAAAGCAGGTGGGTGACAATGAGATTATCGATTCACGCAAAGACTCATGGGCCTTGGGTATGACGTTGGTTGTTTTGAATTCGCTGCTCGTTATCCTTGTCATCGGTCGTTTCTGCAGAGCCATTGTTAAGAAAGTTTGCAGTTCGAAAAGGAAAGAAAATCTTCTCGGTGAGATGAAATAAGCTGCTTTAGTGTTTGAAAATTCATGTGTACAGATACACGGTTAAATACAGGCAAGTTTGGATTGAAAAGATCAAACCAATTTGCGATGAAACAATTCGATATTTTACATTTTATGTAGCTTCTCTGACTCGTTGCTAAAATTCACAATACGTGCTACATGCTCTAGTTCATTGCTATGATTTACAAGACTTACATGTAAATACGTAATATTGGCCCACGACAATATTAATCAACATTGATATTTTTCAGCATCCAATATCAAATTTTCATAACACTCCAGCTATCACTTCGCTTGATACCATTTCATTCCTAATCGTCTTGCGTAAGTAGCAACCGTTTCATAAAGCCCAATCTCAAGGGGTAGCAAATTAGATTATGTTACTCATATAATGTAAAAGCGATAACAATAAGATGTATATTTGTAGCTTTATGTGTATTTAGCTAATACTTGTAAAAGCAGTGACCTTACTAGATCGCTAACTTTTTTCATTATGGTTACACCTTAAGAGTTGTCAAACATGCCTCTTCTTCAGAAAAGCCATGATGCATATTACGAAATGTTGCAATTTTCTGATTTTTTTGCATTAAAAGCCTTATGTAAATATCAATGTTTTCTATGTGTAAAAACAGGCGACTTTTCAATGCAATAAAGCAGTTTCTTTTCACTGCCAAATCTCTTCAATGAAAGAGCAAATATACCCTAGATTTTCCCTTTAGCAAAAAACAATTCACCCAAGTTATTCCTATTAGCATTAAAAACTTTAACAAGCAATAATTCATATCTATACTGATGTTAATTAGTATACTTTTTGGCCCCAGAAAAAGTTTCTAACGAAATAAATTTGGATTACCAAAACTAACACATCATAATTGAGACTTAACTGAGAAGAAGCAGATTTGATTCAACAATACAATTTGGTAAAAATTGTCTAGATAACATCCATATCATCTGCTCAATAATTGAAAGTATCTCTTATCAGCTTACGCATTGTACTGCCAACAGATTGAGATGATGTCGATGTGTTGTATGTTATCTATGAAGAAGAAGAAGTGTATGCAAGTTTAAACTTACTTAGCAAGCATAAATTAAGTACTTTCTAGAGTTCCTCCGACATTCCTCAGATTATAAACATCAATATATAGAGTAAGATTGAAATTAAAAATGAAATGTACACATTATATGGTACTCCAAGAGTTACTTCTACGGAAAGAAAAAAGGGGCTCTTTAAAAAAATATCCACAGCAAGAAAAATAAATTATCCACAGCAAGAGGTTACTTTTCGGTAATAACAAAGGAGCTAAGCATACCCCCCCCCTCCCTCAACAGCCTCTTGGCTCTACACCATTCTAAACTCTCTTGTTTCTCTTTAACAACATTGCATTTTGCATATTTCTTTACCTCTCAACAAAGTTAATCTTTCCTTAGAATTTGAAAAATAAAAGCCATTGAAGTTCAGTTACCTTATGAAGATATGGTTGGACTTCCTTATATTTTGAATCAAAAACATTTTCGTATTCTGATTCATTGGGCATTTTTGGAACATATTCTGGTCTGTTAACCAAATCTGCAATGCACCGAACCTGAAATGAAGAAAAATCTATCAAATAACTTGTGAATATATTAAATTCGTATGTGAATTATCAAAATGAAACATTATGGATTTGCTCCGGGAAAAATAAACTAATGACAAATTTATATGTCAAAAGCGATGGATTTACTAAGTAAAATGTTACCGATGTAAATATGCAATGGGAAGCACTATTCTAGAGAGCTGGCTAGCTGATCAATGTTCTTATGCTACAACAAGAAACATTTTGTGCTACAACTGTAGTGTCTAACCAAAGAAATTGCTCAGAGTCTTGTTTTGCTTTTAGACCGCCTTAAAACGAGATTGTTGCATTGATTTAAAGCCATTGAAATTGGTTTTGACCCAGACCTCTTCCTTGCAGTCACAGCGTTGGCAACACCTTTATTGTTTCGGAGGCACAATACATTTGCTCAACAAAGTTAATCATTGTTTAAGTTTTTCAATCGCTTAGCTAAGGTCTTTATTTGTAAATAGAGTACTTGAGTTATTGTTAAAAAGCAAAACGTCAAGACGTGCCTTCTCTGACACAAAATCTTTTTTTTAAAACAGAAACCGAGAGGATCCATGAGTATGTTTCGATTTGACTTTGATTTGATTTTGATTTAATTTAAATTCTACTACATTGTCTACAAAAAAGTATGTGCTTTTTCCATTCCCGGAGATGTATTTTGGGACATAACATACATGGGTATTAGGAAGAGGCTAATAACTAGAAGAGGCAGATTGCTCAAATCTTTCCGTCTTAAAATTTTAGTTCACTACTTCCTTATTATTTTCCTCTTCCACACGTGAATTTAGACCTCACCTTATCACCGAGCTCTTCGGCCAGTCTTTCTCGGAGTGCCTCTTTCTCTGGTGATTGTAAAATACAAATAAAAAATTGTGACAAAATTCAAGGGGCCTTATGCTCCTTCACTTATGTAGTTCTGTACAATGAAAGAAGCTGAGAGTTAGTTTTAATCGTATGGAAAGTGGTACGTTCCATCAAAAGTAGCAGAGGAAATGAAATTATCATTGCCAATAAAGGGTCTTTTTATGAGATTTGCAACCTTTTTCAGGGTGAAACAACTTGCACAGTTCTGCATCAAGTTTGATTTATAATGAGATAAGATGGGTTTTTAATTTCCTTTGTCAAAGTGCTTTTTCCTTATTGGCTTGATATATCGGAATGATATATCAAAAGGCAACTAATAAGAAGCTATAACTAAATTGATATATTTATAACTAATCATCTTTCTATTTGCCTTGATACATTTTTAAAAAATTACATAATACATTATTAAAACTTATTTCGATATTTGTCATTTTGATTGTAGATTCACTTACAGACCACCTTTGGTCAGAAAGCTAACAGTCACAATCTGTTTTCACTAAAATCGGTTATTAAGGTCTTAGTTTGGAAGCTCTAGCAAAAATCTGGCGAAGGAAATATTGAGAAAATATTTAAAGATTCTTGTTACCTGATTCATGAAATAAAGTGACAATATCGAGTTTGACAGTCCAGAGTTCCCACGGGACAGCTTCGGTCGGAAATGGCCATTGACTCTTCTTTCTTTGATAAAACTCGAGAGAGATCTGCATAAATAAGGATTGAAAAGGATGTTAAAATTGGGGTCCCTTGCTGATCACGACAAAGAAGTATTGCTCTTGAGATTACAGATGTATAATTATAGCATTGCAGGCGTTTATGTTGTTGATATTTTAATAATAATTCACTGCAAATGGCATTTCTTGATGGAAGAGAGCGTTTACAAACATGCAAAATTTTATGAAATATGATTTGGAAAATGGGATTAGGAATAAATCGAGTCGAATTAAAACATTGAAAACATGACACAAAATACGATAAAATCCAATATTTTCAAACAATAATTTAAAAAGTTCACATTATACGAATTTCTAAAATACTTTAAGTCTTGATAAATGGTGAGCTTAAGCCTACAATAATTGATATGCTTTAATAGAAAAAATGTCAAGCAAAAATTTCTACTTTTTAAATCAAAAGTTAAGGTCACTGAGTCAACAAGCTAAAACCAGAATTGAGCTGACAAGATTAATTTCGATTCTCAAAAATTTGAATCTCAAAAAGCTTGCAATTACATTGTTTTACAGAAACTATAAAAGAAACTTCAGTTTTTAAAAAACGAAAAATTTAATTCTCTATTTGATCCGTAAAATTTAAATTAAAACAGTTTGCCACTTTTTGGTTAAGAAAGTTAAATCATCTCTTTGGGGGGGGGGGGGTAATTTACTCCCCCTATGCTACCTGCTGACAATTAAAGCATCCTTCTTGGCTTTATGTACATTAAACTTGGGGATTTTGATATAATTGCGTTGTAGTGAAGTGCATTTCAACATTTTTTGGTTAAGTTAAATACAGAGATATCCAGAAAAAGTCTTTAATCCAGTCTTGCATAATAATACCCATAAACATTAAATAAAAAACTCAAGAAAAACAAGCTTGACCCTTGAAGCTTCAAGAAAACAAATGTTTTGAAATGAAGATTTAACTGACGTGGATGTTTCATAAGTGGCTTAGAAAAAGTGCTACACGAAATGTCAGTTTCCACGAGGAATTAAAAATTAAAAAGTTGTTTCTTTTGATGAATGGACAGATTGACTAATGTAAATGGGTCTTCAAATGAAAAGGAAGAAGCAGCTGTATCTTCAAACCTGGTTCATGTCTAGAGAACTTTTTGAATCTTTTTGATATCTTTGATGATATAATGATCTTTTCGATATACAAAAACATGTTGGCAATTCATTCAGAATTCTGCATTCATACTTAGCCAAAAAAATTATTAATTGATGCACAAGAAAAAAGGAAAATTCCTTTTTTGACTGAATATCTTTACAGTAAACCAAACACTTCCAGAACCTTGGGAATTTTTCTCACATTACTTCAGCACCTAGCCAACTGTAAAATCTTTTTAGGACAAACACTGATTGGTGGACAAGCTGTGTAACTAGCTCAGGGTGTATTTTCTGTGACTATACACACACACATATTCGTGTGTCTAATCAATTTGGATGTATCCATCTTGGCAAGATATATTTGAAAGACATCTCAAAGACTTTCTAGACAAAACATTAAAGTACCAAGCTATAAGATTACGCTGGTCTAAAGCCTAAATGCAAAATACAAGAATTTGAAACTTATCCTTCTCATTGTTCAAAATATACAGCTGTTTGGGAGCTTGCCCCTATAGTTACTCTGAATTAAAACAATCTAAAAATAAACAAAAACTATCTGCACCAGCAATGAGAAACAAAAATTAGATTTTACCCTATATGAATTTTTAATTTTCATGAAAAAGAATTTCAATTCTCAACGAATAAGAATCCAAGCTCGTCAGAGCAAACATGCATTAGATGGGAAACGATCAACACTATTTTGGCCCCTTGTGATCCTCCATAAAGTCTTGATTTATTTCTGTGAATAATTTTTTGATGAAAAACTAAAAACAAAGACCAAAAAGAGAAAAAAAAGAGGAACAGATACAGACAGCTTCCATGAATCAATTGATAACAATGTTAATGTTATTGCTATTACAAATTTATGCTATCAACTTATGTCTATCACGCTAAATAAGCTACCAATGTGCACCTACCTGTCCACTTTTATGTGTTTCTGAAGCTTTTAAGGCCTCCTTGAACATATTTGTGTGTTTCCTTAGAGAATGATCTAATTCAGCACAAGCACATTTCACCTTAAAAAGTAAAAACACCCTCTTCGTTATAGAAACATAAAAATATCCTACAGTCTAGCAGAGATTACATTCAAAAGAATTTCCCGAGCAGTACTTCATTTTATGACTCATGTATATTTCTCTAGCTTTCTACACCGGCTCCCACATTTTTTGCCACTGACAGCTTAATTGCTGGCTCTGAGTCAGCTTGAGGTCCTCATTCAGTCTAGTTATACTGATGAGCGATGGTAATGAGTGGAACCAGTCTGCGGCCGACTGGCTGTGGCATGGGTGGACAATTCCCGTGAAAATGGGGTTCCCCCTGTGGAAGACCAGCAGCTTTTTAAGTGGTCTCCTGCATCTGGAATGTGGTCTCCCAAAACAGAACTCTGGTAACAAGGGTGGGCATTCTAAAGTAAAAATTTGGTCACCAGGCAATTACCCTCGAAACAATAAGTGGAAAACTGGTCTTTCTGGGTTCGCTGGAGACCAAATTATCCACCCCCAAGTGGCTTCAGTGGTTTCTTAACTTGAAACTTTTACTAAACCCTTGTAGAACGGCTTACAGTCTGCCAAAACCGCAGCACTGCTTTGTGCTGTGCCTCTAAATGAAATTCCTTAAAGAGGCTGTCAGGTCTCTAAAACTCATGCATACTTCTCTTCCCTATCATTTTATGTTCATGTTTTGAATAAAGGTTTTGAAAATAAATGCAGTGTTATAAAAAATAGTCCATATTAAATGAGCACTCACATATGTAAAGTCAACAAACTGGCAATCAACATCTTCAAATCCAACAGTCCCAATTGTATATGAGCTATCTTTGCGATAATGAAACTAAAAACAAAATATGACACAATTAATCCCATTGCCATTGCAAGATGAAAATCAAGATCTACAAAACTGCTGAAGCTCATGAAATGGTCTTGCCAAACATGAAAAAGAGCAGGAACTCAAAACAATAAAAAACAGACCAGGAAATAGAGAGAAACTTAATGAGAAAACCATTCAAAAAGTTTGATTGAAATTAAACAACAAATAAAAACAATTAAGATATCTTGACTTTAATTGTTTTTCTGCCCTTTTTTGCAAAATAAAAGAAGCATTTTAAGTTTGATTCAATGCCCATTTAGGTTCCTAAGCAAATTGATGACAGCTAGTCCTCATTTCTGTGGTTCATTTTTGTGAAGTTTTAATGTTTTTTGTGAAGGCAATATGTGTCATATTTGTATAAATTTTAAGTGTAGGAGTAAAAATTCAAGCCCTATTGAACTTTAAGTAAAATTTGTTAGCCTTGCCATCATCCCCTATTCATGGAAAATAACACCAGAATTAGTCAACACTCAAATTAGCACAGATATGCATTGTTCTTGAATGAGACATCATTGACCTAATGGGTTCACTTTCAGTACCAACTTAAAAGACATGGTATTTCAGGCTCCACTCAGGCAATTATTTCTCAATGAAGCAACAATACCAGGGCAAGATCCACACTAAGCCCACTAAATTTTTTGTACCTGCTATGCCTATGCACTTGAACCAGTTGGACTAGGTGGAAAAAATTGCTAATAAACTGTGAGGATTAAGAAAAAGCAAAAAGGGATTTACAAAGTTAGTGATGCAGAAATTCTCTTTTAAACTTTGCTCACCTTTCCAGTGGATCTTTGAAGCAGAACGGTGTGGAAAACACCTAAATTGTTTAAAAATATCATTTTTTTAATAATCACCAATCACTCTATCTGAAATGCCATAAAAAATAAAGTAAAAACTTGAAAGGGTTAATAAAAAGTATTTCTCCCATAACTGTTTATAAGAGCCAAAAACGATTTGACAAGAGACCTTACCAGAAGAATTGGTATAAAGAATCTCCACAAAGATCTCATTGTGAAACCTGAGATCTAAAATTTTCTCAAGGTTGATGTGCCATGCATTTGTCAAGAAACAGGATTTGATTTGTGCACATGTGATGTGCCTTGCAGATTTTAGTTTCATAAATTGAAATGCTTTAACACTCTAACATTAATCAAACAAATTATACAATAATTTTTCATTGAAAAGAAAAAAATGTACTCACTCAACACAACTTCCTCTACTTGGCAAAATTCTACAACCTGAAAACAACAATCAGCCTTATTTTTTACCCAATAAAATTAGTATTTTTCAAGCTTACATATAAGCAAGCCAGGTTGAAATCTGGCTATTTTTAGGAGACGAGTCATGCCCATCTTCCAGATCATGCACTAGCTGCCATTTTTGGGTTATTGCACATGAGTATTATCACTTGAAGCCCTGGCAGGAAGTTCAAGTGCTGTGTGGTCACAGACAGAACAGATGTGCAAAAAATGTTTGTAGAAATGCAACAAAAAATGCAACATTTTGTAGAAATTAAAAAACTGGAGCGCTGGGTGGAAATGGTATTAATCCTACTCCTAAGTTAATTTTTCTTTTCCAAAATTTTTTTTTTTTTTACTCCAGATTGGTTGTATAGCCTTTAGGAGTTAACTATTGAAGATTGAAGAATTTTATTAATGCACCTGTGCCATGACCCTGCCATGGTGATTGGTAAAGACGGTATTGTTTCAAAACAGAGGACCAAAGGCTTCCAAAATATCTCTGGTGTATATATACATTCCACTCAAGGTTACAGGTTTGAGAATTGACCCTTTTTTATTTATTTTGTGCAATTAGGTGTTTCTTTTTTCAACTTTTCAAAGTTTTTGTGTAAAGTCTCTAGAATAAAGTAAATATGGATTCCATCCTAGGCAGCATACAAAAATCATTTTTTGACATTAAAAGTGCAATTGTTTCATGAAAACAAACAAATATGATAAAAAAGATAAAAACATAGATATTTTGTGGCGTTTCAAGTCATTCTCTACCAACATTCGAAACAGCAATTACAGAAAAAAACAGAAACCTGTAGGCTATATGCCGCCTATCAACTTTGTGGCAAAAAACAAACAAATTAGCTAAGAAGGCAACTTGAGTATCTCAACTTTCGTTCAATGTTATTCACTCCAAGAATACACAATTCTATGTACGTGACATAAGCTCCACAAACAAGATTCGTTTTAGATTCGGAATAAAAGCTAAAAGGTAGTTTTTCTTTAATTCTAGATCTATCTCTCAAAAAGTTTCCAAGGAAGATGGGACAACAAATTTTGATCACAAATAATACCACAAATAAAATATGCCAAGCATTGTTAACTAAAAAGGGTTGTGCAGTTGTGCTTTAATCTTTTACTTGCTATGATCTTTGGTTATACTTACGAATTCAAAAATGTGCGACCTTGCATTCATGTTTACGTTCCTTTGCCAAGCCTTTCACACGTTATCGTGCACATAAAACTAAAAATAGGAATAAAAACTCATAGTTCCTTTTTTGGAAATCATTCGCTCTTTACGCAAAACAACATTTTCTTGAGTTATACGAGTATACTAACTCAAAAAAACAACTTTCCTGCTTGTTGAAAATACCATTCTGAAAAGGAGGCTGATTCAACATGGCTTAGCTAAAAAATTTCATTTTTTCTTTTCTTACAACCTTCTTCAATGCTTCAACAGTTGTTGCAGTTGGATAGATATAATCAGTGGTTTAGTGCTATCAAAGTAACCCAGTTGGCTCTTGCACAAAATGTTGCGAAAAACAATAGCAAAAGTAGAAATTTGCCAAATTTCGGCATCAACAAGGGAGACTCAGCCCCTAGCTCTACACCCCTGGATATAGTAATTATTTAGAGAGGGGGTGTCTATTTATTTGTTCTTTATACTGATTTCGATCTTGGTAAGGATTGGTCAATGCCTAACTAAGTAAATAAAAAAACAAATTGATGATTGTAGCGTCATTTCATAATGTGACCTATCACTCTAGAATCAGTATGACAATAACAAAACTTCTGACTTGGTGTGTTAACGCTTATACCTGTTTAATTATACAGTAAAAATATTGATGCTAAGATACGATCGAAAAATATTATTGATATCAGATTGAAGCAAAATACGTTGAATATGCAAATACGTCCCCAAAAATAAACAAATGAAATGTCCTAAAACTTAGATGAATATATATTCCTGATTGAAAATAAGGTATAAAAAGTTCAAAATTAGTTCTAAAAAAAATGTTGCTAGTTTTTTCTGTTGCGCTTAGGAATTTTTTTTACGCAGGGCAAAATTTTAGGATGTACCCTTTTTTCGTATTCTCTGATTTCGTATTCATATTTTCCCAACCCCCCCCCCTTTTTACAGAATCTATGTCCTAGATTTTGCAAAATATAGACCCCTTTGTCAAAGAAATTACGGATGCACTTGAGGGCAATGATTTTCATTATTTGCACCCGCCGGGGCATTACCTGACCAGCAGGCAACTCAAGACTCTTTTGCCCAGCAAAGCGTATGACATTCAACGAGAGTCCAACCTTTCATGAGATGATGCCACAGTGGCTAAGATATGTATCTAAGGACTGAAATTCAATTAAAGAAAATGAAGTCTCCCATTCATAATCTTAAAAAAGTTACGCAAAATATAATAATACTAGCTCCCCTACGAAGCCCGCTACGCGGGCTTGCCAGTGACCCTACGGTAGTGTACATAGATTAGCCTCGGAAAAGACAAGAATTTTCTTAATACCCCCTGTGAATGATAGTAAAATAAGCCTCGGTAAAGACAAGAATTATTTCCAAGCCCCCAATGAGTATGCAGATTAGCCTCGGAAAAGACAAGAGGTGTATCAACCTCGATTTGAAAAAAATTGATTCCGCACAGGTCACGTGATAAAAAATTACTCGCACTCCTGTGACTATCGCTAGTCAGGGGGTCGCCTGAAATAGAGCAGGGGTAGAGGCTCCCCCCTTCCTAGCGATAGTCACAGGAGTGCGAGTAATTTTTTATCACGTGACCTGTGCGGAATCAATTTTTTTCAAATCGAGGTTGATACACCTCTTGTCTTTTCCGAGGCTAATCTGCATACTCATTGGGGGCTTGGAAATAATTCTTGTCTTTACCGAGGCTTATTTTACTATCATTCACAGGGGGTATTAAGAAAATTCTTGTCTTTTCCGAGGCTAATCTATGTACACTACCGTAGGGTCACTGGCAAGCCCGCGTAGCGGGCTTCGTAGGGGAGCTAGTCTTCCGTTAATTGAAAGATGCTTCAAAACATTTGCAAGCCCAGGTCTATTCGTGTTCCTTGTTTATGTATTTTAATGGGTTACCCCCTAAGTCTCCTGTTTTAATTTTCCATAAAATTTCATGGTAAGACTTCCCAACTTTACTTATCTGTTTACTCCTCTGACAAATAAAATAAAAATTGAATCTATCCTGAAAATCAAAATTAAAAAACAATGCCCTCCTACATTCTTTCAATTTAATAAGGAATGCAAGCAAAAAGTGTAATATCATACAGCAAGCAGGCAAGCACATTCTAAACATGACAGAAGACAAACATAATTAATCCAATCCATAGTCACGCCTACTGTGAGTAGCATATACTATTGGCAAGAGCAGGAAATAATTGCTCGAGGACAAAGTATTATTTACTTGCAGCAACAACCCAATTGAGATAAGAGCTATTTTCGTGTAGGAGGATAATGCTTATCACCTTGATTGTAACTCAGTAAATCCTTTCAGAAAAGTAAACCCAAACTTAATTACTTGCTGGCTCCAGATACCGATACTTGCGAAATTCCTAATAGAACCAATCCAATGAGTAGTTCCTCGATTATTACGATTACCACTTAGCAATATCATAGCTTTCATCACCATCTGAACCCCTTTGAAATCAAGGTTAATAGCACTCTTGACTTTCAGAGGCTAATCTTACTATCCCATTTTGGGGCCATAGGGTGCCCGCAGAGCGGGATTTACTGGGAGCTACTCTTCCGTTTATTAAAATGTGCATATCAATTTGATACATAAACGGTTGCAATATCAAGGCAATACAGAAAGTTGCTTCAATACATTTTGTAAGCCACGATCTATTTGGGGTCCTTGCTCAAATACTTTCACGGGTTACCCTCTTTATTTCTCCTGCTTATTCTAATTGCAATGTTTTAAAACTTCCATTTTCTTTTATCTCTCGGTGAATCGTGGTGCTCGTTTAAATATCTTGCAGGCTTATCTAAAAGCTTTGTTTAATATTCTGAATTCTACTTTAAACTTGACAGCTACATACTTCTGCCAGCCCCCATCATTTTCATGAGTTAATCCTATAATTTCTCCTATTTAGTCATAATCAAATTTTTGAGTTTTCCAATCATACATTCTTAGCCCTCGTCGACTTATAGGGCGCTTGAAAATATTTTCTAAGGCCATTCTTAAAGATGTAATGTTCATTTTGAATCCAACATGAATATCTTTATCAGAGCATTTCGTTCAATTCTTGTTCACTTGTGATGCTGTTTTAAGGTATAATTTGGGGCCACCTTTAAACTTCCTCTGTTTATTTTGAATCAAACATTAAAGTTTTCCAACAATAAATTCCTGTTAGCCGTTATTGGTCCATGGTGCTCGTTTAGATATATATCATCTAAAAATTTCTTAAGAATTAATGACTCCTCTTCTGAACTCCAAAGAGTTATAGAGTTATTACGCAGTTCTGTACATTTGAGGTCCACATATCACATCTTCGTCACAATTAGCTTTTGAAACACTGCAGGAACAAAGCAGTTAAGAGATAGAAAGATAAAAAACAGCCAAGTTTCGTGCATCAGAAAGGAATCTTACTCTAACAACAAATAAACAAAATACAATTTACGGACAACAGCTAATCTATATTATATAACTTTAGTCCTTTTCTCCACAGTCAAGTTTTTTCTTGTTTCATCGTTTGATTTAACGCCAGCATAAATGCCATAAATTTCGTTTCGAAGGTTCGAGAATCACGTCTGCGTCGTAATTATTGCTTGAAACGCTCTTTGATCTAGATGAAGAACAAAAAGATTAATGAAGATGTTATTCCATGGTTAATGAAAGCACGTTTCAAAGAAATCGATATACAGCCAATCCATATTCTTTTAAGCACAAAACTACGCAAGAGGTAAAAAATTAAAAGAAACACGCTCGTAGCGGGTCTAGCGACTCCTTTCAGCAACCAGTTTTTAGTGTAATTTCACCCAAATAAGCATAAAGTCATTTGAAATGGTTTCTAGAATGATTCATTTACAATTCCGAAAATGATGCAGGCACAATCTACCGTAACAATCCAGCTTCCTTTCAGTACAAAACCACGAAAAGAGGTAGGAATTCGCCGTTCGCGGCGGGGGTCTAGCAGTAAGCGACGGGTTTTTAGTGTAATTTCATCAAATTAAGCATAAAATCATTAGAAATTGTTCTCGTTAAGCGAGCAATACAGCAAATCCATTTTCCTTGAATTACAAAACTGCGAAGAGGTAAAACATTAAGAGAAAAACGTTCGTGGCGGGTCTAGCGACTCCTTTCAGCAACCGGTTTTTAGTGTAATTTCACCCAAATAAGCATAAAGTCATTTAAAATGGTTTCTAGAATGATTAATTTACAATTCCGAAAATGATGCAGGCACAATCTACCGTAACAATCCAGCTTCCTTTCAGTACAAAACCAAGAAAAGAGGTAGGAATTCGCCGTTCGCGGCGGGGGTCTAGCAGTAAGCGACCGGTTTTTAGTGTAATTTCATCAAATTAAGCATAAATCATTTGAAAT